GTACTGCTTCTCCTCGCTTTTCGGCAATGAATTTCGTCCAACATTGGAGAATGGCGTCTCGTACGATTGCCAGCAAGTCGAGGGTTTCTTCCTTGATTCGGCGTTCAGGGTTTCGTTTTATCATCCTGATGTGGAAGGAAGACACCACAAGAAAATGGAAGGTGGGTTGAGCACTATGGTTTCAACCAAATCTCTCGTTTTACCTGGCTATAACAACACGACATTCCACAGTGATTTGACGTTCAGCTGGGTCACGTATCACATCCAATATGGCTTCAAGTTGTAACGCAAAAGCCAATTCCTCCTCAGTCTTTTCACTGACTGTTGGATCCCTATGGGATTACATGCAAATGTTAGCAAACAAGGAATTATAAGCGGTACAGCCAAAAAATCTCGTCGTGCAACTTGCATGACTCTCACCTTGGCAAGAAAGCTTTACCAACAAGTATCCCATGCACCTTACTCAATACACGTGCAAGAGCAGTGAAGCAAATGAACTTCATATCTCACGTCCCATGAGGGTCTGTTTTCTATTTGTTTCCGAGACTACTTGTGAAATACATGCAAGAACCTCTTTCATCCTGCAATATAACTGTCCGTTGCATTTTTGCATTGGATTCTTTTTTGAGTATACCATTCATTTTTTCATTGATTTCCGCCACAACAGGGTTTTACAACGTTGACACCGACAGCACTGCCTCCAGCACCACTGCCTCCCGCAATACTGCCTCCAGCACCACCGCCTCCAGCAATACTGTCTCCAGCAGCTCCAGCAGAAACATGACTAGCACCAGATGAATGAGATACACCGCTAGCCAAATCCGAAACGTGTTGTGCAGTGACTTGTTGAACAGAGGGAACGATTGGAGGTTTGCAATTACAGCAGGGAGCACCACCACCTGTCATCACACGACCACCACCAGGTACTAATCCAGTACCTGGAGCTTTACCACCAGCGGCAATGGTACCAGCATGAGAACGCTTTCCAAAATCACCTTTGGTACGAATTTTTTGGAAAAGAGGTTCAAGGACGCTGTCGAAAAGTAGTTATGAATGAAATGGAAACGATGCGATACTAAATCGAAACTTTTGAAAGCTTACCTAACAGTAAACAAGAATGTTGGAGTGGAGACTAAACTGATGGCAATGGCTCCACCAATAAGACCCAATCCTGCACTGAAGTAAGGCATAAGGAATGCCACAATACCAGCTAAAGGTTTAGGGCAATGATGGTTTCAGTTTCTCGTCACAAGTCACTGGAGCTGTCAAGATGTCCGAAATGCATACCTGTGAGTGCAGAGGCCACGATGAGAGGTCCATATTGACGAAGGCAGCGAACAAATTTGGGAGCAACAGTCGCATATAAGTCTTGGACACTAGATTGAGTCGAAAAGTGGATTCGTGAATATCATCAAAGTGGATTCGTGAAAAGATTTGTTCAACCTGTCAAAACGTTCTTGAGAGAGCACTTACAAAGCTTTGCACTCTTTGAGAAGTGCACGTCCAGATGATACCAAGTCTCGAGATTGAAGACGACTGCTCTTAGTTTGTTGACTCTAAATCAAAATTTTGTGCAGTGATGTGAGAATGTTTTCCCTTTATGTCGTGACATGTTCAAGTATTTCTCGCAAAAAGTCAGGGATACGGAGCTGAAAAAATCAAAAATGATGGCATCCATCCATTCACTGCACTTACAACGAGTTGATTTCTGAAATTGGCCAAGAAATGAGCACCATTGTCAATTGGTTGCTTTCTCAGTTGCAAACCATACGAAGTTGAATCAGCATTGCACAGCACTGATAGCGTTAATACGATGGCTATTAGAGATATGATTTTAAGGGATGCCATCCTTGCTTCTCTGTTGATGGATGTGTTAATTCGTGTTTGTTGAATAGGGAAGAGCTGTCAAGCACGCAAATCAACTGATAGTGGTGAAGGACAAAGCCGAAGTGATTGCGAGTGTTGAAAACGAATTTTAACGCCTTATAAATCTAGTTTCTCACTGAACCGACGCGGCCGTATGAGCTTTTGTTCAGATGGGCTGATTCAAACTCTCTGTCGCTCGCAATTAATGACATGCACGTTCGGACACCTCGATTCACTTCTGAATTCATAGTATCAATTGAATTTTGACATAATTGTAGACTCATCATCCGGCCAGATATACTGTTTTGCTCGTGTGCTTGACTTTCTATGACTTAAGGCAACAGATCCCCAAATGGTGCCGATAGTAGCACAGATTGGAAGGAAATAGGCCAACACGTCAGCTAAATTACAGAAAGAGACTTAGAGGTGAGAGATGTCTCGGAATGCTAATAGAGACTTGTTTGTAAACGTCAATATTTCAAGTAACTTGTAACTGCAGTAGAAAGCAGGAGTGGTCCAAATACACGAACTATGCGAAGAAACTTGCGAGCAATCTTTGCATATAATTTTTGATACTAGGCAGGAATTGGACGGAAAACTTCAGTAGTCGAAACATTTCTTCTGGCCAGCGAGATTTTGCATGAAACGTACAAGACTGCAAGTCGACATCCTGATTTCTTTGAATCTCGAGATTGAAGACGATTGCGTGTTATTGCTTGACTCTATATTCATTCGTATTGATGTGTGAGAATCTTTGCTTGGGATTGTTGATGAATGTTGACATGTTCGACTGTTTATGGTGCAAAGACCCAGGATTGCAGAGCTTTTATATTCAACATCCATATCATCGTTCCAAATATAATACTAACGACTAGTTGATTTCGGAAATGGGCCAAGAAGTGAGCAGTATTGTCATTTGGTTGCTTGGTCAATTGCAAGCCATATGGATTTGAATCAGCATTGCATAGCATCGAGACCCTCAATGCGATGACAGATAGCGATATGATTTCAATAGAGGCCATCTCTTCTTCTCCTAGGTTGTTGGCGTTTTGTTGTTTGAAAAAAGATGTTTCGAGGATGTCAAAACACGCAGCAGGCTTATCCGAAGGCTCAAGGAGATAACAGCAACGGGAGTACTCCTGATGGTCTCTCAAGGACGTATCTGCAAAGTCAACTTCCCTGAAATAGAGCGGGAATATAGAGTCTCATTCCGAGATTTCGCTGTTTTGCCATTGATATTTTGTAACAACGAGAAGCGTAAAGCTTCGACGCGATTTAAAACTTTCTGCGTGGTGTAAATAGCTCGAAATGATAATCATTCTGTCGAAGTATCGGTTTGAATCTCGTCAAAAAAATTCCCGACTCTTCACACTTTCACATGAATTAGACACATTTTTCCAATCGAAACATCGACAATGCTAAACTCATCATCCCCAAGAGCTTCGACGTCATGCGCTTCGAGCGTTCGAGGAGAAGCCAAGAGGCCGGCGCTCTCTGCAGATACTCAGAATCTCATCAAAGGTACTAAAGACAAGAATAGTATCGCTATCCGGACGTTGATGAAACGAAGATGATGGTGAAGGACAAAGGAGTAAAAGAGGATCCTTTAAATTGGAATTCGTTGATACCCGTGTTGGTCTGGACTTTTAACTAATCCGGTTACCTTCATCCAGCAATGATGAAAACATCTAAATTGACGCAACGACAACAAAAGATGCTAGATGGATGTCTCTTTGGTAAGAAAGCCTACAATTCCTCTCAAATGTATTCACTTTACTCAAAGCCCTTGTTTAATTTAGACGCGCAAGCATTACCAACAACAGTCATACCCTCTAATATACCAGCACCAACAGCACTTCCTCCAAGTGCCAGAAAAGTGGTTCGAGTACCATATGATCCCAATGCAAAGAAGGAGAGAAGAAGCCTTGATGAGATTGTCAGGTCTGGTGCTTATCAGCCTGAATCGTTTCGACCTACGCCACGTCGTAAGTTTCTATTATGGGCCCAGTTGTCACTGGAACCTTCAATTGATACGGGGACCCTTTCCTACATAGGTGATTCAACACTCGAAAAACGCAAGCTTCAAAACTTGATGGCAACCGGATCAGTAAAAGACGACGATTCGGAAAGGCATTCTGATTTGAAATCACGAGCTTCTGAGAGATACACAGAACACGAGTTTGATGAAGATGATGAGTTTGGAATGCTGCTGCAAGAAATTCAAGAACGGAAGGAGTTTGTTACTGATATGCAAGCTCTGGGAGCTCTGAAATCGGATGAGAAAAATAAAATCAAGGCAGAGATTGCTTTGGTGAGTGTCTCGTGTAAGATCATTGATTGGCATATTGTTCGAGAATACTAACTCATTGGTTTCCTATTTTTGCAATAGCGAATGAGTCGACTGGAAGCCTTACATAGGAAGAGACACAGTTAATAGAGACACGTTTAAATCTCAGTCTAATAGTCAATAGAGTTACTTTAACATAGAACTAGTTATATTACATTGAAGCCTGTAGCTCTCATCCTTAAAATTCTTCACAACCGCTGAATCACCTTTAACCACGACAAATACACCATCACCTTCACTCTTTGAATGATCATAGCCTTGTTGAGCATACTTCAAACCTTCGGTCATCCGTAAACGGTGGAAACAATTGACTCGACGTTGCAGCTCAGCAGCACCTCATTGATCCACTGGATCTTACCATTGTTTATCAAGAAAGTTCAACAGCTTTCGATCGTCCCGCCGTGACATTACCACGCACTAATAGCCTCCTCACATCGACATTCAGGCACCCGTTCACGACTACACGAATTCACCAACGACACATCTAGCATCTTTTACATCCGAGCATTAAGTCGTCTCCTGAACTGTCCATAAGCAGCAGGAACATCATGACCGGCATACCACCAACATCATGACGTGGCACAATGGTTTCCTCATTTGGTCTCTTGACCGTTAATATAAGAACGTCCTTGCACTGACAGTTTCGATAGCCTTGAGAAGTGTGAACGATACCTTGTCCAGGTTCAGCGAGCCTTGAAGCGTTATGTAGCCAAAGACAAGTTGAAACCACAGTTAAAATCTCATCCAACACGAAGTCCATTCAAAGCTAACTCTAGTTATATTATAATTAAAACCTATACCTGCCATCATTAATATTCCTCACAACCTCGTCATTAACTTGAATCCACGACTTCCCTTCCCACAAATACACATCATCACCTTCAGTTCTTGAAGGATCATACCCCTGTTGGGCATACTTGAATTTCTGAAACTTTAGCGTTGACGTCTTGTCATGCTCTACTGCTCGAAAGCGTAAAAATAATGGACGGGAGTATGAGGGCAGATTCTTTTGGATGTGGAGGGTAAAGTCTTCAAAGTTGAAGACGGTTGAGTCTGGATTGAGGAGTACAGAAGCCATAGGAGCACGACCATCCGTGTTTGGTATTTTGATGCCATAGACATTGGCTTCTCGTATATGTGGGTATGCGCCAACGACTTGTCCAACATCTAAAAAAATACCAATGTCAGCGATTGGAATGCAAAGAAAAGCCAGCAAAAGGATTAAATCACCGTTGGAGCTGATGTTTTCTGACTTCCACCTATTCGAAAACAAATTCGACTCAGCAAACCCACGCTAAGTTTTGCACCAAATTCGATTCAGCAATCCAACGCAAACGCAAATCAAGCTCACCTCATAGAGTCGCCACCACGATCTTGGAAATAAAAGAACCCTTGATCATCCACTGTAAGCAAATCCCCAGAACTCCACCAACAGTCGCCCTCCGCAAACACATCCGTATACAGCTTCCGTCTCGTAACAGCATCACCCACGTACCCATCATATTTCCCATCAGGCAATCTCATTATCATTTCTCCAGTTTCACCTGAAGACGCAACAACACACCGTCCATTAACCCGTACAACCGCATCGTTCTCAACATCATACTGCACCAGTATACCACCTTCACCACTCGATGCTTTTGCCGTAGCGACACTCTTTGGTAAGAAGCCACAAGATCCCGGTTTGTTAAAGTAGTTTTGTATGGCATCGCCTGGCATTTCAGTTGCCCCGTAATGTTCGACTACTTGGGTTATATGGAAGCGTTTCGTAATAGACTCAAAGAGATCAGAGCGTAAACCGTTGCCGATGATGACTCGTAATGGAGAGAATTGCGGAGTTCCTTCCGTTGGTTGAGGTTGTTGAAGGTGAAGATATCTCCATAATTCACCGACCTAAGGACGAAGGAGTGTAGGTGAGCCAAGGTCTCATTAAAATGAATTCTTTATAAGGGTCCACATCGAAATGCAAAACGCATCGTCCTTGGTCTTGGAACGCTTGTTGGCCAGCATCAAATCGATCTTTCTCATGTCACACGTACATAAACGGTAGCCACACATTGATGCTCTCGCACGTCCTTGAAGAAGCTGCTAGCTGAGAACTTTTCACGTAACACGACGGTATTTCCAAGTAAGATACAAGGAGCCATTGCCACAGCACCAGCGTTTCCATGATATAAAGGCAAACTTATGTAGTATCGATCTCCTTCTTTCAATCCACTAGGTCCAGACCACGTCAAAGCACATCCAATCCTAGAAAGATGAGTTAATTTGCTGAGCGATTCGACCAAAAAAGATCTTGGTCTTTTTGGAACTGATCAGGTCCTTAGACCTTCGATCTCAGAGCATTCCTAAGTCCACACAAGATAAGGTCTTACCATCTCTTGTGGGAGAATTTGGCAGCTTTAGAAGGTCCAGTCGTGCCAGACGTAAATATATAGTACAATGGATCCCTGACGTTGACACCCTCACGTCGAGTCCTTGGCACACGTTCATGACTATACGAATTCAACAACGACGCATCCAGCATCTTATGCCTTCCACCATCCAACCGTTTCTGAAACCACGAATCAGCCAAGACAGGAACATCAAATCCTTGCCCAGCATACCACCATACATCGACACCACCATCCTCATGAGATTCAATAGACTCCCAATTCGATTTCTTGGCAGTTGATATAATAATGCACGTTGCATTAGCAGTAGTAATAGCATGCCGCAGCAAATCACCAGTCAAATTCGTGTTTATGAGTGCGATGCAGAGTCCAGCTTTGGCCAAGCCCATCGTCAAACACAGGTACTCGGGTCTGTTTTCCATGAGCAAGCAAACTACGGATGATGGAGCGAGGTTTTGATGTATAGCCCAATGCGCGATTCGATTTGCACATTGGTCGAGCTCCGAGTACGTGTATCTGGCCGTGTGATCGACGGCGTAAATGAGGAGATTGGAAGTATATCTGAAAATTTAAAATGATGTAAGATTCTCCATCTCTTGGCATCAATAGAGGTCAATGATGTTCAACACAAATGTGGTTTAGAATTACTTGTCAACAGCCCATTCGAAAAAGTCTGCGGCACTAGTAACGAGACTTGTAAGCTTACATGAGCTGATATTGAATTGAAAAGCGACACTTACTTGGAAGCTGCACCACCATCTTCCAACATTTTAGTCGCAACCGATTTCTGCTGTTGCATCACAGCATACTCGCGCTCATAATACTCGACGGTCTGATTCGGATCATATTGATAATGTGGCCTATAATATGGATCAGTCATCGTTTGCTATGCGGAGCTAGCTCTTGTAGCTAGTTTCTTCAAGTTTTTCGCAAATGCGTCAGTATTAAGAAAGTGCTATTGACTATTTGAGACTACTACGATCGTAACAAAACTCAAACTGTTGGACTTCAAAGTTTCAAATTAAAGAGACTGCCTTTTTATTTTAAGAGATAGGTAACAAGACGTGTTATTATATGAGTAGTAAAAGATTGTCCTCCCTCAAATTACGATTACAACAACAGCATCGCAACAAACCCAGCAGTTGCAACACCACATAAAGTCAAAACCGGAGTGACTCTAACATTAGTAGCACCACTCTTTGAACCAGCCGTTGTAGCAGTAGATGCTGGACTTGCGGCAGCGGGAGAAGCAACAGCTGACGCAGCAGCATCTAATAACGGTGCTGCTGTAAGAGATGGAGCAGTGTATCCGGCAGGTCTAGCTGGTGGTCCAGTTGGTGCAGGATCGCCGGCGCACTGAATTGAAATGTAGTCGTATATGGCTTCATATCCGACTGTTGAGCCAGGTGCAACAGTCCAAGGTCTGAAAGAAAAAAATATCGTCAGAATGTTCTTATAAAACGTAAGAGCTCAACAATTCTTGATCAACACAAGACTTATAGTGCTCCGTGCAGTCAACAACAACAACAAACCACCAGAGAACATACATTCTTCCACCAGCCCAAGAAACTGTGCCATCGCCTAGTCCTGTATCAAAAACAATGGGGGAAAAGGTTTAAAAAGGCTGCCGAAGTGACAATGACAATGCGACAACTCTTACCACAACTTCCACCATCCCATACACCGATTTGAACTCGAGACGGTGACGTAGGGAACCGACAGTATCCATTTGAGCAAGTGCTATTCAGCGTCACAGTTCTAGGCGATTGATTTGTTAGATTGAATACACGCGGTGTAATATAAACCAAATACTCACCTAACGGCCTTGCCGTCAATCGACCACGTAATCGAATCGGGTGCCCAGTTTACAGTGTAAACGTGGAAGGCAGCTCCGGTGGGACTGCCAACCTGACGAGATGCAGAGTATGAGTAAGTCGTTCAAACAAAACGAGTGGCGAAGAACGACTCGATACGATCTTACATCGATTAGTGTTAATTGATCTCTGTTGGTGTCCCCACCTTTGAAGTAGTTTGTTTGGGCAAAATTCGGATTTGCACCGGTGAATTCCTGAGCGGTTTGGTGTGTGTTAATGCAAAGTATAACGTCAAATACAGGGAGACTAGGCACATACATAGTCGATTTCATCTCCCTGATTATGAAGATCAGGTGCCATGGATATAAAGGAGGTAACCATACCCCCAACGTTGCCGGTTTGGATTCTAGCTTCGAATACTCCATAGTCTATAGGACACAGACAATGTTTGAATGCGCAATGTCAGAGTCACTTTCTTGACAACACACAACTTACGAAGGAATGTAGTACTGGACACCAACGATCCAATGCCATAATAACGGCCGTCGCCAGCAGGAGCAGCGGATCTAGTCAACTTTAGATGCAGCAAGCCAGCCGCAGTATCAAAGTTGACTTGGGTAGTATTCACATCTAGAGTGAAATCAGCTGATTTCATATCACCCGTGTAAGCGTTAGAAGGCACTATCCAAGTTTCGGGGCCCATCTGCGAGAAAGAATACGAAATTGGGGCTGAGCGTGTGCAATGTGTTTGTGGTGGTTGAATCGAGTATTTTACATCATAGCGACCAGAGATGCAATTGAGACCGTTAGGCCGGCCATAGTAACAGCTAGACGCAGTATAGCTTGTGTTGGTTTGGCATCCAAAGCCTGTAAAAGTGTCTTGTTGTTAAGCTTGATGCTCCCACCACAACTTTTTTTAATGTCCATACCACATGCTGATGCAGATTTGTCACATATACCGAATTGGCTACAACAGGGAGCATCTTTTCCGCATTGAGAAGCGCAGGTAGTGGGAGTAGGAGCAGGTGCATAGCATTGCACACTCGCAGTCGGCGTTTGCGCTATGACTACTGGTGCAAAGCTGGTAGCTATTATAGCGGCCAGTAACAGTAGACCTGTGAGTTCACGATTCAGCCTCATAGATCCCATCTTGATGGGAAACGATGGCCTGCAGGGCTACTGACAAAGTTGTCGCACACAATGAAAGTCGAGTAGCAAAGTACCCACATTGGACGTTTTGTAAGCGACGTGACTTTTGGCGTCAAGCAGGTAGATTCAGTATAGAATCTTGCTAGAGCTCGTATTTCCATGTGCGATGCCATTATAGTTTGCCTGATCGCAGCAGTTATGCAGTTTAATGAATCAACACGTAGATCTCCAGTTCCTTACGTGTTTTAATGTGATTTCCGATCAAAATTAGCTATTCGAAACAATTCTATACCATCATCTGTACACTCTGCCTCAACTCGGCATTTTCATGCTTCCCCAACAAAACTTTTCAAGTGTTCGAGAAGATCTATATCAGGACAAAAACGAGCTTGGTTGCTTCGAATATACTGGCAATCGTCCTATTGAGCTAGATATATACTTCCTGTAGCGTGGAGTATATGTCCGTGGTGCTTCTCATCCAGGTTGCTGTCGATTGAGGGTAAATGCACAGTGCGGATGCATACAGATATTGAACGAAGCTATGAGCTAATATAAAAGTCACTTCTGATCTAGATATTTATTATGCAGCAGGTCTCAAATACATCAAACGGACTGCCATTGTCGCTCATCATAGAAAGAACTTCAACTACAATCGCGACAACAACCACCTCAGTATCGAATGAAGATAGATTATCACCTGCTCCGATATTGAATACATCAGCTCTGCCTTCCTCGTCTACCACACAACGTCATGGAGCCAAACCATCAACAGCAGCAACACACATCTCGCTTCCGGAGATACCTTCAGCACATCAGCAACAACAGACCAAAATAAGAACTCGACGAAGGTGTTGTCTAGTACCTCCAATATTCACATACCTCTGGAATTGGCTACCGTCTCGAACTGAAGAAGAACGTATCAGAATTCGGATAGATCGTCGTGCATCAGGAAGGACGATAGTCAGGACACGATTACTCAACAAGCAGAACGCTACAGAGGATGATGATACTGTAGAATGGGACGATGAAGTATCCTTCTTTGAGAATGAAGACAAGCCTCCAATACCTGTTCGTCAATCTCGTGAAATGACTGCTGAAGAAGAAGCTGCTCAGGTCTTTGACGTGTTTGAGAAGGCTTGTAAACAGGTGCCAGTGTCTATATCTTCGACATACAGGTTTCGTGGATTGCTCGGTTGGGGTATGTGTCTAATGAAAGAGCACCTTTTTACTGCCTTCCAGCTCCACCAATACTCACTGTTAAAATCATAATAGGAGGCAACGCATTCGTAGCAGAAGCTCAAGATATCAACACATCAGAATACGTTGCCATCAAATTCATCCAAAAATCACGATTGGATGAAATGTCCTTGTTGGAAGGTGTACCGCTGGAAGCTGTAGTCTTGCGTGCTATACAACACCCCAATATCGTCGCCTTCAGAGCAATCTACTCGGACGATACGTATTACTATTTGATCATAAACAGATCAGAGCCCCTTACTTGGAGATTAGGTCAATCAACAAGTGAGGATGTATCACCAACCGAAATGCTTTCTTTACAACCGAAATCCATAAAACGATATACCGCGACACCACGAGATTCGATAGTAAATGAGGCCGCTACCAAGATCAAGCGAAGGTCTGCTTATGGGTCTGCTCAACGAGCATCAATTATTTTACGACAGTCGCCACCTCGATCTTCTGTAATGTCAGATACGGTGACCCCACCTAGAGGATCTCTATCCCTAGAAATAGCACCAGTAATACCACAACCAACACCAGCAATAGTATCACAACCAACAGCAGCAATAGTGTCGATACCACCAATAGCAGCTGTATCAACACCACCAGCAGCAGCAATAGAATCAACATCGTCACCTCTAGGCCGACCACGCCATTCACATCAAGGCGACCTAATAGACTTCCTCACGATGTTTGGAAAGACTCCTCCCAGAGTTATCCGTCATCTAGTTTTGCAACTCGTATCAGCATACCAAGCCCTCCTCAACGCCGGATATGTATATCTAGATTTCAGACCAGAAAATGTCTTGATTTCCGATTCTCTTCACCTTATACTGGTCGATTTTGGAATGTCGCAACCAATATTGACGAACAATGATGACCTCTTCTCGCAATACGGGACTGTAGAAGCTTCAGCACCTGAAATATTGGCTGGAAAGGGGTATCGAGGTTCGGAAGCAGATATATGGGCTATGGGGTTGGTTGTGTATCTGATTTGTTCAGGTGGCGAGAGTGCTTTTGGAAGTAGAGGGTATCGGGCTGGGACGAATATTGAGTTTCCTGTTGATATGGAGCAAGGTAAAAAAAATTGCTAGCTCCGATCATACATTGATGAGCTACTCACAGTCAGTTTCTTCCTTTCCATTAGAGTACAGAGATCTCCTTTCAAACATGCTAGAAGTTGATCCGGTCAAAAGATTTAATATCTCAGCAGTCGCTTACAGTGTCAAGAGCTGGAGTGTTTGTTGAAACCTAAAACACATGTACACACGACACATAATGTAAAAGAAACCCATCGTCATCAGACACATCAGTGTAAATCATAGAGGCACACAGCACTTTTTTTTATTTCAAAGATCGCTTTGTAAGTAGAAGATAAATAAATAATAAGAATGGCATAGGAATCATATCACTCGAATCCTAAAGTTTCTATAGAGTGCAAGAAATGAATCAGTGTTCGGTGTATTGATACCAGCATGCACCACGTCTTACTCTATGAATTCCGGAGATCGTTGCAAGATATGCTCAAACTCCACGAATGAGATGCGACCGTCTCCATCCATGTCTGATTCTTCAATGACCTAGATAAATGTGTTTGCGTAGTGTGAGACTGTAGCCAACAAAAATTAGAATATAATCTTGAGATTTACCTTTTGGGTCACCGTAACTTTATCCTCTTCTGATAATCCAGATCCTACAATCTTTTCGAGCGTTGATCGAATGTCGGTTTCGTCTAGGTAGCCGTCGTTGTTGTGATCTACGTGGTTGAGTATAATGGTCAACATGTAGCTCGTGCGTATAGGAGATAATGTAGAGTCTTGAACATGTAACCCGTGTGCAAAGAGAAGGCAGGCCGTTCATACCATAGATTCGGAATGCGTAAAAGGATTTGACGTCGTGACCAGCCTAAGCAAAAAATGCGACACACATAAACAACTACTGGCTCAAATCACCAAATCCCAACAACACCACACCCAACAAACCAACATCTACCATCCTATTTACCTCTTCAGAGAACACACTAGCAAAATCCAAATAATCATCAAAATTAACCTGACATCCATCAGCACTAAACACATCCGCAATCCTCTCTCGAAATGGATTGCTTCGTAATTCCTCGGTTTCAGCAAACTCGACTTTGGATAACGATTTACGACGTTTCTTGCCACTTCTCACGTCTTCTTCAGCACTGTTTGGTGACATGGGTGTAGTTGATGTGTTTGCACCATGTCGACGAGCAGCGACGACGAGGGACATGAATTTCGAGTATACTTGGAGGATTTCGTGGCGGGTGAAGAAGGTGCATTCTTCCATTATGGCCAGCTCTGTTGCGGAAAGGGGGAGAGATTCTGTGTTTCCCATCGCGAGGTTGGTGGTTTTTTAGTTAATGGTAGTGAGGGGAGGCGTTGATGGGAGTGTTGGTGGGGGATGAGGAGGATAAAATTGGAAGGTTTCGTGTATATAAATGGAATGCTTTTTGATAAAAATCTCCAAGATCAATGGTATTGTCGTTGTGATGAGTTTGAGGCGAAAACGTCGGAAGATGTGTGATTGGGAGTGCGGATGAACAACAGAGTGATGCCAAGCACCAAGTCTATGGACTAAACGATATTTAAACACGTGCAATATGATCGTTGTTCCCGAAACCAGTGCCAACATGAGATCTTCCATTTGCATGATGTGATTCTAGATTTTCCCACAAAACTTTAACTAATAGGAGAGGCAAAGCACAAAACCATGAGAAAAGCCAACTACTTAAACTCGCGATCGACTGATAATATTGCTACTTCATCATCAGCAGCATCATCATCGCATAGGAGAGGAATGGCAGTCGAAGCAAGCGCACCACCAAACACTGCTGTTCCCCAGCACGTAGATTATGACAAGAAACGTAGAGAAACGTTAGGAAAACTTGACATATATTATCAACAAGTATGCACTATTATACTCGAACGACAGAACGCTGTTACGGGATTGGTAAGTTCGTGTTGCATCTCGTTGATTTTGCATCAGGTTTTTGGGGATTTTAACGCCCGCTTCCGTGTCCGTGTATTAATGACTGTTTTCGGATGTATAGATTCCAGCATCCGTAGCTGTTACAGCCCATGGAGACTATCGAGACGCGTGGGTCCGGTACGTTGTCCTTGTCGTTGCTCGTTTCCGCGAAAAACTTGACACACACGCACCGTCGTGCTAGTTTTTTACACCATTGATCTGACTTGTTCCTTGGTCTGATAGTGATAACGTGTACTCGATCCTTGCTGTATGGGGTGTATCGCTTGCTTATCGAAGAATCGATGATGAGCAAGGTCGTGGTTGTAAGTGTTGGTGACATGGCACTGTTGAGGTTTTTTGGCTCGGTGTTTGATATTAAGCTTGCTAATTAGATGAACTGGAACACGCTACCGCAAAATGTATGCGTGGACTGCTCTTCGCTATGATGGGTCAAGCCGCCAAGGTCGAAAAGTTTAAGAATACTCAGTCGTTGACTGACTGCTTACATGCCAAGTATGTGGTTTACACAATCCAAATCTTACCTCATTGCTTTTTTGTTTTGGTATCCAAGCCTTCGGGTTGCTCACTTCATTTTGGTCTTTTTCGTACAATAGATACAATACAAGTACAGGAGCCACAGTCGTTGGAGACTCAGAATGGGGCCATCTTCAAATCGATGCAACCTCCATCTTCATCTTCTACCTCGCTCAAATGACTGCTTCTGGAATGCAGATCGTCTACACGATGGATGAGGTCAATTTCGTTCAGAATCTTGTGTTTTATATCGAAAGGTAAAAACGTTATAAATGACCTATTCAAATGCAACCTCTATGCTATATCATCTCTTCCATTATATTGAAGTCATTACATGACCTCTCACATGAATTACTTTGGTTTGTTAGAGCATATCGTACTCCAGACTATGGTATCTGGGAGCGTGGTAACAAGCTCAATCACGGAATGCCGGAACTTAACAGCTCTAGTATCGGAATGGCAGTTGCTGCTTTACAAGCTATCAATGGAATCAATTTATTCGGTGGTCGTGGTGGTAGTGCTTCTGTAAGTGGCGTTCATCACGTTTGCCATCTTTTATTGGCACTCAACCCACTTTCTGTTTCCTTGAACGTCAATAGGTGATACACGTCCTCCCAGATGAAATCACACGAAATGTCACTACGTTACAATCTGCTCTACCACGTGAATCCAACTCGAAAGAAGTCGATGCCGCTATATTGTCTGTGATATCATTCCCAGCTTTTGCTGTCTCGGACTATGCTCTGGTAAATCGAACCAGGAACGAGATAACCAAGAAGCTTGGTGGCAAGTTTGGTATGAAGAGGTTTCTGAGGGATGGGCATCAGACCGAGTTGGAAGATAACTCGAGGTATGCACACCCCTCTCCTTTATGGTTTTTTTTCGTTCGAACTCTTTGACTGTGTGTTCAATTTGAGTTTTTCTCTAAATTCTCACTATCCCATCCTTTCCTTCATTTCCTCAGAGGCCATTACAATCCTCACGAACTCCAAGTCTTTGAAAACATTGAATCCGAATGGCCTCTCTTCTTCACATATATGGTCCTCGACGGCTTCTTCCGAGGCGACATCACTCAAGCTGAAGACTACCTGGAACGTCTGAAGCCTCTACTCGTAGACACTTCTGTCCAGCACAACCAAACCGATCCAGAAACCAGCGAAGAACTCCGCAAAGGAACACTCCATAATTTCCCAAAACCACCGCCTGTCCAAATCCAACTCGTGCCAGAAATCTATAAAGTGCCCAAAGATCTTGTCGATGCTGAGAAGAATGATCCTGGCTCCCAACAACGTGTACCAAATGAGAATGTACCGCTTGTCTGGGCACAGTCTCTGTATACATTAGGATTATTATTAAAGGACGATTTGGTAACACCTGCTGAATTGGACCCTTTGGGACGTAGATTCGTGCCCAATAGGGATGAGACCAAGAAGGATGCTGTTGTGCAAGTTGTGTTGCTGGCTGAATCTTCAGAGTTGCAGGCTCAGCTGGCTACGTTTGGGTTGAGTACTCAGACTCGAGAAGAGGTGAGCTTTTGTAATATTTGATTTTGATGGGTTGGGAAGGTGTCTGTTGATGGGATATGTTCTATGGAGAATATTCATGAAGTTTCTCCAATTGGCCTGATGCTCAACCTCACCTCTCTCAATAGTGTGACCCAATCACCATTTCTCCTCCTTCAGCACTACGAGATGCCTATGTAACTCTAGGAGCCAATACCAAACTTGTAAGTCATTGAGACTTTGTGAAGACTTATTTTTGTTCGCTTCCCATACTCACGGTGTTTTGTCTGCAGGGTTTGACTGGTCGACCTCTACGACCAATTGGTACTTTGAGTACTAGTAAAATGTATCGATGCCATGGCAAGTTGTACTGTTTCCTACCTCATTTCATGGATCGGGAAGAATTCTGTAAGTTGCTTCACAATCCAATTTTTATAGCAGTTCGTTTTTGCTTACCACCAAAACAAAATCCATTTTCTGAGTCTTGGTATCTGACTATGATTACCTGGCATCTGTATTTGAGCAAGAGTTGGCATTTGTTAGGAGCAATTGGTATGTTATCCGTTTCGCTGGCCTTCCTTTTTTCGCTGGCTGTCGTAGCTACAGGAACCCTTCGAGAGCCCAAACCTTACTTTTTTATTTGCCAATAGGTCATCTCCTGGTAGACCCACCATGGCAGTCATGCTGACAAAAGAAATGATAATGGGCTCTCGAGTCTCTGACAAGTCACCCGATGGTCGTTCTCAACAAGTTGAAACTGCCAAAAATCTCTTGAACCTCTTCTTATCTCTACGATCTGGAAATGTGAATGGAGTCCGTGTTAGGCTCGGTCGTTTGGTATGTTCCTATATTGGACATTGCCTTTTATCAACTATGCGGTTTTTGGTTGGCTGTGACCGACGTCTCAACTCTTGCTGTATTATAGGGAGATATGGTCAACACTGCATGTATTGAATCCTTGGACTTCCTATCATATGGAGTTGGTGGTCAAGCTGATTGGCATCAAGTACTTAAAGGGCCAGCATCATGGTCTGAACCCAGCAAACTATCTAAGAACGTGACCAGCGCTTCTGTGGGTCCGGGAGCCCGACAACGTAAACGAACTACTCGTCGACGTGTGTCTCAATCAGGAGATGCTATAGGATCCAAGAGTCCTCTCTCCAGCCCATACTATACCGAAGATCCATCCATACCATATAACGATTCCACGTTTAGCTTGGATCACTCACCGCCACAATCTATACCTGTATCTCCACTACACGCCAATGGTGAACCTCATGCCAATGGTGTCAGTAATGGTGCTCTGGCATCAGATGCTGCAACTACGCCAGACGATGCAGATAGTAAACGAACCAATATTGCAACCTCTGCACTTACCAAGCCACAATCAGAACAGGGCAGTCTAACAGCTCGAGATGATCATGGTCCAACTGTAACTACAGCCATGGAACGAACCACCAGTCCAACACCAACTAGTGAAATGCTCACCTTGACTCTTGGAGATCCGTCACATATAGATCAGGCAGTCAGCACGTTGTCTGAATCTTCCAACATGTATGAACAAATCGATCTATTACACTACTTGTTTAGTTGTAATGGGTTGGATTACTCGGTTGGTGGACTTGGAACAGTCAGGAATCTGTTGGAGGAGGTTTATGTAAAGGCTACTACTCTGAGGCAATGGAATGTCGTACGTCATGCTGCTGGATTGCTTCGTAAAGTAGTCAACTCAGTACGTTTTGAAAGGCATTTATACTGGTTATTAAGTCTGTTTTTGCTGCTGCTCGGTCTTTAACGCAAACATTTTTCACTCTATAGCTCACTGTCAATGTCGCCGATCTATTGATCCGACAGAGACCAGTGACCATTGGGTTTGGTGGTGATAATGAATTCTTTATCGCATCACCCATGAATCCAGGTGCCTTGGTGGATATCATTTACAATCGATGGTGAGTGTTGTTGTGACTGCATGTGTTTCGCAATTCGTGGCTTGCCGTTTTTTTTCTCACACTCTGTTGCATGTGTTAGTGCATCGGATGTACGAGAGGCTCCACTTGTACAAGAAGTCTTTACATATCTTGGATCCTTCATTCGCTCGTCACCAGACTTGTTTGACGGCATCATGAGGCTACGAACGCATCTCATTATCATCGCCATGAGAGATGAGATTGCTCGAATCATGAACTGTGATGAGGCTGAAGCCGTCGAGAATCTGATGCAGGTTAGGCAGCTTGAAACTGAGTTTGCACTTCCTTTCCCTTTTGGATGCTTTCTTTTATTCTGTTGCTCACTCTGCTGTTCCCGCTTAGTTGTCACCGTTCGAGATGAAAACCTTACTCGGTGAAGTCCTATCAGGCTCGACAGATTCATCCATCCTGGAATCCAGCAAGGACGCTGACAAGCCTGGCCATTTGAAAGAATCCGGTGATTCCGTACCCGCTGCTCTACTACCATCCAATGGCAAATGGCTTCGTCGTAGGAAGGACGATGGTGCTTTGAACCGTGTGCCTGATCGATTCTATCCTCGTGTGTGGAAGATATTGAGTAAGGTGCATGGTATACTTGTTGGTAAAGCTTTCTTGCCAAGGTGAGAGTCATGCAAGTTGCACGATGAGATTTTTTTGGCTGTACCGCTTATAAGTACTTGTTTGCTAACATTTGCATGCAATCCCATAGGGATCCAACAGTCAGTGAAAAGACTGAGGAGGAATTGGCTTTTGCGTTACAACTTGAAGCCATATTGGATGTGATACGTGACCCAGCTGAACGTCAAATCACTGTGGAATGTCTTGTTGTTATAGCCAGGTAAAACGAGAGATTTGGTTGAAACCATGGTGCTCAACCCACCTTCCATTTTCTTGTGGTATCTAACCAACCTTGCTTTCTTCCACATCAGGATGATAGAACGAAACCCTGAACTCCGAATCAAGGAAGGAACCCTCGACTTGCTGGCAATCGTACGAGACGCCATTCTCCGATGTTGGACGAAATTCATTGCCGAAAAGCGAGGAGAAACAATACCTGCAGGAGCTGAAAACAAGGATGCTGTAACAACTCCTCACGGTGGTGCAGATCCTGAAGTTGCCAAGTTCATTGAGGGTTTATCGCCAGACAAGATTGAACGTTTGGCTCGTCGGCTCTTCTTTGATCTGCCTTGTGATGGTAAAGATGGAACTATGGCGTATTTGGCTAGTAGCTGTTTACGGTATGTGGATGCTGAAAAAACTTGGTTGCACACCAGGCGATGATCTAATCCATTGACCCTCGATAGTGCTTGTTTTGATGAAGGTCAATCTCGCTGATTATGTAATATTGTACGATCTCTTCTCTTTGGTTTTTAGAAGTCATATCAATGTGTTGTTGTTTCCCCCATTGTTGCCATATAACAAAGCTGTACAAGTAAGGTGAAAAATATAGACAAATCATGAACATCCCCCACATGAGAACAAGGCGAAGTGAAAGTTTGATTGTGTCTTGACGCAGCAGCTTTTAGTCCCATCAGAGAAAAACAATGGTGGTGTATGCAACTTCCATTTCTCACGTTAGCAGCTGGCTCTGGATCAGTGCTTTTAGACCGGCAATCAGAGTACTTCCCAGGCATAATGCCGTCGCAAGAATGATGAGCCCGGAATGTTGTTACCAAATATGCGCTGGTCCCTTATTGTTCATCATCACAACATCACATCTCACACGTTCTTCAACAGCTCTAGCCCATTGATCATCAACCTGTCATGGCCTTTCCGGCTTGTAGGTTTAGGAGTTCGGCCCATGAGTCGGTCTGTTCAAAACGAGACTGCTATTTTTGACACAAAGTCGGGCCAAACACATATCCAAATTTGTGAAAGTATTCAGATCTGCGTTTGCACTAGAAACAAGCAGGACTTGAGTGTCGGCGCAGTGGAGTTGACTCCATGTGAATCCCAAATAGTCGGATAATTGATTTTGATTCCATACCAAGCACTGAGACAAACGAGTGATAGTACCAGCAGCAGAATCGAATATTTGAAGCCTCAATGTTGAATTTTGTCTTGCTGTGAGGTCCTGTAGAAGCCACCTGAGATATGGAATCTCTTCCAGGTAATTGACATCCAAAAACTAACGATTTCCAGATGCTTTAACAAGATGTGAGAGCTGTACATTGGAAGACACTAAAACCACGGAGCTCAGAAACAAATTTAGCTTAATTAGCCTGATTTGGACCACTTCATGACAGATATATGGTTTGTCGCTTCAAACTTACTTGGCCAATACTCCTCATTTCTTTCCGAAAAAAATAAAAATAATAGTGGAAATATTGTCCAATATATTACGTTCCTTCTCACTCTTCAAACTCCTCATGCATCTGCTAATCACGTGTTTCGTTTGAAAGTGATTTGTTGCGCCTGTTTCAAAGCCACTTGCATCAATGACCTCGAACGACGGGCAACAGCAATTCGTACATTCCAAAAAACCAGAAAGCGACCAAAATCACCAAAGCACATTCTGGGACCACTCATACAGCCACATCCAGATATGTATCAAGTCCCCGCTTGACTAGTATGAATGCTGCTGCAAGTTTTTGATGTTTTGTTTTTCCCGGTAGATGGGCTGAAATCAAATTTGTGTTGTATGGCAGCGGTAATTGTATGAATTCTCCAGATTTTTCTTTGCTCTGTAGTAGATGGCATAGCCATTGTATCGTAGACTCACAATGCATCCATCGAATAGGCTCATGCTCCGATTGGCTCTCCTTTCTGTATGGGCCAAGTTTCGACCGTCCCAAGTGAGCCACTCACTGGCTCTCTCTTCTCATGGCCCATAAGATGGCAAGGGCTTCAGGATGCAAAGATAAGTAAAAGATCTGATGTTACAAAAACACTCAACCGGTGGAAGAGTGGGGCAAGAGTACCTGTCAACGCACATTGATGTTTGTATGAAAGTCGCGGTTGGCGTGGTTGGTAACGAGGTTCAGCGAAAGCCTTAAACAAGCTCTGCAGGGATTCTAGAGTGAGCCGTCACAAAGGTTGAAAGCAAAAAGCAAATTGCGTTCAAAATCATTAAACGAATTGTCGGATAAGAGGTTCTTGTGTGTATTCAAAAAATCCTGGGAAACATAGATATACCTTCACGGTATGTAAACGTCCATTGCATCACTTGAAGTGTTTGAGAGCTTGGAATGTATCAGTAGCTCCTAGTGGTATATTCAGTTCCTTTTTTTGTTAGCATCGAGGGTAGCAGCATAGCAAAAAGATCGGTGGCAGAAGCACAATGCTTTTACCTTAGCTCTGTCAAGCAACACAGTCCTTCGGTACTGCCTCCACTTCTTCTCTTTGCTCTTGACGACACCTTGCCTCCATTCACCAAAGTATCGACGAGGAAGACATCTAATCGAAAGAAATGTTACGAAAAATCGTTATACTTCATCTTTGAATTGCTCGTACTGTTTCACAAAGGCATCCGCTTTAGTTTGCATCTCCTCATCAATACGTTGTCGTTCATTCTGCTTGGCAACGAGCTCTTCCTTCCAACACACAAAGAATTGTTGGAGAAGTCCCTTCGAGCTCATAGCTTGTGCATGAACAAGAAGGTCTTGCTGCGATGCCACACTTGACTTCCACTCTTGCATAACCAACTTCAGAAGTGTTGTATCCCTAAACCGAGTAGCAGCGTCCTCTCGCTGTCTTCGTCTTGCCTCCAGAGCAAACAACCACATCTTGAATGGAAGTCGAAGGGCCTGAATGGTTGTAAAGGTATCGGCTTGCTCTTTCAAGACTTGTAAGTTGGCAATGAATTTCTTCCATGGGAAGATGCCGCGATATTTGAGGAGTGCCATGGAATGGTGACGCGATGCTTGTGCTAATAGAGAGGCCATTTTGACCTTGGCCGCTGCCTTTTGCTCTTCGGCCTAAAAGCACTTTGTAAGAATTATGCTTACTCTGGCAATATGAGGTAAATGTCATACCAGTTGAGCTAAACGCTTCTCCTCACGTTTTTGCTCTACCGCTCGTCTCTTTTCTTCAAGAACGGCGTCTTGCTTTCTTTTCTCGTCTTCCATTTGCTTTTGCTAAATAAGAAAAAAGTTTAGAACATGCACGATTATGAGATTCGAATCTTGCGGTTCGTCATTCCATACCTTGACCTCAGCTTCACGCTGCCGTTTCAAATCTTCCAAAGCTTCTCGTCTGTGTTTACGCTCAACCTCTCGTTGCTCCATTTCTAACATTGATTGAAGTGAGCAAAGAAAAAAAACCGAGACTAGATGATCAGCTTACGAGCTAACAGCTGCAAGTCCTTCGCAGTCCTAACGGCTTGAGATTTCCTTGAACTGGAATATGACATTCGGGAAGGAGAAGAACGTCCCGACACAGGTTGTGAGGGTGTGGTGGTCGAGTATCCGTGTTGTTTAGCCGCAACTGGAAGTGATGGGATACCGCTTTCAGCAGTATCATGACTTGAAGTGAAATGTGATAGCGATGGAGCCTCTACATTATTGGAGGCCATTTGATCATCTGGATCAAGACTGTTGTGGTCATTCTGCATCTTGGAAAGTAGTTGTTGCATCTTCTTGGCACGTTCCGCGTGTCGTCTTGCTGTTTCGGTTTCTTCGCCTAATGATGGTCGAGTGAGCAAAAAAGGACAAAGGATTAACACTGAAGAATCTCTTACGAGAGAGCTTAGATCCAATCTGCCATGCTAATAATGCTTTATTGAGAGCCGTGAGTCGATCATGCTTTACGGCACGCATGATTAGTTGCTGCTGCCGTTTCAATTCACGCTCTACTCGCTCGGCTTCCCTGTATGGAAGACATCGTTGGTCAGATGGTTTGAATACGTACGCACAACGTGATGTCCGCGACGACCACGAACCTCTTCGAAACTCGGTGCCTAACTGCTGCTTTCCATCGCGACAATGATTCGTTAATTCGTCGCCACCTCCAAACGACCTGAAGTGATAATGAACGTCAGTATCGACAATTCAGCGATTTTCGATAACCTTTGTTTCGCGAAATTGTCACATACTTGCAACTTGGCCATTTCATACTGACCACACAGACACAGATCTTTCCATCCACTGAAATGACGCTGAAAAATGACGAGTAAAACGTTAGACTATTGACGAGAAACAACATGAACTAAGGGTGCAAGTCGGTTTTTGTTTTGTCTACCTTCAAGGATTTGAGCTTCTGCAACGTAAACATCTCGTCAGCCTTAGCTGCTCGTTGTTCTCGTGCAGCTTTTCTCTTCTCGTCTTTCTCACGTTCTGTTTTCCCTTTAGCTTCAATTTGCGAGAATTTCAAGTCTCTATTATCACAAGCGAAACAGAAGTTGCCTGAGCTTGGATTCCCTCTCGTTCGAGAAGACAATAGCAAAACTTACACAACCCTCCGCACTTCCTCCTCATGTTCAGCCCTATCTTTTGCTCGTTGTGAAGCAGCGACCTTCCGTCTCTCATCAACAGCGATATGCTCCTCAACTCGCCGTGTTGTCCGATCCATCGTCTCTTTACGGATTCGTTCTGCCATATCTTTTTGAATCCTATACCACAAAAATGTGTTACAGCTGGACTACAACTAAATTTTGGAGGAAGCCTTACCGAACACGCTCAATCTCTCTCCTAGTTTTCTCCTGTTCAGCATCGCGTCTAACACGTTCTTCAGCCGCTTTTGCCCGTTTGTCATCGATTTTGCGCATCATTTCAGACCGTCGTTGCATAGTCATGACTTCACGTCGCTCACGGGCCAGATCGTGTCGGTCATCGTTGCGTTCCGTCCATGGTGCAAGTACTTCATCGGTGATCTAGAGCGACAAATTGTGAGCACGAGAGTTGGTTCATAGAAGCGAGCGACACCAATTTTACCTTGGTCCGACGTCCAGCAACATCATTAATAGCATCTCTAGCCTGATGTCTAGCCTGTGCTCTTCCCAACCGTTGAATTAAATCAGGAGCTGCTGAACCCGAGCCCAAGATCCCATCAGTTAAATCGTCCGTCACGCCAAGACCAGGGCTATTCATCCACTGATTTAATAAGGACCGTGCTAAAAAAAGTACTTTTAGCACAGAATCTCATGAAATCAGGAAATCACGTTTTTAACAACACAACGATACCTTCAACAGTGACATCATCCGTATTAGCAGCAACCAGGCCTTCAAATTGTATCCGCTCAGTTGGCCCAACTCCATTAAAATCTACCACTCCATCATTAACAGACTCACGTTCCCTCCGTTCAGCCCTTTCTCCATTAAAGAATCTGCTGATGGGAGTTGAATCGACCAATACATCTCCATAATCCGTAGATAAGGGAGGTACATATGAACGTGATAACGGTGCAGGATTTAATGGCTCACATGGACTTGGTCGGTTGCTACTGTGTACTGGAATTACTGGAATTTGATGAAAACCTGTATGATCTTCAACTTCCGAACCACGAACGGTATCATCGTCTGATTCCAAATAGCTATTTTGACGGTATCGAGGGATGCTATGTGTTGATGCTATTCGTGACCATGCCGACTCTGGTCTTGCCATCAAGTCTGTCGTGTCTGCGTTTTTGGGTGAGAATTCATTAAAAACGACGCGTGTTTCAAATTTGAACGATGAGATTCAAAGAGAGCTTCCTACATTGAATTTTGATTTTATAGCTGATAAGTTCTCTTTTATCATGCTATGTGGTAGCCAAACTATAACCCTTTTTTCAGAATTTTGACATTCAATAGATGTTTTCAAGGCTCATTCACTCAATCCCAAGTTTCGCTTTCGTTCTCTCCTTTTTCGAGCTCTTATTAAGCAGTCTAATATAGATTTAGTGTCCTCTCATAGAGCGTACGCTCTTCTTGAAACCACACTGCGTCTTCCTCGCCCAAACATAATGTTTGGGCTGCCGTCTTTCCAGAATACCATCCAAATGCTAGTGCCACTAGTATTGAAAAGATTTCAAGCGGGAGTATTTCTGGATCAAAGGCTTATTTGGAAGGGCTAAATTGCTGTTCACTGGGAGCCATATGATGCAAATGTTACAAGTTTGTTGCGTTTGTTGTTTTATCGGTGATTGACTTTGCGAGACGTGCTGAGTTGCGACGACAAAAACGAGAACGTACAGCAGGTGCATTGAGATCCCAATCAGATACAAATCGCGACATTTTTTGAACCAATTCAGTTTTGTTCTGATATGAGTGTCATTCTATCAAGCTCTTAAAACCCATCTATATCATCACAGTATCGTCGTCAGATTCAGGCGAAAAATCACAAATGATGACTTTAAGATCCAATCCGCTTGACATTAAGCGTGTTCCTGTGAGGTATATATTCCACACCTAAAGCAGAAAAAAGGAGTTTAGTCTGCACTAGTATACACACATTATGTGAGACTATTCAAAAACACCTACGGTTCCAGTATGCTGTGACAGTGTATACAAACAGACTCCTTTCTGAGCATCCCATATCTTGGTCGTCGTATCAGTGCTCCCTGACACCACGAGGTTCGTCCGTCCGTCATGATTTAAACACACTACGCAACCAGTATGTCCATAAAGTCCTTGCCATTCACCAGTTTCAGTGTTCCAGATCTTTATGTCACCGTGTGAGCCACCACTTATTAGCTTTCTCGGGTGGGCGTATTTGAGACAGAATACGTAGCCCTTGTGGGCTTCGAATGTTGCACTGCATTCTGATGAAGTGTCGGTGATGTTCCTGTAGCAAAACCGTCTATGATGTCAGAGCGGCATGCTGCTTCATATGCTGTTTCAAGCTTACCACACTCGAATAGTCCCATCGGAACTGCCCGTATATAGTCCACCAGTCTCACCAAACTGTAAACACGTGACAGCTCCATTATGTCCCTCCAAAATCCCACAACAAGATCCATCGTCAAGCCTCCATATCCGCACAGTATGGTCTTCACTGCCAGTAGCCACACGTTCATAAGATGAATCTAGATCCAGAGATACTATTTCCCCAGTATGGCCCACTAATAAGAAATCACACAGTCCGGTAGCACGATTCCAAACTCGTGTTGTTCTATCAACAGATCCTGTAATTATTTTCGATGGGGAGGATTTGATGACAGAAAGAGATCCTAGGTGGCCATGTAGGGTATGAATTGTCTCGCCCGTGTTTATATTCCACTATATTAAAGTTATATGAGAAAATTATGAGGCAAAAAGGCTTTATGTCATATTGCAAGATTACCACATCAGCAACACCACTCGAGTGTGTAGACACACAGACTTGCTCGTCACTCCATAAGCATAACTCAGCTGGTCGCATAGCATTCACACCACTCCTCCTATTACACGTAGCTTCTTGAACGAGACAATCTCCCTTCCTCCAATTCCGTTCACATTCAACATGGTGGCGATAAACCTTCTTCCATTTCAGGGGGTCCGAAGCAGCAATATGAATTCCAACAGCAAACCGTCGTTGCAAGCAAAGATTCTGGAAGAGATAATCATCACTTAGAATCCGATTCATCCGTCTTGATGTCCGCGCCAATCGTGAGGTCGAGACAGGAGAAGTAGCTAAATATTCACATATCAATAACACGAGTTCACATGTTAAATCTGGTAGTCCGCGATACTCGTTATTTGATGCAGAGCGATGTCGAGAATTTAAGGTTGTGACGAAACTTGCTTTTGATGATAATGACCGTGTCAGAAAAGGAGGAAATGAGGATGAAGATAACGACGGAGATATATTGTACCCAGAATCTCGTCTCTCTCGTTGAATCGATATATCGCTAGTCATGATTTCGCGTTAGCTGTATCTGCGTCCAAAGTTTCGAGAAATTCGAGAAGCAAAATAACGTGCACCCTTAAAACTGGGCGGCCAATCACTTACGGATGGACCAATGAATTCTGTACGTAATCCGTAGTAATTTTTTGGTTCTTTGGCAGTTCGGGTAAGTGCGGTGAACAGGTCATTCGTTTCAATTTTTACAATGTCACGTTCGCGCGTTCGCGTTTAAAGAAGAGCTAGCGGTTGACAAAATTGTATAACAGAATGGACGGTCTGACTGACGAGCATTTGAAAACAGCAACAAGAATTCCATCAGTAATCACCTCCGCCGAAACTCCTGCCAACACTACTACCACCATCCTCAATGATCCATCACTTCCGACACCTGTAACGATAACGACATTACAACACGAGGAACATCCATACATTAAATTCCACGCAAAGCAGCAAAACTGGATTTTCTGTCAAGCACTCATAACCCTGCCGAAAAACAGTACAATATTACGGTTACAAACTGAAATCGCTACCGTGATTCACAACTCGGCTGTCTCGCCATCGGATGTTGTACTAGTATCAACAGGAGCCAAACCGTCAGTAGTAAACATTACAGAACAAGTAGAGACAAACAGGCTGGTTACGCTACCGGGTGTTGCTGACCACCACATACCCGAAATCCACGAGTCGCTAATAATCATATACGACATCCTACCATCACTTGCAACAAGACTTCGACTTTATCGACTACCATTGAACGTACCGTCACGAGAATGCCCGTTACTGTCTGAAGAGGATGTGACCTATCGGATGAGACATGTGGATAAAATGGCAAGGGACTCGGCAACATCGACTACGACTACAACCACCACCTCGTCTCATCGCCACCAACGTGCTGCTACTACCACAGCACTGCCAGAAAAGCCATCAAGCCCATCCTCCGCAAAAGGGTGGAAATCCGTAAAAAGGATAGTAGTGTCTCCATTGACTGTCGCTGATGTAGTCAAAGCGGCAAAGCAACAAAAGTTGGCAGCGTCTTAATGTCTTGGGGTTTATACGTATATGTAGCTTGCTTTGTGGTTGCTTTCTTTATAATCATATTACATAGAGTTTTCTTGAATCTTACTCGCACACAACGAGATTCATGCGACTGGTATGTATCGACAAGACAAAAGCCAAGGATGGAAAACGGCCAGGTGCTTGTGCAGTGGTGACTTGGTATTATATAGCAGATCATTCAGTGACAGCCAATAATGGTAGAGGATCCCCAAGAAGGGCTATGTGTGTGTGAACGAAAACATGTCAGACATATAATAAATAGCTACGTTCCGGTTAGCCTGTTTTCTTTTATCACCTCCCAAATTCCAAGCCATGGTATCTGGAAACAAGCTTGTTCTAGTTGGTGAGCCTTTTAGAATCAGCGCACCACAAGAACCGAAAGGAAACAGCAATTCTTCGACCTCAGTTCACAGGAAAGTATAGCATTTCGGTCTGGAGTTCTTCTGGGGCTTTCAAGACATGGTGTGTCTGATCCGATACCTAATAGTGTAATATCATTAGGCCTAATATTGCGTACCAAAAGAGTTCGAGGTGGGAGGAAAGTGAAGGATCCTTGGAGGAAAAACAACCGGAGGTGGTCCAAGCCTTCAAAGAAATTATCTGTTCTATCATAACTATTATCTTTATCCTTGCTTTCTCAAATGCCACAACGCATCCATTGAGCCGAAAAATTTCAGCTTGTCCTCCTTTGCCCATTTAAAAGCAGCTCAATCATTTTGTACCTCAAGCAACTCCAAGCAAAAAATGGCAGTCCGCAGAGAAGATGGTTGTGTCTCCAATTTAACACAGCAGAAACATCGAAATGTGTCAACTGAGCACAATATTCAAACTGGGAACTCCAAAAGCTTCCAAGCCCTATAGCATAGCGACTTGGTAGCCTGTAGCTGATATTTAAAAGTCGAATGATGGTAGCACGCCGAGAAGAACTGCGAATGTCAAAGAATGTGTCAGATTCAAGACGCATCCAGGGCTGTATTTGAGGTTTCTTGAGCTCACCACCCAAACTCCAAACCGTCAGACCTCATATCCGGAAACATTTTCGTCCTCTTCGGTGAGCCAGTTGATGCACCAGGACATCGATGGAGTTGAGTAGTTGTCAAGAGTGTCAACCTGATGATTGAATTGAGATGGTCGGGTGTTTGCGGCATTCTTTAAAACAGTGCTTTTTCTTTGCCCATGTACTTACTTCAAATCCAGTAATTTCACATCTGCTGAGGTACCAGTTCAAGAGATTCGAAGCACCAGCACCCGTAACACCAGTAAAGACATATCTAGCCACGAAGAGCTATACAAAAGGATTAGGAATGGCTGAAATTAAATGAGGTGAAGCAAAAAATCACTGTGGTGAGGTAGTGACACATCAACTTACATGAAGCCTTCATACTGCCGTAACGAATATAACCTAGCAACTTGCCAAAACAACACACGATCTCCCCAAAGAGAGCCTGATCAGAGTCCACAGCAAGGAAAGAATCTCAAACCACAACAAAATGCAAAATCTTCAGGCAATTTCAAGCACGTCAGCACGTTTCCAGGTTGGCCAAATAGTTTTGGTTTCGACGGATTTGTACACCTGCAGCATCAGACCCTTGTTTCCTGCCAGCGTGGATGGCAGGAGTTCCCCAACCGTAACAGACGAGTTGATCTTTCGTTGGTAAACTCTCATTTTTCGAGCAAGATTAGGTCAAATTTGGCTGTGGAGTTCCTTTGAAGTTTCGCGATCGTGTTTGTTACGATATCGGATGGGTGAGCATCGTTGGAGCCACTATCGTAAAAATGAAGCCAGTGACATAAGCGAGTGTTTTTATCGATGCAAAGAAATGCACAACTGCTAGAAACAGACGCTTACAAGAAGCTTCATATAAATGATCTCCTCCCTCCTTAATGACCATTCACTTAATTTTCACCCTGGTTTCTCAGATACTACGACAATGAAGTAAGCCATTGCGTTCAAAACGAGGGCTTGACCCAAGTGAGGATGAAAAGCAGCAGCAGCTCAAACACATCGTTTTTCAAGCAAATCCAACATCATCTGCAAAAGGAGCGACAATCCTCAAAGGCACACTCGTCCTTCCAAGTCAAACCAATCAAAAACAACAAAAAAGTGACACCTTGACGTTCTTGTGGATTTGATATATTTATGTAGCAAGCTTACTTTTGTGGCTTAATCATATTGCATACTTTTCCATGAAATCTGTTACTTACTAACACACGAGTTTTTAATACCTTTCTCATGCTACTAAGCGACGTGACACAAACTTGGAACGATCAAAAGCGTTCAAGTTCTTGTGCATGGTGATTTGGTAGCAGGTAGCAGATCCTTGTCGTGCGATGATAGTAGAGTACGCCAAGAAGAACTATTAGATGAGAAAGCACTATCAGTTCCAGGAAGAAATCATTATAGCGTAGTTCGGTTTTTGTGGCATACCTCCCAGATTCTAAACCATCTGACTCCATATTTGGAGACGATCTTGTCCTTGTTGGTGAGCCAGTTGATGTACCAGCGCATCAATGTAGCCGAGTAGTGGACACCGACAGTGTCTACACTCAAAACCTGGTGTTCGAATGGATGAATATGGTTAGATCCTGTTCTAGTGCGCATCCTAGTAAAGTCGCTCGGTATGGTTTTTTTTGCGTGTGCTTACTTCAAAGCCAGCAGATTCACATTGATTGAGGTACCAGTTCAAGGGAGTCGAGGCATCAGCACCAGGGAAGACATATTTAGCCATGAAGAGCTATACAATTGCGAAATGAAGTGAATACAATGTGAGAAAAAAAGTACGGCAATCAAAATCAAGCAGTATCAACTTACACCCCAGATAAAGTCCTCATACTGCCAGAACCGACGCAACCCAGCCACTTGCATATAAAACATACCATCATCATCCAACAATTCTCTGACCTGAGTCAAGAATGTATTGAATCTCAATACCCCAACATGTTCGGCCATCTCGACACAAGTGATTTTCGTAAACTTGTTGCTTGCTGGGATGTCACGGTAGTCCATACACCAGAATTTTACTTTATCGGATACACCAGCGTCAGCAGCTTTCTGGGTAGCCCAAGCAGTTTGGTTTCGTCCAATGGTTACACCTGTAGCGTCACAACCTGTTGTCTTTCCTGCGTGGATTGCGAGAGTGCCCCAACCACAACCAATGTCGAGGAGTCTGTCTTCTTTGGTGACTCTCATTTTGGAGCAGATGAGGTTCAGTTTGTTGGTTTGGAGCTCTTCGAGGGTCTCACGACGAGATGTGTCTGTTACGATACCGGATGTGTATACCATCATTGGCCCCACTAACAGAAAAGTACATACGTTAAGGGATTTATAAGGCGAGGCATGAAAATGAAAACAAAAATAGCCAAGAGACGAACGCACTACTTACAGAAAGCTTCATAGAAATCATCTCCTCTATCATAATGATCGCGAACCTGATCCTCATCCTGCTTTCTCGAATGCCACAACATTTCCGGAATCCATTGCGTCAAGAAGAATTTAGCTTGACCCCACTGAATATGGAAAGCAGCCCAATCATATCGTACTTCAAGCAACTCCAACATGTCCATCTTTATATCAATCTTACTATCAAAGTAGTTTTCAAAGAAGGTTTCCATGGGGATCTTGGTACGTCCTTTGAATGTAGCAGCTAGAGCAGCGTTTTTGATATCGAGATACTCTTCAATGCTTTTGCCTGGCAGACCTGTTTGGGGACGGATTGGCTCACCGAGATAGGCATATATGATGTTGAATGCTGCGAATGTGGGGAGGGCTGTGATGATTCCTATGTAGAGGATCCAGGTGTATGGGAGACGGAGGGTATATACGATTACGGCAGGGACGGCAAAGATGGCTGCGTATAGCTGATAGTTTGAAAAGTTTTGGGAGCCTGAACCTTCGACTGGGTATGGTGGTTTGGCTATGCTCTCCTTGAGGATACGTTCGGGCACTTTGGCCATCTAAATGTATAATTTTATATGGGGTTTGTTAGAGCTTGTTCAAAAAATCCAACAATGTTCCAAAATATGAACTGAGGATGTAGCGATTACAACCAAGATGCACCGGTTTCTGATACACGTTCGACTTCCATCCGTCTATACACGTCTCCAAATAATAAAATCCACGCTCATCACCACGTGAATCACTCCATTCCATCGTGCATTAAGTTCATTGCATTAAAACAGTGGTGGGCAAAAGATGCATATTTGCATGCGCCAAGGAAACAATATCAATCGTTGTCTTTACATACCTTGTCAATATATATACTAATCGCAAGATATCCAAACTACTTTGTTGTCCCTTTGGTCAAGCTGCGGAAGTCTGCTCGATGGACTCCTCGAGAACGTGAAAACCCTCGTGAAAATATGCAGAGGCGGAACTATAAGAAGAACGTGTATTGATAACAAATGATACCTATTTCTACGTGTTTAATGACTTGTATAAGCAGTTAGAGGACGCATTAGTTGCTTGAGCTAGAGTCTCAGCTGCGCTTCCCGTCGCAGTCAACTGCACCAATTTGAGAATGTACATGTAATGAATGTATTGCTGAGAGTCTGGTATCCGCATCAACATAGGAGCGCGATATACTTGCAAATCGATCACGGTTTTACCTAATGGAGCCCTACTTGTAGTCAAATCAATCACACAAACAAACTTTTGTTCAAAAATGCCTGTTTTTCTGTCCAATGTAAAATGTAAATCTATTTGACAATGCACCACAATGGTTTAGTTTCAAGTTTTGGCTAAAGGTGCAAATGCGTTTCCTATTCAAGGAGAAGACATTAGATTGGTTGGACTGCCAACAACACTCCTGTCAACACAACACAATACCTGGGGGCAATACTATCGCAGCAATGTAATAAAAGTAGTTCATGGCAACGGATAATACTGCAAATCTAGTTGTGCATTGATCAGTGTTAGGCATGGAGCCATGTACACGTTTACTGTAACCACCCCAACGACGGAATTCAAATTATTATATACATACCCTATACCACCAAACCCGTATTTTCCCTCCTGAATGGAGCTCTTTTCATTCATGAATGAGGATAAGCACATGAACAGTGCAATCCAAGACAGATATCGTTGCTGTAGTAGATCAAAACATTGTATTGGTTAGAGCGTGTCAAAGTACCTAAGTTGGTATGTAGATGCCAATGAAATGCATGCATGAGGGTTTCTTGTATCGGCATTCCAAACAAAACAAGCAGATAACTCTAGTGAGTCAACGACACACGCAGATAACACGAGTGGTTTTACGAGTTTCCAAGCGTTCAAAGTGAATTTGCAGACGCCAACGAAGAGCTCGCATCAAAGAATTTTAAAAGCGACAAATTTTCGATCAAGACTCACTCTGAACATTAGAGCACCTGTGTGGTTGGAATATAATGTGAGTCCAAAATGTGCGGAATGTCTTGATGATATAGCTCAAACACATATGGTACATAGTACATACCCATGGACGCGATTAAACCAAGTCCAGAGAAGGGATCATCGTCATCATCAGGCGTCAGAGTCGGCATTACGAACGGGACCTATAAGCCAGCGTGTGGTCAATAATTGTGGTGGCAAATAATACAATAAGAATAAGCAATAAGGTACCTTTTGATCCTCTCGACGTGGATCCGGATATGCAGCTATAGTCTTGCGTACGGGTCTAGTTGCCATTCTTGTCAAAGATGTTTTTCACTCAAACTTTACTAAACATCAGCACATACGATCCAGCAACTTGCATAAACAATGGGGCAGGACTCTAGCAAGCTGCATAAGACTGAAGTAGAAGAACTCACTGCTATCTTTCCTTGTAAGTTACAAACTACTCCATCACAACGGTCTCCAAACCGTTGAAAATTGGCTTGATTGACTATTGCTGACGCTGATTGCAATGTTCAAGTCTAAAACACAATTCAATTGTATTGAAGTGCACATCTGAATTGACCGTATACAATGCTGCTATCTGTCCTTTACTCTTACTGACACAAACATTCAAACATAGTTTCAGCACAGCAGGTGAACAAGCTATATTCACGCTTCTGTCAACTAGACAAGGACAAGTCTGGAACTGTATCTGCCGACGAAATGACTGCAATTCCCGAGCTAGCCATGAATCCACTTGCCCAACGAATCGTAGCCGTCATTGATCCTGACGGCCATGGAATCAATTTCAAGCATTTTGTATCTGCTCTGTCGGTCTTTTGCAAAGATACTAAGAGGGATATGAAACTGAATTGTAAGTGCCTTACGTGGTGTGGGTGGTTTGTCAGGCAACAGGACATTCATTAGCAGTGTTAACTTTTTTCGCTCTTACGTTAGTCGCCTTCCAAATATACGACGTGGACGGTGACGGATTCATATCAACAGACGATCTATTCGTAATCCTAAAACTAATGGTCGGATCATCACTACCCGATGCTCACATTCAACAGGTAGTCGACAGAACTATACTACAGGCTGATACAATTGACAAGGATGGTTGTATATCATACGAAGAGTTTAAGAGATCCATGTTTCATGTGGATCTGGAAAAGGTGCTTACCATTCAATTCTGAAACGAATGGTACTGGCTGTGGTTACGGGGAGAGGTTTGACACAATATAGAGACTTACTACTACTCATTTTATTATAATGTACAAAAAAGGGACGTGAATATATATAAATGGACTTTCATAATCAAGAAGCTTGTACATTCCAACCGAGTGTTTGTGTCTAGGCTTGACTGCGCTGAACTTTTCACAACCCAACGAATCACTCTAAACGGCACACACCACAAACCTTCTTCGGAACAAGCTTTACAAGGACGTATACCTAATGACGTCCGCCATACAATCTTCTGAGAATTTCAGAGATAATTTCTTGGTAGGTCTAATATCCTATTGATACATAATTTTGCAACCATTCGCATTGACGCGATTCACATATAAGGGTGAGAATGGCAAAGGATTCGGAAAACTCCAACAGAAACTTCACTCTAGTATCGAAGCAAGCCGAGAATTACTCGAAAGCTTTCAATTTAGGTACCCATGCCATGCAAATGTTTCAAATCAACAACAACTCTTCAAACTGACGCAAACGCAACCCCACATAGAGCAAAACTAGAAGAATCCCATGCAGAATCGTTAAACTCATTCGCCTCAAAATCCCTACAAGACAATTCCGGCTCGGTGAAATCAGCGTTAGAACGAATCGTCACCTCAACAGCTACGATTGCTAAAGCTCATGAAGTGCTGGCTGCTACCATCAGAAAGGAGCTAGAGGCTCCGTTAGTGCAGTTTAGAGAAGGACAGAGGAGGTTGAAGAAGAGTGCTGATGGTGAACATGAAAAGTATTACAGGGCTGTTGAGAAGGATTTGGCTGCTGTTGAAAAGGTATTGAGTGGGATGCTACAGCTTGACGTTATATACATATTGATACAAATTTTATGATAGGCGAAGAGGGAATATGTTTATCGATGCAAGGAATGGTCGAAAGCTAATGAAAGTGTTGCGAAGGCCGATACAAACACGTTGACAAAGAAGAAAGTGGACGAGGTACAATAGATGCTTCTGTTAATTCCAGGCCCATTACTTATTTTCTTTCCACGAATCTAGCTTCACGATAAAGCGTTGAAAACCAAGCTGGAAATGGAACGAGCCGGTAGGTTTCTGTGTATGAGATGGAAAAAGTTATACACTCAATCATTTAATGTAGATGTTGATTACAAAGGATCCATCGCAAAGTACAATTCAACACAGGACCAATATGACAATAAGCTTGTTGGAATAGCGGATGTGAGTCTCTATTCCTTGTCATAATTAACTGAGGTTGAACTTTGACTCTTTTTTGCTCATCTTTAGCAAATCCAAAGATCAGAAGAAGACCGCATCCTCCTCACCAAAAAAGCGCTGATAGCCATAACAGACCTCCAAGTGCAATCCCTCGGCGCAATGTCCTCCAAAATCTGGCTGCATCAACGCAAAGCAGTCGAAATAATCGACGAGGTAGCCGACAACAACCAATTCGTGCAATCAGAACGCACCGGCCACGAACATCACGTCAGAATCCATTTCGAGACGTTCTTTTCCAACGGGTCTGATGGTGGTGGCAGTATGAAACAATCTGGATCGAAAGGATCATTGATATCGACGAAATCAGGGTATGAGACATCGAGTATGATTGCCGCACGGGCTTCGAATGTTATACCGCCACCAAGAGTGTCGCATGCTATGCAGAGAGATAATAGTCATTCGACGGTTAAGGATGTTGTGTCTGAACGTGCTGCGACGGCACATTCGAATGTGTCGTATGGAGGGAGTGAGAAGAGTGAAAAGCATACGCATGTTGAGGAACCGCCGTTGTCGAGGAATACTGCTATTACAGAGATGAAACACGAGCAAGTGTCACAACAGGGGTTGCCACAATCGGAATCAGCTACGAAATTGTCACGTCGTCAGTCACTTGCTAAAGCTATACTGATAAACCCGAAAGCTATTGCGGATGTTACACCACCGTCGTCGCCTACAAACACTTTAGGACATTCACCACAACGTCATGGAAGCAAGAAGCGAAGCAGTCGTGAATACTCTGAAGCTGGAGCTGGGGCATTAAGTGCTGACACCGATAACGACAGTTTCATGTCTGCATCTTCGTTATCAGATACCATGCGGAAACATTCAGATGCGAATGACGCAGCCAACAAGGATTCAAGTGACGATTTCTCAATCTCTGTCGCTAAATTAGATGACGAAAATTTCCTCACAACATCCAAATCACCACCACCAGCCAGCAATCTAAAAAACGGGCGAGAATCATCACTAACCGCATCCGAATTCTCCTTAATGGAACGCATCAACCGTGGCGGTACCCTTGAATTCCTCAACATGATCAACTCGAACGATTCCAAACATGAAAAGGACGCGTCAGCAGCATTAGCACTGCCCGTCTCACGTGTAAAGTCCAGTGAATCGATCGACTCGCTACAACCATCTCCAGACCGCCCACCAACACATTTACCTCCACCCCCACCCCCAGCAAAGAAATTCACTCGCAAGTCAATCAAGTATGAGTCTTGGATGGAAGTCATGTCTGACGAGTCGTCTAAATGGGTGCGACGATGGGGTGTGCTTGAAGGTGGATACCTGTGGTTGTTTGATACGCGGGAGGAGGGTGCTAAGGCTTCTGGGGAAGGACAGGCTAGTAGTATGACTGCCATTGGGAGAGCTACGTTAGCGGTTGGAGTTGATGCTGTTATTGAATTGGGGGCTTCTGATGGGGCAAGTGGTGCATGGACCAAGGGTATTATGGAGGATAAGAGGTTTTTGATTGGAATGGTTGCTGTGCCGAGGAAGAGGCTGGTGTTGGCGTTGGAGAGTGATGATGATATGACGTAAGTTCAATGATACCTTTGTACCTTAGACGTTTTTTGTCTATGTTGAATCTGACATTTATTTCTAACTCAGAAATTGGCATGACGCTATCATCGCGGCTCAAAAACCACGAAAGAATGCTACATAAAACCAAGCAACACATTTTCTTGTTATTACTCTATTGAATGTATCTACTTTCAAGCTCTTAATAATATGTACCTTCTTTGCAAAGTCACGGTTTGAAAGTTTTGGAAGGCCCTGGTTGTCTTCAATCAAGGGCTGTCATCAGTACTGAATGCTTTGAAGATAATTGGATGGTCAGCTGTGTGGTTCCATATGTACTCTAGTTGAATTGGGTTTTCTTCGTTGAACGACGACGACGAGAGATCAAGCAAGAACAAGTCCTGTCGCGGTAACAAATTACCGGCAAGGTTCAATTTACTGCTCGTTTTTCGGAGGCCTACCGGGAGGGTTTCATTGAAGGGCATCATTTTGCGTCATGTAAGGACTATCACATGCCAAAAAACGGCTCTCCATCCTTGTTAACTTCTCATGCAATCGTTTCAGCGAACAGAGGCAAACGTGGGTGCTCGGGCTCTAGGATTACTGTGTGCGTGCTTTCTACTACACACCTTTGAAATCGTTAAAGATCCTGATACTAAACATGATAACGAAGGAGAAGACATTGAGAAGAAGGAAGAAAAGCTAACCCGAATGGAGATGAAGTGGTTGTCAATGGTGGAAAAGGTGGTCTGTGGGTGCAGAATGTCGGGTCTTTTCGAGTAGGAACGATGTGAAGTAGGAGTTTAATATTGAAATATATCAAAGCTGAGAGACAGGATACTATTCGACTATTCGATCAGACGTCATAACGGTTTAACATGTTAAGGAGACAACGATTTTGGAGGTATTTATGGCGACACGGGTCGCAATGACTGTGACTGTGAAGAAGGTGTTTGGATGTGCCCGATGTGATATGAGGTCGATGGATTTGACTGCTTTTAAGCAGCACTTCTTTATGAAACATAAAGAACGGGGCAAAGAACGGGGAAAGAATCAGGTGCCGACATACGAGATATTATTATTCCACTGGAAATGAGGTCTGTGAGATTCAGATGAGGGTGTTAGGTCGAATGGGTTCGCATCACTTACAAAAAATCAATTATGGCTAGGCACACTTCAAAAATAGAAACAATAATTTTAATGATTCTTTGCCGGGCGTCTATGAAGGTATTGGATCGCGTTGTTCGTCTCGTCTTGGATGTTCAAAAAGCCCACCCTGAGTTCAGTTCTTTGCTTTCTCCTCAAACAAACCCAACCAGCCTAGACAACACCAAAACAAAACCAAAACTCTCAAACCTCATTCAATGTATCAAATATTCCATGTTAATGCTAAATGAGAGAAACAACCATATTGTACAAAATTCCATCTTGTTTTAAATACTGAGATGAGAGCAAAGGGTGACCAAAAAGAAACACCATTGGTCCAGTCTCACAAAGGTCTCACTTCTAAACTCCTTCTTCACTAGCTACACTAACTACCAGCAACCCTCTCGTAGCTAAGAATATCAATAACAATACCAGCAGCGAGTGTCTTCCCATCATTTCTTAACATGAAACGACCCAATTCTTTAGATGATTGGAACGTTTCTAGACATATTGGCCGATCAATACTTATTTCGACTGTGGCTGTCGTGTTTCTGGGTAGTGCTCTATGTTGTGTTTTTAAAGGTGCAATCAGTATTTAAATTTCCTCCAACGCACCAAAAAGAGGAGACAGCGATCTGCCTGAATACCTTGGTTTTCGATTAGTCACTTGACCAGTCGTCTTGTCAACGACTTCAACAAGTCTCGTTATGATAGCAGGTTCAGTCAAACTCTTTTGGTGAAATACCACCTATGAAAATTTGGAGTTGTGTAAGAAATGAGCCAAAAAGGGTAGAGCTCGCTGTCGACGTATGTGTATGAAACCAAGCAATCCTGACCAACCTTGACACCTATAGTCAAAGGTATAGCAATCTCAAATGTCACAATGCGAGCTTTTATTCGTGTTGTCAACGGTATTGGAGCGTTTGGATCACAGAGTACCGTTCCGATTCTACAAGAAGTATTGCGAGTTGACACGTTACCGCATTTTTTTGTCCAACTCAATTCTAGAACACTCACGATATGTTGGTGATTTCAACATTAGCCAGACTCATGAGAACCGAATCACCAGCAGCAGCCCATTTGACAGAATCATCTGCTATTTCGAGCGCTAAATAATTCAACGGTAAAAAAGTGATGTGAAGGGGTGAAGTATTGATGATACAGTAGAGACTCTTCCGTTACCTCTGACAATACCAGTTTCACCATTAGGCATCAAGAGCACGCTATCTCCTAGCTGCACAGATCCAGCTTCTATGCGACCTGATAGCGAAACACTACCACCACCTCCGCTGCCAATTCCACCTTTAAAGAAATCAGCTACAGACATTCTGAATGGACGGTCAAATGGCCGTTCTGGAACATCCAATTTGTCTAATAATGTCATTGAAAGAAAGTAGATGAGCAAAAAAGTAAAGAAACACCCAATCAAAAAAAAGCAGAGAGAGTCCTAATTGATGGTGGTCGCAAAATCAGCCCTTTAGCTTACCTAGTTGCTCCTTCAATGTCAACCCATCATACCATTGATTCAACTCTGGTATCCCATCTCTACTAACCAAATTGCCACCAGTGAACCCACTACAAGGTATAAATGATAGATTCTGCCGTTTAAATCCAGCAGAGACCAAGAAAGTAGTCAATGTCGATACGATCTCGTCATATCGTGATTTATCCCAGTTCATGGCATCTAGTTTGTTGATTGCCACTACCAACTGATTGACTCCAAGACTTCGAACCAATAAGGCATGTTCTTTAGTCTGACCACCAGATTCAAATCCAGTTTCGAACTCTCCTGTGGTGGCACATACGACTAACATGGCAACATCGGCTTGTGATGCGCCTGAAATCATATTTGGGATAAAGTCCTTGTGGCCTGGTGCGTCTAGAAGTGTGAATTTACGGTTTTCGGTTTCGAATTTGGTTATGGCGACATCCATGGTGATGCCTCTAAATGTGATCAATAGGAACATTTAGTCAAAGTGGCAAAAAAAGCGAGGGCAGTAATAGGACAATACGTACCGACTACGTTCTTCCTCAGTCTCGTCCAGCACCCATGCATATCGAAACGACGACTTGCCGATCTTTTCTGCTTCGCGTTCGTATCGCTTGATCGTCCTTTCATTGACTTCACCCAATAAGTAAAGTAAATGCCCCATAATTGTAGATTTGCCAGCATCGACATGACCTAAAAAGCAGAAAAGAGGTTGGTCAAATTCGTTGTACATCTCGTAGTAGCATCGTGACATTTTTCGCATCATGAACGTGTCAGGACTGCCTTCTCGAACTTACCAATGACAACGAGATTCAACGACCTTTTCTCAGTCGATCTCTTCTCAATCAGCTCCGCAACATCCACCCTCCTTCCCATCTTCGGACTCGGTTTCGATACAGAAGGCTGAGATCCACTATGAGGTAGACCGCTAGATGAACCACTTCGTGACATGACAGGAAAAGCACTCGTCGATGATCCACTTCTTGACATCATGGGAAAAGCCATGGATCCAGATCCTGTACGAGTCATGGCTGGTGACTCTGGAATGGGTGGTTTGGAAGTAAAAGGAGCGGATATCTTTAGACCTTCTAACTCTTGTTGAGTTTGATCGAGCCTTGCTGATGATGATGTTATAGATGTTGATGATGCCATTATTGTCGATGAAGGGCGTGGTTTTGTTATACTGCTACGTGCACCTGGACGTGCTAGAGTAGAAATGGGATGACAAAACTGTTGGTAACTCATGTCTTAACGATGAAACAAACATAGAAAGCGTTGAACATTACTCACAAGCAAGAGCTTTCATCCGCGCTTGAGCTACCACATCATCTGGACTAGGTGAATCGAATGCAAATGCCGTTACATCCGATGATGGTGCGACGGTTCCATTCATAAGGGCGGCTAATACTGCAGCTTTATCAGCTGGTTTATCTGATGATTTGGTAAACAGTGCTTGCGCAAAAGCAGATGGACTTGCTGCTTGCGGTATCACATTATTACTATTATTACTGGGTTGTGTAGTAGTAGTAGAAGGAGGCGATGTACTAGCAGATAATCCAGGAGGTAATAGACCAGGTGGTCGAGACAGTCCTGGTGGTATTGAGGTCGGTGGTTTGTCTAAGAGCAAATGTGTTTGTTGATTGGAGCGATTAAAACGAGGAACAAAATTTCTTAATCATCAGCAAAACACCATCAAGGCAACAATATTTGGGTACTTACCAAGCATTTCGTTGATAGAGAGCTCCACATTATTCCTGTTTCTACCCAAAACTTCTTTGATTTGGACATCAGTGAATCGTAGTCCGACTATTGCCTTGACATCTTGCACTACAGAAATCATAAAAGATCGATTTAGAAAGAGAGAGATACATCAACCGAAAAAGTATTCCAGGAAGAAGCGAGGACGCACCACTCTTTTGCATCGCTATAAGCGAATCAATAGCCATTGTACTATCTTGGTTGTTATTCCGTAAGGCTGTATCGATATCAGCATCTGATACAGTATCTCCAAGTACAGCCTTGACATGATCTTTTGCTGAATCTAGTGGCGATTCCGTGTGTTGGTGAGAAGAGTGTTCAACGTTTAGGAGGAAACACGTTGCGCTCAATCTCTCTGCAGCCTCCATTCCACAGCCAGAAGGTTCCATTTCTACCCATTTGGAACGAAAAAAAAGACAAGAGAGCATTCGGCTAACGGTGTCATACCTTGAGATGAAACATCTTCCATATCGAATACACGGTCATCCGCTTCAGTCTGCATTGTTGCAGCAGTAGATTCTGGTTCATCTTCATCGTCCAATTCCAGAAATGAAGCCATGGTAGTAGCTTGTTGATCGTCACGCCTGTATATGTAGTCGTCTATGGAAGGAACGTGTGTTAGAGCTTCCACAGGCATTGATTCATATGTGGGAATTCTTTTCGTCGTGTAGTGCATCAAGTGATGATTACGATCAGGGGGCGATCCATAGTCGTCGTAGGAAGTTCCATATTGGTCGTCCTGTTGGTAGTCATCGTCCATTTCCTCTAAGTGAATGGACACATTTTGCACGAGTTAGTCATAAATGTTAACAGCTGAGAGTATAAGCAAAATCTGCATGAACAAGAAGCTTACCATCTAGATCCATATTCCTAACGCTCCTATGTCGCGACATGTTTGATATCAGGTTGTCTCTTTCTCTAAGTTCTCGGTGCTCTGCGACGAACGAATGAAATCAAGTGAAAGCTTGACCAATGAGATGTAAAAACGAAGTCGCTACGCGTCAGATATCAATCATACTATTTCCATTATTTCAAACACGTCGAGAGCCTGTAAGAACTCCTGTGGTAAAGGTGAATCTCTGTATTTTCCACTACATGTCAAGTGCAGGCTGATTTATACATATAAATCGACTGATTTGACTCCGTCATTCGTGACATCCAAAGGCCAAGACGCGAACATTACCTTCAAATTCGAACGGGAATGGATCTAGCAACAGTGTATCGGGTTCTTTCACTAACACTGTTTTGGCCAGAGCGTCAAGTTGTTAAGAGCTGCTTGTCTGATCAATTACGGTACGTGTTCTTCGATTAAATGCTATAAACGCTTGGATTTTGCCCTTCTAACTTCTCCTTGCCCATCAATAGTCCAGGCTTTCATCTTTTTTTCTTGGATTGTTTGCAACAATGTCGCAAACCGTTATTGACGGACAATTCGATGACGCAGATGAAGACAATATCATCACTGCTACTCCAGAAATCGCATTCAAACGAGTAGATGATGAGACGACCGCTGATGATGATGTCAATTCACAGACATCAGATGCTCTTGAAGACGACTTTGATCAAGATGAAGACTTGGACGATGACGACGATGTAGATTACGAAGATGAGTGGTATGAAGCTACTGGAGGTAACTATTAAGAATCAGCGCCAGAAGCGAGCCCTTGAGTTTCCACACTCCATCAGTTTTCTTGTTCGCTCACTCCCAACTCTATTTAGACTTTACAAAGGACTATAATAAAGCTAGAACTGGTCAAGCACTTCACTTTCAAAAGACTGCCATGCGAGATACTCAAGGAAAAGAACTGGCTGCCAAGTTTGCTTCTCATGTTAGAGTCGGTAAGTTATTGTGAATCAAACTACAGAATCAGATTCTATGACTAAATGGTTGCCGTCCCGTTCCATTAGACCTCCCATACGAAGTAACACTATCATCAACTGCAAAATCCTCCGTCATAAAATCAGACAGCAAAGCAGACGGGGATGCCAAACGCCGTGTGGACAAATCAGACAGAGCAACTGTAGAACAAGCTCTAGATCCACGCACACGTATAATCCTCTTCAAATTCCTAAACAAGAACATCCTCTCGGAAATCAATGGCTGTATATCAACTGGTAAGGAAGCCAACGTGTATCACGGAATCACGAATTCTGAACCTGAAGATGGATCTCCACCAACACAATTACATCGAGCCATCAAAGTATACAAGACTAGTATACTGACATTTAAAGATCGAGACCGATATGTTAATGGAGAGTTTAGATTCCGTCATGGATATGGAAGGGGGAATCCAAGAAAGATGGTCAAAGTATGGGCGGAAAAAGAAATGAGGAATTTAAAGAGGCTGTATAGTGCTGGTATACCGTGTCCTGAACCGTTATTGTTGAGGATGCATGTTTTGGTGATGGAGTTCTTGGGTGATAGTAATGGATGGTGAGTGAGCCTTCGGATTTGAAGTTTTTTTTTGTTGGCACGGTTGCATAAAGCTAAAAACAAATCTCTATAGGGCCGCTCCAAGAGTTAAAGATGCACCAATACACGACTCTGAATCCTTCTTGGATTTATACCTGCAACTCATCAAGATAATGTGGAGAATGTATCATCAATGTCATCTGGTACATGCTGACTTGTCAGAGTACAACTTATTGTGAGTCTCAGTCTGCTTGTGCGGCTACTCTTTCTTTCCCTTTCTTTATGCACATACGATTCAAGGACACCCCACACTCAAGCACCTGTTTACAACATCATAATAGGTACCACAACAAGAAAATCTACGTAATCGATGTCTCACAATCGGTCGAGCACGACCATCCTCATGCTCTAGAGTTCTTACGAAAGGATTGTACCAATGTCATTGATTTCTTTGCACCGCGAGTGCCTCGAGAAATACCAGTGACAAACACCTCAAATTCAGCATCATCAGCAACACCCGATATACCATCACCAGTAACCAAACCATTTCAAGCATTATCAATGAGAGATCTCTTTGAATTTATAGTCACTGATGAATCGAGAATTCGTGAAGAATTACAATCCCTCAGCAATACCAATAATAATGTCTCAACCATGGAATTAGACGACCTCCTCACCGCATACCTGGCTTCACTACATGAAAACGTTGTGAATCGACCCACACCGAATCAAGTAGACGAAGCCGTCTTCCAACAGACGTATATTCCAAGGACGCTGGATCAAGTCCGTATGCAGGATATAGAAGGAGATGTGGATGCTGTTATGAGAGGAGATGGTGATTCGGTACGCAATGTCTTAATGCAATCTCCTTACGCTGGTTTTTTTTGTCGTGTGCCACAGTATTTCTAAAGCTTTTGCTCATACATAGCTGATATACAAATCCGTTACTGGGCTAGTAACCAAGCAACCGCAATCGTCTGTATCCAAAGATACCACTCCAAACCCAACAGCAGATACATCAGCGTCGATAGAAGAATCTGGATCATCAACTGGATCCGATAATGACAATGGCTCTGAAAACTCAGAGTCCGATGACGACGACTCATCAAACCGACGACTATTGAAGAAGGATGAAGACAAGGATTTGAAAAAGGAACGAAAGAGACAAGTCAAGGAGGAGAATCGTCTAAAGAGATTGGAAAAGGTTCCTAAATCAGTCAAGAAACGCAAAGTTAAAGAGTCGGCGAGGAAGGGTAAACATTGAGTAGTTTGTTGCTGGTTTTCGGATGGTGGTCTTTGGAGGGGTAGTTAATGTAAATATTTCAGTTGTTTAAAAATACAACAGGTATTTGTTTCACAATCTGCCATCCGCATGGTCCATGGTTTAATTTCATAATCCGTTCCCAGACCATACCGGTTTTGGCGCCTCGCTTCTGTTCACAGAACACATCCAAAACAAACGACAAAAATCATAATCCAATGTAATCATCATACCCAGTGTATTGGTTTGAAATGTACTAATTATAGGCTGCCGTTCTTAAACAAACAATACAACTATAAAGGTCCCGATTGAGGAATTAATTGACGAAGGAAGAAAACAAGGAAGCCAGGGTAAACAATATGAATGAGTAGTACTTGTTGGTGGTGTTGATGTTCGTGAGAGACGAGTCCAGTGTTTGCTTTTACCTGTGTTCTATAACGTGTATATATGGAGAAGGGTGTTGGTTGGATGTTGGGAGACTGATAGTATTATATGTCGGGTTTGAGTGAGGGTGTGTGTGTAGAATGGCAGCAGTTTTCAGAGAGTTTGGTGTCAGTGAAGAGTCCGAGATTATTTATATAGCAAATTGCGCCATTTCATCCATCCTAAACCGTTCCACCCTCATCTCTATCTCTATGAATCTTCCAGCGTATTATCCAACACTTTGGTCACATCTGGCACACTCTTCAAATCCTCCAAGAACGGCACCAGGTCTCTCAATTCGGTATCGTTTGGATCGTTGAACCAGGACGTTATGGGGATGGCATTAGTTGGGTGGAAGATATACGAGGCAGGTGAGTTGTCGATAATTATTACATCCTTGAGGTCTCGTCCTAGCTGTGATAGATCTTTTACATAGTTTCCGCGATGGTGCAAACAGGCTTCTCTAAATAGGCGATGCTTGACCGTCTTGTGTATGTCGAGCATATCTAGGACGGGATCAGCATACTAATACAATAAAAGGTCAAGATCTGTGTGAGTTATCGACTTTTTCCACACAAAAAAACGCAGACGTAGATCAACGCGATATTCAATCCAATCGTTTACCTTGGCTAAACTTGCCGTAAAGACGACGATTTCGAACTGCGGTCCCAACCGCTCTAAGAAATAGTCTACGCTAGGCCTTTTTAAGACATAGACATTGTGGATTTGAGCATCAATCTCTACTGGTATGACAAAGTCGGCTGCTTGCACCGCCTATTTGAAAAACAGAGGGGGAGTTAGGTAATGTAAGATTCCCAAACATGGATGGTCGTTTCAGGAGGTTCATGGTTTCGAGATAATCAGAACGAAAAAAACCTCCAAAGATTTTTCATTGCACCCTGAGACTGCTTCTCTCACAATTCTTCGACGATCTTTCGCTCATACCTTGAAGGAACTATGCACAAGGGTTTCATCTAGATCCAGCACTAGACACTTTTTACCAACATCCTCTGGTGCTAAAGGTGGCAGTAACCACCTCTTGTCCGTCTAAGCAAAAAGGAGGTGGACTTAGAGGATCAAGATCGGGTGACGTCCGATTTCCACCAACACTCTCCAATTCACATAAGCACCAATACTTCACACGCACTCATACACTTACCGGTGTTTCAATCTTGGCTACTCTGGTGGAAGCGGGCTGCGTTGATACAGCAGGCTTTATACCAGATACTAATTTACCATCAACTTTGGTCGAGCCCTGTAATTGAGCAACTACAGGTGTAGCAGACCGGTGATCCTTGTTATCTAATGAATCTCCTCCTCCTGCTGCGCCATCGTCTAGCGACATGCATGGTAGTAGACATGACAAGGCAGATAGAATAGGTCTCCTCCTACGACCTGTTGTAGTACTACTATTACTATTAATGATGGTTGTGGTATTATTATTGTTGGTATTATTATGGAGACTACTTGTTCCGTTGGGTACGTCGCCAGCGACAGGTGTCGTTGCAGACGCACCGCCGATTTTGGATAAGGGAATACCCTGTTGTTCGTTAGTAGTGTTCGAAGAGTCTGGCCTGCTCACTTGGGTTATGAGGCTGGTGAGTGCAGATGGTGGTGCTTGGTTGTTTGGGCCTGGAGGTCTGACTTGCGTAATGAGACCTTGTGGGCCGTCATCCTCAGCGTCCGCCATGGTAGGAGGAGAGGGGGTAGTTGAGTAAGGAGGCGGCGGTGTACCGTGGCGATAGTCTTCGTGAGACAGTTTTGCTCGCTGCTTTATATGATAATGAGTATGTGTGACTTGAGATTCGAGTTCTTAAGAACTGCTAGAATGAAGATTCGATCAAGTATTGATGGAATCTCCCACTGACTATGAGCAGCTTCCTAGTGGAGACAAGTGTTTTAGAAGTAGAGCTCAAAGGTGTATTGTGTGTGTGTTTCGGGTGGTTGCATGTGGCAGATAACAGGAGGTCGATGAATCGAGGGGCAATGGAGGGAAGAGAATGATTTGAATACCTTGAATAATAGGAGTCTGAGTATTGGTCTTCCTTATATACGAGATGATTGAATGATTCCTCGTGGGTGGTTGACCTTTTTGCTAATAAAGAAATAAGCCGAGGTCAAATCAAAGCAAGAAGAGCATAGGATGAGAGTTGGGAATATGCTAAACTATGTCCAAGTAGCAAATCAATCTTTTCCAGAGGACGATGCGATGGGTGGGGATGCAACAGAAAAGGTTTCAAAAAGAAATGTCTCCGAATGGTCTGAAACCAGCATTGATTGATTGAGAGAATATACCTTTGTAGCTGGATTCCAAGCAATCCCAAATCTAGAGCCCGACTAATATATAGACGAGCTTCCTCTCGTTGGTAATATGCTCGTTCTGGAGTTTTTGAAGCAAGAGGAAAGGACAAGGCTTTGACACGATCTGGTAGGAGACTAGGGCCAATAATTGATTTTAGGCTAGCCGACATGATTTCCTTAGGAGAACTTGTTTTAAATATTATTCAGCAAGGAATCGTGTTTGACCTCTGAGCGTCCATCATGAAATGATTCATTTTCGCACGTCCTGTCACTGCTAGACGTCTCCATAGTCTCCATCTATTTTATCACGCGCTGCTGCATCTACGAATCTAGTACTTAGGGAATGTGATCCAACCACTAACAAGCAAAGGAACAACGTTCCAACGAGTAGATTATGACTTACTAAATTACAATTGAAATCGCATAAATCAGATGGCTTTTTCCATCTTTCGGTTTGCATCTTGCAGAAATTTTGTCTGCATCGACCGTCCAGCATTCATTCCTTTCAAACTTCAAGGCGACGAAAAGCACGGGGCAACTCTCAACCATGGCCGAATGGACTAGCCAAGAAGTACGTGAGAACTGCTCAGAACGACCATTCATCATACCAATCTCCCCTCCCTCTTTATAGGATCGTTTCTTACACAAAGTCGTCAACTCTACAGAGGATAGTGGAAGTATCGAGTTTGCAAAAGGTAAGAGAGACAATTGTAATTGACGAATTAAATCTTTCATCGGACTCATACTACTTTCAACTAGTTAAACGAGAGTTGAAAACTGGCAAAACGGTCGCTGAAGTATGGACATCAAATTCAGAGGATTTTCCAGACATGAACCTTACGTGACAAACCCATCAGACCTTAACCGAAACCGTTTCATTCTTTTTATTGGCAGATCCGAGAACGAGTCAGATACCTACGAGCACAAGGACGCCGTCGTAGTTTTGCTTCCAATGCGTCGCCATCTAAAAAATCAACAGAGGAAAAGAAACCCGCTATGAAGAAACCAGCATCTCGTAAATCTCAGACATCGGCTGAAGTCACCAAATCTACTGCTGCCAGTAAATCTCGACGATCTAACAGCCGAGTTAGGACCGATGATGTCGCCGTAAACCAGGAGGATGTTGCGACCGATAAACCACAACGATCTAGTAGTAGCTTCAGAACGGAAGATGTCATAAAGATCGAAGACGACGACGCAGATTACGCAGCTGCTAGTGCTAGTACTCCAAAGGCAAAGACTCCCAAGGCAAAGACTCCAGGAAAGGCCAAAGCTACTCCAGCAAAACCAAAAGCTACTCCAACCGCTGCAAAGTCAGCCTCTGTAGTCGAAACTGCAACCCCTCGTAGCAGTCGTAAAGCCGCTCAAGTAGCTCGAAGCAGTATCTCATTACAGCTCAACGAAGATGCCAAACCAGCAATAGGTAAACGTCGTAGATCAGATGTAGTAGCCGAAGCTCCCAAAAGTGTCAAAAAGGCCAAAATTGAAAAGAAGGATGCTGATACCGAGACTGCTGCGGTGGCTAGTTCTAGTAGTGCTGATGCAGTAGCGGATAAAAGTGTTGCTACTCCACGACCCATTATAAAGAAGACTCGATCTGCAAAGGATGTATCTAAGGCCGATGAGGCCAAGTTATCCACTATTGCTAGTGCAAAGAAGGCTGGGGATAGTGGTTGGTTGACTGATATATGGTCAACTATTGGCCGTACACTGTATCTCTGGTAGTGTGTTTTAAGAGAGGACGATGTCATATAGGTGTCTTTCAAACTGTATTGGTGCCGGAAAGGCATAATACTCCCATCTTTGAATGTAGATTTTGGTTGTATATAAGTACGATTTGTAGTCGGGTGTGTGCTTCTTTAAAAAAACACCATACATGTACCAAATAGAATCGAATAACTTGCATTTCCGACTTCAGAAGAGAGCGAGGGAAGGAGTCGTTGACCATTTGGCTGGAATTGTCGAATGTCTTGACAATAGATCTAGGCCAGAGGAAATAGGAAAGCCAAGAAGAGAGGCAGCCTATTCGATACATGCTCTGTTATTATAAGAAAACTTCTTATGAGCAATATGTCATTAACGAAGGAAATGTAATTGGGTTGTTCGAAAGTTTGAGGATAGATCTGGACCACAGTGAGAGGAGAGCCAGAAGGAGAGTAAACCTATTCGATGGATGCACTGATAATACAGAGAATCCATACAACTGTTGTGCCATACTAGACAGAATGGTCTCATTCCAACCACCTCGAAAAACAAAAACATCAAAAACTTGCAGCAGCATGAATAGCATTCAAGAGAGGACTTGATACATACCTGGATGTGGTTGTGTGAGTCATTTCCGATGTGTTTTGGGGGTTTCTCCTTTGTTAGGGTCTTTTGGAATATAAGAGTTGCTGTCGCCCTTCGTTCGAAGTCATTGAGGCGTGTGGCTTTGAAACAGGCGCAACGAATCGATTTCAAGCTACACGTGATTACCAAACGTATCAAGAGGTTAGAGCAGGAAAAATGTCGTGAGAAATTGCAGTGTATTTTGATCATCATGCTCCGCTTTTCAATTTCAATAACTGTTGAGTATTGGCAAACTTAGGAGGTGACAAACAACACATGTGTGCATGAATTAACTGGCACCAGTTGATTCAGTTTAAGAATCTTTTCCTTGATTATTGTCTTCATATTTTCATGAATAAATGTCTTTTTGAATCTCTTGAAGAATCGAACGACTCAATCAGAGGCAACGACAAAAGATCGTAATTCGTGGTTTGGAATCGAAGTAACATCCGGTACTCCGCGACAAAGGTGAACAAAAAAAGTCAGACCAACTTATTGAATGGAAAGCAAGACGATGACGATGATCTAATCCTCTGACAGCACTCAACAAGACCCGCGACATTCGAGTTTCCCTTTTCAGCAACGACATCTGTTTTGTCAAGAAGGCCCAAGCAGGTCGTGTCAACATCCATTCATGTAGCTCACTATGTGGGAATTCTAAACGATTTACACCTTCCAAATCCGACAAGGATGTCATCTTTTCAAAAGCGAATTTCACACTGGGTACTTGTGGGCCAGTTGCTGATACAGGGGATGCGACGGGAGATGTTTCATCGGGAGTGGTACCTATTGTTGGTGATATACTGCTACTTATGCCGACAGTGCCTTCGGGAGTATCTGTCCAGGATGGCAACTTGTTGTGGCAGTTGTTTTGAATGATGAAGACGGGGGTGGTCCAGACTTTACATCCCCGGACTATTTGGAATATGTAGATACAGATGGTCCCACTCCTCCAAAAGTCATTTCCTCATCATTATCGTCTTCAGCGTTTCCATCTTCATCTGCATGCATATGATCATGGCCCCCTACTTCTCCCTCATTGTCATCATCATCGTCAGTACCAGACAACTCCTCTTTGTCACTGCCACTGCTACTGCTACCAGAAGAGCTACTCCTATCGGCGTCGCTCTCGTCGCGATTGGTTGCGCAGCGAACGGAGGTGCGACTCTTGTCCTACTGCCACCTGTAAAAAGATGCAAGTTTCAACACTTCGAACAAAACTTAAAGTTCAAACACTCACGTCTAGCTGACACAGTATTATAGTGTGGCACAACGTGATGCAGTGCGAGAACTGTATGGAGTTCTTCTGTAGAATTATCAATATGAACCAATCCAAATGCGTCAAGATTCGACAAATTCATGATTATTTCACTCACGATGGGCGATAGGCTATTAGAGCGATCTCGAAGGTTTTGATGGCGAGAAACCTCTTCAATCTCTTTTCCATCGCAACCTCCGACTCTCCGTCCCTAATCTCGAAGCATGCCACAGAAACCAAACTAAATGGTTTCCAATCGTTTCAAAGTGAAGATGTTTTGCTGCACTTCTTTGCTGACATACCAACGAGAAATGATCGCCTCCTGTAGACAGTGTCGTTGAGGGGGCGAGTATTTCGTTGTTTATCAACACCAGCGTTACCATTGGCAGACATCCTAGCCGTCTTGTTTCGATTATCATATTCACCGGCTGGAGCTCATTGTTTGCTGCGGTAGGCACACCAGGAGGTCTAGGCACACACACTGGTATGGGGACTTACGATCGGACGTTGATACATATGTTGATTGTCTGTTGGAAGTCTACTGTCATTGCCATTCAGCTTATTCGTTGAAGGAGCTGGTCGTTGGTTTAGTTGTTGGTTACCACGGCCTGTAGTCATTAGTGCCGGTGGTGGAACTTTCCCTGTTGAGACAGAAACGGAAAAGTGAATTAGCTGATGGTTGGAATCACTCCACAATCACAACATCGATGACAATTGGATTTGTTTTTTTGTCTTCTCGCCTTGTGCTATCCAATCAAACAGCGAAATTCCAATGCAAGCAACATGCCAGTATGATGATCATCATCAGCCAAAAACGCATCCATTCAACATCGTTTATCATGTCTTTGTAAGCCCGATGCACGACTTGATCTACAAGCGAAAAGAATGTTGTCAGATGACTGAAGATTTAGCAGTCAATGTATCCCTCATTCCTCTCTTTGTAAAAGCGAATAGATAAATAAACCACGTTGAGACGAACTAACTTCCTCACGATCTCCTTCTCTGCTTGCTGTATGATTCCTCGCTGGAAAAGTAGGCGGAGGCACCCTGCAAAGAGGTCGTTGTGGTGGTTGTGACGTCAGGAACAGATTTGAAAGCGGCATTGGTGCAGGAGACGGCATTGGCGAAGGTGAATATGATGAAGGGTATGCGGTTGGTGAGTGCGTCTTTGAGACAGTGAAGAAGGCGGACTGCGGTTTCTGCAATTGTTGGGTTGACTGGTGTTTCGACGGCTTCTTGGAATCCTTTTTTCTCTTCTTTCTTCTGCTGGTGCCTAATTGTCAGAAATTCCAAAAAAACTGTGAGCGAATGCGTTTAGATGATTGTTTCTCGACCAGTTCCCATCGAACTGAATAGATCCAAAGAAGAAATAAAATTATAGCGTGGCATAAATCATGATACATACATTGTAGTTGCCAGCCCTGTCGGGCTCTTTGCCTTTGGTCATGCTGTACTTGAGAGAAATGTCGCACACCGAGAGCTCACATACAGACATCTCGAATTGTCACCAAAAGAGACGGATCTCGTGATTTCGAGCATTTACAAGATGACTGGCTATTTAAACTTGCACTTGAGCCTGTGCTGGTCGTGCAATCGCGTGGCAAAAATCACGTTCAAGCTCGCAGGAGAAACAAGCTAAGCTGACCGAAAAAGTCGCATCTGGATATGGAAATACGCCATCTTATGACCCGATATATGGTATGCACATACGTCTATTCACAACACGTCATCTCATTGCGGCTTCGCACTCATCTCCCGTACTCTTCATTCATCAACGCTTGACATATTTGAACATATAGTAAATGGCAACCATGTCTGGTTCCAGCAAAGACATCCTGGTCAACAGATCAGGAATACCACAGGCTCCATTCATTGTAAGCTCTGTCCATCCTCTTGTCTATATTGCTCCAGCTTTACTCAACTTCAGTTTCTTCGTTCAGGACGATGTTGACAAATGGATGCAAGGAGAAGAAGCTGAATCAACGCTTCGTAAATTCGACGAAATGCTCCAGTATGTCTTTTCGCCCCTCTCCTTATTGTGTTGGCATCGAATCAGTCGACATCAAAACATCACCAGACTGTGCATATTACAACTCTACGAACGAGGTTGACACTTATACCATCATCATCATTATAGAAAATACAAGTACATGGAGGCTAGCTCGCAAGCTAGAAAACGGACCTTGGAAGACAAGGTACCTGAAATTCGAAAGACGTTGGATGTGGTCAAGTTTATTATGAGCCGAACGGTACGTTCAGTGCTATTTCCAATCAAGCAGAAAAATGATGACTAACGTATTTATGATGATCTCCTTATAGGATTCAGCTGAACCGATCGACTCGCAATTCGAGGTGAACGATACCTTATGGCTGAATGCCAAAATCAAGAATCCTCAGACAGTCTACCTTTGGCTTGGGGTAAGCCATCCTGGAATTGATGCTGTTGATGTTTGTTTTGGTTGGGAATCGATACGAGCAATGATATACTCTTCTGTCAAGTGTTTGGCTTGAGCGACTCAGTGATCGAAACACACACAACACTAGTATCCTTCAAACGCTCACTCGTCATCTTCATAGGCTAACGTAATGCTGGAATATCCATTGGGAGAAGCTGAATCCCTCCTAGACGAGAAATTGACTGGTGTTCTCAAGACACTGCAAGCTCTCGGTGAAGACTTGCAGTTCTTGAGAGAGCAAATCACCACGATTGAAGTCAATATCGCCCGTGTGTACAATTGGGATGTTAAGGATCGCCGTACTAGGCGTGATGGGAAGGCCAAATAGGATGTAATGAAGGGAGAGGAAGGTGTTTGATACTATTCTTTGGAAGGAGTGCCTTCTTTTGCTTGAATATATATAACGACTGCTATCGCTTTGTATAAAAGTGTTAAAACCAAAACAGGATTTCAAGATTGCAATAGTCAAAAACTGGTGCCTTTGTTTTTATACTATAATTGCATCCTTTGATACAAAGTTGCTCTTTTAATTTCATGCTTTAATACAAAGTTGCTACTTTGCTATGAGTTACATCTCGCATCTCCATCATGGGCTTTTTGCATTCCCTCCCTCGTTTAGCTTTATACAACAATCTGTCCAATCTGTACCCACAACTCCTCTTCAAAGCCCAAATCGTCTCATGATACTACCCAAACCAACAAAAAGAACTCCAACCACCATCCCAATCACCCAGCGATACGACAAGGCCGCCATTACCGCATGAGCAAACACCAAGGTGGATGAAAATGTCTTCATTCCTGCTGCACCTCCAACACCAACATCAGAAGACAACAAGTCCAGACTCGCTACAATAACAGCACATCCCAATACGAGTCTGCTTCGGGCATATACCACACTCAAGACCTTGACCACGAATAAGACAACTTTGATGTCGAGGGGTCTAAATGATGCCTGTTTCAAGAATGGAAGAGAGATTCGAGATGGTGTATGACCGCTATTATGGTGTGTGGCTGATGCAGAAGATGGTGGAGATGGTAATACTACAAGTGATGCTCGACGGGTCATTGCTGCAGTTTTATCGTTATATGAGGATTTTACTGGCACGTAGGGTAGGCTCGGTGATGCATCATCTAGTAGCTCGATACGACTTGACTGGCCGTTCAACGTTGGAGGCGATTGTGACGATGTCGATATAGGAGAAGTCGGCGATGAAACTGATAATGGCCTGTCTATAATGGCAGCAGCAGCCGCATTATGATGATGGGTCTTCTGTCGCGCTAATGGTGCAGGAGCAAGGAATACTCGACCTCCTGTTGCTGTTGGAATTACAAAAGACTGATCTCCACTCATAGACTACAGAAATGGACAATTGTAGTGTGAGTAATATGCTTTTTTTGGCACTTGCCATGTCACTTCCCACATACAGTCTTTCTCGTTCCAGATGGAGCCAGACCTTCAGCTAAAGCTACACGGACGGACGAGAAACGATCTAGTATGCTCTGAGCTGAAGGTCTTGCAGCTGGGTTTCGTGACAAGAGCTCGAGCATGAGACTCTTTAGTTCCGTTGGTACTCGAGGATCAACTGATGGGAATATAGGTCTAAGAAAAGGTGAAGAATGTATAAGACCAAATTCCATTGTTTTTTGTTGATAATGTAAACGACAACTCACGTCTCAAAACGCAAGATCTCCTCCTTAAGCAGATCCACATCATCGACCTGCGAGTAAGGCACGCACGAATAGCAAAGATAATATAATACAATCCCCAGACTCCATAAGTCGGCAGTCTGGGATGCTTCAAATGGGAATTTCTGACCCAAGTCCTGGAAGAGGAGTTCTGGTGGTAGGAACTCTACAGTTCCAGTAGCACCAGTCCGTGCTTGCTGATGGATTTCAGACAAGACCTCGCATTCACCAAAGTCGCTGATGAGGACTCTTGGTCTAACAAGGAGAGACATGCGTTAACGCAAAAAAGAGGATACAGAAGGAAAGGACAAATGTCTCACATTTCAGACTTGTCATTCACATTCGCGTACTGTAATAATAGATTTGGAGGTTTCTAAAGGTTGAAACGATGATCAAGTTAGCCAAAGTCTCGTTCCAATGAACCACCACTTCACATACCAGGTCTCGATGAATAATCGAATTTTTATGAAGGTGGGCTAGTCCTTCTACTATATCCAGAAACAGAGACCAGATCTGGATATCTTTAAGATATCTGACCTTTCTCAGTCCATCCTGACTCATTCCTATACCTCCGTACAGACGAGCTCTCTCATCAGCTTCAGTCAATGAGGGCTTCGTCGTACTTCGCTCTTGTCTTAGTCTTCGTAATCGTTCTTTGGCAACTGATGCTATAGATGGCTGCTTCTTGACACTCGTATTACTCAAGTCATCGTAGTCATCCGAGACGTATTGTACCGATACGAACTCTTCTAGGTTGCCTCCGTTGGCCCGTTCCATGAGGATGAAGAGGTATGGCACTTCGGGAGCGAATACGGTTAATCGATGGTTTTCAAGCCATGCATGCTTGTAATTGATGATGTTGGGGTGTTTAAGCTTTTCCAAAAGATTGACCTCCTTGAGCATCCTGACTAGCCAATTATGGGAGTCACCTACAGGAATCTTCTTGATGGCATATTCACCTAGAGTGACGCCATCTAATACATGTTGACAGCCAAAGACACTACCCCTGTATCCTCTTCCTAATCGTCGTTCTTCGACAAAGAAGCGTGTGTAATATCCATCTATAAAGGAGTGTGACGAGACTCCTGGTGCTGCGGCTGTTGATATTGGCGATATTGGATATGATTCCTGTTGTGGCTGCACAATGTCTTCATCAGCAGCAGATGCGAGATCTGGCTGCTGATCATCACCACATATAGAATCCGTTTCGACTTCTATACTAGTCCTGATACTCGTGTCTGTATCACGACCTTCGAATATTGAAGGATGGATTGATGCAAGTAACCTAAAGTAGCTTCTGTCGGTGTGTACGAATGGCGATCTACTATTCCTTGTTTGAGCTTCGACATTGGTGCCTGGTTGAGGGTTGTTGAGGGAGGCAGCGTATTCATCTGCTGGATTTATATTACAGTGTGGGTTGCCACAGAATGGACATCGTGGTTGGGTATTGTTGTTGGTTGTTGTTGGAGCTGTGGATACGGGAGGTCGTATGGAGCGTACAGCTAGCATGTGAGGCTTATATAAGACGATTCGGCCTTCATGTTCGTTGTGTCTATAAAAAGATCAAAAGTAAAAATGATTGTGACTTTCAGTACGACGAGTGAAAGTGTTCGTGATGAGTGACTTATAAGGCCGAATTGATCAAGAAACTAGTTCATTCACTCCGTCATATCACTGATCCATCATTAATCCAGTATGTAGCGTATAACACAGTTCTTTGCGAACAGATAGAAGGTCAAGTGATTTACACCAAATGTTGCAATGTTGATCGTGACCAATAGTGAATAGTAAGAAGAGTAGAGCATAGATGATCTTGTACTTACAATACTACACTCCAAGGAATAAGAGTATTAGGAGTTGGGCTGTCTCTTGGACCAGCTTCTTGTTGGACATTTGAGCTTGTATTTGAAGGCCGAAGCTCTGAATTGGAAGCCGTTCTCGACAAGTCAGGTTGTTTAAGATGCTCACGTGGGCCTGCTGGGGGTGTCGAGGTGGACCTTTTTCGTTTCTTCATGTCCATTGTCTTGAAATTTGTATGTTTGCTATACTTCCATGCTGTTTGACGAAGATGGCGATGCTGAATGGAGATGTACACTTGAAGTAAAACGCCACAGTGACAGTTTAAGACGCGTTCTACACGTCAACCGTGTCGCATTTGCCAGTTCGTCATCAATGATCTGGCAGCCTATTCTTTTTCACATTAAGCAAAACTTGAAGATTACCAATTGGTCTATTCGTGTATAGGAAGCAGTACACCATAATCGTATATAGTTCTATCAAACATTCGTAGGAGCAAATGAATGAGCTCTTGGACAACTTAATCTCTCCTAAACGAAGTGCTCATCCAGAAATGGGAACTTCCAAATCAGAGCATCTGTTGCCACCGTTGAATGATGCTACCAGTACTGCCACATCGCCCCGTGAACGGTCTGGCACCGGCTCGTCTTCTGGAACTCTGTCTGATAGCAGGCATTCAATCATCACTACCAGCATCCAACAGCAACAGGCAGAGATACCAAAACCATTGATAGTCACGGGTGCTCCTACTAGAGACCATTGGGTGGTATGTACACTCATCCTTTACGCATTGTTAAGCCTCCTGGACTGCTTGTTTGACTGTGTTGCTGTCGTCGCAGTGTTATCTGTCATGTCACCCTGAAAGTACTCTGTCAATACAGAGGATATTTCAGATGTCAATTCTGAGTCTTGTCATCCATTCTCAGTATCTTTATCAGTATTTTAGTATTAATCTCGTCTCTTTTCTACATAGCCGGACGCTGAACAACAATCTTGTCGATATTGTGGTCTCAAATTCAATCTCTTTGTAAGGAAACATCACTGTAGGAGATGTGGTCTCATAGGTTGTGGGACTTGCTGCTCGGTAAGCCAGAGTTTCGATATATTGAAAAGTATACACCCAAGGGATGATCGAGCAAAAGCAACCGATCGCTACCCTCATGCAAAGGCAACTGATCTGCAGCCTCAACACCCAACTCGCTCGTTCTTACACGCTCTCCCCTTTCAAACAGCAATATTGCCGTCTTGACCAAACGGCTTCATTTCACCCTGCTGGAGTACTATCCAGAGTTTGTCAAGTATGTTGGAGTGACTTTACTGCTCGAGTGGTGCCTGTAAAGCCAGTCATATCTTCAGCTTCTGAAGAAGCAGAAGCTGCTCCGTTAGAAGGTATTGCGATCAGTACTGGAGTGTGTATCAACGTGTGATCTGACTTGCTCTGCTTACTAGATGCAAATGGAATACCCATACTATTGAAGGAAGGAAGAGAACAACCACCACTTCAAACAGTTCCAAATGATTGGTCTTGGAGCACATTTTAAGGCATTGTGCTGTTGAAACCAAATGTCATCAGCATCATCGTTCACTATACTAGTAGTTTCACCTTTCCGTCTTGTCTTTATAAACAATCACGCACTTTAAAGTTTTGTACAGTAGAAAGTAACCGAATGAATAGAGTATTAGAATCACTCCTCAAGTAAAGTGGCAAGTGGGAGCGTTTTGCATAAGCTAGCAGTAGCATCACTTTTTGGACGTCCATCTTTCGAGAAACCTTTCTACAGCGTGATGCGTTCAGGATTCAGATTCATCATTCATCCTTGATTATAACGCGAAAGGATTTCTTTAACATCGTGCTTATTCTTATTCGACATCTGGCCAAGATCTAACTTGAACTTCAACTCATCACCAAAGTACACCCAAATAACAACCATGAGCGTTCCGTTTGTAGCTAGAGATGGACATGTGCTCGTTGTAGAGACAGGATCCTATCGAGTCAAGGCAGGAGTAGCTGAAACTACTGGAACTGTCCTGGTAAATCCAAATTAATCAAATTCCAAACCTTTTCTCAAGCGCAAGCTCCTTTAAACACACTAACTCCAATACGCCTCCAAATTAATTCCATAGAGCATACCGACCCTAGTTGGAAGCCGATCACATACCACCGAAACCCGTGTAGCAAACAAACATGGAGGGATGGCTGGTCATCAACAACATCAAAAAGATGGCGATGATGGTGGTGTCGCCACTGCCAATAATAATGAAGACCATTCCAATGATATGGATGTGGACAGTCAATCAAATAATACTACAGTGAAACGAGTTGTCCATACAGAGAGATTCTGTGGTGACTTGCTGGACGATGAATTACAACGAGTCAACACGTTAGGTCCAACGCAACAATTACACATAAAAAGCGCTATAGAAAACGGATTGGTGTCTGATTGGGGGGATTTAGAAGCTTTGCTGTGAGTATGCATCGAAATGCTTTTACATAGAATGTTGAGCTAACAATGCAATCAATCGGTTACAGGGCAAATATGCTGGCACGACACTTTCTGATACGCAGACGAAATAATACATATCCAATCATGTTTGTGGTGCCAACTAGATGGAGCAAGTTAGAATGGGAAAGGCTAGCTCAAATGGCGTTTGAGAGACTTAATGTTCCTGGATTGTATGTTACGGATCAAGCTCTCATGACTACGTATGGTTGTAATGTACAGACTGCTCTCGTTATTAATATTGGACATGATGTTACTGGTAAGCTCTTGAGAGAAAGCTGTGGAATAAAAGGGACCGCATGGAAGAAAGATGATTCCGAATCGTGTCCGTACAATCACTACTCATATACAATATCTCACATGATCGTCCTCTTTATGCAGAGGTGACTCCCGTAGTCGACAACATAGTCCTCCGATACGCATCACGAACACTTTCAATCGGAAGTTACGATATTGATTCGTATATGGCTCAATTACTACAGTCAGATACAAACATGGTCGCCCAACTGTCGTCAAAATTGGGCGGTGAACAGGTGGATTGGATTCAGTTAGCTCGAACCATTAAAGAATCTAATATCTGTGAAGTGAGATCCATGCCTGCTGAATACTCCAAGAAGGACTTAAGTGTTGCTCCTGTTGAGTTTGAGTATAAAGATGTCAAGGTAAGGAGCAGAGGCATAGGATGTTTTCTTGGCCTTTGGTTTGGCAGACATTGTCTACCCTTCCGTCAGGGCGTTTTGTTGGGTTGGTGCTGCATTCTTGAACCGAGGCTCACGCTTATTCCTTATACCACGATAGATAAATGTCGGGTTTGCCAGAACACATGCAGCTGATGTGCTGTTTGATCCTAAACTGGTGGGCAAGAATGAAATGTCACTGCCAGAAGCTATCGTATCAGCTGTAGCTGCAGCTGTAGAAGTTGAAAGGAGAAAGAGCCTATGGGAGAGCCTGATTCTCACAGGTGCAGGTTGTCTCATCAAAGGTAACAAACAAGATAACAAAAAATGTAGTGTATCAAGCAAGGGATGTTTTGGTAGTGTTGAGGCGGTCAATACGAATGTCTAGGGGAATTTTTTTGCCTCATTCGTCATGTGCTCACGAAAACACCTCATTTTTTCCAGGAATGCCAAAACGCATGGAACAAGAGTTGGCACCTTTTATAGCTGCAGCAGACACAGCCAACGAAAACCAAGCCAAAGAAGTCAACTTTTTGAAATGTCCAGAATTCTTTGTGGCGTACAAGGAAAGACCACATGATTGGAGCTTCTTGGGTACTAGTGTCTTGTCCAAGGTAAGCAATGGGAGTTGTGTTGTGGTGTTGTTAGTGTTAATTCGCATGGCCGCCTCTGATGCAGTGTTTTTTTGGCAACATAGTACGTGTTTATTGACACCAGATCGTATACGAGCAAGGTTGAATATAACGAGTATGGACCATCAGTTATAACGTCCTCGACTCCACGAGACAATAGATGAGGGGATGAAAAATATTTTTACATGTATAGTTTGGCTGCTAATGTGTTGTAAAATAAAAGGCCGTAAGTAGAAGCACAATCCCTTGAGATTTTTATGTTTCTTCTATTATGGTCTTTTTACAAGCAAGACATTTGTTTGAAAAAGTAATTCAGATGTTCGAAATAGAAGACTCATACTCACTTGCCATTAGACGACCTGCGTTTTATTATATTCCAAAGATATGTAAACCACCTCTAAATTTATACAAATACCTACATAACCATGCTGTACATAAACAGAAGAACACCATCAATCCATCTCAAATTCACTCTCATCACCACCACCATTTACACCATCTCCTCCCCCACCAATATCATCCTCATCAGCCTTCATCACATACGAAACTCTACCACGTGTAGATCGTGCCGTAGACGCTCGTCTTGAAGAAGACGTTTCCACTACCACAGCGTCCTCGTCATGATCGTCTTCATCGTCATCAGATACAACACGACGAGACTTTGCTACACCATTGCTATTAGCACCACTCTTCCTCCTCTTACTGGCACTACCACCTTCACTCCTGTTGTTGCTATTGCTGCTGCTCCTTTTACGTTTAGATGGTGAGCTAGTTGATACTATAGCTCTTGATGATGGTGGTGAATTGATATGCTTGGTCAAGAAATCTCTAGCACCACCAACATCATCATCACTACTACTTTCTTTATCATGTTCTTCATCATCGGAGTCAACAGCATTGCTATACACCGACCGACGTTTCGGTAGTCGTGTACTACTATCCGTATCATCGTTATCGTCGTCTTTGTCATCGTTTTCTATACTACCGAATGAGAAGAGCCGGTTTCTTGAGGTCTGTTTGTCGTCATCACCCACATTCTTAGATTGGTCAACTGACGATCCATTTCGAGTTGGGAATTTTACTACAACAGGATCATCATCGTCGACATTGACTACAGGATTCCAAGCCTTTGTAGGCTTTGTTCCATGTTTAACTCCAACTACAGCGACATCTGGACTAGCCTGTCGACTGCTACTACTTAAACTAGTGGGAGTGGTGGTATTCTTTTTAATGGGTAATTTGACGGTTGTAATTGCAGCAACTGAATTCCAATCATCGTCCGAATCTCCATCTAAATCGATGACTTTGGGTGGTTTGGGCTGTTCAGTTGCTGTGACAGTTGATTCGGTCTTGGATGAAGGGACCTTGTTTAAGAAAGTGGATAAAGAGGCTCGCTTCGTGCCTAACTCTACATTAAAAGATCGTGAGCGCGAACAAAGAGAGCATACGTCCTAGCTAGCTTTACCTAGAATCTTCTTGCTCTCATTCACAGCTTTACCACTGTCCACCTTCTTGACATCACTAGTACCTTTACTGCTCTCGGCAGCCTTCTTGGCCTCATTTGACCCTTCGCTGCTACTGTCGACTTTCTTCTTGATCGAATCTGCACTTTTACCTGTTTCGTCTTTCTTTGCAGTGTTGCTTGAACTGGCCTCCTTGGTAGTAGCAGCAGCAGTTGGTGGTTTCTTAACTGCAGCTTTTGAAGATGCCTTTGGCTTGACGACGACCAAATCTTGAGGAGAAAGAAATGACGGCGTTAGTCTAAGCAATCATATTGTCGTTTCATTGGTTTTTTGTTGTACAGAAGTTTCTAAATCATACCATTAGCATCCTCCATCTCATCATCAGTATTATCACGAGTTGGTACTTCATCGTCATCACCTCCATCGAAGGAGACATCGTCATCCGATTCATCTTCATTTTTACGTTTCGATGTGGTTGATGATGAAGTGGCAGCCTTTTTAGAAGCACCACCTGTAGAACTCTTTCGTGGCTTACTGATGGTTTTACTGGCAGTGATTTTGCCTTTGCCCTTCAATACTTTGGACATTGTTGCAGTTTCACGATCTGTTCGATCGACTTCTGTTTTCTAGGTTCAATGAAAATCTGGTGTCACAAAAAAACCACGATAATGCGACTTAATGATGGTCAACTGTTTGAAAGCAAACTCACATTCCATTCAGCAATGAAAGCATCCAAATCCGTCCTCCATAAATCCTTGACTGGAGTACCCTCCAACTCTTCAAGTGCAAACCGTTTCTTGTCTCGTTCAGCTTCTAGCTTCTTCATCTACAAGGACCAAAAAGGCGTCAGCCAACATCCATCAACGCCCTCATGCTCGACTTCTCAATAACACCAACATACCTTCTCAGACGTCAAATTCCATATTGGCATAGACAAGAGGTAATCATAGCCATGCGCAATGGCATTCTCGTCATCATCACCTCCATCATCGACCTCTCCTTCATCATCTTCCCCATCAAGAGATTGATGATCTCCAACAGTACCGTCCTTTGATATAGTAGCATAACCGTGACTCTTCAGATCACGGTAAATGTCTTTTCTAGGTCGATTCTGGACTTTGATGTTGCCAATAATCACATCATAAATAAATCTGACTTGATTGTCCAGTTTGGTGTATTCTTGTTCGAGCTGTTTAACCAGAAATGCCTAACATTTGAAAAGAGCTATTGCGTTGGAACAAATGCGAAGAGTTTCAGAAGCCAAAAACGCCGTGCATGATGGACCTTTCGTTTCTCATATAAATCAAGCCTCAAATCATAATACTCAGTCATAATATCATCAACAGACCGATACTTGGTCAATATTCCATCCTTGTTGAACAGGACCATGTTTGTAGTTGCCTTGTTACTGGTCATTTTAAACTTCTTTTCGAGCCCTTCTTCAAGTACTTGTTTCATCTTTTCTTCACTGAGTGATATCACAAAGTGAACAGTCGTGTCTGTGTGATATTCTTTGTAATCCTAGAGAGATAATAAATTAACATCTTGAAGACCGGAGCGAAAAAAATACAGGATGGCAATGTCTAGTACCTTGATGGTAGGCTCAACATTCTCCTTCCCAATCAACATAACTTCTAGGAACTCTTTATACGTTTGTGTCCATGATCCAATAGGCAGTTCGGTAATCTCCAAAGTGGTATCGTCAAGCTGACTTATAATGCCTGAGAGCTTGTACTTGTCTGCACCGACTTGCTCAATGGTGCCCTACATACGCAAAAAAAGATGGAAATTAATTACTAAATTACATGCTGTACAAGATTAGTGCCATTGCACACCTTGAAACCACGATACCACGGATGCATGATCTTAAAATCTAGTCCATCCATGCGGCGTTTGAGATTTTCGGCAACATCAATTGGATGGTAATTGGGCACACTCGTTGCCCATCCTGTCCCAATACCCTCTGCACCATTCACCAGAATCAGTGGCAGAATTGGAATGTACCTGAAAGAAGAAAATTGAAATATGTGAGTCACAGCAACAAAAGCAAAAGAACCTCAGTAGAACGGGATTGCATACCATTCAGGTTCAATCTTCATGTTTTCCTCATTCAAGTAAGTCACCAAATTATCATCAGCAGGATGAAACAACATTCTGGCAACCGGTGACAAGAGCGTAAAGATGTAACGACCATTCGCTGCATCTTTACCACCTTGTAAACGTGTACCAAATTGGCCACGAGGTTCAAGTAGATTGATGTTGTTGGCTCCGACATAATCCTGAGCCAGTCCTATTATTGTGGCTTGCAGTGATTGTTCTCCATGATGGTATGCTGAGTGCTCTGCCACATAGCCAGCAAGTTGGGCGACCTAGGATTTAGGTGTCGACCATTCGTGAGTGTTGGATGTTTTTCGCTGCATGACCCTCAAGAATCACGACTTTGTTACCTTGATTTCATTTTTCACCAGATTCCTCTTAAAGCAAGCAAAGAGGACTTTACGATGACCAGGTTTAAATCCGTCGACCAGAGACGGTATAGATCGAATATTGTCTGCCATACTAAACAAGATCAACTCCTTGTTGACAAAGTCTTCAATTTTGATGGCTGCAGCTCTGTTATCAAGAAATGTTCCTGGCTAAATGTGTAACAAGGAAAGAATGAGTACCTCGACACCACAAACTCTCAACAGCATCTGTAAAATACAAGACACTTACAATATAACCGCCAATCCACTCTTTACGATCATCCGTCTTCTTCTTATTGAATGCTAGATCGATAGCATTTCGATCATTTTCATTCGCAGACTTGAACGGTTTCTTGTGACTGTCCATGCGAGAAAAGTATTTCCTGGCATCTGCCGCTGTAGATGTACCAAGACCCTGTTAATAAATTGGACGAAATTGTGTCAGTAAGCTGAGAATCGTTCGACGCAAAAACAGACGGGTTATAGCATGGATGGATGTGTCCTACACTAATGACTTCTGCAACGCATTACCTTGTAGTACTTAATGTTCCAACCTTTACCGCCAGCAGTATCTTCCTTCCATTGTTCATATTCAGGAATCGTATAGAATGATAGATCACGAGGTCCTTTAGTCACCTTCGAGCAGGAAAAAAAATTGCACAGGTTATCGATGTAGGTCAACAAAGGGTGATATGACAGCCCGCATTTACCTTGACGATAGGAGTAATAAACTCCAACAAGAATCCTGGAATCTTGAGTAAACTGGGCCAGTAATGATCCAAGAAATTAATGAGCAGTCCTTTAATATGAGATCCATCATGATCCTATATCGTTAATGAGTGAGATACGAGTTTGTACATCAACAAAAAAATCTACTAAAAGCCACGTATACTTGATCAGTCATCAGCATCAAATGCCCATATCTCAATCCTTCAACGGAGGCATACACTTTATTATGCTGCAACCCCATAATCTTCTTTAGATTATTGATTTCAGCATTATCAACCAGTGACTTGTGAGCAGCATCCCTCACATTAAGCAATTTTCCACGTAATGGAAAGACACCGAAATTATCACGCCCAATAACAGAGAGGCCAGAAACAGCTAATGCTTTAGCTGAATCTCCTTCTGTGAGAATGAGGGTACAATGACGTGCGTTTTTCGTGCCTGCATTATTGGCATCGTCTAGTTTTGGTATTCCTGATATTCGTGATCGTTTGACTCCATCGGTTTTTTTCAGTTGCAGGTCTTGTTTGGCTTTGGCTAGAGTCATGATGTTGTCGACGATACCAGATTTGAGAACTACAGAACACAGTGTGTAAGTGGAATGGCATATAAACGATACGAGTGAAGTCGTGTTTTAGCTCCTTTAACACATCGTCTTTCTCCTCATTCATTTCTCTGAAAACGTACCCTTCTTCATAAAAGCTTCCGTCAAGGTACATTTAGAACCAAATTGAGAGACTTTGGCCGTCATGTTTTCTTTTGTTTGAGAGTCAAACGACGGATTCTCAATCTGACAATTCACAAAAATCCACATGTGGTTTTTGATTTGTTGAGGTTTTATAGTACCGGTTGCTGTCTTTGTCTTTTTAACAGCAGCTTCCATGATTTGCTTGACTATCTGATCTGTGACATGGTTTACGTGGAAGCCTCCTTTTGATGTACATATACTATTGACAAAGCTGACCTAGGTTTTGAAGGGAGCGCAAAGAAAAGAAAGTCATTCGGCGTGAATATCAAATGTAAAAGCATCATGCTTCACAACGCATAGACACTGACTTGTTGGAATTGACCATCACTAAGCGTAAAAGCGACTTCCCAACGTTCATGAGGCCGTTCAATAATGACTTCATGCTTGGATCCATCTTCAGTAGTACCCTTCAAGTACAGATTTACATACTGCTTGAATCCTTTAATTGTGATTTGTTCGTCATTCAGAAACACTTTGACGCCAGTTAGAATACCAGCCATATCATATACACGTTTCTTCATGAGCGATATTATATCGTCATCTAGCACTTCCATTCCGAAACGTGCTAGATCAGGCTTGAAGGTAATTCGTGTAAAGTCGTTCTTGGCAGCGTTCTAGTATAAATTGACAGATAGGGGGAAAATTTAATCCATATTGTCAGTTGAAGGCGTTCAACACTTGAAACTCACCGTGATGCTAGGTTTGTCTCGTTGAGACATATTCTCTCGGAAAACCTGTTGATGAAAACAGAGAGAGTCAAAAACTTGTGTGAATACGACGAGAATCAAGAATTTGACGACCATGCGGAAAAACAAGATATGCTGTTCAAATATAACTCCAAGTTTACCTGTTTAAACTTTTTCTTTGACTCTGCATGCGAAGTCTCGACAATAAACTCCTTACTAAAGATATTGCAAAGCTTTGCACCATAACCGTTACGACCACCAGTGACCTTCTTTTGCTCATCGTCATAGTTTGATGAGGTCAAGAGATGACCAAAGATCATTTCAGGGACATACATTTTCTCTGCAGCGTGTATTTCGACGGGTATACCGGTACCATTGTTGTATACGGATATCGTGTTTTTGGATTGGTCGATAGTGACTTTTATTTGATCCATGGAGGGATCATTGACCTTGTTGTCCGCTAGAATGAAAAAGATTTGTGTGAGATACTGTGAAACGCTTTCCCAGAATGCTCTTGCGATTTTATATGCGTATTTTTGGTTCTTTGAGTGCCACGATGTGATCATCCTCTCCTTGATTCTCTTTTCCACGCAATCCTCCCGAACACGATATAATGCGATATCGACGTGTACATACCAGCATTTGAGAGGATTTCGTCGAATATCTTGTACAGTCCAGGTACAATGTTGACAGTCTTGAAGACCATTTGGTCATCCTCGTAGACCCACATAGGTTGGGCATTAGACATGACGGAACCGACGTAGGAATCAGGTCTTAGCAAGATATGTTCGAGCTGAGAGACTCGTTGATATGTTTCCTAAAGTAGATAGGAGCAAAAAGATGAGACAGATGTCGGAAGATAGGTCGGGTGTTGTTCTAGGCCTTACTTCGAGAGTTTTAGCCTTCTTCTTGTTTGGATTCTTCTTGTTTGTCGAAGAGGAACCGTGATCGTTGGGATCGTCGACGTCCCTCACGTCGAGGTCATCCTGAGCTTTCCTCTTTGCAGCGTTTGATTTTGGAGCAGCAGCAGTAGGCTTCTTGGTCTAATAAGTAAAGCGATGTATAGAGTTAATTTGACGAGTTGATCTGAATTGAATGAAGGAAATAATGAAAACAAGTTGCCTTTGTCTTTGATGCCTTCGGTCTCAAATCATCAACATGGTCGTCCTGAAAGTCAGAGTCTTGATCTTGATCCGAGTAGGTGTCGCTGTCACCTTCATCGTCTGATGTCATGGCTGAAATGACTGTTGATATCTATCTCTATATATGGGTGCTTATTACTATACTTTGATTGTCTATGACATTGCTTGTTTTGCGTTTGGAAAAGACAGATTCAGCCAATAGCTCGTGTTGCAACGTGTCATATGAACGAGATACTGCAAACATCGCGTCAAGGACTATATATCGACCATTTCCAACCAGTCCTGAGCTCGGAATCTGGTCATTAATTTTCATTGTTTCTCGTACCAATTTGCACACGTACAAGTGAACATACCATAGGCAACCACCCTGGAGAGCCACCTCCTAGTTAAGACTGCTATAGGAAGCACTCCTTAACATAGTATCAGACCAGGATGGGCAACCATGCGCCGCCGTATTCAGCGACCAAACGATATGATACTATAAGGAAACTGGTCAAATCAGCTAGCATTGCTAAAGATTGTATGAAGAGAGGAAAATCCTTGTCCTGGAGGCTCTCTATGAGACGTCCTTACTCTCTTGCTCTCGAATATATGGTCTCAAAGTCGATTAAACATTTACGCACAGTTGAGAGGGTATGTATCTCAGTCATGCTTCCTCATCGAGTTACTGTGTTTCTACCTAGTCTTCATACTCCATTCTTGAATTGTTGGTGGTATCAGATTACGTCTGAATTGATTCAAATCATTATTCACTAAACCCAAGGATCACATAGTAACCCACCGTATTCACTATAGGCATGCGTCAGAGCCGTAGAACGAGGGTCGGCTATTAGTGATGCCCTGCTGGAAAAGACTCTGAAACTCGCTGAACAGAATATCGGACTGGATGTCGACACCACTGATACTCCCAATACTACAACCACCCCGTCTGATGACACGGTATGATATCCGCTGCTCCTGCTGCTGTGGTTCTCATCATGCAATCTCTAAATCCTGACTTTTGTGTACAGACGACCGTTACCATCGAAGGGCGATCAATCAAGTTTGGATCTAGGACGGATCCTAGAAACAAGACATATCCAATGGATGAATATGAAGGAACTGGATATCTGGGATTGACTTTTGTCATCAAGGTAAAGGTCCTTATAAAAGGGATTTGTCACCTCGTGATCGCTCTTGTGGGCAAATGTTTCCTTGCCCCTATATTTACACGAATTAACGCTCATACCACAAAATACAGGCAATCTTATACGTCCTCGAAAACATCCCAACCGATCAAAAATGTAGAATCTTCCTAGATAATGCCTTCCTGGTCCACGTCCTACGAAACCCGGAAGTTTCGCTACCCATTCCTCGGATACTCGAGCCCCTAGTAGAAAAAGTCAAACAACGGTCTGGTCACCTCAACTGGTTTTTCGCTGAAACCGGTCTCTCAGATGAAGAATATAATGGTTACGACTCGTCATCTGATGATGAGGATGACGAGGACGATGATGATTGTCATGTTGAGCAGCTCGCAGATACTGGTGTGCCATACACCAATTTCAGGCCATTTAGAATAGAAGATCATGTGGAGCCCACATTTCCTCCAGGATGTATGTTACAACCGAATTGTTTTGGATCCCAACCTCTGCTAAGTTTTTGACACTTGCTTTTCTGTCTGATAGATTTCGACAACGCAGCCAGGTATCGTCGTAGAACTCGTACAATAAGATCAGATATATCGCTGCTATCTTCACTCTCGGAACGTGATGCTCGCAGAGACACCCAAATCATCCGACGTGGTCAAACCGGTACTAGTAGTGCGACAACCCCTATGAGTGGTGGTAGACCAGCAATCGAAATAATAGCTGTCGAGGAATTAGAATCAGATGACGAAGAGGGTGACGACGAAATATCCGGAGAAGAGCCACTACCAACCACACAAGGTGATGGAGTCGCCAACTGGTGGGAAATGGAGGACGAATACGCTCACACTGAGACTGATGAAGAGGAGGGTGACGATGACGTTAGTGGATTCCGTCTAGCTGGACGACGACAATCACTGGACGTTGATGATGGTGACGAACACGAAGTCGACGAAGATTCAGTAGCGGAAGAGGACCGTAATGGGTGGAATCGACTGCTAATGGAAACGTTTGGTGGAGGTGATCGGGCCTCATCAGGTCAACATCACCGTCGTTCTCGAGGTCCTAGAGCAGGACCTAGCTTTAGTAGAGACGGTACTCCAACATTGTTATGAGAAAGAGCCACACGCATAAGAAGATTTCACCGATTTGGACGTCTGCTGTTGTAAGATATAGGATAGAGCAAAAAAAAAACACATTTATATATGACCTTGTTGAAATGATGTGTTTTTTTCAAGTTGGAAAAGGTACAAAGGTTTGAAATTTTGAATCACACTAGCACTTTCTATGAAAGTGGTGCTGATTCCTCTCGATTGATATCTTTAAATCGAGACTGTAAAGGTACAGTGGCTTCCTTGACAAGAAATTGTAACTCGTATACTTCATGTGTTGGTTTTGGCGAGAGGCGTTCAGCAGACCGGTGTGTCTGGCGTACTGGTTGCTGATTCTGCGGATGTTCATTCAGCTCCAGATTGTACAGAGGGATATTGCAGATATCGTCCGACCAGCAGAGATCTTTGTGGTTTGTGAATCTTGTTCACAGGTGCGCATCTGCCACATCGTTCCCAGTATTTTATGTCAGCTTTTGTATATGATCGTGCTTGTATACAGAGACTGGTTACCAGGGAATCGTTGATATAAGTGAATGAAGCAAATCCGGCCTACCTCATCGGAAGTTCAGCTTTGATGGCTGAAACTGTTTCATGCGAGATGATTCAGCTAATAATCGGTCAGATCCTGCACCAGAAATTAAGGGATTACCCCGAAAAGATTTGAATCTGATTTCGACCGTGTTGCAAAAGCATACGTAGCTCTGCCTCATCGCAGTCGCCAGTTCAACAATTCCATCATCGTCCTACAGAAAGGGATAAGTAAACTGTCTAAACAATTCCAAGATACGATGAACTTCCAGATTGGTTCCATCGGAGCACATCTTCCTTGAAGCATATCTATCGAGAATGTTTGCATTTAGTCGCATGAATTCCAACGCCATAGCACAAAGTCATACCCCGTTAGACTCTAAATCCGACAAGAAACGTACTCCAAATGACAAATTTGCTCCGTCTCTTTCCAATGCATTTCTACTCTGCTTCGAAACAGGAGCTTGCGTCAAAAAGTCAATTGGATGATGTGTCGATCGTGTTTGAGGTCATTGGAGGTCAGATTCTGGTGCCCATCATGAATCGATTGATAACAATTTGCAGTTTATATTACTTATTCGCTATCAGGTTCGCTCATGGGAAGTTGGTTGGTTTAGCGAGGTTGAAAGATGTGAAAGTAGTGGTCGTTGGGTGTGAGCCTCGATACCAGGTTCTTGACGTAAAGTCTACCCAGCAATGGTTAGCCAGTACGTCACTAAAGAAGGAAGTAGGCTGGTCTCATAGTCTGGCCAAAAACCTAGCATCCCTACGGTGATATCGGCACTTCGACCCTTGCGACAGCACTTTTAGTGGTACATTTCAAGGACCAGAATCGTCCTTTTGCATTGCGTAAGCGCTCGTGAACATCTAAACTTGTTTTCGACTTCTTTCGTCAGCACCTTGTCTCTTCATCTTCTTCAGGCACCTTGTCTCTTCACCTTCTTCACTCAACGAAATTTAATAAACCAATGAAAGCATAATACCAAAATATGGACCAACGATATCGTCTCCTTTGCTTGTGTATGAATGCGAGATACTACTCGTCTCGAAACAGTTATAGCTCATTGGGATTTCGGACCAGTACCATATATTGGATTGACTACTCCTTCCAGTTTGGATTTCTGCTCTTCCATGTCTTGCATTCGTGGCAGTAAATCCTATATATTCTCGGTTGACTATTCCATCCAGAGTCGTTTTGATGCAGCACACAATACTCAATTTTGTCCGACTGGCCTCTGAATATCGATTGGCTTATTCAAAGATAAACGAGACACACATTCAAATATGAAGATGTCAAATTGATGATTTCTTTACACTTGCCAAATTCACAAAGGTCTGAAATTTGAATCACTGTAGTACTTCTATGCAAGTGCAGCTGATGCTTCACGATTAATTTCTTTAAATCGAGATTGTAATTGTGCAGTTGCTTCCTTGACACGGGCTTGTAACTCGTATATTTCCTATGTTGGTATTGGACGGAAACTTAGCATGCAATCGTCGAGTCAGCGAATACGTACTCAAGCAAAATCAACACTCGATCATATGCTCGCACCTTGGGAGAAGACAAGGGTATCGACGATACAGAGAAACTGCTCACCAATGACAAGAGCTTCGTTTCAGCTTGCATACTACATTGAGGGAGGAAAAAAGAAGATCAGACCCCCAACAGACAGGCACTGCATGACAAGCAAACACTTTCATACCTTTCCTTGACACCATTTGGAATAGTCTCCATAAACAGTCCATTTAGGGTCTCTTGAGAACTCCCGACTCGATGAGACAACTCTTTCCCAACATGATTCACATTCTCTATCGACGCTCCAGATTCACATCCCAAACTTGTTTGAATGGAGGTGAGAAGTGAATCGTTCATCGCATCGGGAGAACCGGAGGACAAGAAATTCTAGTTTGAAAAAAACGGTCGGTTCTGCTGTGAGAAAAAATTGGAAGCCCAGGTAGATGCATGACTAACCTGTCTCTTCACACTCTGATTATGACGTTCTTTGATATCCTGCAACAAACTCATCACCATTGCTTTATGAGACTGCATTGTCTCCTTGTCGGAGGACAATATGCTTAGTAGCAATGAATGGAAGACGTGTTGCCGTTTGAGCAGATCTTCAGCCTAAGACGAGTAATCGAATAGTCAGTCATGTCATTGGAATTTTTTTTTCGTTTACACGGTACCTGCTCGGCTGACTTGATTGTTTCAGCTTGCTTGGCTATGTTTTGAGAGAGGCGTAACGATTTGACTGGATGAACGATTTGGAGGTCTGCGATATAGTTCAAGATCAGAGCCAAATCTTGGTTGCAAATGGTAGAGATCTGATCGTCCAGATCAATAGTTTCATATTGCAAAGCATTTCTGTTTGATAAAGGCGTATTATTAGAATTGGGCGAAAGAAAGATCGCTGCGTTTTAGCCATACGTTTGATCATTTGCACCGCCGTCTTGCAGAATCCTCCTTTCTAGCTCTAGAGCAGAGAGCTTCTTCTTGGAGGACTCTAAAGCCAGACTCGCTTGTACGAATTGTAGTTCCGTCAATGTAAATCTAGTTTGTTTGGCTATGAACGATGTTGAACAAGTTTGATCTTCAGACAAAACATGTACTTACAAGCTCCGCAATCTGTTGATTTCATAATTCACCTCATTTGGACCCCAACCCCCAGCCATACCACCATATTCTTCTGCTTCTGTCTGCTGGCAGAAGAATGAATGTTGGTAAATCATTGACACATCGATCAAGCTATAGCATAACGGCAACTCACAGGCATCTCCAACCAGTCATTCGAGATCCATGACATTGCAGCATTCCTCATCGCATCATCAGCAGATTCAAACTTGGCGACTTCTTCGTGACATTGATGCAGGTATACGTCAGGTGTACTCGTTGCTGATCCTGCGGACATCAATTCAGCGCCAGATTGTACAGAGTTCGATATTGCAGATATGGTTTGAGTAGCTGAGATACAAGTGGTTTGCATTTGTTGTTCAAGCATGGAGTCTGCAAGATCGTTCTGCCGTTCCCAGTGTTTGATGTCGGCTTTTGTTTCTGATCTCGCTTTTCTACAGAGAGTAATTACAATGAATGTCTGATAATAAAGGCTGTGGCGAAAACGGACATACATCAACGTTGGAAGTTGAGCTTCCAACTTTAATTGAAGCTGTTTCAAGCGAGATAATTCATCTGCTAGTTGATCAGATTCGGCACTAGCAAGAGACAAATACTATTCAGTATCGATGCAGGCAGGTTATGCTGTTTCCCGTTGACGTACATGAGCTCGTCGTCGTCGCAGTCGTCGTCCTGCGCAAATCCATCATCAGCCTATTGAGACGAATGAGCATAATGTCCGAATAATTCTAAAATACAATAAAATACCATATCCGATTCATCCAAGCCCAACTTTCGTAGAGCTGCATATCTACATTAAAGATGATGTTTGGATAGTGTGTCGCAGCCATGTCAGATTCACAAGGAAACGTTCATACCCGTTGGACTCTGTATCTGATAGGACACGTATTCCATATAATGAATTTGCTCTATCTTTGTCCAATGCGCTCTTATTCTTCTTCACAACAAGAGCTTGCGTCAAAAAGTCGATTAAAAAATGGGAGTTGGATTGTGATAGAGCCCATTGGAGATCAGATTCTAGGATATCGGATGTCTCGAATATGGAGTATCCTAGTGCGGTTAGTGTATTTGCTAGATTTGAGGCCATGTGGTTGTGTTTGTCTGCCAAATATTATATCGACTCAGAACAAGCGTTTCTCGCTGTTGGGTCCAGCAAGGACAAGGCAAGTGGCCGCACACTTTTCAAAACACTTTTCGACAAATTTTGCTGCTTGGCGCACGTCGACTCGGTCCTGAACAGGCTGATCTGATTTGCACATTTTAAACTAGTGATTTTCATTTTGCAGATGGTGTTTGGTATTGGTTGATTTGAGCCATGTTTGAGTTGATCAGACACCAAATCCTGGTGCTCACCAAGTTCTCTATATTGGATTTTCATGTATGGTGTACTCAGTTGGTAGATTCGGGCCTTATGGGTTCCTTCACCATTCCTCAGTTTCCGTATCTTCATGTAGTTTCCCAATATTAGAAAACTCGACCATTGAAACTCGACGCGTCATTTGACATTGAAAGTCCAAATTATCGTAAAGGTGTGTTCCTCCACAACTTCACAATACTCAAAAACAAGCTTGTACCCTTTTTCGCAAAACATTCACGATTCATACAGACAGGCAACAACACAAAGCCCTAGAGCTCTAATAGGCTTCAATTATCCTATCTTTGTTGTATTCAGATGTACGTTGCTTTCCCTTTGCTGTTTGCTGTCTACATACAACGACTTTACCGTTAACGATCTGGTAGTAGGAGGCGATGAGTGAGCACGGATCTCGTCATAAAGAAAGCAAGAAACGGTCTAGAAACGATGATGAAGACAGCGAACATGCCGATTCGCGATTTGGGCAGCCAAAGATCACGGCTGATGATTACTTTAAAAAATCATCAGAGTTTAGACTATGGTTGAAGGAAAAGGAAGACCTGTATTTCACTGAATTAGACGCTTCGAATGCTCGGAAGTGGTAGGGCTGAGAGTTTTGCTCCTTGCTTATAACTGTACAGTGGCTCGACATTTGAGAGCTCCACTTCCCTGCACAATGCCTTTACTTAACACTTCTATCAATAGGTTTGACAAGTTTGTAAAGAAATGGAATCGATCAAAGCTTTCTGGTAGGTCCCTCTCTGCAGCTTTCTCCGTGTTTGGGGTTCGCAGCAATGAATATAGACTTTCTCCAATATCTACAGAACGCTATTATCGAGGTATTGCTTCTACAGAGCTACATAGTTCCGACCAAACTCGATACAAGTGGAAGCTCAAGAATGTGGTATGTTGTCTCTAAGAGTTCAAAGTTTCGCTGCACAATCCCAACTTTCCGCTCCAACATACCCAAGGCATTAGAATTCTCTGTATAACACTATCTGACACCTATTTCTTTTATTAGGACGAGGATCAATTGATGAGCGCCCGAGATTCGGTCGACGACATGACTCAATCAACAAAATACCTCAACAACACTGGTGGTGACGGCAGCAATAGAGACGATACGTCGAAACGAGTCATGGGCAAGTTTCTAGCATTTCAAATCCATGAAACGTCGTAGGTGTTAACAATTTGGTCTATAATAGGCCCGCACCGACCATTGCCAGTGGGGCCATCGCTACCTACTTCAAGATACAAGCCAAACGAGGATATGGACGATGAAGACCGACTACGATATGAGAAGGGTATGGCCAAAAAGGCCAAAAAGTCGGAACAATCGACACATCAGGCAGTGCTCGACGAGATTGCTCCAAAAGCTACTGGCCGCGATGCAATTCTCGATAAAAAGAAGAGCATAACGGCGTATCATCGCCAAGAAAAAGACACCGATCCCGAATTCAAGGAAGAGTTCTTGATGGGATCTACATCATCCAGCTTCCAAGCCGCGTAAGAGTCTTTGCATGTGTTGGATTGTTCCTTATTTCATGAGTGTTCAACTATTCTCTGATCTCATCGTGTGTTGCACTATTATTGATTTTCATCCACTGATATGTTAGGGTTGCTGAACGTGAGAGAGCAAGGCAACGAAGGGACGGTTCTCGTCAAACAAAGACTGAAGAGAAGGCTGCTGTTGCTCAACATGCCGTGTCGGCCTATCGTCAAAAGGAGGACGCGACGATAGCCATGCTTAAGGCCATGGCCGAAAACATCCGCAAGTAAAGATCTGTAATCCTTATGTAAAATAAAATACATCGTTGTATGTTGACCTTGCTGATGGAATTCAAATACGGGAATTCTCAACGGAAGTTCAGCCACGATCGTGATTACTTTATGAAATCGGTAAAAGTACAGAACGCAGGTGAACGACACCAAACGACGAGCCTCCCTTTGTAAACAGTTCACTAAATCTGTTTCCCAGACAGGTAGTTTTAGTCAAGTAGAGGGAGACGCATACAGTGGAGTTGATGCATATCCCGATCAACCTGTTCGATCTAGTTGGAAGTTACGAAGGCTGTTCTAGTTGTTACCGTGACGAGACGTTAACCAGTCAAGTGTGTTAAAAGGTGATGGACAGCTTCTTCTTTGTTCCTCCACCTTCTTCAAATCATGGAGAACAGACTAATGGACAGGTATTAATGCTGAACTATCATCTAGCTTGTTTCGAACACGGTGTTTTGGAGACATTGCGCAGAAAAACTTGAATTTAACTCCAACTTTATTATTCATTAGCAGCAACGACTTCCGCCGATGGGAATATCAGCTGCATCAAGTAGTCCAATGCTGCCATCAATTGACCCTTCTTTGCCATTACAACAGCCACGTCCACAACAACAACCAATGCCAAACGCCAATATCACGAATATAGGACGAACCAACTATTATAGTAATAATAGCAATACAGCATCAGCAGGTTCACCACTGCCATCCATGAACTCGAATCTAGGCATGTCTGGATCTACGGGATTTCCTCTCGGAATGCATCCTTCTTCGCATATAGCTGGAACGCATACAACGATACCACCTCACTTAATGCAATATCCCTCGTATTCAACATCGCCGCAGCTTCCAACTTCATATATACCGACCGATCTCAATGGTGCCCAACCCGCAATGAAAAGGCAGAGACTCGACGACAGTAGCAGTAGCAGGCAACAACTATTGGTATCACCGTTTGCTCTTCCTCCTTCTTCATCTGGTGCCCATGCAGCACAAATGGGTTATTCATATCAGAATCCGATAAGAGTAGGAGGAGGATCGCCGCTTCTGCCTCCACATTATATAAATTCTCCACCGCAGCAACAACAACAGCCGCAGCAGCAAAGACCACTTGTAGCAGCATCAGTAGTTCGGCCTGCAATGACGCCGCGTCAGAATCTAGTACTTAATCAAGTATCTGTCGTAGCTTCAAGCTTGAACATGAGTCCTCAACAGTTAGTTGCTGCTGCTCAGCAGGGTCGATTACCACCAGAAGTAATGACGTGGCTGCATCAACTCACTGGTGCACAACCATCGACTCTAGTGAATGGTGCTTCGAATGGAGTAGCCGGATATGCACCGCAGAATAAGCTGCAGCAGCAACAGCACCAACAGCAGCAGCAGCAACAGCAGCAGCAACAACAGCAGAATCGTGCCTATCCTACTCCAGTGTCTAGTGGACAACAGCAGCAGGCTCGACGTACAACTCAGATTTCGCCTCAAACAGGTCATACATCTATGCCACAACCACAATCACAGCAACAAAAAGCTCCATCGAACCTTCTCCCACCTCATTTGTTAACACAGCAGCCAACAGCGGCAGCCCCACCAAATACAATACAATTGCAACTACGACAAGGAAAGCATAGACCAGTACCAAGACCAGAATGGGATGCTAAATGGCTCGCATCTCTGAAAATGCGAAATATACAGATACCACCATCGAACATGGGAGTAGATTTCTACCTGCTATTCTGGAATGTAGTCGCGGAAGGTGGTTATGATGAGGTCTGTAAACGTCAATTATGGAATGTCCCAAATCGTTTTATACCAGGCCGTGGTCCATCGAATCTTGGACAATTATATGGAGCGTATTTAATACATTTGGAAGATGTCATGTTTCCTGGTATGTCGCCCAAGAAACCTGGACTTGTAACTCAATCAACGCCACTAATGAATCAGACACAGTATCCGGCTGTACAAACGAACTCGTCGCCTGTATCGTCACGACAGCAGGAGCAACCAGCTCAATCTAGACAACTATCATCTGCTTCTCCCATTATGTCTATCAACTCACCGATGCGATACGGTATGTCAAAACGGGTTGGCTTGGAATGTTGATCTCATAGCTAACATTTCCTGTTCTTGCTGGTTAGAATCATCCAATGTAAACAACTCTGTAAAAAATGAACCTATTGTCATTTCGTCTCCTGCTAAGGTCGCCGAGGAGGAATCCGTCCCAGCAGAACCACTACCTACTCCATACCCTCTGAAGAATATGGTATATACGCCAGTTGCTCGTAATGTAGATACTCATGGTGGAGTGGATATTAGAACCCTTGTAAAGGAATGGAAGCCTGCTCGCCGCATAGTCAAGGAATCGCTAGGTGAGTTGCGATATACGATTTCTACAAAGCAAAACACAATGTCTGAAAAAGAATGTTCATTGCCTTTGATCTTCGTTTAGGCACTGTAAATATACATATAATTATCATGAAATTACGATCTGCTCTACCCACTCAACTCACAGAAGCTCTAAATACGCTAACTATTATTACTGCCGACCCTGACGAGCCATTACGCCTCAGGCACTGCCCCGATCTCTTGACCGTAATAATTGAGACATTTTTGGGTTGTTTAGGGTCATCAGGCTTATACCCAACTGTAAATCAGAAAAAACATTCCACATATTCAGAGTTACATGACTCTGAAGTACAAGTAGATAATACCTTTTTTCCTAATGCCAAGGTAGCTAGAGATCTAGGAGCTGAATCCGATGAACGGGCTGTAGCATGTGGTGTCATCTTGCGCAACTTATCGTTTGCTCAGGATAATCGAGACACGATGGCACGAACTCCTTTCCTATGGACGGCTATTGATGTCATGTTGCAAGCTGGTGAAAGTAGTTATAGCAGTAGTAGTGATATAAGTGGTAGCAGTAAGAGTGTAGGAACGACGGAAGGTGCAAGTGCACATACATCATTATTTAATGACGTAGAAGACAATGAGGGGCTAACATGGAGGGGTCGAGCACTCGAACATAGAAAGAATGCCGTAATGATGCTATCTAATATCACTGTATCAGACAATGGAATAATCTCTATAGCTCTGAAGAGGTCGCCAGCTACTCAACGTATATTTGATACTCTTGCCGATTTTATGACGGTCTCCTACTCGGAATATAGATACGTGGCAGCTCATGCTCTGTCGCACTTGTGTCTCAGTGCACTAAATCGACCAACAATCATGGGCCTGGAAGCTGGAACCGTCACACGACTTGTAAACGGTATATTAGCTCTACTGCCAATTGGGTTTATGAAATGGGAGGAACTGCCGAATCAAACAGATTACCTTGGTTGGAGTGCTGCTATGATATCTATGTCAAGTTTGTCGGATTTGGGAGGCCATATAGTCGAAGAGATGGTACGAGTCCCCAATATAACGTCCTTGATGAATTTGGTCATGTCGCAGGTATGGAACCAGACCTACTTTTATCAGGATAAAGTACGGGCCTTGGATGTAATGAGTGCTCTGGCATCGTCTGGTCTGGCTGGCCGATCCCTAGTTGCCAAGTTTGAACCAAACTTGATCAAGCTCGCGACCCAGCACTCTCGAGTCGCTGAGGTGGCGGCTGTTGCAGGAGCAGCGAGTGAGGTATTATATTCACTTACGCGTGATGCTACATAGTAAAGTACAAAATAGATTCTGTATATTCTTAGCAAAATAGTAATTCGCATTGATTGTCTCGACTCTCGAAGGCGAACAGTGATCAATGAAGTATGTGGAACGCGCTAGGGCTTCGAATCCATATTCTCTTTGCACCAGCTTTAGAATTGTTTTCTTGTTCGATCATCACTACTCACGATGCAAGACAAAGAGAGACCAGAGCTTACTCTCGGTACGACCATTAAAATGTTCCTGAATCGTTAATATTTGCTTTTCCTATTTATGATTATGTACTTTCCAGCTCACAGAGCTAACATTCAATTTCTAAACTAGACAAGGGATCTGAACAAGGATTTTGCTCCTTCTTCAAGTCGTTGCCTCAAGTACGTATCAAGTGGATCAATTATCCTCTCGTTTGATCTCGCCGTTGCTGTTCTCAAATCGTCTTTGATCAAAACATCAAAATATGATTTCATTCTAGCCAAGTGACTTGAGCTCACAACCATCATTGTTATATAACTCACATAGAAACCTGAAACTACAATTCGAATCTTTGAACGTAATGGTGGTGTAAGCAAAAAAGAGTTTGGGTCTACTAGAGTATTGCGCAGCGAAGCCCACTTCACACATCATTTCATATATAGGAATGGTACAGTGTTCACGGTGACGACGCGCTCTACGTGGCCCAAAACGTGTACAAGACATCAACTGTAATCAAACAGCTCGGCGGTGAAGGCAGTCGAGCTGTTCCAAGCTGCACCTTGAGCAAACTCAACACTGTCATGTTCTTGCGTGATCTCTTGCTCGTGAAACTATATCGGGTAGAGATTTGGGAGCCTGAAGGGAGAAATAATTGGAAGATTAGTAAGAGGGTATGTGTGTTGGATTGATTGGCATAACTTTGTCGTAAGTGGTGTAACGGATTTTGGGTCTACTAGGCATCTCCAGGAAATTTACAAGGCGTTGAGGATTTGATATTCAGAGACAATGACGTGTCTGCTTCGCCAGTTGTGCTGGCAGTTAAACTTGGAAGCAAGAACGATCAGATCGTGAGTACCTTGTGCTTTGTTATTGATGCGAGACTAAATCCATTCTAGTGTGATCCTGAAATTGCTTGTTTGTTAGTACGTTGGAGCCGCATTCGCCGATACCACAACACAACGAAAACTCGGCGTCTCAGAGTTTGTCGATAACGATACCTTGACCAACTTTGAATCACTCTTGATTCAGTTAAGCGTCAAAGAGTGTGTTGTATCTGACGAGACTGGCAATTACGAATTGGCTAAACTCAAGTCTATATTGGAACGATGTGATGTGGTGATTACTGAACGTAAAAAGAATGATTTCAATGTCAAGGACATTGAACAAGACTTGAATCGATTGTTGGGTGAAGGAGTGTCGGTTGCTACTTTACGTATGCAAGCTTTTCATTATGCCCTTTTTGTCGCCAAGGTATTTTAACGGTTTTTACTACACGTTTTAGCTGAATATGATATGAAGTTGGCTATGAGCTGTACAGCATCACTCATCAAGTATCTTGGCGTAAGTCTCAGTCTTTCAAGTTTCCAGCAACAATTGTACAGTCGATCAACCACAATCTCATTTTTTTAGCTCATGAGTGACGATACCTTCCACGGGCAATACGTGATGGAAACTCATGATCTATCACATTACATGCGACTGGATGCTGCTGCAGTCAAAGCTCTAAATATGACTCCTGGACCTCATGATGGTAAAACTATAAACTTGCGCAAGAGTTGTTTGAGGCCCGTAAACTGCATTGCTCGTTCTAAGGTAATCTTTTCTTCGCTAGGCACTCGAAAGAACATGTCCTTGTATGGACTGCTCAACAAGTGCAAGACTAGTCAAGGATCTCGAATGCTGATGCAGTGGTTGAAACAGCCCTTGATGAGTCTGCCTGATATCAGTATGTCGACGTGCTGGAAATTGATGATGGAATTCTGTATTGATGCCCGTCTCAACCTCCCCTAGTCACTCGACAAAATATTGTGGAAGTGTTTTATACGGACACTGAATTACGACAATCGATGCAGGTGCGTGAGAAAAATCATTAACAGCATTCGTTGCAAAACAAAGTATGAACTTTGCTTCTCCAATCTACTAGGAGGAACACTTAAAAAACTTTCCTGATTTACATCGACTATGCAAAAAATTGCAACGTGCCAAGAGTAATTCAGGCTTGCAAGATATCGTTCGCGTCTATCAGGTTGTGATTCGTTTGCCTGCTATGAAGGAATCTCTTGAATTGTATGACGGCACATACCGTCATTTGTTCAAGGAGGTGTATCTTGAGAAGCTAGAGGTATACGACTGACATCTGTTGAGTAATCTGAGGTTCGCTTTTTGCTCAAGATCCATTTTCGCTTAGAACTTTATTGCAAGCCTGACACCGTTGACTGAACTCGTTGAAACCACAATTGATTTGAAGGCCATTGAGATGCACGAGTTTCGAGTCAAAGCTGATTATGATTCAGAGCTGCAAGGTGAAGCCTCCCAAAGTTGGATGTTTCTCGATTTACTGTACTTTTTTGGTCTGATCTTGTTCTCGTTTTCTCAGAAACCAAGGAAAAGATGGACGAGGTTCGAGACCAATTACAACCGGAAGCTGCAAGAGTAGCTGATGATCTTGGAATGGAATTGGAAAAGAAACTCAAGTTTGAAAAGAACGCTATATATGGTTATCATTTACGATTGACTCGAACGGTAATGAACTTGTCTTGATGTCTTGGATTTGGCTTGCCAACTGATTCCTATCGGTTTTTCATTAGGATCAAAGCAAAATTAGAGGAAAGAAGGAATATATAGAACTCACCACTCAAAAGGCTGGCGTCTTGTTCACGACCTCCAGGCTGAGAAAGCTCAGTGATGAATTTCACGAACTGCAAGACAAATATGATACACTGCAGAGTAATTTTGTCAAGGAAGTGGTTGGCGTCGTTGGTATGTGACAACTTTGCTGTGATCTACTGCTGGGATGAGATACTTATTTTTTGGCCTCAACAGCAACTTATTGTGGCGTCTTGGAGCAATTGAACCAAATGATTGCACACCTAGATGTTCTCGTCAGGTAAGTGCAATCGCAAAACTCGAACTCACACGTTCCATCCTCAACAAAAACACGGAATCTATAACTAGCTTCGCCCATGTATCCATCCATGCACCCACTCCATTCGTACGGCCAGCACTCCAACCAAGAGGAGAAGGGGATGTCATATTGACGAAGTCACGTCATCCATGTCTTGAAATGCAAGACGACGTTTCATTCATAGCCAATGATGTCTTGTTGAAGCGAGGTGACTTCACATAAATTTCGAGAGATATGTTTTTGGCACTTTGTGACTCACGTTGCATTTTTGAAATAGGCGAGAGTGAATTCCAAATCATCACTGGGTTCGTATTTGACCTGTTTGACTCTTCAGTAATGTGGCCATCTTCCTTACTTTTGTCATTCGAAATAGGCCCAACATGGGAGGTAAAAGTACCTACATTCGCCAAATCGGTGTAGTTGCTTTACTTGCTCAATGCGGATGCTTTGTGCCCTGTGAAGATGCAGAGCTCTCTATCTTTGACTCAATATTGGCTCGTGTTGGCGCTGGTGACAGTCAAATGAAGGGTGTTTCAACATTTATGGCAGAAATGTTGGAAACCGCTTCTATCTTGAGGGTAGAGAATCCATCGAACTCGTTTTCATTTTTCGTTTCGGAGTCCTGACATGTGGTTTCTCATAGTCTGCGACATCAGATTCGTTAATCATTATTGATGAATTGGGACGTGGTACTTCTACATACGACGGGTTTGGATTAGCTTGGGCTATCTCTGAGTAAAATTCATTCAATTCTCCATGAATACTGATGCATACTCATTCAAATCTTTTCTCTCTCGGTATAGACATATCGCTACGAAAATCAAAGCCTTCACCATGTTTGCCACTCACTTCCATGAATTGACGGCCTTGTCTGACCAAGTCTCGACCGTCTCAAATCTTCACGTCGAAGCTATGGCTGATGACAAGAGCATCACTCTGATGTATAAAGTCAAGCCAGGAATTTGCGATCAAAGCTTTGGTATTCATGTGGCTGAACTAGCTGCTTTTCCTGAAAAAGTCATCAATGTGGGTTGTGGTTTTCTTCCAAGCCAATGGGCCAAACCCGATGTATATAATGCAGAATATGAATGAATGACATATCTGGTTTCTTTGATTTGTAGTTGGCAAAGAGGAAGGCTGCTGAATTGGAAGACTTTACGTCATCCAATGATACTGAAGAGAGATCGAGCAAGTATTCCAAACAAGAACTTGAAGTCAGTATTCGTGGCCTTAAATCAACATTTTTGGTGCAAGACTTATGAGCTCTCTATATTTAGGATGGCAACAAGACTATTGAGAATTTCTTGAAGGAATTAGCTGAGAAATCTAGGGACCAAGATGATGCAGATGCAACCATGAATACTGTGAACGAGTTGCGAGAAAAGTACAAGCAAGAAATTGATAGCAACACCTACCTGAGAGACATGGTTGTCGAATTGTAGAAAATATAAATTGTAAGTAAAGGAACATCGGGATTGGTAGAATAAGATTCACATATGTAAAGAATCCTTCGTTTCTTTGTGCATAGTACCTTATGTGTCCTATGAAAGACCTACTTTTTCATCCGGAACTAGCGAAAACGTTAAACACAATCACGAAGAAATTTGCTTTAACAATTTATATTTTTGCTCTGCCCTTTTTCTAAGCTATACATACAAGATGTTCACAAATCCCTCTTCACATTGTTTCTATAGCTCATCGTGGTCTCCTGGTGCTTCATCTCCACCACTTGCATCACCACCTGGAGCTCCACCGCTACCATATAGTTTCGACGTAATTGGGTTGACGACAGCCTCCAGTTCAGATTTTTGTTCTTCAATGTCTTCTTTTGTGGCGGTAGATCCGTTAGAGTCCATCCAATCTTGTTTGACTTTGAGAGCATCCAGAATCTTTTTCTTGTCGTCTGAATCTATCTTGCCTCCCAATTGTGATTCATCATTGACTTGGTTTTTGATGGTGTACATATAGTTTTCAAACAAGTTCTTGGCCTATGTTTAAAAAAAGGTTTATCAGAGAAGGGTACAGAAAAATAGGCCGTGAAGACTTTACTACATGACTGAAGATTCCTTTTACCTCAATCTTCTCCTTGAGTAATCGATCCTCTTCAGCGAATTGTTCAGCTTCTTGAACCATTCTTTCGATTTCTTCTGGAGATAGACGACCCTTGTCGTTGGTAATAGTGATGGATTCCACTTTACCAGTACCCTTTTCGGTAGCTGATACTCTCAAGATTCCATTCACGTCAATTTCAAAGGTGACTTCGATTTGAGGTACACCTCGAGGAGCAGGTGGGATGCCATTCAAATCAAACTTGCCTATTAATGCAATGTGTTAGTGGGAGAGGAAGTGAGAGCGGAAAAAGTAACCTAAGAAAAATTGAGGTCATCCCAGACTATACTCACCCAGCAAGTTGTTGTCCTTTGTCAGTGGTCTTTCTCCTTCAAAAACTTGGATCAATACTATAAAAGAATTAGGAATGTCAGTCACAAATTCAAACTTATTATCCAAACTGCACTTCTTTTACAACCCAAATACGTCCAGCAGACCTCAAACACATACCAGTTGGTTGGTTGTCAGCAGCCGTTGAGAAGATTTGAGACTTCTTTGTGGGAATCTGAGTGTTTCGTGGTATCAATTTTGTCATGACACCACCAGTAGTCTCAATACCAAGAGTTAGAGGGTTGACATCCAATAGTAAGACATCGCCCAAGTTCTCCTTGTCTTCACCAGTCAGTACACCACCTTGAACTGCAGCACCATAGGCCACAGCTTCGTCTGGATTGATACCTTTGGAAGCCTTCTTTCCGTTGAAGAAGTCTTCCAGGAGTTGTACGACCTTTGGTATACGCGTGGATCCACCTACTAGTACTATATCATGGATTTCGTGTTTGCCTAGATTGGCATCCTTCATGACCTTTTCGACGGGTATAAGAGTCTTTTTAAATAGGTCAATGTTGATTTCTTCGAATTTGGCTCTTGTCAGAGTCTCGGAGAGGTCTTCACCATCGAAGAAGGATTCGATTTCCACACGAGCAGACATTTGAGACGATAAAGCTCTCTTGGCTTTTTCGACCTCACGTTTCAGTTTACCCATTGACTTGGCATCTGTGGTACAGTCCTTGCCACTTTTCTTCTTGTAGAGTTTGGCAAAGTAGTCAATGACACGGTTGTCAAAGTCTTCACCACCCAAATGGGTATCACCGTTTGTTGCTAGGACTTCAAAGACACCTTCGTCGATGGTCAATAGAGACACATCGAAGGTTCCACCACCTAAATCGTAGACCAGGATGTTCTTTTCACCTCCAGTCTTGTCTAATCCATAGGCGATAGCGGCGGCTGTTGGTTCGTTTATAATACGGGCAACGGTTAGACCAGCGATGACGCCGGCATCTTTGGTTGCTTGACGTTGTGCATCATTAAAGTAGGCTGGTACTGTCACAACTAATAGAGGAAGTGAATGATTGGTGAGTTGAGATAGAAGAGACAATGGAAGTGATGCAAATTAAGAAAAAGTCAGTAGAAAGGCATGCAGGAGCATCATCTCCCCCTTTCCAACACATCCACACACCCCAATATTCCGAAAATACACAACATAATAGTAGTAAACCTACCGGCATGAGTTACTTTTTGACCTAGATACGACTCAGCGATCTCCTTCATTTTGCCCAAGACCATAGCCGAGATTTCTTCGGGTGAGAAAGTCTTCTTTTCGCCCTTGACCTTGACTTCTACATATGGTTTGCCGTCTTTACCAACGACTTTGAATGGGAAGTGCTTCATGTCTCCTTGGACGTCCTTGTCATCGATACGACGACCAATCATACGTTTGACGTCGAAAACTGTATTATATGGGTTTAGAGGAGCTTGGTTCTTTGCAGCGTCACCGACGAGACGTTCTTCGTCAGTGAATGCGACGTAAGATGGAGTGATTCGATGACCTTGGTCGTTGGCAATGATTTCGACACGGCCGTTTTTGTAGACACCAACACATGAATATGTTGTACCTATTGTGAAACAAAAAAAGTTGAGTGTTATTGTTCATGAATATGATGGAGTGGAAGTGGTGGAAGTGTCAATTTGTATGTTTATTATGAGTTTCAACAGAAGGACGAGTTTGATGTGTTGAAAGTTCTGATGTTTGTATGCATAACGAGAGGAAACAGAAAAAGGCTTACCGAGATCGATACCAATGACAGGACCTTTGATGGCATCCTTTGCGTCCTTTGCTGATTCGTTCTTTGCATCAGCGGCGACTACATCAATAAATCCAGACGACAGTGACAAGAATATGGTGATTGTGGCAAATAGTTGCCGATATAGCGACCTTCTACCCATGGATGGAGTCTATATGTAATTATCCTGTATTTATATGCTAGTTCTCGTTGCCCTCTCTAGTAATGATTGGGTGTTGGAGCGCTGCTGAGATTCAAAAGAAACTTTTCGAAATATTGAGAGATGAAAGACGAGACGTGTGAGCCAGGTGTGTGAGGCAAGGAGAAGATTCGAGAGCATGAGTGGAAGTGACGATGGCACTTATGTGCTGGAAGTGAGCGGCAGATGTCAACGCGGTGGAAGTGATGGCTGTTGACGCGTCTGAGACTCACTCAACTGACTTCAAGAACGTTAACTCTTTTTGATCAACCAGTACATCTAAGATTCCGCTTCTTCATATCTTTCATAGTCTTTTATTACTGTACTCTATATTCTTGAATATGAGGTCTCGTGTCGGATATGGGTTTTGCTGATCTCTCCTATGTTGCGACAACCTGCCAAGGCCATTGTTAACGAGAGCTCCTCTTTTAAGATGTTCATCACTGCAGTCAGTCCGCTCTCTCCGTCATTTGCCGAGTGGCCACCTTGAAAGAGACCTAAATGTTAAGAAATTGTCAGTTTGGCTTCACTACAAGTAAGTGGAGACGAGAGGAAGCTACCATAGATCATTGGTCGGCCAAAAAAGACAAACTTGGCACCAATTGCTAGTGCTTTGAATATGTCAGATCCACGTCTAGATACAGAGAGAAGGTTGGTCAGTCAGCATTCGAAGATGTCAACAATCATCATAGTACTACAATTACAATTCAAGCTTCAAGACTGTTAAGGGACGATACATACCTTATGCCACCATCTAGATACACTTCAACTTTTGTTCCCTTTAGGGCGTCCACGATTTCCGGTAAAGCTTCAATAGCTGCCGGTGACGTGTCAAGTTGCCTTCCACCATGATTCGACACTATCACGCCGTCTATACCATTTTGAGCAGCTAAAACAGCATCCTCCGCTGTTAATACTCCCTTTAGTATGATGGGCAAATCCGTCAAAGATCTCAACCACGCAATATCTGCCCAATTCAGCGTTTGATCGGCCATAGCTGAGATCATCGAGCCCCATTCAGCAGTTTGCGATACCGCTCCCCTTGGATCATTACTACTTAGATTCGCCAGCGAGTATTGTGGCGGAAGCTGGAAGTGATTCCGTAAGTCACCAAGTCGTCGTCCTTGTCGAGCCACATCAACGGTCAATACGATAGCTGAATATCCTGCCTTTGTAGCTCTTCTTACTAGAGCTTCGCTAACTGTGCGGTCCTTGTATACGTAAAGTTGAAACCAGTATGATCCATTCGGTGCTTCGATTGTTCGACTTGCATCAATAACGTCCTCTAGCGATGTTGTGCTATACGTCGAGAGCGCCATAACAGTGTTGAATTTGGAAGCGACTGCATTCGGTCGAGGAAATGGGACGCGAGAGACGTAACATTGATGAGTTAAATTCCAGTGGGGTTGAACATAAACTGGTCAAGTCCTTTACCTCTTGAAGTGGAGAGCTCGCCGGGATATTTTCCAGCATCGAATGCAAGCCTCTGCATTCCCAGTGGCGCAAATCCAACGGGTATATCAACAGCTCGCCCAAGAACTGTAGTTGTGACGTCGATTGCAGAAACGTCCCTCAAAATACGTGGTCGCAATCGAATTCTATTGAAAATGGATCAATAAAGAAGTCCGAAATATTAATCTACCTTAAACAGACAAACAAGGTATGAATATGAAGTTTCCAAAATCCCAATGTTTCCTCAAAATGTACAGAGATGCATACACCTTGATGTCATTGCAAACAAGGAAACATCAGAGAGATCACACTATATAGCATCGTAGCTTACTTTGAGAATGCATCGACATTATTGGCAAACGTATACCCATTCATCGAAACTCCTTGCCAAAAATCGAATTGCTCCTTTGGAGCATATTTAGCAGTATACTTGAAGTAGTCATCAACGCATACCAGCTTGTCACTCGTCATTGTACCGTGAACCTGTATCCAAATCTTGAATGTGATTTGCTATTTTGTCAAATAATCTCACGATTTCAAGTTTGCAACTGTGAAGCTGTCTCACAAACCATTATAAGCCAGGCATTCAAGGATCTCCAATATCGAATTACGCATCAACCATTAGCGATAGGCTATACAACATAAAAATATCACAAGAACAAGCGAGTTTTATATCTGAGTGGGTTGTTTTGATGAAAGCCAGGCATAGACCTCGAGAACAACAAACGAGCTAATCGCAACTGGCTAGAAACCATCATTGGGATTACAATTACTTGACCTTGACTTGGCTGAACAAGACTACTTTGAAGGCTTTTGAACGACTGTTGAACGTTTGAGCCTTAAGATGTGGTATTGAGGAACCCTGATGCTGGACTAATACTCGAATTTTCTCACTTGGTGAGTGAAACTTGATTTGTAATGTTCTTGGTTGCTATTGATCATGGTATATATGGCACCATTGCAAGGGAAACATTTAGTACCTCCAAACTTCCTTGATTCTTTCCGACAAATGGTATCAGGACGAACCCTCCTCTCATGAAAATCAAGAGGATGAATTTTCAGCTCGATTTCATTACTCCCCTGCTTCTGTTTGTGCAAAAATAAGTGTTCAAAATAATACTGAAGCGGCGAAGCTTTGAACTTTGACTGTCTCAGCGCGCTAAGCCAAAGCCAATGTTTTTCCTGCGAAGGCCTGCCTAACTCCTGAATTTGTTTAAACCAACCGCTGCCTTTCCCAACCGAAAATGGCTCAAAGTGGATATCGCTCTCAGACCGACCTTCCTGTAATCCCAAATGGTTTCCACCACCAGGAACGCCCATGGTACTTGTTTGACCATGAAGATGAAGAAACTTTCGGACAACATCTAGTACAAGTAGAATCTACCACTGACTCAGTTTCTGAGAAGGCAAGTTGTTGGAAAGAGGTTTAAGATGCCTGTTAGGAAAAAAAAAAAAAAAAACTCGTTCTCTAACAAGTTTACCTTCCCTAGCTTGCCGATCTCGAAAACGAAAATGGAGACCTTAAGAAGCAAGTTGGTATTCTTCAAGGCCAACTTGCTGTTGCTTATACTCGTGTTGCTGAACTCATGAGTATGGCTGAGCTTTTAGAAAGTTTCAACAAACGATCTAACATTTTCCCTCAACCAGCAACTACACAACCCATGCTACTTGATCCCTACCCCACGGATTTGCCTGAAGATACTCCAATGACTTGTGCTTCCGAGGAGGTGACATCTCAAACGTAAGATTCATTGTTGTTCGATTGCACAGAGATTGTCTTGTTAACCACATTTTGATTTAGTAGCCCTCTTGCTGGCCGATACAACTCCATGGGTTTAAGAAAGGCCCGCGATATTATCAAGGTCTTGGAAGCTCGATTTGGAGTTGTATTCGACCGTCACGATACTGTGGTCGTTGGATATCGTGGGTGGAAACATTGCTCAGTGGTTGGCACAGCTTGTGCCGTAGAAGAGTTCTTAAAGGAGCTGGCCTCAGACCAGATGCTGAAAGTCCAAGACTTCTTTGTTTCGTTATAGGCTTTGATAACCGGCCGTCAATGGTAAAGTTCAAATACGAAGGTTGATACCAATCCCTTTTAGTTGTCCTGCGTCTCCACATATATGATTCTGTGCTTGAATGCATGAGTCCGATCAATAAAAGGAATTTCAAATCTCTGTTTCCTTGTTCGGATTATTCGTTTCTTATTGGGATTCCGATTGACTTTTGACAAATTTACGAGACACAGACAAAACACATGCGTGACGTCCAAAGCCTGTTTTGCTGAGCGGATGCTGTAAATCCTTACTTCTATCAAGTGAAGCTGGTCATCCTCCGTAATGTTCCTGGCATTCAAGAGAGTACTTGATACATACCTGGATTTGGTTGTATGAGTGGTCCCACATGTGTTTTGGTAACATTGATCATTTTTTATGCTTTTACAATGTTAGGAATTCCTTCGCAGAAAGTCATTCATGGCTGTGGCTTTGAAACAGGCGCAACAAATCATTTTCAAGCGCTACACGTGATTAGCAGATGTATGGGGAGTTTCAAGCGGAATCAATAACGTAATACATTGTAGCAGATTTTTACTATGTTTCCTCTTCCCTCGATACGAAAACGTTTGGTATTGACAAAGTATCGACGTGACAAACCAAACATGTACTCGAAATCAATCAAACAAGCTTGCAAATCTGCTTTAGTACTATTCCTTACGTTATTTCACTTAAAAATACGCCTGGAACCAGCTTGAACACAGCTGGAATCATTGGGTTTTCTTCCAGGAAAATCTGAAGGACATTTTCTATTTTCTGGTTTAGTTCGACCTTGCTAATGCCCTATCAAGGGAGAACTTGATCGGCGGCTCATCGAATCTGGCAATGTGACGATACTGTCACCAGCGAGCGGCCGGTCGCCCTGTATGGAGCTAAAATTGGAACACCTAAATTGCAGTGGGTGTTTTGGAAAATTGAAGTGTGATAGGGACATACTCGTCACAATAATCGTTACAATTTGAATAGGATTACGTATCCGTCGTCCTTATGGCTCTTTGGGTCCATCTGTGTGAAAAATGGGACGGAGAGTAGGCCGAGTTACTTAACAAGCCCGTAGTTTCTGTTAGCTGAGACGCAGAAATTGAACCGCAGCTGAAGTTCCATCTCAAATTTGAGACGGCGTGACGGATAAAGTGCCTCGCGTGGACAATATTTCAGACCACTTGACCACTCCCCAACACGTCTGTTTAAAGTCTCAATCTTGGCAAATCAGCCAAATCAGCCAAATCAGCCAACCCTGTACTGGCAGTCACTGTTTCCATGAGATGTCAACCACTGGAGATGGTCATCGATACATTACGGATCTATTCTGATCGCTTGCCCAGTCGAACCAGACCGAAAGGAGCAGCTGTCGCATAAACGGCAAACACTCCCTAAGCTTTGTATAATTGGATACATCCAATATTCTGGAATCCGATTTCCAACGGGCTGAAACAGGATCCAATTCGCTCAGTTGATTGACATTTCGACATTGACATGTTGATGCGAGCTCTCGCTGTACAGAAAAGCAGAACGGATTTAGAGGGAATACCAGGGGGCTCATTATCCGAATTCCATTTCTTCTTGAATATGGAGTCAAAGAGGTATTGCTGGTGCGACTTAATTTAAACATTTTCGCCAGGTATGCAGCTTTAAGGAAGTCACATTAATTGAATACGGTATTTTGCGTTTTCATAGAGTTGTGTGAATATAAGGCTCACTCATTTCAATAGGCTGATGAAGCATTTGGCCAAGACGATGACTACGGCCGGCACGAGGTCATGTGTGCTTTTCAAACCCCGTATGGAGTTTTGATTGAAATCGTCGATTAAAACAACGGCTTTGATTTCAAGCACCGAATCTGAGCGTACGTGGTATCTTCAAAGCGCCGAGATTAGACCTGGTGCCTCGGCTGCCACACAATATCAAATACGATATTTACGCATCACAGTCATTCGGTTTGCCACCATCTCCACTGGAAGCTGATTTATCTCGCATGAGACACTTTGAACCAAAGTTGGACTCTCAACTTCCAATGCTGAAGTGCCCCGTTTACATTAGTGAGAATTACCCAATATCATTGTTGGTACTGCAGATCGGCGGGAGTTGTCAATGGCTTGCGCTTATTGATGACATGTGTGTGGTTGTTTCTAGTTTGCCAACTGTCAGTTTTCAAAAACGTCGACGCAATTCGAACAATATGCCAGTACACTTGGAATGTGCTACTTGATGAAGTCGATGTGGAGAGGATTAGATTACGAGGCTTGCGCGTAAGTCCCTCTGCTCTGCATTACAATGTCTAGCACCATCTCAGTCAATCATTAATTCAGAAATATGTACAAGCGCTGGCTTTCTATGGTTCCAAAATGAAGCTATGTGCTCGGAATTGAAGGAACCCGCGCTATTAAAGGCTGGTGCAAAAGGTCAGTGATCTCAAATGTATTTCTTGTAATCAAGCAATGTTTCTTTTAGCACAAATACTCATATTATGCCCTTCTCAAATAAAAGTGATTTTAGACAGGGATGCTATCATTCTGAACTGTGATAAAATCATTTCCACATTCAACCTATACTTGAATCTCACCTTGAACGATATCGCAGAGGTGCGAGTTGTTTATGCCATCGTAACGTTACAGCTCGCTCAACACATGGCCAAGTAATCTGAAACCATCCAGACAGCTGAACAGGTACAGTGAAATAAGAAGCAGGTAACCAATACAAAGCAGCTGCTAGTATTATAACGTACTCATTCAACACCGACGATATGCTGACACCCCGCCTTACTTTCTCAGCAGTCGCACACAAGGAGACGATGTAGTCTAATGAGGCTATGGTGATGCGTCCGCTGCTGTGTTTTAATAATTGACATGAAACGAGTGGGAATAGACAGGTGTGGTCAATATGACGGGAATCTCCACATTTGTTCTTTGTCGCGCCAGGAATCACCAACTTTGAAAACTAGAACGTCGTCTTTTCATTCACCCAATATGATTGGCGACTCAGATCTCCCAACCATTCCAATCAAGTTTTGGGGGGGGGATGTGAAGCAACGGAAAAGAAGATGGATCAACTTGGGAAGCTAGCTGGCTCAGCTGGTGAAGGGATCAAGAGACACTGATATGCATCGTGTATGGAGACTTTTTTTCACGTAGAGTCAAATGTATTCGTACATTTGCTGGCTGGGCATGCACCAGCTGATGGTTTGGTTATCTGGATTGTTTTGGCTCTCCCTTCCAATGTATGTGCGAGCTTAAACAGTACTGATATCATTGGCGAGTGCATGCTATGTCTCTCCAACGCCATATGGCTTTCTAGGACAGGAATACAGAGCTGATCTTGCAATGCTTAAAGAATTTGACCTCGGTATCTCGTTTTGGGCATGCTGAATTCCTGTTTCCAACACCAACGTAGAAAGTATACGAGCTACAAGCTCATGTCAAGGAAGCAACTGCACACTTGCAACCTCGATTTCAACAAGAAGAGGCAGAGTTTCATCGGGAGTGTGTCCCTCCACACAAAAAAAACGGTGCTTCCATTGGATTTATGACATTCAAACAAGAACTCACTTCTGTACCTGCTGCCAATACAGAATGAACGGAAGCGATTCACGATCTATGTGCAATTTGAACAACATGTATAATAAAGAGAAAACACTTTGAGAAAATTACTTATTTACAATTCAATCATTGCGAGCGCCATCCACTTTCTGTTTTTGCTCAAGCTACAGAGTGGCGTTGGATCTTTATATCGATTCGCTCTCCCGAAAATATACTTTGGTTCAGAGGTTCCCAATGCCGTGTTCCGACCTTGGATACAGACTTGCAATTCGAGACATTGACCTAAAAATGGATGAGTGGGTTAACAAGACAAAGGGCCAGCGATTTGTTCTCATGCTATGTTTGCTACGAGCCGTCCTCAACAAACTCAAAAACCTTTCAATGTTCCGAAACCCCATACCTTTCGCAATGCCAGCGCATGCTCAGCCAGCACATTTAATCCAGAATCAGTGACTTGGATACACCCTCTGATACTCAGCTTATCCAAACTACTACTCAATCCCCGTCCCAGAATTTGAAGAGCAGAATCCGTGACAGCTCCACCACAAAACGACATATCGAGCTCTTCTAACGCGGCACAGCCTGTAACCAGTGGTGTAGCGAATGATTCAGAGAGGGCACAGCAGAATGACAGAGACAAGACCTTCAGGGAGTGACATGATAGAGATATGGACGTTATAGTGTTGTCGGTTAGGAAGGAGCAGTCGGCCAGACAGAGTTCTTCCATGGCAAAGTCGAGGTGGTTGTGGTGTTTGTTGATGTGCGAGTTGCTGAGGGAGGATGGTGTTGGATTATCATTGCTATTCACGTGTCCGTTGATGGAATGGTTGTTACTACTATTGCTGCTGTTGTTGTGACCATTGTGATGCGCACTACTATTTCGTTGTTGCAATTCCCGTTCGGCTGTAAATGGATGTCTCCATCTTTCGAATCCAGCATCGGTGATACCTGTACATCTTTGCAGGTCTAGTCTTCTTACTCGACGCCATTGAGGATGATCCAATACCAAGTCAGAGAGGTTTTTACAGTATGATAATGTGATGATTGTGAGACCTGGACAAGCAGACAAGACAGCCAAGACCCCATTGTCTGTTATTTTACGGCAGTTTGATAAATCCAATGAGGTCAGGTTGGGACATGATCGGGCGAGAGACAACAGACCGCCATCTGTTATATCCCATACGGAAGCAAGCACCAGGTCATGCAGCTGTGACATGTAGGCTGCAGCTTTTATGAGACCCTTATCTGTTACTGCCCAGCAATTTCGCATATTTAGTGATGTCACGGACGTGTTTGCGTATGATGCCACATCACATAGACTCTTGTCATTTATACGTTTATGGAATGGACTCAGGTCGATATGGGATAGTAGATTACGGTAGTTTGGTTCGGTGGATGTGATTAATGTAAACACGAGGCGGTTCAGACTGCGTATTCTAAACAAGGTCGTGAAGGGTAGATATGAGAGTATTCGTGACATTATAGACTTTCCGAGTATGCCATATCTGTCATCGACGTAAACACATCCTGGTCCTTCTACTGCACCATCTGCATCAGAGTCATCGCCTTGCACTATACTTTCAGCAAACCTTTTACGATTCAGAGTAGCTGGTGATTGATCTCCATCCCACGTTTTTCGTTTGGTTGCATCATTACTACCACCACTGCTATTGCTGCCTCCTTTATTTGCAGCAAGCTGCATCAGCTTGTCGTCAGACCATACAGCAACAGAAGCTCTTCGTCTACCTCCATTTTGCGAGGCAAATGCACTCAACATTGGATTGGCTTGTCGTGGGATTTGTATACTTCCAGGTGGCGTTTCTGCACTTGAGGTCGAAGAGTCTTCTGATGAATTACTTGGAAACATTTCTACTTCATCGTCTGTGGTTTGATCTTGCTCGACATCATCATCGTCATAATAATCATATTCGTTATCGGGTAGAGCTACGTGCATCATGAATGCTGGATTGGCATTGCGAAACACGTCATCGTTCGATGGATCTGATTCCTCTAATGGATCCTTGACTATTGTACTGGCCACTATGGGCTTCTGGTCGAGCAGGTGCGATGCTGATAGTTGTTGGTGCAGAGGCTGTTCTGCTGGGATGCTTCGTTCACCAGTCAGTTCACCTTGGTGAACTACGTTCATTGCATACATGAATTCTCTCGATGGGCTAGTTGACATATTACCGATATCTAAATCACTATTTCGTCGACTAGGTGCTAGTGATTTGGCACTTGAAGATTTTGACACGTGTCGTTCTTGCTACAAGTTTGAGCGACGCGATTAAGTTTGGAGTTTTGCATAGACAAATATACAAAATGAGACAAGTTACATACCTTCCTCTTCTCCTGCATGCCTTCAAAAGTGATTTCCGGCACACGTTTTCCAGCTCGTTCCATTTCACTCAACAAATCAGCAAATCTCTTTTGTGCTTCATTGTTGATTGCCGTTGCCACATCTGGAAACTTTTCCAGTATGTTTTGTAGTTCTAATTGAATGATTGCGAGCGAATCAGTGACCTGTTCTGAGTGAAGATTTTTCTTTCAACATACCCTCTGAGCTCAGTCGTGCAAGAACACACTTTGTCTTTGCACTAGTAGGAGATGTTGTTCAGAGATACGCAAAAGGAAGACAGTATCGTATCCGAGGCGACAATATTACCAGACAGTAGCCGTCCGATTGACACTGAAAAGTAGAGCGATTTCACCAAAGAACTAGGAGACGTGGGAGTGAGTTGCGACGTTCGGAGATGATAACAGTTGAAAGAGCTTACTTGAGAGCGTCCTAGCTCAGCAAAGACGACTTCTCCATCGCCACTTTGGACTTGCACAACCCCCTTGATCTGAAAGAAAGCATGGAGCTCAACATTGAGAAACACGATAGTTCAAAGCTTCCAGGGCTGTACTCACGACGAAGAACATGGATCTAGCTTCATCTCCTTCACGTACAATCATATCGCCCGGAGCGACAAACCTCGGGTGCATGACAGTAGCCAACTAGGAGTCACGTTTGAGATGTGTCAAAGTCTTGTGGTGTCGAGAGACAAGAAAGGGTAAAAGGAAGACGATCAACAGAAGAGGATATACCTGTTGCAAGAAGTTCTCGTCGTGAATATTGGCAAAGATAGGATGTTGGGCCAATATCGAGTAGATTTCGTTTGGAATAGCTTCGTTTTCGATAAAAGAGGAGGATGTGGGCGGTGGAGACGGACTCAGGCTATGGAAAGCCATGTCTAGTGAGGGGTTTCGGTGGTATTTTATGTTAGCTCTCGGGGCATCACGTTCTGTTTGGTTGTGACTGGTTTTTGACGAAATAAAAGTCACTGACCTTTTACGGTGTTTCCAAATACAATTGTCGATGATATCGGCGTGTCTCTCATCTCGATCTTCTCATTCCTATATCTATTATATGCCCTCCAATTTCTTTCCTAGAATGTTACTTGAACGTGAACTGTGCAAGCAACCTATAATATTCCGCTACATCAAATTGCATCCAACAACCTAAACGAAAGCTCATGCAGGAACACTAGATCTAGGAAATCCATGTTCGCTATGAGCAACAATAGTGTGGTTCCTGCTGTCTCCACAAATCGCCAAAGTTCTGCTGAACACAATGCGATTAACGGTTCTCCAAGGCGGCAAAGCATAGCTGCTGACACAAGACGAACTTCAATATCTCTAGCTACTCCTGTAGCCCATAGCTCTTCAATCAATAATGGACGCTCCCAATACACCGGCGCCGATATCATCCAGCATGCTCCTCACTTTACGTCTGGTCTTAAGAGTGGATCTAGTAGTGCTGGCATGGTACCTCCTCGTCATGGATCTTCCCTGGGTGAATTCTCTCAACAGATACAAGATAGTAACCGCAAATCTCCAGCTGCAACAACCAATTCGTGAGTTGTCCATGTTTGCGTCTGTCATACAATCAGATTTCATTTCTCAACCATCCTTGTTGGTGTTTTCGTAGAAGTAAAGCAAGCAAAGGTGGGCTGAGGTACTCGAATTATTTCGCAGAGGATGGTAGTGATGCCATAAAGGGGCCAATTGAACCAATGGTATGTCAGCACAATTTGACGCTTTTTAGTCACCTATAACCTCACTCGTATGATACAGATGATGCTACATTACATATGGTATGGTCTGCTGCTCATTGTGCTCGATGCGTCAGGATGGACAGAGCTCTACTATTGGACATTACCACAATGTTTGCAACGTGCTTGTTTTTGGCCCTCTTCTGAAAGCGCATTCACCTATTGTTACATATTAGACTTTGCTACTGCATTCTTTGTGCATGAAATCAATCGAATCATCGTTTTCTTGCATCCCCTTTCCGTGCTGTACGTGCTATCTTGAGCCAAACATCTTTCTTGCAAAACAGTGTCGAAGCTCACAATATTGAATTTATAGACCGGTCATTCTAAGCTTCATTCCTTACTGTATTTTTCACTTCCTTTGTGGAAATGCTCACAGGATATTCGCAATTTGCTGGTTTGTCTCGCTAATGGCCGTCAACCTGCAAATCGGAACCGAGAGATTAGGAAGACATGTTCTGGCGGCTTCCACTTGCTTCATGCGTAAGAAAATCCTGTGAATTTTCATACCCGGAGTCGCGGCTTGGTTTCTAACCCTTTCGCAAATTTAATAATTTAGTGGCATATTGCAGTCTCATTGTCTTTTACGGATTCGAAAATGCGAGTTCTGCAGTAATAACCTTCCTCCCAGCAAATTTCAACACTTCGGATATCAGTGTGATGCCAGACGGATCCATTTACGCTGTGGATGCTGAAGGCATCAACATTCAAACTCCACAAGAAGTTACTATTATTGTCACGATTTGGTTGCTTGGTTTCGCATTCTATTCTCTGCAACGATTTATTCGAAAATATGCACTGTCGATGCTGGATCACCAAAATGAAGCGATAAAGTTGACCAAGATGAATGATGATTTGAAGGCACAATTGCAGACGTGAGTAGATTTGGTATTTCTAGATATAAAAATGCGTAATCTAATACAGGACGTATCATTCTAGTATGAAGAAGGAAGTCAAGCTCGATCTGGACTCACCAGTCACCAAAGTTATCAACCTGATTCGAAATATTCAAGACAAGTGCAGTGAGTGCTCGCGTTTCCGAAATGATACATAGATAGTGTCTGACACACGTGTGATCTTTAGGACTGGACGCAGAAACAATGGAGAACCTTGAATACGTCATCGACATCCTATCATCCAACCAGCTCTTCATGCCAAACCTGAACGTCCAAGGTAGCACAATGGACGCCGAAGTCAACAGATGGCTAAACGTTCTCGTCGCTACTGAAAGCAAGCCCCAAAACAAGAAAGTAAACCTCTCAGCATCCGAAATCATGTCTTCCTCTGTCCTCCTCGCAAACCAAGCAGCCAACGTCTCACGTATCAACATGATCGAAATCCCGAAATCCACAGTTTCGTCCGCCAGCGAGGCCAAGATAACAGGCGCATTATACGCAATGGATGAATGGGAATATGATATATTCGCTCTTGTGGACGCAACCGACAACCAGCCGCTCTACTATCTCGGAATGGCGATTTTCGAATCGTATCCATTCAAGCAGAATTTCGGGGTTGATGATATCACGTTACGGAATTTCTTTAAGAGGATTGAATCGGGGTATAAAAATGTGCAGTACCATAACTCGACACATGCTGCGGACGTCATGCAAGCCATACATTGCTTTTTGGTGACACTTGGATTGGGTGATCTGGTCACCATGGAAGAATGTTTTGCTGGTTTGGTTGCTGGTGCCATACACGATTTCGAGCATCCGGGAACTAATAATGCATTTTTGATTAATACGTCGTCGCCTTTGGCTATACGATATAATGATGTTGCTGTATGTATCATGTCTTGTTTGTCGAGACAAAATATGATGTGACTAAGCTTCAACTTTTCCATAGGTGTTGGAAAACTACCACTGCTCACGCGCATTCGAAATCATCACCGCACCAAACTCTGACTGCAACATTTTCGCAAACCTGCCCCTTGAAAAATTCAAGCAAGTCAGATCGTGCATACTGTCCATGGTGCTCGCCACTGACATGGCTGGTCATTTCGAGTATATTGGAAAATTCAAGAATAAGATATCGGGAGCTGGTAAATTGTTGCAACGTTATTTATAATCAGATGATACGTACTTACTACTTTCGGTTTTGTTCTTGGCAGGATTGGACTTTAACGACTCAAAGGACCGACAACTCGTACTCGACATTGCCATGAAATGCGGTGATATCAGTAACGCTGCAAAACCACAAGAGTTATGTCTGAAATGGACGTTTAAGATCATGGATGAGTTCTTTTTACAGGTATAGCTTTCATGTTGATATCAGTCAACTCCTATACATGCGTGTTGTTAACAGTTATTTGTGCTCTTTTAGGGTGAAGAAGAAAAACGTCGAGGCCTCCCAATTTCAATGTTTATGGATCGGGCAAACCAGAATATTCCAAAATGCCAACTCGTAAGAAACCAGTACATTCATCGCCTTCAAAAACAAACATCATCCTTCATCCCACATAGGGCTTCATCGACTTTATCGTGCAACCGCTCTACGATGTTTGGAACACGTATATGAACGAAGATGGTGACTTTTTAGCACTAGATTACTTAAAGAGGAATAGAGAGTACTGGGACGCTGAAAAGCAGAGGTATACACAGCATGACTTGATGTATCGATCCAATTCCTGACAGCTTTTTTTGGCAGGGCTGAAGCAGAAGCAAGAGCAAACCAAGCAACGCCACTTCTACCACCACCACCACAAGTTTCAGACTCTGCTGCTTCATCTTCTGTGAAGATTCCAATTTCAAAACTTCCGTAAGGAAGTTTCTCAAGTACAAGTCTGTGTGGTTTTCTATTCGACAATTTCATAATCAAGACATGAAAGCCCAGTTGTAAATTGTTTTTTGGAATGATATCTGGATCTGCTACTATTTGAGAAAATACATGACCAAAATATGAACCAAAGAACCAAAACGAGTTTTCAAGTTTGACAGACGCTAGTTTCTGTATCAAATTTTTCCTTCGAATCTCCTTACAGTCATTCCTTATCGAGTGAATGGGCATACAACAATTCCGCTCTCCTTAACGCAACAGAGTACCACTCTACTGTCTCGGACTGGCGTTTCTTTGTCATTCCTTCAATCAAACTTTCGGGATTGACTACTATCACGTTTAGTTCCTTTCTCAAGAGCATCAAATTGAGATAAATCGTTCAATCCATTGCTTGTTGGTAAAACTGGGGTTGGGAGATCAAGTCACAGTGGAAGAATGCTTTGTGGCATCGGTTACTGGTGCGATACAAAGATTTGGAGCATCCGAGAACCAATCCGTTTTGGAATAGTACGTCGTCGCATTTGGTTATATCTTGCAATGATGTTGCGGTAAGTTTACACAGGCGTCAAGCACAAAAACGACATTTTTCACAAATCACATTCCCATAGGTATTGGAAAACTGTCACTTTTGGTTTGGTCGCCATCACTTTCCAAAGAGACTTCCCAATGAAGTCTCAAGATCAATGTCTGTGAGACAGGTTCAATTTGAAGAATATTAGACTGAAGGGATTGATGGGGTGGTAAGTGTCGTTGATGATGATGGCATGGAGCAAAGGAACTTGTTGGAATTGTTGATTCAGTGAGATAAAAAGATGATGGCTTGAGGAGTGCGAGATGACAAGCTTTTTATAGTTGCTGAATTTGACAGGTGAAACCTTATCCTGACAGGTTCATCCTGAGAGGTTTATCCTGACAGTTCATCCAGGAATGTTCTACGACGTTCCTGTGCTTGGGTTGCTGTCTCAACAGAACTGTGCTTGTTCTGCATCTCCAGAATTACATTTTTTGTCGTCGTTAGACTGCTCTCAAATCAATCGTCTCGATTCACACCCCAATGAAGGAAGAAAGTGATAAAAGAGTTACTGATTACCCTTGTGCTGAAATTTTCAAAACGAGAACAAAGAGCCTCGCCTTAGAAATATATCCTTGAGTTGGCTGAAGGACGGAGTCAACATGTCTTTCAACGCTTCGGCATCAAGCTCCATTCTCTCCTGTCGAGTAGGACGACGACACGAAAACGCTTCCAGAGGAACAAGTTGACGTTGAGTTGACAAAGATGCTCCGAACAATACTGGAATTTGACGTTAAATTTAAATTGATTGATACCCCAATGCAAACTCCCATGTCGGAAATGCAAGTTTGAACTCTCTAACCATCATCTGCAACGAAGTTTACCTTGGTTATGGCCACCACTAAATCTTCCATTGAAAATTCAAAGGATGCTATTCTGACCAGCCACACTTACGACTGTTTAGTGTACGGGAATATTACTCGCTTTGCCTTGCTGTTTGCACGGAAAGTGGACGTCAAACCATCTGGGTGACACCCTCTCCACTTCTTCATTCAAACCCACAACAGGACAATTTTGGGGGTTCTGTCTCCTGGCTGTTGTTCGAACCACACAGTCAAATACCCCGTTGCTAAAATGCGTAAACGCTAATAAATTCCGCCCCATAATTGCCTAGCCTGCATGGGCAACGATCAGGTTAATGCCCGGTAGGTGATCAAAACTCAACATTATTCTTTTTTTCACCCTTTTTCTCTCTTCCGGGCAATTTTAGGAGTGCTAAGACAAGAAACACCGTAGTCCACTGAATGAACTTAGATTAAGTTGATAAATTCTTGATGAGCTATTGCTTTCACGCCGTCAAAGTGTCGTTTCATCCATCGTGGAATTATCAGAAATTTTGATCATCAAGCCAAACAGGTCTTCAACAGAGGCAAAGAACTTACTCATGGTGTTTCAGATGCAAGCTGCTGAGAAATGAGTAATCGGAAGGCAGAGCCTGACTCCACATTGGGCAAGCATGGGACAAGCTAACATCTCTACTTGTGTGAGTGATTTCGTTGAACCATTTCTGATATTAAAACGGTGCTACATGGCTGGTTTTCAAACCAAATCCTTCCCAGATGAATTTAAGGTACCGTGTTCTCTTCAATAGAATTGTGATTGTGACTGAATCATATTATAACGTCTCAACCACTTACACTCCCCCATGCAGATGCCAAACGAGCTGTCATCGGATCCAATTCCAACGATGATAACCACTGATAACCACCACCAAACCAAAGCGCTGATGGTGTGTATTTTGCAGGCCTATTTCTATCCCAATTGTGATGTTTTTGCCTGTAGTTTTGACATCTTACGTTCAGTTAGCCTTAGACGCTGTCACCTTCCAAAGACATAAGGATTTCGCAGACTGGCATGCTCGAATTGATAGAACTAACTTGAGACATGAACATGGGATGGTAAATGTCATTTGTAGTACTACTCGCTGAAACAACCAACTACTACTTCACCGCTTCTTTTTAAAATGACCTTACATGTCACTTAGCATAAATATGTTTAACTTGTTATTGCTGCATGAGATGATACTACTGATGCTGCTGAATGAAGGAGTTTTGAGGGGAATGAGTGTCTTGTTCGTTTCACTCGTGGAATAATCTCAGCAATCTTCATCGTTTACCTCGACCAAGATACTATTACTATCGGTACCTATGAAGTCGTATCCAAGGTCTGTGGCAGTCAGCAGTACCGGGAGGTTGAAGGCCTTGACAAAGGTGTACATCTTAGTGATCCCGATGAAGACATGGTTGCCCGGTTGCTGCACGTTTGCCGCAGACAAGAAGAAGTCTCTCACCAGTTGACTTACGCCAAGACTAGGGCGCAACCATGGGCACTGGAACCAAATATTCGGATAAGCATCACTATAGTCGCAGACCAGTGGCAAGCACCTGGCGTCGACATTCGCAAAGCTTAATGGCCAGTCCATCTCTACCAAGATCTCATGCCGACGTTGGACCTAATCAATATTGAATATAGATGTATCTATTGGTGTTATGGCGCAAAGTCAAACTACCGCCAGGCCAAATGAAGCAATGGAACGAAACAACCTACCGTTCGAGGAAGCAATGAATCTTCTTGATTGTTCAAGTGCTATCCTACGAGCTTCCTCCCAATCATAAGTCCCAATTTCGTTGTCGGCTTCAAATGTTGTGGTGATGATGTTGGCTGTAGAGCTGCGTAGAGCAGCAATAGCGAGTGTGAAGGTGGGGTATAAAGCCTCTCCTACTATGAGCAGTATAGGCAGGTCCCCGCTGAATGAACGTTTCGCACTTTCGGCTGGTGAGGCGACCTTGTATCCGTGTGTCTGAGCATACGCATCGTTTATAGCGATAAAATCGGTATCGATTTCCATGCTTCCTGTATACCCGTTAGTCCCTTGCTTTCTTTGTGCGTAAAAGTAGTGGTTAAGCAGCAGGAAATTGGTTTTAAACCCATTCTTCAAAAAAGATCTGACCGCGTCCGTATACGTGAGGATACATTCATCAGATTCTTTAAAATTAGCGCACGCTGAAATGTAGTCTTTCACTGGCTCAAACGCTGTTCACTTCGTTGCCGTTGGGTCTGCGCTAATCCAGACTTGACCAAACACGAAAACACTGCCAAATCAAAGACCGAAGCGTGCAAAGAATTGCGATTCTCACTCTTGGACGATTGGATCATTTTTATGTCATCAAACAAATGATAAATGATCCTTTGTGGTATTGGTTGTATCGTGAAAGAATCATCTATACTACTACGGTTTTATAAAAGTCGTTTTTATGCTTTAGGTGGAGGAGGAGCACTACCACCTGCAGCTGGTGGTGGTGGCGGTACATCTGCTTTTGGTGGTTCTGGCAATATTTTAGGGACTGGAGTTCCGGAACCTGTTTGTTCCCAAGGTGATTGTACATCGACTATCGAGTGGAAGAAGGTTAGTTACGAGTCTTTGTCAGGTGGTTGTAAGACAAAGGCGAAATGAACAACTAATATAGACAAACACCAATCCGCCGATTGATCAATTCCCTCTTCACAGGAGGGAAAAATTCAGTCTCATTAACATCCTTCGAAGAGTCTCCAACAGCTAGCAGCATTCTCGAATTGCTGCTCACGCTACTTCATCAATGCATCTCCTCTAAATTCACAAACTCTGATAACTCTGTTCGCACTCCACAATCCGCAATGATACCAAGATACTTACAGACACGAAAAGACTGAGCAAGCTCCAACGGCTCGGCAACAACCCTCTTCTTCTCATCATCATATCTAACCTCGACATAACCCGTCAATGGGAAATCCTTCCTCATTGGATGCCCCTCAAACCCATAATCCGTCAAAATACGTCTCAAATCCGGGTGTCCAGTAAAGTAGATGCCATACATGTCCCACGCTTCCCTCTCAAACCAGTTAGCCCCTGGAAACAAGTCGACTACCGATGGGACGGGCGATACCTCCGAAGCATATGTCTTTACACGGATACGGGTGTTGTAGCGGAGAGACAAGAGATGGTATACGACCTCGAATCTGTTTGAGCGGGTTGGATAGTCGACCCCGCATACGTCCTGGCATTGTTTGAATTGGGTAGCAGCGTGGTCGCGCAGGAAGGTCATTGTTGGGATTAGAGCTGAGGGTGCCACGAATAGGGTGAGTTCGTCCTTGTAGATGGATATCTGCTGAATATATTTTGGGAGACAGGACATGATGAATTTGCCGTATTCCTGGAGTTTGGCAGTGCCTGATGTTGTGTCTGCTGCTGTAGTTGCTTGAGCTAATAGGGATAAGTGTAAGCAAAGAGCGGAATTGATATAATAATGCAAGGCCTAGTCTGAATACGGTATATACCAGCGATGCGTGTCGAGTGAAGGAATCGACCTAATTTAATTGTCGTCAGTTATATTATCTTGGCCAGACCAGTATTGTGTTAATCCATACCTTGCATGAATTGTTGACTGGCTCCTATCAGCGGGCGACTCCGCAACAATCGTTGAAGACTGGCCATTATTGCTTGCTTCTACTCGTTAAACGTTTTGCTCGAAAAGTGTTGGGAGAGAGACGAATCAGGACTAAACATTTACGACGAGAGACAAAGGAGACCGAACAGGATTATTCGCTTTAAAGGTACGTGATTACATGTGAATGCGTCCTTTATTTTTGCTATTGTTGAGGCTCCACGGTTTTTTTGACACTTTTCACTTAGTAGCTTTGAAGATGATATCTACAAGGAGAGTATGCACGAGCAGGACGCAGCTGCTGCTATCTGCTACCAAAAGATGCAAATCAACCGCATCGGATAGACCCTTCCATGTGCATCCATACATCTTCCATCAAGTAATCTCGCAAGTGTGAGAGCTGATTCCAACCACCTTTGCTAACGATCAACATAGGCTGTAGTGCTATCGGATGGATCTATATATCACCAGCCTACAACATCGCCTAAATCGCTGCTCTCGCTAACAAAGGACACGAGAAACCATCCACTATGGAACCCTTCTGAAAAGAAATTCACAGACCAAGCTGGTGAAATATCAAAGTTCGAATCGAGGTTTGCTGGGCTGGAATTCGATGACTTGGTCTTGGACGATGAGCCTGTCGCACCTCCACCAGAAAAGAAGAGTAAGAAATAGATATTATTGTGAGTCTATATATATAACTTCCACTTAAATACATCATCAATCTCATCTACCTCGACCCACCACCAATCTTTCGATCCTGCATAATTACATTACTACGATTCGCAAGCGCCATCTTGTGCAGATTCAGCTTTTTCTGCAGCGCAGACGACTCTCCAGACAAGACAGCCAACACCTCATTTCCAAACCGTTCAGGAAACGGCTTGCCCTTTCCCCGACTCTTGGCAGCCTGCACAATCCACAATATCCCAGTTCTCCTTCTCACATGCTCACTAATAGGCCGTGGATGATGTATAGTCTTTGCACCTCGTTTCATTGATGCGATCTTGACGAGTGGCGAAGCAATGTCTACAGCCTGCGACAGTATATTACGTGGATTCGATGCTGCGTCCCCTGTTTTACTGATGCGTTGGATGTAGAGCAGGGCATCGGATACGAGGCGTCGTGCTAGTGTTTTTTTACCATGCTTCATGATGTTGTTTACGACTTGTTCGACTAGTGGGTCGGCTTGGTAGTTGGATGCTGTGGTTGCAACATCGGGGATTATGGATTTCGTGGTTGCGATGGTGCTGCTGGTGTCGAGGTTTGGTCGGGATGTTATTCCTGACGCCAGTCCTCGTATTCTGCTCGTACTGTATAGAGATGCGGATGCATCCGTGACTCTTCTGCTGGCTAAAGCTCTGAACCAGCTCATTCTCCCTCTCTTCTGTAATGACTTTCTATGCTAGTAAATGTTGTGAAGGTTCGAACAGAAAAAGAGATTGGAGCCATAATCACGTTGGGAAATGATGAATTTTGACTTTATTATGCTTTGACATGCACAGTAGTCACAGTAGTGCCTATATTCTGGTTCGTGTTGCTAGTTGAGACCTGTTGATCGTGTTGAAAGTTGCACTCAACGCAATCGGTGAACTTTTCGCGAACTGCAAGATAAGTAGTAGATACTATTGGAGTAAACATATAATACTGCCCTATTGTAAAGTGGATCAAATGTGCAGGTGTTGTTTGTAAACGCCAGTATAAAAGTACAAATGCACCACTAGCATACTAGTTCACATTCTGAGATTGTGAGAAAGGTATAGTTGATCCGAGGCAGTTCTGTCAAGACGCATTCGGAGAATCCTTCCCTTATGTCATTAGACTGAAGTCATGTTTGAAACAATGACTTCCCCTCTGCCGTTCAAGATACTGCCCCAAATCGGCAGTTATGAGACCGTACGTTTTTCGAGCTTCGGAAGAAGCCCAAAACATTTCCCCCCACTAGAGAATCAGACTGATGGGTTTTGGTGAGAAACACATCCTGTTCGCAGTTCTGGACATTACAACAGCCTATACCGGTATAATGTAGAGGAAACGAATGCATTAGCACCCACCTTTGAGACAGCTCCAATTTCTGGAGGGCTATGAGAAGGTGGTATTGCGGTTGGATTGCTGTTGGATCTGTTGGTCAAAATTTCAGACTTCAAGTGTTGGCAGGATCAAATGTTGATCAAAGCACTTCCGCCCACATCAAACACAGGACCCGACAAGACCGTTGCTTGGGAAGAAATTTCTAATCACTTGCTTCTTTGACTTTACAGTGGTCTTGAGCCCTTTCAAAATACATCAGCGATGATAATATACGTGCATTTTTACAAATCTCATAGTCTCAGCCGTTTCAGGTATCAGAATTTGGGTCTACTTGTGCCCGTCGGACGTTCAGCTCGTATCTACATAGCTTTGCGCATTCTTGTAGCAGACAGGCCTCTACGTCGGAAACGAGATGCTGTGATAATGATCGAGATTAGCTTTCAAACGATATGAGGCTCCGAGCTACAGTTTTTCTTACTGGGGGAACTGTGAGTTCAACTCCACGTAATGTACGAAAAGCATGTATATTTTCCGACGACACCTGGTAAACACGTGCGATAGAACCTACACAACAGCAGATGAGTATACACACATACAGCTTTGAGCAGTAAAAAATAGGATGTATTACTTGAAATCTGTGCGGGAGTCCATTCTGGAGCACACTTCCGAAAACCTTGGGAGTGCACTTTCAAGTCAGGTAGAATCAAAAACTTTAGCCAGGCATCATGTCGGCTTGCATTTTTTGCTGTAGGTAGTAACAACGACATGTGCCTCGTAGCTTGTTCTATTGCAAAACAAAACCAAAGACCTGTCAGTAGCTGACGAAATCCCTACAGCATTGTAGTTTCAAGCATAGGAAGGCCAAGAAGCAACATGTCAAAGCTTTACCTATTATACCTCTCCAGGTGACAATGCCGAGTTGTATGAAGGCCTCGGTAAAATCACGTCGTAGGCTCTGTATTTCCAGTTTCAGAGCCAGTTCAGAGTCTTTATGCGCCAGTTCAGAGTCTTTGTGCGCCTTTTGCAAAGAAAGCTGGGATTCTGCGACTACAAGTGATTTCTCCAAAGCTAGAACAGCCTGTTGTTGCTTTATATAAGTGTACGTGTCAATCATATAGTTTTGTGCGTCAACTGGTAGACGAGAGAAGGATGGGAGCGATGTTGGTGGTGGCACTGGTAGCGTTGACATCGCTCGTTTGATAGTCCAGCTGTATATGGTTTTGGTGAGAAGCACATCGCGTTCGCAGTTCTGGTCATTACAGCTGCCTATACCGGGATAATGTAGAGGAAATGAATGCACCTTTGAGACAGCTCCAGTTTCTTGAGGGCTATGGGAAGGTGGTATTGCGGTTGGATTGCTGTTGGATCTGTTGGTCAAAATTTCAGACTTCAAGTGTTGGCAGGATCAAATGTTCATCAAAGCACTTCCGCCCACATCAAACACAGGACCCGATAAGACCGATGCTTGGGAAGAAATTTCTAATCACTTGCTTCTTTGAATGCACTAGCACCCTCCATCGAGACGGGTCCAGTTTATTGAGGGCTATGAGAAGGTGGTATTGCGGTTCGTCAAGATTCAGAGTTCAAATAGATGTATCAAACGTAGATTAAAACTCTTCTATACCAGATGAAAGAGAGCAGAGAAGGGGCGATTCCGGTAGTATACTGGATTGATGCACAGTACAAGACACTTGGATTCTTAGAAAACGTCTGAGCGTTAAACGCGATCTATCTGCCAACTTTTTTACAAGGTAAGGCACAACGAAGAAGCCAAATGTCCACAAGAGCAGATCCGAGCTTACTTCATAGACGAAATGAAGTATTTATATTCTCCTCTCCGTCGTATATTACGTTTCAAACTCAAAAGCACGGCACAGAATAAGAAGAGCTGCAATATGAGCATGACATTATTCATAAGTAATCACGTGTAGATATAGCGCATATCACATTAGTTACGAGTCGATATGAGTGAAACGCACGGCTCGGCTTTTTGCTTCATCACCTTCTAGTACTCGTCAAAGAAATCGTGAATTTAGGATGATGTGTTGATTGAAGATGTGTTGCTAGCAATGCTGTCAGCGGTTGGAGCTCAGGAGCAAGTGCCGTCCAAGGAGTGGACGTGTTTGCAATGGAAGCAACATATTAATTCACAATTACTAAGGGGCACTACCAAATCCGATGTCCTCGCAATCTACGAAAAGGCCATTTCAACTATCGATGTCGACAAACACAAGAACGAAGTCGAACTCGTAGATCTGTATCTTGGTTATGTTCAGATTCAAAAGTACGTATTGATCTTGCTTTATCTCATGTGTTCTTGCTTGTTCCAACTCATTAGTGTGGGCTGACATCATGTTTGTATCAGTGAAGCAAATGTCGACCCATCAAAGACTAGAGCAACTCTTAAATTAATGACTCGCTATTGGCCTACGAATCCATCTATTTACACTACTTGGGCTAATTTCGAGTTGGTCAAAGGTAACAAAGGAGCTTGTAAGTGAGGATGTTTTGGACTTGCTTACAACTACATTAAAATAGATCAAAAACGACCGGCTACATCAAACGATAAGAGGGACATGAAATTATTAGATCCCTTTCGTGATAAAGAAGGTGCTCAACAACCAAGATTGGATTCTCCTCTTTCATCTTCCAAGGTATGTGTTTACCGTTCCGTGGTGTTTTTTTGCTCGTTATGATTAACCAACCTCTCAAATCTCAATCGCGTCTATTAGAATGAATCCCAGGCTCAAACACCACTTCTCAAAACTCCAAGCCCAGAACAGGGAGTAGATAAGAATTCCATGTCAAGTAGAGCTGGTCCTCGCCGATTTGGAATGGCTGGCGGTGCTCAACGTGTCAGGCTAGGCAAGTGCTTTTTGTGTCTTTAATTAATCATAAAAATGATTTCCAACACTTTCTTTGTGTCTGTAGGTCCTCCCATGCGAATATCAGACGGAAGCAGCCGAGGGTCTGAACTAGAAGATGAATCTGAAGACAAGAGTAGAGATGGCGATGATTCGTTTGAGCAGCCACCTACAATACGTGCTCGACCCATCAAGAAGGTGGCTGTAGTTAATGGTGTTGTGGAGGAAAAGCAGAAGGAGAAGGACGTCGTGCCAGAAGAACTCTTACCACAGGTGGTTATAATATTCGATGAGGTCTTTTTTAGCGATAGTGCTGATACGCTCCGTATTCTAGGACATATTGAAAGACTACACTCTGCGTCAAGAAGTAAAGACTTCCAGACCTCCTCCTAAAGCAAAGACTCTTAGCCCTCCTCCTCTTGTTGCTGCTAACGCTGAAGAGCTAGAGGATGAGGATATGATGGTTGATACTACTACCATGGTAGGGCATTAGTTTATTCCAGAAGGAATGATTTGATCTTGTTCTGACTTGCCTTCGCGGAAAAGATGTTGACAAGTAGACATGTTGGACCTGAGAATTGGAACAGAGCAACTTCAACAGCTCCTGTACCACCATTTTGTAGGACGAATTACGAAATGAACCTGCCTTTCGCGATACGCTGTATTGGTACTGAATAACTTCTCAACCAGATATGCAAACACCACGAGCTGCTGTACCGCCAATACCAACACCACCTAAGGAGACTGATTTGTTACCATCTCGACAGTCGTTGGCAGAGAATGTTCGGCCTTTAGGTAAGTCATCCCTTGAATGAACCTTTTTTTGCCTCGTGTATCTCGCTGATTTTTCTAGTAGTTCCGCCACCTCTTCCGACTTTCGGCAGTGATGTCTCTATGCATCGTGCTTTGGAATCCATGGAAATACAGTCGCCGTTAGCAGCTGCCAAACCATCATTCAAATTGTATAATCCTGCTGGAGCCATGACACCCAAGACTGGCATCGAGGTATTATGTCACCGATTCTTAGAGGGGCGGGGAGGGGTTCGGTGACCCCATAACCAATCAAATTACTACCGATAGGTCAACCACACTACCTACCGCAAGATTGAACTAATCGGACGCGGCGGAAGCTCAAAAGTTTACAAGATTATGAATGATGCTGGCAAGCTCTATGCTCTGAAAAAGGTCAACGTGCGAGGGCTGGAGGCCGATGCCGTTGAAGATTACATGAATGAGATTGCCCTCCTGCAGCGATTGAAGAATAACTCGAGGATTATACACTTGTATGATTCTGAAGTGAATTTAGAGAGAGGTGTTATACTGATGGTGAGTTCTTATGCTTGACGCTTTTATCATTACCGAGGCAAAAAAAATTCCGAAACATTCTGCAATTCAAGGCATGTTTCCTGACACTACTTTGCCTTTTCTCTAGGTCCTTGAGTATGGAGAGATTGATTTGGCACATTTGTTGATGAAGGATCAAGGAAAGTTGAGCAGGAACTTTATACGGTTGTATTGGGAGGAGGTAAAACCCGGATAGCTCGCTATCTGTTCTAATGATTCGAAAACTCAAGGACCTCGTACCTCATCCTAGATGTTGGAGGCAGTCAACTCGCTACATGCTGAAAACATCATACATAGTGATTTGAAACCTGCGGTGGGAATACATCATCGATTCAAGGTTTTAATATATCCTGATTTTTTTGGTTGTTGTATAGAACTTTCTGATGGTCCAAGGTGGACTGAAGCTCATTGACTTTGGAATTGCAAAACACATACCTAATGATACAACTAATATACATCGTGATCATCAGGTTTGTGCCGGCGAGAAAATCATAGTCATAAATGGACGACTCTTTAACCTGTTTTTTGCTGAGCAAAGACTGGGACCCTGAATTACATGTCTCCTGAAGCCATAACATATGTTGATTCTGGTCCAGGAGTCAAGAAGCCTTCACTCAAGGTAGTGATCCATTTCATTCACTGTGCCGTTTTTTGCGGACGAATCTCAACACAACATTGAGCTAAATAACAATCTCCTGTCAGCTGGGACGCTCAAGCGATGTATGGTCGTTAGGGTGCATTCTCTACCAATTTGTATTTGGACGAACACCCTTCTCCCATCTACCCATGATGACCAAACTACAGTCGATTGTGGATGTGAATCAGCCAATATACTATCCACCATTGGATGATGAAGCCTTGCTGGATGCTATTAAAGGCTGCTTGAAACGAAATCCGAAAGAAAGGCTGACGATTGATGAATTGTTGAAGCATCCCTTCTTGCATCCAAGAGGTGATACTGTTGGTATGTGTGGCAAGTGCCGTCTTCGTACCGATGTTCTTGGTTTACTTGGCTGACTCGTCGATTTGTAGAAATGACACCGCAACTCATTCGAGACATTCTGGACGCTGTTAACCAAGTTCGGCCTTTACAACCCCTCTCGCTGGGAAAGGCAGCTCAGGTAACAAAAGCGGACCTGCAAAGTCCAGATGCATGAGTTTTACCAATCCGCTTTCCCCGCTTTTTGTAGATTCTTTATAAACAAGCTCGAATAGGAGTGAAGCTGGACTTGACCAGACCATGAAAATTTATTTGTTTGTTTAAAGTACCTGTACATATGTTTCTCGGGCCTCACAGATTTTAATTTAATATACTAAACGTTTTTTTTTACTTTGATGACTCTGTTATTGGCCTAAGAATGCATCTATTTATACTGCTTGGGGCCAACTTCGAATTGGTTGTAGGTAAAAAAACTTTTACTTCAAAGTTTTATTGCTGGCTTGCACTTGAAGGCGTGGTATCGCTAGCTTACACTTGTATGTCAAATAGTTCAAAGTGGCCCAGAGCATCAAAGGATGTGAATGAATTGAATATCTAAATCCTTTGGCGTTGGTGTGTACAAGAAGTCCAATAATTTGATTATGTAGTATCGTCTTGTTTGGACAAACTCGTTCTTTTGGAGAATTGACACCGCCAGCCTTTGAGACACTCTGGAAGCTGGTGATCAAAGATAGGGCCTTTTGGAAGAGGCAGCTTAGGTGAAGCAAAAAAACCTGCAATCCTTGCAATCCTCGTGAGTCGTAAACTAGCATGCGTCGAAAGCTAATTCTCTTGCCCTCGTTACTAGGTTCTTTGTAGACAAGTCGAACAGGAGTGAAGCTGGACTTTGACTATGAGCGTTTCTTTGTTTAACTGTACATATTTTTTTCTCGGGCCTAAAAACTGTACATATTAATTTAATCCAAATCCTCTCATTCTAAAGCCACAAGTCCTCATGTATCGGTTCATCAGCCACTCGTTCCATGGTCTCAGATACGATTGCCTGTACTTGTTCTGCGAGAGCGTCTATAGGTTTATGAGCGTCCAATATCTATATTGTTGGAGAAATCAGTACTCATGCAATCCCATGTTAGCATTCTTCTTGCCCACACATACCTTCCAACTTGGTTCCTTTAAATTCTCAAACATGACACGAACACGCCCTTGTAAATCCATTGTCTCGTATCTCTCATTCCCGAAATCGCCCCGACTTGCAGCTGTTTCAGTCGGCACTTCCAGGTAGATGACTGCGTCAGGTGCTATGAGGCCTTGATCTGGGGATTTGCACCATTGTAAGTTCAGACCCTAAGTTAGCATAAGGCGTGTAAGTGACTTGGACAGTGAAATTGTCATCAGTATTCATGAGTGCACGTTTCTTTGATATACCTTTGCAGCAGAATAAGCAACACCAGAGTATGCATATCGGTCTGATAGTATCGTTGTGCCCGATGCCAGTGTTTCTCTCATTGATTTCCTGTTGAAAACAGAGAGTTGTTGGCAAGTCATTGACCAAAAATGTGTTTCAAAGACGAACATGCTCTCCCAGCGATTAGCACTAAACAGCAGATGCACGGCCCGATCGTCTAATTCAATTTCTCTCTTCAAGTAGCGATCAATGATTTGTCCTGTTGGTGTAGTTCGATCTAAATTGAAATGAAGTTTAGATGCATGTTATCCCTCGATAATATACTTATCAGTCCCATACCAGGATATCGTAATAATACAGCGTGGTGTCCACACTTTATGAGTTTGTCGCGACAGGTGGCAGCCTGAGTTGATTTGCCTGAGCGATCACCTCCTTCGAATACGATGAGAGCTCCTCGACGGGAAGTGGGTGAGAGCATGGAAGGAGATGCCAGATCTTTGAATGAAATATAGGACTGAAATATTTAGAGTGGTCTGTCTAGTATGAATGTGGTTGGGTAAGCTTGATGATGGGCAGCCAGAATCAATCAAGTACGAGTAAAAACAAGTACTTGAAGAGTAAAAACAGACGGTCAACTAATTTAAATGTATAAGATTCTCATACCTGCTGTGTCTTATTGCTTGTAGCCCGACTAATGTTGCAAAATCGTGAAAGGTTTGAAGGAAGCAGCACGAACGAAAGGACGTGTTTCGACGTGTTTATCCTCTTTCAAGTCGAGTAAACTTGCAGTAATTTTGATACAAATATTAGCTCGCTCTGCTCTGCCTTGACCTTCCACGTGCATCATAATGAACGAGAAGTTGCTCTAATAAGTTAATAGATTCATCCTATTCGTAAACCAGTCTATACGAGATAGCACCATCTTATATTTCAAACTTGAAAATCATCTCCAATTATCGTGATTTCTAGTGCAGATCTGTCCAGGATCTATCACCATCAAGCTTGCTCCTTCTTCACTCCCTTCATCAAACACCAAGCCAAATGCTACGGACCGAGGACGAGAGGAGGCAGAGACTCAAGGACGACCAGAAGAGAGACTACCAGGTAATAATGATAATGCAGTTCCATCTTCACTCTAATTCACCACATACGCATTATATCATCACTCCCAATTAACCAATCCCCTTTTCAGAGCTTTCTTGACAGCCAGAAAAATGTCAATCCTCGATTCAAGCATCTGAGAGAACCGCCCACCGTAAATCAATCCAACGGAGGAGCTAATCTCGTACAACCGCCTTGGGGAACATCGGATCCTGCTCTAAACAATTCGAGACGATCCAGTAGAGCTGATCAGGGACGCAGACACCAACAACAACCACAGCAGGATGTGTCATATCAGCAGCAGCAGATGCAATATCAACAGCAACCTCCGCAGGGTTCATGGTTAAGTTCGTCACAAAAACAGCGTGGCTCCAACATATTCGCTAACAACTCACTCCTATAGGTATGAACAGCAAGCCCCATCATCTTTCGGCATGCCGCAATGGCCTGGATCATCCCATTCGTGGAGGGATTTACCGCATGAGCCGCGAGGATATAACGATTACGATGGAGGATATGGTGGACAGAATTATGACATGTATGGAGGCCCACCGCAACAGCAGCAGCAGTGGAATGGTGATAGGAGAATCATGAATCCAAATATGATGCAACAGATGCCGCCGGGGAATTGGCAACAGCAGGATGTGAGAACGAGACAATTTACGTGACATGAAGATAGTGTCTGACGCGAATCTTTCCTTCTCTAGCCACGCCAAATGCAACAACAAAACCCATATCAGTCTTCCGTTAAACCGGCTCCGTCGCAATCGGCTGGTGGACGCTCTTATGGAGACGAATTGCGTAAACACATACCGTCGTTTTCTCACTTGAACGCATAATTCTTACCCCTTTAACTGCGTAGGAGTACAAATGATGGAGCAGCAAGACCGCAAAACTCGAGAAAGGCAGGAACGATATGGTGAAAAATCGGGACAAGGTGGACGTCCATCGAGTGGATCTAGATACCAGCAACAGGATCAGAGACAGCAACAGCCGCCGCCGCAACAGCAGCAACAACAGAATGTTGCGTATGGAGATCATTATCAGATGGGTGGGCCGGCTTTTGGAGGGTATGTAGTTCTACAGAGATGTCGATATCGATCATCAACAGCCTGTTGACCAGGTGTTTTTTTAGCCAATCGTCAAATCGAAACGACGTCCCGCAAGGTGAAACCAGCCAGGTATGTATCCCATTGCAAATACTTTGTCGCCGTTTACTCTTTGGTTTGTTGCGTTTTTGACACTTTGCGTTTAGAAATCCCAATACCTTCGTGAACTAGGTATGATTAGATTGTCTCATTTTAGTCCCATTTTGTGCATGAGATCACCAACACTTTCCTCATTCAAAAGACGAGCAAGTACGATCCAAGAAACAGCGAGAATACGCGGCCAAAGAACAGAAAAAGATTGACGAGGTCAAGGTACTGAGTCGCTCCAACGACAACTCTCGTCGTGAAATCATCTCTAACATGAACTTGCAAAAACAGAAGGATCGCGAAATGGCCGAATACAATCCTTGGGGCAAAGGTGGTGCAGGAGCACCGTATCGAGCTGCTGATGGATCAATTATAACCACCAAGTCTCGTAGATTGGTACAAATGTTTTGACTTTCCTTTTTTTTGTCGTGCACTCACATTTTTTGTCTAGATCACTGATCCCCATAACAATCAATTCAGTCCGCAACCGCCTTCTGATGTTGCTAGCTCTCCTCCAAATCCGGTTCAAATGAATGCAGGGACTGGATTTCTGAGTGCGTTGAGGAATCTGCAGGAGCCACAGCGTTATGATGCCCCGTAAGTGTCGTCCTGTACGAGATTATTGTTTTCCACGTTGTGAAAAGCTCACAAATTCTTATATAATTAGATCTCCCAAACCTGGTAATGGCGGCGGTGGTGGCGGTGATCCTGGAACTGGTGGTACGTTCGGCTAGTAATTCATCTCAACGACAAAAAGACCAACGGTACCCAATCTATAGATCACTCTTTTGTTCGTGGTCTGGTCAACCTCGACAATCTACCATCATGGCAACGAGAAGAATACATGCGCAAACAACGTGAAAAGCAGAGTGTCCAAGATGCTCTGAAAAAGCAGATGGATGAACGTGCAGCACTAAAAGCTCAAGAAGAAGAAAAGAGAAGAAAGGAGGACGAAAAGGAGCAGGATCGTATTGAAAAGGAGAGAGAGTTGCTCAAGTTTCAGTATGCGAGGGAGATGGAGTCCGCGAGGAAGAAACAGGTATGGTGTGTCGGTTTAGTGCCTGTTGGCGATACGGTGTCAAGTTTTTTTTTTCTCGTGATGATTAGGAACAAGACGAGCTGGATAAGCAAAAGGCAATTGCCGACAAGATTGCCCAGAGGAGACAACAGGCTTCCGAGCAGTCTGGTCAGAGGCAGCCTCAGCCTCCTTCTGATCCAGATGATGTGCCATTGACCAAAGTTGCGTTGGCTAAAAAGAGAGCTGCAGGTAAATCCAGCAAATGTGATAAACTCGTTTCCATAATGCTCATACAATTGGCTTTTGTTTTGCAGAGGCTCGAGCAGCTCAAGAGGCCGAAGGCCAAAAGCACCAATCTGGCGCGTCTCAGCAACAACGACAACCATCACCTCCTATACCGACTTTACGATCTCAGTCACCACCTCTACCGGCCATGAGAAATGCTCAAGCCAAATCTCCACACATGCAGGAGTATCCTTCGCCTTTACAGCAGCAGCAGCAGCAGTCACTTCAACCGTCACCGTATACTCAGCCTATGACGATGCCATCTCAACAACCGCAGCAGCAACAGCAGTATCAACCACAGCAGCAATATCAGCAGCAGCAGCAGCCTCGTCCGAGCTCGAGGGGTCAGAATGGAGACTCCGGATCGAGATATAAGGCTCATACTGGTGTGGTATGTCTCAAGTGCTGATAATGCAATAGGCCATTCTTGATGTTTTCTTTGCCAATAGAATCCAGAAACTCAGGCAGTGTTACAACAACTGTCCTCAATACAAAAGGTGGGTTGAAAAATCATCTTGTGCTCTCCGTGACATTCATTTAATCCGTCTTGTCGTTGTTTTTGCTTGTAGGATCTTGAAGTGGAAAGAATCAAAATGCAACACCAATTACAAGAACATCAAGAATACATTGCTAAATCACCTCCTGCAGCTCCCCGCCGAACCACCGCCGTCCTCCGAGAACGAGACACACCTTCCATACCAGTCACAAGACAAACCGAAACCTCCAAACTCCTGGAATCCCTAAGCAGACGACCCATATACGAACGAGACAGTTCTGCCTCCACTACAACCACACTACCGTCAATTCAGCAGCAGCAGCAACGGGGTCGTGAGACCTCCATATCGACGTTAGCTGCAACGTCCTCGTTACGTGAACGCAGTATATTGGAAGCACCGCCATTGTATGAGCGGCAGAGACAGTTACTGAAGGAGCAGGAACGGCAGTTAGATGTGCTGAGAGAGCAAGGCGGCAATAGAGGTGGAAGAGATAGTGGGAGAGATGGGAGCGGCGGTGGTGGGAGGTTGGGTTTGAGTGGAGTGTATAATGAGAAAGGGACGAATGCCAGGAGTGGAGGGATGTCTGCTCGTGATCCTGTACGTATGTAGCTGTTGTAAAATGTTTATTTTCGCAGATGGCTCACTATAATATTTGAATCCCAAATGTTTCTAGGACCGATTACCGTCTGAAAGCATGCTAGTGCCATTGAACGCCACCGACAATTTCCGTCCTGTTGATTTGGAAGTGCTGCAGTCACGGTATGATGGTGATAGGAAGGAGAGCAGGTACATGATTTCAGTCCTAAAGTCATCCTTTCTCCTTACTGAGCTGACTTTGGTTTTGTCATCCACGATTAGCCGACAAACCGACAGATTAGACTTACGAACACTCGAAGAAGCCAACGCCCAAAGACTGAGATCGTTACGTGAACTAGAACGTGACCGACCCACCTCATCTCGTGACTTGTTGACTAATTTCTTGAATGAGCAAAACACGAGAGATGCGAGACGGAATCTTAAATCGTCGGCGTCATCGAGTAAAGGATCGCTGCCAATGATGAGTGGGGAGGGGAAGATGATTCCGTTTTGAAAGTAGATCTGTTTAACTTATATTATTTTGGTATTGTTCTTTCGTAATTTGTATCTTGTATATACATTGCCAAATAGTAGCAGATCTTGATGACAATTACATGGTTCGTCGGTAATGGGGTTGTTTGTGTGGTGAGAAAATAGGGCGCCTTGGGAGGGTGCATTTACAGACGAAGGGAAAATCAAATTCTCGATGCTGAAGCAGCAGCAATGTCGAAGTTCGTGGTGGTGGTGATGCAGTTGGCTTGCTTTTCCTACTTATTCTGATCTACAAAAAAAAGCGATGTAAAATGTGGTTTATTACGTCAATTCATACTGATGGCTGCACCAACTTCTGTTTTTCATCATCCCAGTACTCCAGAAAATACCAGTATCTGGTTAATTCTGGTTGTTGGTTTGCTGCTGTCACCAGCGCCTTTAAGGAGCTATAAGCTGGCTACAGGACTTACATCTAGACTGATAACACTCTATATAGTCTACACTATTCTGTAACGTGCTATGGAGGCAGGCTTCTCTACTTTTGGATGGTTTTGACTTTTGACGAGATGATTGTTTCAAGGAAAGAATAACACTTTCGTGCCTGGGAGCGGTCCACACGTCCAAGCACCATGCTAATAGGCCTCTTTGAAACGAGATATGGATCTTGGAAGGCCAGTTTGAAAGTAAATGTACGAGTTGCTGAATTTCTTAAATGTATTCGGAAAGGCGTTTTTTGGTCGTCGAATGAACCAACGAATACGAGATCAAGCCATCAATTCAAAACCATTGAACATCTTTATTTTCGCTGGATACAATATTTGGGCTCTCTGGTCCGCATCTCAAAGCACTAGAAGTTTGGAATCACCAACTCTCTGCCTTCATATGTTTTAGCAAACGTCGGTTTCGTAAAATGAAGAATGATTAACTACACAAATGGTTTGCTGAATCGAAAGCTATATTCTTAAGGATAGAAAGGTAGCATAACTCCTTACGTATTCGTCAAACCGTTCAACGACATGAGACACCACACCCCCATACCAAACCACCAACTACCAACAAACGATTCTATCTATCTATAATAACAGCACCTCTTTTCATTCAAAACGCCCTTCCTTGAGCATTAAAAAACGGATTCAAAGCCGGATTAGGCTGTTGTACACCATTATTCGTAAACGGGTTATTAAGCGGCTGTTGCTGCTGTTGTTGATTCATTCCTATACTGCCAGTCATACTGGGGTTGGCACTTGGGTTACTGCTTCCTGGTGGTGCCATTATAGCTAGTCTACCGCCAGCAGTATTTTGTGGTGCGAATGGATTCAAGTCCGACATGACATTGCTTGCGTTTGATGGTGGTTGTTGTGACATGGCTTGTTGGAATGAGAATGGGCCTGTTGATTGTTGCTGTTGTTGGGGGTTGCTGAATGGTGTTGCTGGTGTTGGTTGCATGGGTTGTGAGAAGGGTGTATTGTTGAATGGTGTTGCTTTAGCTTGATTGCCGAACACATTTTCAACCTATTTGTGAGAAGTGAGGGTGAGCGGACAATGGCATATGTAGCAGCGTCCAGCTACTGTTCATTCATGGGGCTGGGGCTGGGATCACAGTTTTTCTTGGTGGCGTCTCGTGTCTTCACGAAAAAAAGCAAACCAAGTCCGCTGGAATTCCCACATACCGTGAAGTTATTCGGCTGCTGCTGTTGAGGCCCACCAAAGCCTTGCTGTTGTTGCTGTAGTGGTGGCCTTCCAAAAGCACCAAACCCAATTTGGGCTGGTTGCTGTTGCTGTTGGAATGGATTTGTACCACCAAAAGCACCAAATCCAGCACCTCCTTGAGCATTAAACTGTTGCTGCGGTTGCTGATTATAAGACGGCTGTGGTTGACCACCATACGGCTGTCCATATTGTTGCTGTCCAAATCCAGGCTGCTGTTGTTGCTGTTGTTGATTGAATACAGCTGAATTATTATTACTATATCCTTGACCAAACGATTGTTGTTGAGCAGCGAATGGGTTATTGGTTTGTAAATATTCGATTGCGAGGGGTTGCTGTTGTTGTACTTGGAACGGGTTTACACCTCCCATTCCCATCATTCCGGTATTACCCATCATGTTACTTGGTCCAGCCGTCAACATTGGGTATTGTCCTTGTTGCTGTTGTGGCATTCCATTCAACATGAGTTGGTTTTGGTTGTTGGTTTGGTTGCCACCCATCATGAATACAGGATCTTCTTGAGCAGACGTCAATTGAGTATCGATACTTGAAAAGAAATCAATAAGGGTTTTGGGATTTTGGATGATCTCTTCCGTGGATGGCATTCCTGGTTGACCACCTTTTATGACTATCGTTTGTTCGTCGATTTGTTGAATACCAGCTAAATCATTATAGAAGGTACTTTCTGTGAGAAAAAAAGAACAAACGTTGACAGACGGCCATCACTCACGTCCTTTCAAAGTAGGTATATTACCCATACCCATACTGCCACCACCTCCGTTTAATCCCTTCTTTGCCCGATAAGCTGCTCGATTGGCTTCAAAATCAGGAGACCGTAGGTAATCTTCCAATGCACTGGCTAATTGAATAGGTGCCTAGTTAAACACGAGACGTTGTGAGGCGACCATCTACAGCTTTTGTGATCAACCTCATTCAAATTCATTGGTACTCGCTTCCGGTTTTGCAAACCCACGAAAAAGTAAATTGGTGAGCCCAGTTGATACATTACGTACATGTTTGAATTCAGGAACATCAATACCCAGCGACTGTTTCAATTTCCTTCCAATTTCAAAAAAGCTCATGGCTTTCGAAGTCTCTTGAGCGAATTGCTTGTATATGACAAGAGCCCTTTCAGCGTCTGAATGTGTCATTTCAAAGAATAAACCTACCAGGTACAACAATTGTTAGACCTTTTTTTGTTCGGAATTGGTCATCTCTTGACTGGCACAAAAAAAGTACAGTACAAGAAAGTCAAATAGCGACACCAACAAATACACTCACTCAATATCCTCAAAACTCCTTCATTCAGCAACCTAAAGAGTATCATCATATCCAGCAACAACAATCTGAACGCTTGTAATGTGACTAGATTGTCGATATCATCCATATAGAACTGCAGGGAAAACATGTATTTCAGACAGGGTCAAAAAATACATCGGAACGTCCCAAAACTGGAGATTTCTCCAAATACATACCGTACAACCCAGCAATGCATTAACTTGTTGCCCAATAAGCGTTGTTTCTTCTATGAGAGCACCAGCTTGATCTGACGACAAAGTCTTGAACCTTTCAGTCTGTTCGTCTTTCCCATGAACGAAATCTCGTTTGACGACTCGATATGCCTGCGTTTTTTCTTCGAGGTATGCTGCATAGGCATGTATATTTCGAGCTTGTGCTGCACCTATATTAACATGGGGCGAGGGTTTAAGTACAATTGCGCTACGGAATTCTGAGTTTAAAGGATCAAACCCCTTCAATGAAACTTTTTTGGGTTGTCCGTTTGAAGACAAGAAAAGAAGACCTTCACTGGTATCATACCATAAGGATTGGTAGACTTGTCTCTGAAATTGGATAGATTCAGCATGCTTGCAGATACGAGATAACCTGTGACTCTATCTGCACTTCCTTCTCTCATCAGGATGTGTACCAAGATCAATGATTTAAATACAATCTACCAAAAAAAAATTAAAAGTTACTGACTTATCATGGACATATCCGTAGCATTGTTTCTTTTCTTGCAAGCAGTCATTAACGATATTTACCACCCAATGATTCTCCCTCAGCCTAGTATTGATCAACTTGAACATGTCACTCATTGGAAAGTCTCGTTGGAAGGTGACGGCGACCAGGACTAGGATGAGATTGGAGTACGAGTAGTGTTTATAAGTTGAGCGCAAGGGAACGGTTTGAAATAAGGGTCTCATAAACCACAATGGGGAAAAAAGACGCCCTACAAGTGGTGCTTACCATTGATATGTTTTGGTTTGAGTGGCTTGTCATCTTTCGTGGTTGATTTGATGACTGCTCGTTCGACATCTAAATGTATAGAATAAACAAGTGTGTTTGAGGGATGGTGATCAAGTTCTGATAGGTTTGTTGACAAAGTAGCAACTCGTGACACTAATTGCAATCAATGCAAACGAAAAGAGATTGTAGATATAAATTCATACCTGAAAAGTAGTATCTGACAAGAGCGATATTCTCTCTTGTTCTTGCACCTGACATGTTCTATGTGATTATTGTTTGATCCACCAAACGATGTCAAATGTTTCAATTTAAAGTCAAGTGGAAACCAAGATCCGAAACGCAAGGAGATTCCGACAGAGAAATAGTTTACAAGGAATTCGACAGTTTCTTTAATTAAAAGGGGCCTTGTTCCGCGTGCAAAATGTAACGTAAATGTTTTGAGCGTTTTGGCGTTCTGGTTCATGTCAAGAAAGAGTTAGCGTCGAAGTAGAGGGAAACTCAACGGAATACTATACATACAGCTACGTACAATGCACTACGTTCTCTCTTTACTCTAACAACCGCACAATGAACAAAAGCCACGACCGTTTGTGTGAAGATGTAAACAGGATGCAAACTTATATATGATTTACAAGAATATACCTAAATACGCGTCATACTGTTATATCCCTATTCTACATCTACTTCCATACAGCAGGATACACGCCCGTTGAGTTAGTCGATATGTTGCCAGGTTGGGGCGTGTTTAGATGTGTGATGAGTGACGTGATTATAGATTTGCTGGTAGCATTATTAAGTAGCCGGGCTTCCTTGACTAGGGCATCTACTGTCCATTTGCGTGGATTTGATCTGTAGAGAGCGAGGACGTGTTCAATGTCCTGCACAGTTAGGTACATACGACGTGTCGTTGAAGGTGATGGGGATGCATTGGCTATACGTTGGGATTCATGGTCCTGAGCCTGGGACTGTGCGGATATAGTCCGATTCTTTAGGATGTCAAGAAAGTCATTGTCCTGTATAGATGGATGTTGGATTGATGTTAAGCTTCCACTTGCAACCAATATATACTAGCAAGCTGCACACATACCTTTCTCGGCTTTACGCCAGCCGTGGAAGATTTGACATCAAAATGCAATTGACCAAAGTTGTGGATTACTTGCTGGTCTTGCTTAAATCCCTCTTGAATATAGTCCGGAATTGTACTAGTAGATGCTGGTGGTGGCGGCGGTACATTAGCAGCCTGCTTTGTTGTATTAGCAGCAGCAGATGCTACTGTCTTTTTCACTGCTTGACGTGATGCTCCTGCTCCCATATTGTCGAAAATGTTTGTTCGTGTTGAATGTTGGCCGTACTTCATTGATTGTAGGCGGTCAAGACTGAATTAAATAATAAATTAGTGCTATTCCACTATGTATACACGTAAATCACGCTTTACTGGCCTCCCGAAGATTGTTTTGCCTACTCTTGATGTTCTCACAAAACTTGAACAAAAACCAACATTAGGACAGAACAAGATGAGTGGGAAACGAGCTGCCACTCAGCTAGACGATGATGTCGATGTACAGAGCATCATATCAAAGATATTATTCATCTTAATGAGGTACTTACTCGTATTATATCGCACTATATCGTTATTCCAAACATTCACACATCCTCAACCAATTAGCGACGACGATGCTATTCATGTCCTCAAGAGATCCATCAAACGAGACCAAATAATACCTGGGGAGGACCCGCACTCAATCACTGCCGATCTAGCCACCATATTCGACAAGAATCTATCTGCTCTCTTCTCTACATTGATCCAGTTCGAGGTACTTGCAAAGGAACAGACGCAGCAAAGAATAACACCCTATTCTACAACAAATACACCACATTATACTTAATATATACACTCATTCAACTAGGACGAAATAGATGCCTACTTTTCTTCTTTGGCCAGAGTATACAAACCGAACACGGATATTCACAAGGCTGCTATCAAACTACGCGACTTGACTGTCAGATTAATTCATGATCAGATACGATTGCATGAGAATCTACGTATAGTCGATGCTAAGAAGGTCAAGACTGAGGTGGGTTCATAATCATAACGAGATCGGCATAAAAAAGGGAGATTAGCAAACGTTTAAAGGGCGTTTACTGACCCAATTCAACCCACATTATCATATAATAGGCTTCTGCAGATGAAGGTATATACAAAACGTATTGAGGACGTGAATCCTGAATCAGAAAGCCCATATTCACTCCTTCCTGCAATCACATAGAATTCACAGACAACCGACGCCAAAAGTTTGCCCTTATGAGAATACTCCCAGGTCAAGATACAAGTTATGCGTACTCTGGTAGCATCAAAAGACCATTGGGTCAACATGCTCTAGAACTGCGTAAGTGTGCTTTGCTCGATTAAGTGGCCAATTTTTGCCATTTCACCTATGGCACTTGTCTTCTACGCTCTTCAAGGCTCTAACATACTCATGTTACATATAGCACCGGATGTCATCAAGATCGTCATCACACCTTCTCAACCCATCCCAGCTTCAGAAACCAACGCTCTCAAAATGGCGAGTCATCCCGACGCCATACCTCAACCTGAACGAAGACATCAACAAGAACCCTCACACCAACACCTAAATCCAAGTGAGTTGCTTTGTTTGATTGATCAATGGCAAGTCAAGTACGGTATATCGTGGTGTGGCGTACCACCTTCCCGTAAAAATCCATACTTTTATTGGCTGATTTACTCACCCATCCCAACTCTTCCGTCCTATAAGTGGAATTCCTATCAGATCCAGGCCCGTTCATGTCATTTGCTCCTACAATAGACTCGACTTGGAGCCATTTGTCAACTCAAGATTCTTACCGTCTATTCAAGTTACAAAATGATAAACGTGTTGGTACTGCTCAACAAGTCTTGTCTCTTGCCAGTAAGTGCTGTTTGGTATGGTCTATTGGGGATTTTTTGTTTCGTTTTGGGTTTTGTCATGTGTCAGTGGAATTAGAAAGGAACCAGTCCTTTCGAATGGGAGCCGTGCTGTTTGGACACTGTCATTTTCTGCCGAATCTTTGTTTTTAATGAGGCCGTTCTGGCATTTTAAACGCATCTGCCACAATGGCAGATGGCGCTGTTAAATGGATATAACCAGTTGAAGCGGCAGAATGCAGCGTTTTTGGTTGTGTTGCAAGTTGTCTCACCATGTCTCCTTTGTTTTAGAAACCGCATTAAAAGATGAAGGCGTCGATGTCGATTTCATCTTTAATGCATTGCAAGTCTTGCCAACAGCTCCCAAAGTAGAACAAAACAAACCATCGAAGTCAGCACGAACTGCCATCCTCCGCCGTAATTTGGCTGGTATCACACAATTGCATGCCTTCCAAATGGATCGGTTTAGTTCTGCAAGTAATGGTGGTGGCCTTGTTATTAGTAAAGAGGAGTCTGATATTGGTGAGTGTGGTATGGGCGAGGGATGGACATCACTTCATTCTATGTATTTAGATTCAATTCCGGGGGTGGGGGTGGTTTGTTGGCGGTGCATGACAGGAGAAAGAAGAAAATATGTAGACAGGAGGAAGGACGAGGCATTATTGACACGAACCATTCGAACACTCACTCAATGTGCTTTTTTTCTCTTAGCCCAAACTGTACATGATAATTTAACCAAATTGTTGGCCAAGACATCTCCTCGTGATGTATTTGTGCCTAAAGGTGATGTGCCATTAGAAAACATTGTCCGTGCTTATGATCCAAACTATAAAGGTAGGCAGGGGTGGTGCGACAGATTTTTTGCCTGCTTATACTGAGAAGACTGTGAACCAAAAAAACATACGCTTCGGGATTGGAGTATGTCACATCGATTCCAAACAATAACTAATGCACACATCTTTGATCTCCTTAGGGGTCATACCACCGCCTGAAGCTAGAAGACGAGGACCTCCTCCACAGCAGCAAGCCCAACAACAACGGCAAATGCAACAACCTCAACAACCCATGCAACAACAACAACCCATGGGCATGCAACGACCGCCACAACAGCAACAGCAGATGGGAATGGGTATGATGCCTCAACAACCTGGAATGATTATGGGCGGAATGGCTCCACCACCTCCACAGATGGGTCCTTATATGCCTGTTCCAGCTGCGGCTATGCAACAACAATCTGGTAACTTTGTTTGCAGAGCAGCCAAAAGCGCTTGTATTATTTGCAGAAACGCTTCCCGAAAGTTTGCCTAAGATCATCCTTGTTCAATTAATAGGATTCAGGCCACAAATGTCAATGATGGGAGTTAATAATATGCAGCCTTGGGGTTGAGCTGAAATAGTTGATTCATTTTGTCTTTTTGGGGCCGAGCTATATTTTATATTTCTTGTTGCTTTCCGCATGCACAATTTACTTGTTACTGCATGCAGGCGGTTGTGTTTTTAAAATATAGAGGTATGACGAATCCATATACCGACCGGAGTTCGTCAGACTTGCAATGGTCCTAATGTCTTCATCTCTTCGTTTTTTTCGCTGAACGCAAAACGTCCCCAAAATATATCAAATTAATTTACCCAACTAGATGCATATATATAAACAAGCGAAAACATTAATATAATAAAACATGCAGTATTTTTACATAGCTATCATACAACGACCCTCCTATCTATTACCCTACTCGGCACTACACAACAATGAAACCCCCGCAAGCGTCCACTTCTGCGGCCCCTTCTCCTTTGTTTTCAAATTAAACGTCCATATATAAGTCGGACCTCTCTGTCTCGTCCTGTACACAGGGCACTCATAAAATCCTTTCGTCTCCTTCTTATCCACCGGTATGGCCTTCACATACAGCACCGGCATAGCAGGCGTCAAATCCTTCAAATGCGAATCCTGTATCAGACCCGTAGCAGAATCCCATCTCGCACCCTCCATAAACAGTCCATGGATATATGCACCCTCTCGTGGCGCAGCAGTTAATTCTTCACGAGTCTTTTTGGTGACATCGACAGTCAAAATCATTCGATCTAGCGGCCACTCGTTTTTACGTGCAGTGGTTTGCATAATGGCGGTTAGGAATGACTGTGGGTTGAAGAGTCCGGATAGCCAAACGACGGGCGGGAGTTGGAATTCAGTTACCCAGGCCTCTAATTCCTTGATTCGTAGCAATAGATCGTTATACCATGCTGCGAGCCCTTGTGAAGACGGATATGCTAGTTTTTCCCATGATGCCGGCACAGCATTCAAAAACAATGCATTCATTAATGCTTCCATATTTTCCGTTATCGTTAAGTCTCCCTTGAGTCCAAGCTCCAGTTCCCGTAAAGAGCGTCGGATTTCAGACGTGAGGGTAGCCATCCGATCACATTCTTGCAACGCGACCGATATATACGGTGTGCGTTCTTCAACTCGTGATGCCAGTTCAGCCACGTTAAAGTTCTCGGGTAGTCGTTCCAAGATATCTTCTACAACCTGTCTTACTTTTTCTTCTTTTGAGGTTCCGACACCGGCTGTCGTGTCTCGAGGCTGCATTTCGAGCATAGTCTTGAAGAGATTGTCAGCCATCTTGGTTAGCACACCGATTTCAGCGTTCGGGTGGAGACCGTATAGGTATGGTGATTCTGGTGGCAAGTTCTCGTCAATGTATCTATGGTAGTCTTTATAGTCGGATACGGGGGGCAGAGTGAAGCCTGGTGCGAGCTCGAAGCTGCCGTCAAGCATTTCTTCTCGGAGATATACGTCCAAGTATGATGAGCAAAGACGACTGTTACGAAGTTTTACAATCGTCAGTTTTTTGATCCGTGCACTCAACCAACAAACACAACTGAATTTTTCAATTGGACTTACCGATCCCAATCATCAGAAATATGTCCACCATACATAATCTCTCCAAAGATGTATCTCAAATCCGTCCAGGGTACTTTCGCAAACGTCTCCAGATAATTATACAAGACATCACAACTAATCATCAAATCACCAGTAGAGAATGGATATGGTCGATTCCATCCCTGTGTGCCAAACTTCCTCCTCTCCAACACGACAGCATGGAAGTAGCACAGCGAAAACAATATACTACGGAATTCAGCATCCTTGGCACAGCGTTCAATAGACTCTTGCGAGAAGTTATCCAGTGCTCGATGGATGTTGGCTTGCATGCCCGTTGGAGGCTCGTTCGTGATTTTGATGGAGGCCTGTAATATCGATGTTGGCATGATATGGTATGCAGGGTCACCAGCTGGTTCGGCAGATAAGAAGACTCGGAATTCAGGCGACGATCCGATTGCTAGTTGTTCGAGTTTCTTTTCAAGTACTGGCAACCATTTAGCTACCAAGTGAATATTTTCCAACATCACCCATCCACCATGTTGATATGCTACGTCCAGACGCTGTTCAGCAATCACTTCTTGGCCCTGTCCAAGGGACACGTTATGGAAGTTCTTGTTATCTTCCGTGACACCAAGCGATCTACCCAAATGCTCGACTTCTTTGACTGGATCAACACCAGGCGACAGGATAAAGAATATAGGTGTAGCTGGTCCCGACTCTTCAAACGATTTGGCGAGTGGCACACGAGACGAATCTACATATTTGGCTCCCATCTTGGTCGACACGAAATTTCGTACTGCATACGTCATACGATCTGGACGCAAGCAACGCAATATACAAAGTTTCTGCATGGGTGACTTGTTCTTCCATTCCTGTGGAAGTTTCTCGTTTTCGGGACACTCGTTCTCACAATACTTCTTCCATTGTTTGGAAGCACCTTCGATATCGGATGCCAGTGTTCGGAAGACTTCAATACCGGAGAGGGCCTTGACCATACCCCATTGACTGGATGTGAGCCATTCGACTGGAGATTGGACGTTGAGGACTCGTGGACCACGTAATAAGAAGTCCATTTCAATCATATCAATGTCACCCTGATATCAAATAATCTTAATCAGCTTTTTCTCTCTCTAAGAAAAAACTTCACAAACACTTACAGCTGCCATGAGGACTTGGAAGGTCATCTGAGCCAAGAAGATCAATTTGTCTCTTTCAAACAGACCTCGAGTGGTATATACAAAGGTCATGTACGTAATAGAGTCAATTAATGACAAGACACGCTCCTTGATATCTTCAGCGGCTTCCGCTCGGTTGATGGCGTTCTTGAACACGACTTTGTATGCACTCAAAGAGTACTACGGCGAAAAAAAATTGTAAGCGAAGAAGCACCATTCAAGCAACAAGAATGTGAGCTTTAATTCACTCACTTGGTACATTGGATGAATCTGCCACAAACTATTCAACAGGAAGTACAACAGCGACGATCGTCCAGCAACAGGTCGATACAGTTCACGAGTCTCGTTGATCTTCTTTTCAGTCCTCTTGGCTTCCTCCACCTTTTGCTCAATATCAATGGCAGTCAACTTGGTAGTCTCCAGGTTCTCAACCAGAGCAGTATCACCCAAGAAATTACCCTGAGCGGCTGATAATCGAGACAAGAGCGCGTCTTCTAATTCAGTCAATTTGATCTTGAATTCGTTCTGCTGTTTAGTCAAATCAGCCTTCGTCCTCTCCAGATCTGGACGTTCAATATTTACGACATCAGCCAGCAACTGATCTTCAAGACCAGCCAATGTTACAGTGAAATTGATGAGTGTGGTTTGTGCTTGGATTTCAGGTGGGTAGTGTGGATTGGGCAATCTAGTTTGCAAGACAAGTTTAAATCGAGCATCATACTCGACTTCCTTGTCTCCCAACCGAATGTATCGTCCCTTTTTAATGGTTTCTCGACCTAGAATTGGATTGAGCACTGGATCTATACTCTCACCCATATCTTCTATAAGGACGGTATCACCAGACGACACAGCCTTTTCAATCTTGTCAAGGTATCCACGTTCACCTAGACGTACAGTCTTGAGTGATGCACCTTCTCGGTTTTTAATCCAGGTCACACCCTGCAGTTGAGGATCTATAACCAATGGCCATCGTTTACAAGTGGTGACCATAGTAGCGTTTTCTAAAGATACTCGGTCATTGGGCAGACCTTCGTTATTCCATTTAGCGATTTCAGCACTGGTGGTTAGGATCGAGAGTGGATCTACATCGGCAGACAATGGAATATTACAGTCACTTGCTCGTAACGTAGGAAGCCATTGCTCCTGCAGCAATTCTTCACGGTATCGTTTACTGAAACAACCGACGTAAGAGACAAATGCAGCAGATAGCAATACATCTCCAGCCAATGTCTTTTCCTGTTCCTTGAATCGTCCGACAGCATCAGACCAACGGACCTTCTCAGAAGCAAGACCATTTACCAGTCTGTTGGCCAACACAATAGTCTCCTGTGTAGATTTGGCTTCTTCCTCACAGCGAAGTTTATCGGCTGTAGCCTTCTCAAACTTGGCCTTCAAATCACCCAAGTTGCGATCAAGTTCGGCAATCTTGGATTGAATGTCTCGTAATTTGGCTTGAGACGAATTCAATTCGGCATTGGCAGCTTCGAGTGCTGCTCGCTTGGGCTCTACATCACAGAACACTCGGTAGAATCCTACAATGTTGACTACCCACGCACAGAGACCTGCGGCGGCTAAAGATTTGGACTTCATAAACTCTTCAGTAAAGTTGGGGTTTGCCAAGTATGGTTCTAAGGCATCCAAGTTGGATTTATCAATGTTTTCCTTGTTAAAGTTGATGAGTGATTCCAAGAAAGCATCGACCTACGCGACAGATTAGAAGTCGATCATTACAAATACAGATAGGCTATATAAGTATTTTTTGCCCAAAGATTTCAGACATAACATACCTTGGCCATCATATTCTTTCCAGCCTTCCAACTACGATCCTTAGCGATTTTGCCAGGTGGGCTCAACAACACCATGACAGCAGCCACTACATTAACGACTTCATCAGATGGCGAACCAAAAGACTTCAATTCCGTCAAATTGGCCTTGTTGAGAGAGTTCAAAGCAGCGGCGGCAGCAGCTAGAGCAGGTTCAGCAGCTCCAAGATCTTTTTGACAAGACTCGGCCTTGGCTGATACATCTTTGGTAATACCGTCGACTTTACGTTCTTCTTCAGCAGCAATAGCCTTTTCCTTATTGACTTTCTCGGTGTCAATACCAACACGCTCAATAAGACGATTGGCTTCTTCGTTCTTGGCGTTCAATTCTACTTCCTGCGAAGCGAGCTTGGCTTTTAGATCGTCGACCTGTGAAGCTGTTGACTGAAGCTTGGTCAAACCATTCTCTAGACGCTCCATTGCTCGAATCAGTTCCAAACTCTTCTTTTCTAGCATTTCCTTGTACAGGGAAATGAGACCCAAGAAGGATTTAGGAGTAGTATAGTTGTGTCGTTTCTCATTCAGCAAATATTTACGAGATACGGCGTTAACTGACTGATGGGCAAACGACATGAATTTGGTAACAGGTCCTTTAAGATCGTTTGGCACCAAATCACATGTCGATATAAATCGAGTTGCTACAGATTGTAAAGCTTCCTCGGGCCATTCGTCAAACCAATCAATCATGGTACAGTTGACAATGGCAGGGAATTTACGGCATCGAGATCGAAGAGTGTTTCCGACAGGCGAGAAACATAGCACAACCTTTAGATTCTTACGGACTGTGCGGATGAAGAGATCCCAGCAGACTTCTCTGGTATCTATCAAGCCCTGAGCCTTGGCTTCTCCTCGCATCGAGCTGATGATGCCTTCTACTTCGTCGTCCGGATACAATCCTGGAATGGTTCCTGATGCCAACATGTCGTTGATGAGCACCAAGAACTTTTCGTCAGCCACTTGAGAGTCAGTCAATAAGAACATGATCTGAATCTTCTTTTGACCAGTCTATTGAGAATTCAACAGTTAGTTTCTGAAATGTATCGTGCCATTATGAAAGCAGGGAACAGACCTTAGTATATAGCCCCGCCAAATCAGTTCTCAAATCATTGATGGAATAACCTTTACGCAATGTGATTTGGAAGACTTCCATGTTGGACATGAATGCAGCCAAACGAGCCAACGACTGTTTGCCACTTCCACCAACACCGACAAGTAGAGCATTACCACGAGGCGATTCCAATATACGTGAGATACGACATATATGCGACATGGCATCTTCGAAGAGCACCAAGTTCATGGCTGCATTGACTTCTTCGTACGCCGTTTGTGCTTCGTCCAACAACTTGCGGAGAGCACTCCAGTCCTTGACTGGACCATACTTGGGATCTCCCATACCACTGGCATAGTGCGAGTAAATGAGTGGTTCTGCCTTGAGTGCAGCCTGGTCGAGTTCTTCAAAGGATTTTTTACCAATTTCCTCTTGGAACTTCCAGAGCTGTTGACGATCTTCCGCAGCAATCATCTTGTCACCATATACACGAGTGGCTTCGTGCATCCACAGTCTTACGATATCTATGGGCTCTTTTAGTGCGTCTTTATGAGCAAATAGTATACCCTATGATGGAAATGAAAACGGTCGTGAGCCACTTCATTTGCAAAAAAAGGATCAAACAGGGTTTTGTACATACCTGGAATATGTTGGACAAGTCTCGGAGATTGAAAATATAGTGGAATTTCACGGCAGTAGGCAAGAAGAAGGCAGAGACCCTCTTGTGAAGACCTAAAGCAGCTGTGACTAGTCTGTCTGCAAGCTTCTGGAGCTTGTCAGGGAATGCCTTTAGATGCTGTGACAAGATCTGGCTGTAAATCATTTGCAATGATTCCAAGCCAGGGAAGTTGACAGCGAAGGCAGCAAAGTGACGTTGTAGACGTGGGGAGATCTTGAAAGAACCTGCTGTCGGATTCATACAAGCGACATATTGACAGTTATGGATTTCCTTGAGTGTCAATTTGCTTCGGTCATACCAATGACGGTAGTCCAAGTACTGTCGCAGCAATGTGTGTGGACTGGCAGTACCATACTTGTCGACTTCTGGCATATTGAGATCGTCCAAGAAGTAAATCAGCTTCTTGTTTCCTGGTGGACCAAAGTTACGACCAGCCTTCTTTTCTAACGGCTTTTCTAGAATGGGTTGTAGCGACCATGCAGTAGTGTAAAAGTTGAATGGTACGTTGACAATCAAACGGTCCTCGCCTGCAATTTAAAAATAGATTAAGTTGTGTGGCCTGAAAAAGAAAAACTGACGATCCACAGCATCATACCGTAAGAGTTCAACTTGTCTTGCATCAACACAGTTTTACCACAACCAGCATTACCAATGAGCAGCACCGGTTTACCATTATCAGCCAATACGTCCAAAAAGTATCGAATACGAATGGTTTCCTGAGTGTGTACCAATATGCTTTGAAGTGGCATATCGGGATCGTACTCAAATACAGGAATACGGTCAGTCCACGGCAAGAATCTCTTGCTCTCGTTGTCTACAAAGTAATCATATACAGTTCCGGTTGGAGGGAACTTTACTACTTTGAATTCACCATTCCACCATTTGGAGAATTCATTACGGAAATCAACCATTTGATCCTGGAAGATTCCACCACCAAAAGCCCAGACTGCAGCGAATACAAAGTAGATTTCAAACCAATCCTTATCACAACCCTTTGGTGTGTTTACTGGAGTGAGGAGACCTTCTAATATGTTACAAAGCATCACTACCATAGAGAAGTCTTCGATATCGGCCCGTTTGAATCTGCCAGAGCGCAACACATCGAGACAAGGGTTTACATATTTATCAAAGAGCACACTAAGAGTACTCTTTTCAGATTGATCCTCCCGTTTGTCGAGCCACGACTGCACGAATGGATTCCATCCTAAATCACTTGGGTTTACATATAGTATACCGGCACGAGATACGGTGGCGGGAGTAGCGTATTTGAGATCACCGATTTCAAAGATCATACGCATATGTGGTTTGAGTGGAATACGTTCGTTAGAGGCCAAGGTCAGCACCTTGTTGTCATCCATGACAGTGTTTAGAGATTCAATCCAGTTGGGATCAATGTCACCGTCCAAAACAATCCATTTGGGATCAGTGCCAGGAATAGCGGAGGTGTCACGCATAATACATGAGAAAAGACCATCCTTCCATTCACGAGTAGCTGGGTTTATACAACCATACAAGTCGTCGGTGTTGACAGCCTTTGGATTCAAGTCGGCCCATTGACACTTCTTGCCCAAGCTGACATAGGTGCGAGCAAGAGTCTTCCAGATCTGAGATTTACCGGTACCTGCATTACCAATAATGAAGACACAGTGACGTACAGCCAAAAGTTCTTCCAGTTGTACAATCTTGAGGACAAAGACTTCCTCAGCTTGCAGACCACTCTCGACAGTTGCTTTGCGGATTTCGTCTTCCAGCTTCTCGTTACGTTTACGGTGTACTTCAACCTTGGGGAACAAGTCTCCAATTAGACCATGGAAGACTTGCAGATCGTCAGTGACAATCTTGGGCAAGTTGAAGTCACGCAGAGCTCTCATCAATACGTGCTCTTCTGGTACTGTAGGATCAGCACGTTTCAGAGAACCAGCAACGACCAATACGGACTTAATGGCTCGAAGACCCCAGTCGTAGTGATCTTGTTTCGACAACAACTCTCTGTTGAGCTTGTAGAGGGTGTTGAATTTACGAGCTAGAGTACTGGCTTCTATAAATCCTTCAGCCATCAACATAATTTCACAAATCAGCTCCAAGTTGGGTACGACCATAGAGCAAGGACGGAAGAGAGCCTTGATGTTTTCAGGCAATTCAGTACGTCCGGCATAGCCAGGATTCATGGTGATGAAGATACCGACAGTTCTTTCCAATCGAATTTCTTCTCCCTGTTTCAGATAGTTGCTTGTTAGCCAAAAACAGCACGACGGATCATCATTGAATCTTGCTGACCTGGAAGATAAAACGCTTCTTCTTAGCACGTAAAGCATCCTGGATAGACTTGACCTGAGTAGCTACGACCGACAAGACCTCAACAGAGATACGATTGAACTCGTCGAAACAACCCCAAGCACCAGATTGAGCAAGACCCTTGTAGATATTACCAATGGACTTGTAATCCATCTGTTCAGAACAGTTGAATACATAGACCATGATGGCAAGAGCTTTCCCCAAATCCTTCACGGTTTCGGTTTTACCAGTGCCCGCGGGACCTGCTGGTGCACCACCCATAATCAAGTGGAGCGACTGAGTCAAGGTAATATAACAACGATCCGTTAAGGCCGTGATAACTAGACGTGGTGTGTTTCCTAGATATTCGTAATTGTAACGGAAGGAGGCGTCACAAATGTTGGCAATACAATCACCAGCAGTTCCATCTGTGTGGGCGATTACGGCATCGTCCCATCGTAAACGTAGTTGACATTGCCAACTGAAGCATTGGGCATTGTCCGCCTTTTCTGTAATGAGCTTGGCTACTATATCACGAGCGTGCACATCCAAAGTACAGACTGTCATAATCATTTGACGATCACCAGAATTCAACTCTCCTTGAATGAGAGTAATGAGACTCGTGAGCTAAAAAGAAAAGAAAATACGAGTCAGACGATTGTTCGCTCAAACCGAAACAATACCGCTTCAAGTACCTGATTGCATTGTTTCTTGTAGTAGTCCTTCAGCGAGTTCTCATAACCTTCTTCCAATCGACCAAACGCAACATTGACTTCCGTAGTCCACCATATTTGTGTACCAGCCAAAGTGATTTGAGCAGGATGGTCAAATATCCATTGCTCACGAGGCTTCTCTTCATAACCAGTAACGGCTTCACCCAACATGTGTTTAAGAGTTTTACGCATCACATCTACCAATCGGTTGAGCCATACTTCTACTGGACCACTACATTCACAAGGTGTGACGAATGGCACGTATTCGTCTTCCTTGGAATACATCCCGATGGCGATCTTGGATGGGTCACCACCTTCCATCTTCTCAAACTGTAGCCTGGCAATGTTATCGAATAATTTGGGGAGGTGGACAGCGACTTCGTGTGGAATGTTGCCTTTGGCAAGAATATCTAACAAGTCGGAAGCAGATACGAAGTAGAAACGAGGGAAGGCGAGACGTTTGGTTTCGAGGTATTCGGCCAAAGACTTTTCACAAAGCGCCAGTTGGCTCTGTAAAAGCTCCAGACGCTCGTATAATCCCTCCTCTGTGCAAAAAAAAATCGTCAGCGAATTGAACTTATAGTTTGCTCAACTCAACAAACCACATTCTTACTTGTACAGGCTTCAACCGTATTGGGAGTCTTGACAGCATCACTCATTAATGCCTTGTAGTCTTTATCAATACCATCGAATCGCTTTGTATCTTCTGGTAATTGTGCTCGAATATCTTCAGAGCCCATGAAGATGTTTTCAAGGTGCGACCATGTCTGTTGCACCTCAAGCCATAAACTTATGACTGAATCGACTATACCAAGAGTGTTCAACCATTTGTTGATTTGAGCTTCGAAGTGGGCGACATACTGTGCAAAAAACATTAAGTCAGTAAGGGGTAAGTCAGCGAAGGGAAATCGAATTTGATCCTCTTATTAAAACAAACCTTCGACGTCATCATATTTTGCAACATGACTTGATTATCTTCTAGAGTTTCAATCAATTCTTCAGAAGACTTGAGAAGTGGTGTCTTGGTCGATTCGTGGATTTCATATGTGAACTCCATAGTAGTCCATGTCTTGGTGAGATCATTGAGAATCTTCTCCATAGACAATTCTTTTGTGGCCCGGTCAACAATGACTTTGACGTCATCTTCATATTTATGTAGCTAAAGTGTAAACAGAATTGTAAGCGTCCATGCAAGAAAAACGAAACCACAAAATATTCATAATCTTGCCTGTAATGACAACAAGTCCTGGAACTTCATGTCCTGAGTCAACACAAAAGTGACGCCAGTAGTTTTCATTAACTGCTTCCAGTGACGATCCCTAATAGCATTACTACGGAGTTCACCAACAGCACGTAAACTGGTAATCATATCCTTGACCATCTGATCCAGGCCAGAATACACATCCCAACCCTTGATTTCTTTATCCATCTTACGAAGCTCCTTGTTGAGATCTCGACATTTGGCTTCCATGGCATCAGTATCAATTTCAGTCCATAGAGTTCCTCGCCATTGATCAAACATGAATGTGACTAGTGCTACAAAGTCCCATACTTGTTTTAGCATACCAACGTCTCTTCTACAATCAGCCAATTGACGGTAGGCTGGAATGTTGAGTTCGAAGAGTTCACATGATACCCTAATGGCTGCTGCTTCATTCTCCATATGACACACTTCGACATGACTGGAGTCGATGAGTTCATAGGCGCCGTCGGGGCCAACTTCAAACTTGAATGGTGCCCGTTTCCTGTATTCTTCTCGGAAGGCATGGTTTCGTTGATCAAAGCTATTACACTTCCTTTGAAGGACATCTACTTCACGAGCTTGCAGTGGAGCAACATGATCTCTTATAGAGACAGACAGTTTCTTGACGTCCGACCATGCTTCTGGTAGATCGTTGAGCATCTTATGGATGGTATCTTCCATTTCGACACCAAATTGACGAAGAAGATTGACTGTTTTACGAAGAGGTTCAAAGGTTTTATCAATGTTGGCTGTTCTGTGCTTGATGGCATGTAGCAAGCCCATAGCCGATATCAGGCCATCATAGTCACCCTCCTAGAATATGAAGAATGGTCAGCAGGGAATTTGGGAGGCAGAAAAAGAAAGTTATGAAGCAGTGAAAGAATGTCTCACCTCGATTTTAACTTGTAAACCCTTCTTGGTATTCTTGACAAACTTGTCCAACTCATTCAGTGTTGCAACTGCACTATCACTGAGATGCTTGGTCAACGTATATGTCCATTTCTTAACGACCAAGTTCAGAGCTTGTTTTAACGGACGAGCATCAACTCTAAACCAGCCTTGGAACAGCACTTCAGGCTCAATAGCCATGACGGTTTTATGTATTCCCTCGAATTTACGGATTTCAACTTCAAACTTCTCGAGTTTGAGAGATTGATCTCCTTCACCAGAATCTGAGGCGGGACTCTCGGCAGCCTTGTCGGCATTAGGTGGGTTGGACAGGAAACGTTCCATATATTCTTGACGGTTTTCCTATTAATAGCAAAAAAGGACGAGTTAAAGATATGCATTTCAAGCATGAGGAAGCATAAACTTACGGTCCAGAGGTACGTGTACTGATCATAACTATCACTATATCCTATACACTCTTCCGTAATTCTCTGGACACGACCAAGAATCTCCACTTTTATCTTTGACAATCGTTCGTCGTGTAACATCTCGCCCAGATATGTTTCGTTCTCCATAGCATCTTCACCATGTAGTCCGGTGCCTGATGCATCTCCCCCTTCTTCAGAGGCAGGTACGGGTTCTGGCTGCGGTATGGCTGCTGGTCTAGCGATACGTCCAACCAGTGACGCAGTTTCGTAGATGTCATCAAGAAGGGTCTTAATGGTAGAAAGTAAGCTGCCTTCCGTGTTTTCTAGGTTGAGGAAATTGGAAGTCACTACCTTTCCCTTGTTTGTCACTAGAAATTAACCAACCAAACAAAGGACACATACCATCAGCCATGCTTGGAGTGAATACAAGCGTGTCATTCTCCAATTCAAGCTTAGCTTCCAAAACGGGACCGACATCAGCTCTTGATGCACGGTCACGATCCATGTTTTCAGCCAAGTGTTCCAATGATTTACGAATAACATCAAAGAAGCCTTCACGTATCAATCCATCTACATATTCTCGGTATTTGCCCCATTCAGCTTGAGACTCTTGAGCACCAAGTAAACTACGAGTCTGTTCCAGTAATTCGTGAATGGTTCGGCCGTCCTTTTTGATTTGATCATAGGCAGCCGTTAGCCGAGCGTCCTTGCCTTCTAAATCTAGCAATTTCTTGCCATCTTTACGTTCTACGAGAGGTGCTGATGACCAGGCCTTCATCATTTTAACGATTTGCACCACATTGTTCTTGGTAACTTGCAATACGGAGCTCAAGTCACCAACAATCTTTCCGAGAGATTGTATATACTCTTCAACACCCTCTGATGTCCAGTTGAGTGTCTTTAGAGACTGCTCAACCATAGCATCGACGGCCAACACCTTGGACTCGATTAAAGGTCGTTCGACTTCAAGGACGGAAGTCTTGATGCTGTTATATTGAGTCGAGATATGGGCCAGCGAGAAGATGAATTGCCTATACACTTCTGCTTTTGAGTAGATACGGGCAGCGGTTTCGGGAGCCTTGACTGCCAGAGACTCGAGATATCGCACCTCACGGAGTAGGGCAACTACTTTGGGTGCGAAATTGACTGCTAGCAACCCATCGGAATTACGAACAAGCAGAGGCTTGTGGAGATTGGCCTCGGATTCGTCTATTAGTGTGTCTGCCCATTTTTTATAGACGGCACTTTCGTACGCATCAAGCATGTTCTTGATGTCATTGTACTTGGAGAGCACGATATTGGCCTCTTCAGTGTTCATGACACTGTGATTGAGCTATTTCAAAATGACCAGTCAGTTCGCAAGTGCAACATGAAACGAGATGCGATTTTTCACCGATTAAAAAAAGGGAAAACGCAAAAAGGCCATAGCAAACAGAAACATGCCGGCGACGGTACTTACACTCTTGAGCTTCTCCATGGCCTTGCCTATTCTCTCCTTGAGCTCATGACACCATGCGACAGCACCAGTTACGGGAGCCATGTTGTAATGTATTGGTGGATCGTCTCGACCTCGTAAGAAGATGGTTCGGACATCTTCTAGGTCACGCATGTAGGCCTGCAATAAAGCAAAGTATTTGCCCTCGAAGTCGTGTTGAATCCGTGGGCGTGACAAAAGACCAGCAAAGGATTCAATTAAACGGAAGCATGCGTGGAGACCAGTACAGTCTTCGAAGCCTTGGCAGAGGATGGTTCTAGAACATGAAGCATGTTTGTGTTAAAAGGCAAAAAAGTCCAAGTCGTTGACTGAATGCTTACCCGATTCGACGATCCAAATCTTCAATCTTGGCCTGGAACTTGGACATGTCACTCTCAAAGTCACTGTTTTGCAAGTCAAGCACATCGTATTTGATTTGCTTGAAACCGGACAAGGCCGTCGTGAATTCTGCAAATATTTGAGCGACTTGGGAGCTCAGAATTTTACCCTAATCAAAAAAACTGAGCCTAACCGATCTATGAAATGGAGTGTAATTTTCCTTCCTTTCCTCGAATTATCTTACCTTGGTACCACCAACCTCAACCTTTTCAAGGCGGTTGAACTCGACAATGGTATCAAACAAATCCAGGATTTGGTTTACTCTGAACAAGAATCGATCCAAACGACCAAAGACCAGTTTCGAATCAAAGTTCCACGGCCTTGGACCCTCTACGGTTCTTCGTTTACAGTCCTGATAAGTGTTCCTTAGAGACTCACATACTTTAAGGGCGAGACGGATTCGGTCGGCAGCCTCTTCTGGTTCAGCAGCGAATAGTTCGGCTGGCTGAATAAATACACGGGCCTGTTCTATGACGTCGTTACAGATTTCTTGAAGCACCACTGTGATTCGTTGTGGAGTGGTGTAGTGTTTGGAATGAGTCCATATAAGCACCAGGGTGTGCATTAATGGAGGGAAGACTTGAGCCAGTTCAGCAAAGTCTGACGATCCAGATAACTTGTCTACCAGTGGCCGCAGTGGCTGAAGGTAAAGTCGGATGTCACTTGCCTCATCGAGAGCTGTGTTGAAATTTATACGTTAAAAAAACTTGGCGGGGGGAGAACTCAGGCATCAACTGTTGTTTCGGCTTCAATGCAACATACGTACCAAAGGAGACTTCCTCAAAGATGGTTTTGAATGCGGGGTGGTAGGTAGATTTACTGGCCTCCAGTATGCGACCAATCTTTTGTATCTTTTCATCCGTGAGTTGAGAATGAATGTTGGCCAGATTAGCGGCTTTAGCAGCCCAAAAGTCGATTTCAACCACTGGTCCAGGTGTCAGCCCTGCATCGAGTGGTCCAGCTGAAGATGATTTAATGACTTCCTTGATTTGGTGAGTCCAGTCTATCACTGCAGACTCTAGAGTGTGTAGTAATGACTTGTCGATCTCGACGTTGAGACGGGCACCATGTGGTAATGGCAGCAGCGTTTTGCCCTACGGTAGAAGAAACACGTGTTATTCAGTAGTCCTGATCAGGAGGGAAACCTGGTTGATAGTGGCTGAAAGTGAGAGGAAGTTCACACCTTTGATTTGCCTGATATGACGTAAACGGCACCATTCAGCTGGTGAAAGTGTCGCAACACATCATTGGCCACGACTTCAGGCCATGCTTCCAGATTGCGTGGGTTTGTCAGCAGTGGCAAATACACTTCTTCGAGAAGTGTAGATAGGAATGTTAATGGATCGGCAGCCAAATCACCCATGGTGAGTTCCTTTTCCAGACTAGTGGTGACTTGTGAGCCGAGAGTGTTTTTGAGAAAGTAAACGGACTTTCTCTTGAGTTGTGGTGGAAAGTTGATTGCTGGTAGCAGCTCGTCACGGGCGTTAAGATAAAATAGAATTGTGTTGACATCACTGCTGTCCAAGAACTTGACAATGGCCTCCCTAAATGGTACAAGGGAGCAAATGTTGGTTGAGGCAAGAAATGGTGGGTTTATGTAAAGAACTGTTTGAAAAACGTTGTTTCATGCGAAACACATTCCCACATCACATCCTTGTTTCAAAGTGGATGGTTCTATGGCCCCCAACTGTCCCGTGACATTGTGCGTACGAGATCCGTGAACGAAACAATATGAAATATAATGTTTTGATGGTATAACATGTACAGCACTTACCAGTTCTCCTGGGTGGACACCATTTTTTTAAATTTGTCATTTTTCAATCTCAGTGCGTTACATACACGGTCTGAAAACCATTCACAGCGCGGGTCCATGACAGCGGGAGGGGCATCGCTGTCACCCTTATTGGTGGATTCACTCTTCACCTCAGACATGGTCTGTCGTTCCGTGAGAAAGTGTGTGTGTGAAGTTGAGCGAATACGATCTTGTTATAAATTGATCCAGAAACAGAAATGTTCTTGATCGGTTAGATCTGACAGTTTAACACATATAGCAGTCTGTATAAAGCTCGTTCTGGTGTAGAAAGGCTCCAGTTCGCGTGAAGGACGGTGGGCGTTATGTTATGGGCAATTCCCGACAAGTCTCTGAGCGCGAGGGAGAGAACAACACCCACGTACCTCACGATTACAGAAGAGACATTTGATACTAGGAACATCAAGACTAAAAAAGGTTTGGTTCACGATAACAACAAGTGCAACAACGTGCCATTGTCGTAACGTCCTATAATGTTTGTTTGGACGTACTGGAACTTGACTGGATCGCAGCTAATAATTTAATCAAAAGTTTTGTTTAAAGATTTACTACGTTCTTGCTCAGGTCTCATATCAGCTGTTGTGATTGCTTCTGAGGGAGCCTTCAAGTCATGGCTGCGATTTTGCTCTTACAAAGCTTTTCTCGGGGGCGCAATTTGACTTGTTGACTTGTGAGGCAGAAGAGATCTAGCAGCGGTATCAGACTTAGTTCGCACCTTCATACAACATTTCTGACGGTTCTAATCGTCCTAAGTTGCACCGATTGATAGATCAAAACATGTTGGGACTGGACAGCAGAAACTATGGCCCACCGAACAACACTCTGCCCATCCGAGGTGCCTCATATCCAGTGCCTCTACATGAAAGAATACCTTTGGCACGCTCCAATTCAGAAGTAAACAGGGCAAGGACTGATCCACAATCGAACGATGGTCGAAACATTGCTCCTGCTCCTCAAATGAACAACCGTTTGCCACGCTATACCAACCGGCCCATAAACGCACCTTATTCCCAACCATACCATCAGCCGCCGACGTCTGCAAGTCCGCCATCACCGCCTCGAAGGTACGGACACTTGCAAGTTCACAGATCGCTACCAAGGAAAGTAAAGCTAACTTTTCAACTCCTTTTTTTCCAAATTCTAGTCCATTACGGGGCCCTCCTTTCAGTTCTCGCTCGAGTACTAGCTCGAATGGAAGTAATGCGGCCAGAGCTGGGACCCTGCAAAGGCTCGAACCACTGTTTGTTGAATCTGGATCTGTACGAGATTCGCTGCCACATTCAGTACAAGACAATCCTCCAGCTGCTGAAAAGGTAGAGCCAATAGCGCAGAATAAAGAGCGAGAGATACGGGATTTAGAAGACAAACTGTCGGATCTAATGGTTGCCAACGCCCATCTTGCGGCACGAGTAAATGACGCTACAGCATCCTTTACGAACGAGAATAAACGATTATCGGACGCAGATACACGGATACGGCATCTAGAGAGTATTCGGGACACACTTCAGCGTGAGCTTGGAGTGGCGAGAGGTTTGTGTAGGGTTGGAAAGCACTCAGCTAGTATACTCACCCGATACGTTTCTATTTTAGAGCAACTGTCTCTCTTTACGAAAGAGCGAGTGAATCTGCATATGCAACTGGAAGAGATGCACGCTAGCGTAGAAGGCTCAGAACGACAGATTAGAGAACTTAAAGAAGCACTCCGAATCAGAGAAGACAGAATATTTTATATGCAGCAACAACAGCAAGACCGGCCCGAGTCATTACAGTCTCAATACAGGAACTATGAACCTCCCGCACAACGACCTCCCCAACCACCATCTGAAACATTCCGTCAACTTCCACCACAACTCCCGCCGCAGCGAGTTGCTCCTAGGGCAAGTAGGCCATTGCCGCCACCACCGATAGACGCCCAGGAAATGAACTCTCGTAATGCCAATGGTGGTTCTATTCCTCAGGAACCAATCACTCGCAATGTAAATGGCAGTGTATTAGGTAAATCAGATCCATATGAATGGGCACGGCATGCAGAGAATACTATACGGCACGAGGACTTGCCTCCTGGCTGGATTCAAGCTGGGGCTCACGCTGCTAAAACTCAATCGTCACAATCTGATGTGACTCGTACATCACAAACTCAACGTCCAATAGTACGGAAAACATCGGCCGACTCTATGGCTCGACCTCAAGTAAATATCTTCCAGAGGATGCTGAGAGGAAGCCGGTCAAATCTGAATCAACGGTAAATAAAATATCATCACGTAAACCTCAAAAACAGTCTGCATCACTTCTTTGTAGTAAGCCTCATCTCGTAAACTTTGTTTCAATCAACTCTTCAATAATCTAAAATTCATAAATGCAACAAACTCCTTGTTCTGGTTTTCCTGTTTGTGTATAATCCTCGGAAGCATCAATCGCATTCGTGGTCGTTTTGAGTATACAATGTCTTTATTTGATTTTTTCTTTAGTTGTTTTGCTATCAATTTTACAAACAAAGGGGTATTTCAGTGTGGGTATCATTTGTCCTGTGTTTACTTTCTAGTAACAAAGTAGGTTTGAATAGGTCCTTTGCCCTTGACTGTTACAACATCACCAGGGGTACAGACAAGAGTCTACATCATTTCAAAACGATCATGTAAGTATAACGAAAAAGCACACATCCCAAATATCTGCGAGAATCTTACAGCATTGTTCTTGACCAACTCATAAGTAACATCAGAAATGTGGATTTGCATAGGCTTGGAACTAGACTCCATCTTGGAAGCAATGTTGACAGTATCACCGACCAAACACCAATGAGGGTTCAAGTCACCCATGACACCGGCAGTAACAGGACCAGAGTTGAGACCGATACGGATGTTGATGGATTCGTTGGTAGCAGACTTGAAGGTGGTAATCATAGTAATAATGTCAATGGCAAAGTTACATCCACGGTCGGCATGGTCTGGTATGGATCATGAAAGGTGATTAGTTGATCAAAAATTGATGCTAAAAGTACACTCAACATCAGTTTTTTTTCGAGCCATAAATTACCTGGAACACGTTCTGGACAACCAGCAACACCGAGATAAGCATCACCAATAGTTTCGACCTTGTACATTCCCCATTTCTTGGCAATGGCATCGTATTCGAGCCAGAGTTTGTTGAGGGTGGCCAACATGTCTTTGGTCTATTACACAAACGAAAGGAAAGGTAAGACACATCTCATGTGTTGCCATTTGATCACCAAGTACTTACAGAGGTACGAGAAGACAAAACGGTAAAGTTGGCAATATCCTGTGAATGGATACATGGTTAGATTCAATTTGGACTATGGCTGCCGATTTGATACGTACAGAGAAGAAGACGGTGACATTGTCGAATTCTTCAGCTTCAGCGGCTTTACCAGTCTTGATTTGTTCCAAGATGCTAGAAAAACCAAGTTGTTAATTCCTCACAATCGATCAAGCACGAAATCTTTCAAGTACTTACGCAGCTGGCATCATCTTCTCCAATAGGGCATCGGTAGCGTTAGTTTGTTCTTCCAATTCAGCAGCAATGTTGGTCAACATGGCAAGACGTTCACTGGTAGCTTGTTCGACGGTACTATATGTGCATATAGTGTAAGGCAGTTTCAACGTAAAATAACGTCTCCGCAAAACTTACGCGTTAATCAGAATCAAGGTCAAGAACACCTTGGCAACCATGTCACAACCACAGTAGAGCAATTCACCAAATTGGTATGAGACAACTTGATCCTTTTGGAGGAAGTAAATAATAGTGACTATGAAATGGGAGTATGGTGTTAGATGTTGAAATACACTCAATTTTCATCACATACTGAAAAGAAAACGGAAGATTTACTTACATCCCCACCAGGCACAGAAAGTAGCCCATTTAGCAAACACCAAGGAAGCCTTGTCCAATTTACAATCGGTTTCACCATTGAGAGCAGCATTGTACATCTTCATCAAACTTCCAACGACATACAAGAAATATAAACAAGAGCAGGTATCCATCCAAGTTGCATAAGGTTCCTTCATGATGGCACCAAACAAACCAAAAGCAATCATAGTGTAATCAAAACCCATAGTTTCCCAAGCATCATGAGTAGAACGGGTAAGTTCAGCAATGAGGTAGATCAAAGTTGGACAGCAAGCCATCCATTCGAATGATCGTGCAGGGTCCCAAGGCATACCAGTAGGCATCATGAAACTTGGAGTCAAACGGAAGAGTTGCAGGGCGTATGAAATAAGAGCAATTCCTTGGACACCAAACATGATAATAGCCAAAGAACGACGTTCGGGAGTACGACCACCAGAGTAGGTCAAGAAGGCGAAGAACATACCAATAGCAAAACCCATGATACCAAACTTGTAGTATGTGTCAGAGGGACCACGGTTGAATGTCATGGCACGAGACTTGTGTGCTCCAGAAAGAACGTATAGAGTACAGGCCAATGTTACGATAGACCATACGACAAAAGATTTGAGAATCCAGTCCAAGGCACCACCGTTTCCAAGACGTCCAGATGATTCAATGTCAGACACTTTGTCTTTGAAGGATTTCTTTTCCTTCTTTTCCTCATTCGCGTCCACCGCTTTCTTTGGGCCTCGAGACTTGGAGCGACTCCCTGTTGAACAAAATGCGTGAGACAGGTTGATGGGCTAGTAGTGATGACAGAAATATAAAAGCGTAAACGCGTCAACTTACTAGCTCTTTCAGTCTCTTCCTTGTTCAATTGCTTGTGACGAGACACATTACAACCACAGTCGTCACCTACATCATTCATCACGTTGAATGAGCAGATGTCGCGACATAGTGACTCAAACAGTGACACGCCAAACTAAGAATTCACGAAAAATCAACGTGAAAGTGCAACATACATTGGTTGGACTTGGTCTTGAAAGCGTATTCCTCACAACCAGCACCTAGTTTTTTCAACATTCAAGATTAGCTTCGACGGCACAACGAAAAACGTTCTCTACACAAAAGCATTTTTTAACATACATGCCAAACATTGGCCGCGCTCTACCCCTTCAACGTCCTTCATATTTCCAGAGCTACTGTGCTAACTTAAATGGTCAGCTTGAAACAATACTTCAAAGATGATTTTCTCTAGACTGCAAGAACAAAGAATGCAACCTCGCATCAACGTACTTTTTCTGATTTTTGTCCCTTGAATCTCGTGTCGAACCTAAGGATTTACCTGAAAAAGATGATTCAAGGATGGAAGGCGTTTTTTGGGATTACCAATCTTAGCATGCGAGCATTCGAATCTGGCCTTTTGGAGACGCCGACCAAGTTTTACATGGCTCCTATCAGGGTAGTTTCAGGTGTCATATAAGCTCACGAAGAACAGGAACAAAGTTCAGATTCTGAGGGATTGTAGTGAGGGCCTCCCAAGTGGATCCTTGTGGACACGTACGGATTGAGTTATTCGTAACATGCTCACTTGTCGTGTCTCGGAGAGAGCTCAACAGTCATCAAGGCCAGCCAACTACATCAGCATCGTAAAGCTACACCATTGCAACGTCGCAACCACAATAAAGCACGACACCGCAAACTTTTAAATTGAATTGAATGTATCAGTGCTTCCTAATTTTGTGTGTATATTAAAGGTTAAAAGCTTTCTGTGGAGTTCGAGTTTTCCTCACTTGCAACGAATAAATACAAAATGGACGCATTCATCTCAAACCTGAAAAATCATCAGCATTCATGAGATCTAGCACTCAAAATGTACGAAAATGGGACCAAGCAAAACTTTCAACCTCTTTTCTCTCAACCCTCGCACGAAAAATTGCTGCGCTCTCTTCTCAATCTGATTGTCTCTTGACTTTTAGACACACAACCAAAACAACTATAAAAGCATGGGTGGCCTATTAAGTATTCTTCGTGGAGCCAATGAGGATGAAGTAGTCGATATTCCAGTAGATTTCACTGGTCAGTTGCGTGTCGTCAATTAAGAAAATTCCAGATTTCCAACCCCACGCGTTTCTTACATTATCATGTTATTTTAAACAGGCGCCAAACCATGTGCAGAAGAGGCCGCCATGTTTGCAATGCTGGATGAAATTCTCAAGCCTGCTGAAGATCACATATCTACTCTGAGAGGATATTCAGGGTGTGGTGAACACATAAGAAAGGTAACTTTTTTTCTGCTATCACATCCGACCACAGCTCCAGCATCTTTGGCAATTTTATGATATTTCAAGCTACAGAATTCTGACCAAAGGCTCGTTCATTTTGTAACAGGCTATATCGACTCCAAACAAGGACACCGAAGAAGCTGCATGGAATGCAGTTTTACCATGTGTCCTGAAACTAAAAGATTACTATGAATTCAGTTTACGGATCGGTATTTTGTAGCTCGTCTAGCATTAGACAAGATCCAGCAGTCTCATTCTGATTTTCTATGCAGAGGAGGTCTACCCAAAAGTGCTGGAATTCTTTTGTCAAGGTGACCTATACAAACAATTGGAAACATGTCAGGCTACCGCCAAACGATTCGCCGATTTGCTTTACTTTTGCTCGCAGTTCGATGAGCTAAAGGTAACAAGAAATGTCTTATACGAGCATTTGTCGATATTCCAGAATGGTTTGTTGCTAACATCTTACATGATGTAGATGTCCAACCCAAACATTCAAAACGACTTTTCATACTACCGCCGAACACTCAATCGTCTCCGTAACCAGAACGGCGGACAGGTACCAGCAAACACTGTAGTAGGAGATGATTTGGCCAACCGAATGAGTTTGTTTTACGCTTTTGCAAACCCAATGACCAAGGCCATTACAGATAAGACAACTGCTGCCATTGCTGCTGTGAGTTATGCGAGCTTTATCCATCTTCCTTTTTTGCCTAGCCACAATCCAACGAATCTAACGCTGATGCATTTTTTGTTCAGAGCAAAGGAGCCATCACAGAACAAATCAGCGAACTCTTTTCTCTTATTGCAGCCATTTGTTATAACTATGTCGCTAAAGAGAGGTGACAAAAAAAACTTACTGCCCATGGCTCTATTATCCTTTGACGACACTAACCTCTCGCGATTCTTCTCACCACAGGACGGGATCAATCGACATGGTCTCATACTGCCTCCGCGTGATGGTCTCATGTATCGTCATATACGACCACGTCTCACCAACCGGTGTGTTTGCAAAGGGCTCCAAAGTAAATATCAAGGCATCCGTCAAAGTGATTCGAGATGCCGGTGCTGGATCTGGAGAGCTCTTGTTGAATGCTCTGAGATATACCACTGTACATTTGAATGACGAGAGTACACCAAAGGGAATCAAGGCATTGTTGAACAATCCTCCTACACCGCAGTAGAGATACGGCAAAAACGTTAGATCACAGACAAGGAACCTCGACTTCTTCACCACCTCCATTGCCCACCTTTCTTTGTAGTTTTTTGCTACTTTTTTGTAAACTTATTTGAAGTTTAATCCAGTACTTGCAAAATACCAAAATGATGCACTTAACATACAACTCATGTTTATTTACACACACACCCCACATTTCTTTTAAATTATTCGAAATCGCTACTGTACTCATCCTCATCAACATCGTAATATTTAGCGCTGGATTCTAGATTGTCAATCCGCGAGACCTTGTCGATTGTTGCGCTCAATTCATCATGTGACGGTTCCAGCAGAGAGTCAGATTCACGAGCTGATGCAATATGGTCTGAGAGTACATCCAGTCCTTCAGATACACTAGAGTAGCTCGATTTGTGAGGTTAGTTGACCAAAGTCGATGATGTCGATATATATGGAGATTTTTTCACCTCTTGGCAATGCTCTCTTCCAAGCTTGAGCGTTTATCTGAGGATATGGTAAGCTGGCTATGCTGCTTTGACAATACAGCAGCCTCCTCACGAATGCTTTGATGACTTGAGGTCTTCCCACCGTTATCAACAGCTTCCTCAAGATCACTATAGTGAGAGGAGTTCTTTCCACCGTTAACAATGGCCTCCTCAAGAGTACTATACCGACTTGAGTTCTTGCCACCATCCTCAACCGCCTCTTCAAGAAGACTGTAATGACTCGGATCCTTCTCACCACCATCTTCAGCGGCCTCATCTAAAATACTTTGATGACTCGAGCTCTTCCCACCACTATCCTCCTGCTGTTTGTCAGACCCAGAGAGACTCGACCAAGACGGCATCTCAAGCTTAGATGCCTTTTCAGCAATCTTGGCTATATCACTGGCTTGTAGCAGTGAGCGATCCATGCTCATTTCAGGTGACGATTTACTATTTCCTTCATCTTCACCAGACCAGTCCTTGCCAGAAGAACCACGACGGGATGATTCGTCAGAGTGGCGTGATGATTCTGTGAGTGAGCTTTGGCGGGACGGCGTTTTATGTAATGATGTTGATGCTGTGCTATTACGTGATAATAATGGTTTCTGAGATATTTGAGAGGGAGTCACGGATTTTGCTGGTGTTGATTTATGGAATGGTGAACCATGAGGTTCTTCACGAGCAGGTTCAGGTCTTGACATACGTGGTGAATTGCTTCGTGAGGTGGTGGAGCTAATTGGAACTCTGGTCGGTACAGATTCTGGTCGGAAGGGAATTACTGTTTCTGACCATTGCGAGTTCTTTGATGACGGAGGTGTAGAAGTTCTTGGTTTTACGACTCGCTGTCCACCAGCTTTACTAGATGATGCCATTACTGGAGGTGGAGCTGACGCTAGAAAGAAATGAGCGTAAGGAGGACATAGCCAAAACCGCCGAAAGCGTTCTCCAAATTACTCACTTCGGCTTTCACTCTTCTTCACAACACGTTTCACCTCAGGCTTCACAATCCCCTTCTCCGACGACAAATCAAACTCTCCATCCTCATACCGTGCATCCTGCGTCAGCAATTCACCATCAGAAGCCGACAGTGCACCTGTACTCTTCGCCATATGTACACCAGCATAACTAGCAACTTCACTAGCTTGAGTCAAGATATCCGCAGATGTAGCATCATTATCTCTACCTCTAGCAGCAGCAAACATGCCATCGTATGCACCCACAGGGAATCGATCAACGATTTCTCCTTCGCTGTACAGGTTGGTGAGTACTTCACCCTCTGACATGACTGTGGACAGGGTGCTGAGACCGGGACCGGATGATTCGGATGCGTCTGGTGCTGCTTCTAGCTGTATTGGAGGTGTTTGTGGTGGGACTTGCGTTTCGACCTCCACTTTGCGCTAAGACAGAAAAAAAATTGTTGAGAAACCAAAATACATCGCGAAACGACCAGGAAAATCGGTCTACCTCTCGTGCTTCATCTTCTGCAGCTTCACGTAAATGTCGTAGTAATTCTTCAGTCTCAAGTAATTCACGTCGGTATCTTTCTGCTGCTTCAAGTCTAGCTCGTTCATCTTCACGGTCTCGAGCCTCTTGAAGACATTGTCGAGCTACACTCACAACTGCTTCATCGACCACTTCATTAATAATTGAGTCAAGGACCAATGTAAAGGCTGACTCTGGGATTTGTGGTGGTGGTTCAATTTCTAAAAAACGGGTGTGAGAAGCGGATGAACGAAAAAATTCCTGCCATATGTCATATTTACCAATACTCTTTGCCTTCTGCAGGATTCTGAGTAAGACTTCTGACTGAACTCGTTCAGGCAGCCTTGGAGACCTAGTGGGTATTTCCAAGTGCCAGTCAGAACCAGATCCAAAAAACTTCAAGCGCTTTTCGACGATTGTACTGACGGCTTCTCAGACATCGTCTGCACAGCTTCCGACACTGGCGGAGAATCATATTGGACACCAACATTATGAAGTGGTGGGTCAGATTGGACACCGGTATTCTGTGTTGAGAGAAAGGCAAAGAATTGTTCAGTTAAAGGGAATGTTGGGAATTATGATAGCGGCCTTTTTCTCCATGACTGACCTGATATGCTTTCAACAACGGAGGAGGTACTTCTAATACAAGAAGAATGGTTCGTTTTAGTCATCATTCTTCGTCATAAGAAATCATGGCCAAACAGAAAATCTACCAACGTGACTTGAAGTATCATCCGTGACTTGTGTCGAATGAGTGACCATAGTGGTTGGAGCGGAAGTCTGAACGGCCTCGTCGAATACTACAAATATCAAGAATGATTGCTGAGTGGCAAAAAAAAAAAAACGCTCAAGGCATATTGAAAAGTATACCTTTCACAGTTGGTTTCTCTGCAACCATGTTAGTGGAAGTAGTTTTCGACGCCTTCTTGATGGGAAGTGGAGGGGGTGAGACTGGCCGCGGAGCTGGTGCAGCTCGTTTTGTGGGTGATGGTGTCCTACTGGCAAGCAAACACATCAGATATTGGCAAAAAGTGCAGGCCCATATAACAGCCGTATCAGCATTTACCGTTTTGTAGGACTACGAGGTGGTGGCAAATTATCCAGAAAGCCCAAAGTAGGAGGCCGAACAGACGTCCTTCGTAGAAAGATGGGCATGTTCGACAATCGAACATTGTAAAAGTTGGGTGGTCGCAACGGAGAGGGTGCTCGTTCGAATGGAGCAGCAAATCCAATCCCAGGTGATTCTGGTCGATGTGGAGGGTAGGCGTTACGAGTCGGAGAGCCGTTACGAGAAGGTGATGTCTGAGTTTGCATTTGCACTCTCTGGATCTCTATCTCCATGGCTCGTCGTTTTGGAGGTGAGGATTGCTTTTGCTTTTTGCGGGAGGGTTGTTGCTGTTTAGGTGGAGGTTCCCTAAAACATGTGTTGGTAGGGTCAGAAGCACAAAACGCCAAAAACCGGCAAGCACCGCTGATCATTGCAGAACATACACTGATTTCGTTACTTGTACAGTTTGGACAGGCTTTGGCCGTAGTCCCGGCTGAGGACTTTGCATACGAGGTGCCTGATGGTAGATTTCGGATTCATGAAGTCGAGGCTGCACAGTGGGAATCCATGTCTCCTAAACAATGTTTTCAGTGTTGTCTTGATTTCGAATCATCGCTTAGATAGAGACCAACCTTGGCGTTCTCCATTTCACCGATTGTACGTCTCACTTCCGCTCTCACTCGATCAGCATTCAAGACATCATCCAAAGTATCCATTGTCGGTTGCTTGATCACCTCTGCAGAAAAATGGAAGGCAATTGTGAAAATCCTTTCAGCAAGAACTCTTTCTGGAAATTCTGTGCATTCATAGCTTTACCTTCGACCGGTATTGCGATATCAAGACGATTGTACATGGGTAGCATCATGTCCCTCCTCAGCTTTCTCAACTCCACCAACACTTTCTGAGCTGCATCGTAATCAAAATCACCTCCCAACATCTTTACACGATCAACTCGAAGCACACGAAGGTTTGTTGGTGATGTTGCGGTGTCTGCATGCTTCTTGTTCTCCTTGCCAGGTTTGCTGTTGCTGGTGTTTGATGGAAGTAGGATGTCGACAGGTGACCAATTCATGCGTTGCGACAGGTCACCCAGTTCTTTTAGAGCGTCTTGCATAGACGAAAGAACTGTAGATGTAGCCTCCTATTCAAACCAAAGTTGCGTGAGAATATTCAAAAAATGTATGCTCGATTTTCTTCCGGCCAACATACTCGAGCATTAGCTTGCATCGCCAGAGCTTCAGTCTTGGCATCCTTTGAAGCTAGACCTTCTTTCAAAGCAGTGAGAATGGTCATCGCATGATGAAACTCGTGCTCTACACGCTGAAGTTTCTTCGATAGCTCCACTGTGACAGCGTCTGATGGTGCGTCATCACGTGTCGTCGGCAAATGAGATGTAACAGGTGCAGTCTGGACCTGGGTCTAATGGGTATAAATTGAGTCCAGAATCTTGAAACTAAACGGATTCTACTGTTCTTACAGGAACCTCCATGTTTGTAACTTCTCGGAGCTGGGCAGTAACAGATTGTGGGGCTGTATACATGGTTTGCATCTTCTTAATCTGGTTGACCTGTGTAAAGTAATGGAAGATCAACGATTCATGCCAGTCTAGAAAAACCATTCTCAACTCTTGCCTGCCAGTCAGTCTGCTGATCATGCAAGGCCTGCAAGTGTTTCATCTGTTTCAAGGTCTGTTCTTGTGCAGCATCGCCCTGTTCTTCCATCAGCCCTCGTTGCTGCCTTACAAAACTACGGTTGAGGGAGTGCATGCGATTGTGAAGGGCTTCCAAGGAGACGATTTGTTCTTCAATCTCTTTGGCCGAAACATTCGTCCATTGCACCAGATCGTTAACTCGCTCATTGCGTCTGCTTGCAATAGAGGTTAGCATTTAACCATAAGAAAAGATATATAAAATATACCAGAAATCACATCATTTTACCGTGGAAGTTCTCTTGCGGCTGTAGCCCTTTTGTCGACGGGACGAACAGTTTGAAGTACTTGATGTTGGGGAGTTTTCAAGTCGTTCTTATCTAGATCTGAGACTGGAAGTGGCAGTTCGACACTCTGATTAGGTGCAGGTGATAGATCTCTAGAATATAATGTATATCGTTCTGGACTAGCTTCTCTTGTCCGTGTTATTTCTTCACGTTGAATTGCCTTCTTGAGCAATTCTTCGGCAGCAGCGAGAGAGCGTTGAGCTAAACGGGAAGGATCCACGCCGTTCTGTTGCATTGTAACAATAGTTGCAAACGAGCCGGATGCCATCTCCGACAGTCGGTTTTGCTTGCTGTACTTGATCTGCAATAATACGAGAACACGACGAAGGTCGCAGTCTAGCACTAGACCACGCGAGAATTGTTAGTAAATATTAAAATGACGCGTCTGCAGACTGCCACAAGCTGTATGACGGCTGATTGAATAAGTTGACTCGGAAGCCGACAATACAAATCGTCAATTTCTCAGCAAAACCTTCCAAGTGCTAAAATCTGGCAGCCTTACGGAGGTCTTTCAATCTGAGACTTGTATTCAATTCAAAGGCTCCATTTCAATTCATTCTCCCCATCGCTTCTTCACGTTATTCGTTAAATTTGAAGCTCAGATTTGCAGCAAGGTCTTACAGCACAATGAAGGCTATACAATATACCGCTCCTGGTGGCGTAGAGGTCATCAAATCGGTTGACTTGCCTGATCCACTGGCAAAGGAGGGTTTCGCTGTTGTCAAGAATGCATTTGCAGGCAAGCAACATTTCGACATTTTGTGAGATTTTTGAAGCTAGAACTCATTCGAGCTCTAATACTTCATTGCGAATTAGGAGTGAATTTCATCGACACTTATCAACGAACTGGACTATGTAAGTTTCCTTGCTCCATCACGACATTGAAAACTCCAATATCGATGAAGCTCGTCGCAGCTTTGCAACACACGGTCGCACACTCCTGCAGAAGAGCTCCCACTGTCTTTCAAGCTTTGAATTTCTCGTCGCTCATCACATATGGCCTGTTTTTCCTTTAGATACCGTTCCTTTGCCATATATTCCTGGGCGAGAGGCTTCCGGAACCATTGAAGCTGTCGGTCAAGGCGTTGAAGGTTTCAAGGTCGGAGATCGTGTCGTGTATATGAGTGGATCTGCTTATGCAGAAAAGACTCTTGTTCCTGGTCGTAAGTGGTTGCTTTGAGGTTCATAGGTTGTAACCTGTACGCTGACCCTATTTCATCCTAGACGCATTGGTCAAACTACCAGACAATGTCTCGTTTGAAGATGGAGTACGTTTTTCTCTTTACGTACTCTCTTTGCAATACAAAAGCTCAGAATCCTCAAATCTCCAGGTTGCTGCCATGTTGCAGGGTCTGACTGCTTTGACTCTCGTCCAACTTTGCCATGAAGTGAAGCCCGGACAGTTTGTTCTCGTTCACGCGGCAGCTGGTGGTACTGGTCGTATTGTGGTATCGATGGCAAAGCACTATGGTGCTCACGTCATTGGAACGACATCTACAAAAGCCAAGGCAGAGACTGCCAAAGCTGCGGGCTGTCATGATGTCATTCTCTACACTGAACAAGACATTGTCAGTGAGGTCATGAGGATTACTGGGGGAAAAGGAGTCCATGCTGTATTTGGTAAACTTTGAAACGCAGGCCGTTTGGAAAAGAGCGCGGAAAACGTTAAATGCATCACTGCTTACGTTGACTGACATGAATTCCATCATTTTAGATGGCGTCGGAAAGAGCACATTCGATGCGAGTTTGGCTTGTTGTGCGACGCTTGCCACGCTCATCAACTTTGGTAATGCATCTGGTGTTGTGCCTCCCGTCACGTTGTCTACGTTGACTGCCAAGGTAAAGTAATATCTCATATCACTGCTATTCAGAAAACCACTGATGTGTCCTCCCGAATTAGTCTGTTAGGTTGATGAGGCCTTCAGTTATGTCATTCACCTCCGATCCTGTCATGTATCAATCGCGTAAGAACATATTGACTCGCGTTTCGATCCACAAATTCTTGATACTCAATTGCACACTCAAATTTCTTGTAGTCTCCAAACAATTGTTTGAGTTGCTCGCTCAAGGTGTTTTTACAATTCTCATTCACAAAGCTTATCCCTTGGCTGATGCAGCAGACGCTCAGTCGGATCTTGAAGGTATAGTGGATGTGGATGGTATGCAGTCGCAGCTTCGTCGCTTATCCCTTTGCTCTCTGAACAACAAGGTCGAAAAACGGAAGGAAAGCTCTTGCTCAAATGTTAGATATGGCCCATTTCTATATTTTCGCAACATTTTAAAATCATTAAAAGATTCTTGCACTTTCTTGAGGAGATTGCAGTGTTGTTTTCTTGTGCAACAAAGGCGGTTAGCTCCAATTCTCAGCGCGAAGTCAGAGCCTCAGCGAGCAATCTGATTAATTTTACTGGTATGACCGTTGATTCATTGGTGGTTGGCCATCTTCATTATTTCCTAAGAGTTCAAGTTTCTTGCTGAAAGGTGTCTGCCACGTATGCTACCGTGCTGATTCTTGCACTGATCTATTCCTTTGAGGTTTCTTGAATATCATGACGTTGACAGTTTCATGGATCTGCTGAATCAAGAACCATTTGACACGACGACAAGGAGCCTTCTTTAATAGGGATTGGCTCTAGTTGACTGTCTTGGCGGATCATATCAACAAAGGATCCCGTTCAACACCGTTGGTATAACGATCTCTCGCTCGTTCTTCCTGTTGCGTACCTCTCGAAATGTCGAAAAGTGTTTGATGTGTGAAAATGTAAGATTGAATTTAACAGCGATGCACCCGGTGAACTTGAAATTGTAAGTTGGATTTGCTTTGAGTCGTATGTTAACAACATTTTGGAAAGATGGAAATTCACGTTTACTGGCGTTGCAGGTAGTTCTTCAACATCAAAAATTTGTGTTTGCCGAATCAAAACAAGAGACGAAACACGACAACTAGAGGCTGGGAATGGCGTCATTTGAAGATCCTAGTAACTTCATTTTGATCGTGAGTTAAAATGAAAGCTCTTGGTAGGAATGAGTGTGATCTTCAATGGTTGCAATCTGTGAAAGCTGAATTGGATGATGGTGGTTGCATCGGTCACGTTTGTAGTGATGTTGAATGTACTTTGGAATATCGGAAGTGTAAATACACGTGCTCCAATCGTTCAACAGTCGGTCGTCATAAAGAGTTTATCGAGATGTTCTGCCTGAACAAATGAACCACGAAGCTTGTAAGATCTTCTACGACGAGCTTTGGAAATGATTTAGTCAAATTCGAATTAGCAAAATCAACGTGAAAATCGCGTCCAAGCAGTCCAGCGGCTGTTCTTCAACATCTCGTTGGCAAGGAACAATCCACACCTCACAAAAACACTGGCCGTCAATAAGAGACAGATTGCGGCTTGAACATCAGAGGTCAAAGAGCTCTAGTATAGCAGGCCCAGTCTCTTTGTTAACTTCACGATTGGCTCTCCCATCCTCTTGACTTGAATCTACTTGGCAAACGGCAATAATTTCATTCGATATAAAACCATCATTACGACCAAGGATATTATAATCCATTAATCTCTAAATCCGCAACTCGAGTCAACATGTACAATCAAGGCTATAACCAGCAGCAAGGATACATGGATCCAAATATGATGAATGGAGGACAGATGAGTGGAGCCTTGGTTCCGGCCTCCATGATGGCACAACAGCCTGGAATGAATATGGGAATGGGTGGTGTTCCTGGCACTCAATTCGCTCAACAACAGCAGGTATCGTGTGCTTGTCGCAAAGAATTCTTCATTTGGGTGTTGACGATGACAAACATTCACAACAGTCTCATTAACCAATATTCCCAATATCCAGCAATATCAAATGACTGCTCCTGGACAATTGGGATTCGGTGATACCACTATGGGTGTCTCGCGATCTATGGGTATGGGAAATGTAGGCCAACCTCAAGTCGTCAATCAGCAGATCCAGTCTACGAGACATACGCGCATTATTATCCAAGGAGAAGACAAGAGTCAACAATACCAAGCTGAAATCGACAGTGTATGTGTTTGTTGTCATGTGTAGATCTAACGTTTTGGAAACTCATACTGCTGTATTAGCTCAATGCCAAATTACAATCCGCCCAACAACAATTGACTGGATCGAATGCCCAATTACGCCAAACACAACGTGAGAATCGTATACATAACGTTACAGCTGTCGAACAATCGATCTCACCTATAGGTTTGTCAAATAGAGGAAGCAAACGTGTGGAAGCAAAAGTTCATGCAACTCAACACCCAGTTGCAAAACCTCCAATCTCAATTCTCTCAAATGCAAGCTGTAGCTCAAGCCAACCAACAAGCTGCTTTGCAACTACAACAAGTCGCCAAACAACGTGATATGTTCCAAATGGAGTTGCAACGTACTCAACAGGTAGTGACTTGCATGGAATGACTCGGGATTGCTTAATACTCACGGTTCTCTATTTTCAAGGCATATCAACAAGAATCAACAATGCTCAAGCAGCAGATTCAAAACATGCAACAACAATTGCAGAGTGCTGTGAATGGCAAAGGTCAGGAAATGCAGCAATTGATGCAGCAATTCCAGAACGAGAGGATGCAAATGCAGCAAGCTCTTGAGGTTTGTAGGAATGACGATTTGGAACCATATCTGTGGGTGTGTGGTTTTGATGATTTTCGCCGCTTCTTAGGCTCGTATGCGGGAGGCACAACAATTGCAACAGGCATTTGACGAAAGCAAAGGTCAAAAGTCCCAGAATGACATGTTGCTTGAGGTAAGCATTTGTCGCTAGTCAACATTTTGTTTTTGTCTATGGTCTAAGTTCCTTCATAAAATGTAGTCTCAAGAAAAGGAAATCCAAGGACTTCAATCCACTTTGGAAGAAGTCACTCAACAGCTTATTGATGCCCAAAACGTAAGTTTGCGACCTCAACAGAATATCCGTTTATGGTGTATTGGCTTTTTTGGCTCGCGATAACTTTGATTTTACTGTATATTTCTTGAGAGGTAAACAACTCATGTGCATCCATACTAACATACGATTGATCCTTCATCAGCAACTGGCTGAGCGTGAAGCTACCAAAGCTCAAGTCTTGGATGAAACATTGGAAGGAGAGATGGAAAAAGCAGCCCGCAAGGTCGCTGAAGCTTTAGCTCGTCTAGAAGCAGTCCGTGGTGACGGTCGTAAATTCAAACCAGTCCATGCCGCCATCCTCGATATCGCAATTGCCATCGCAACTGCTATTGGTACATTGATCCGAGCTGCCACTGCTGCCCAAGACGAAGTAGTCAAGGCTGGTAAAGGAACAGGAGATCCAAAGGCCTTTTATAAACAAAATCATCAATGGACTGAAGGTCTTATATCTGCTGCCAGAGCCATTGCTACCGCTACAGATCATTTGGTGATTACTGCTGATGGTGTTGTGGGTGGTACTCGTAGAATGAATGAGCTGATTGTGGCTGGTCATGAAGTGTCTGCTTCTACCGCTCAATTGGTTGCTGCCAGTCGAGTACAAGCTACTCAATACTCCAAGACGCAAGTTCGTCTCGAGGTGTGTATCGGATTTTGATTTGAGTTTGCTCTCTTCTGAACAAAAAAACTATTGCTTACAATACCTGCATTTCTTCTTTTAGGAAGCAGCAAAGGCCGTCACTGATCACACCAAGCGTCTAGTACAAGCAGCTGAAGACGCCGCTGGTGCTGAATTAGATAATGTAGCAGACGACTTTTCGAAATTATCCATGCAACAATTCAAAGTCCAAGAAATGAATCAGCAGGTTGCCATTTTGGATTTCGAAAACAAGTTGACCAAGGCTCGTAAAACTTTGGCTGAAATGAGGAAGGCTCAATATAATCGAGAACCAGATACTCGCCCGGACGACGAATGGTGATCTGTTGGGGTGGTGTTGTATGAGGGGCGAAGGTCTGATCCTTGATTGTTGTCTTGTACTTTTTTTGATGCCAAATATAACATTTTCTGATAATAATATCAACGGAGCGTGTGTTAGCGCCGCTTACAAAAGCCGCAACAAGGTGAACCAACAGTGCGAAGACGTGAGACTGAAGTACGTGCAGAATGTGGGATTTTATGTAATATGCGAATAACTACAAATTCTCGCTCTGAAACTACTTTTAAAAACTCCTTTTTTATACGTTTTACTCGGCTCTGAGTTCTATACTGACTGAAGAGATCCTGCGCCGACCAAAGTCGCCATCCATGAATCCCAAATCAACATCAGCAGCAGCTTTGACCCACTCACACTGACATATATCACTAATACTCCATCTCTTTTCAGTTGATATCGTCAGCATCCCACGAATCAAACTCTGAGCTTCAGGACTGACATTGAATTCCTCCAATTTCTTTTCATCGTATCTACCATTTATAATACTCATTTGTAATCTAGGCAGGAACGTATCTCCAAACGGCAACTGTCCTATGAGCATGGCATACAGCACACATCCTAGCGACCAGATATCTGCCGATGGGGATCGGGGATTGGAGCCTGGTGTTGCTCGTAATTCTTCTGGTGCACAGTAATGGAGGGAGCCAGCACAGAATATCGTATCTGGCGGTCCGTTACCGGTAGCACTGGGTGCGTTAGTACTCATGGTGGGCGACGTCACTATACTATTGGTATTACTATTGTAGACATCGCTTGTTGGTGAAGTGGATGCAGTCGGCGGTATATATTCCGACAAGCCGAAATCCGTCAGGAGAGCATTCGGTGGATCGAGTGTGGCCAGCAAGATATTCTCACACTTGATGTCCCGATGTACTATATTTGCTACCTCATGCAGGTATTTCACGGCAGACAAGATTTGGGCAAACAAGGTTTGGGCTAATGGTTCAGGTAGTCGTCCTTGTTTCCGTATCAAGTCTAGTAATGAGCCGCCCTGTGCTAGTTCGGATACTATAAAGAGGGCATCGTCCGCCTCTAGAATGTCCAGCATGGCTACTATATGACGATGACGTAGTGGTCTCCAAATCCATACTTCGTGCTCAATGAGCCGAAATAAGTCTCGAGCTGGTATATCGTGTTGCTCTTTACACACTATTTTTATAGCAACCGATTTCGATGGATCGGCAATGGCGACTGCTTCGAATACTTTCGAGAAGGCTCCTGCGCCAATCACTTTGACTAGTCGATATTCGCCGACTTCGTCACCATCTTCATATACTCCAGCGACTAGAAATTTGTTGAAAAGGTCAGACCTTGCGAAGTTGGGAGACTTGAAAGTCGACAAGACGCTCAAGCAAAAAACAGGTAGAGTCATCATTTGAAAATGCTCACCCGGGGCAACTGAATTCATCCTTTCTGCAAGACCACTCAAGAAACTAACAGCTGGACTTGGTGTTATACTAGAATATGCCAGAGCACCGACAGACGACGTTCCAACAAGTGGCGTGGATCCTCCATACTGGACTGAATCTCGTTTCTTTACTTTGATTTTCAGACTAGTACCTCTCCTGAGGTCCTGTTGTGACAGTGCAGTAGATGGCGGTGATGACGTCGATCCTTCAGATGCAAGTGGTGATTGAGGCTCTGTGAGTGATGTTCGCCGTCTGCCAATAGAGTTTGATTCATCCGAGTTTGACGAATCTGATCTATCTCGTGGCGGTCTAGGAGTAGTTGCGAAAGATGATGCTATAGGTATACCAGCTCCGTTTGTAGAAAATGAGGGTTTTCTTGTCGACTTTCTAGTCATTTCATCAGACTCTGATTCTGTATGTTCGAACGCTGATGGAGCCAGTAAGCCTAATCCCAGTCTGTCTACATTATATAATTGGGCGGACTGCCATACGTCGGATGATGTTTTCTGATCATCCAAGAGTGACGGTACAGGTGGGCCTATAGCTGGCGGTTGTGATGGTGAAGCAGCTGTCGGTGGAATCGGTATTCCGCGTGCAGGTGGTCCACTTGCTTTCTGTGATAGCCCAACAGATAGTAGCGATGACACCTGTTGCTGGCTACCACGATTTAGCATGCTATTCACTCTTTTGGGAGGCGGCGTGTATGGACTCGTCGACAGTGGAATGCATGATGGGGAGGCTGGTGCAGTTGAATGATAAGGGACAGTCGCTGGAGGAGCTGATGGTGATCCAGGCACCGAGTCGCCCTGCAAGACAGGTTTCTAGTATCAAGACAGGAGAGTTAGACCTGAGGTGAGCTGACTGTGGTCAGTCTGACAACATATAGCAGCTTGGTTGTAGATAGAGAAGTGAGTTTTTGCACAGTCGTTGACTCGTCAAGTGCAAAAGTGTCGATGTGTCCATTGGCGAATGGACGTACAGGTGTATGCATGTTATCGGATTCCATGTTGATGCGAATTTAACAATTCCATTCACCTCTACACATCGTTTGATCGCAGTTCTTATACATACCTCGAATGGTTCAGCAGTAGCAGCAATATCACCCGAAGGAGTCCTTTGATGATTTAAACCCGTATTCAGGAGGTATTTATTCCGTATTCTGACAGAAGCAGGCTCTCGTCGTATATAGTCTGAAGATCGAGAAAAAGACAGGGAATTCAAGTTCAAGTACTCCAGTTCGTTGAAGGCAGTTGTGGTTTGCGAGGCATTCGAGAAATCGTCATCAGTGACATCGAGGGACTTTATTACTACGGAAGTCCTTCTTGGAGCTTCCTTTTTTGACTTTGGGCTGTCTGGATTTGATTTGTCGTACTGCTGCCAACTCATTATTGGTGATCCAAGACTAGGAATATCAGTTGTAAGTAAAGTACTAGCTAAGAGCAACAAAATGTCTGCTTACTAGCTCAGTCTCTGCGGGAACTGTTCTTTCCTCGCTTTGGCTTGGGTTGAACAAAAATTGGGAACTGAGTGGTCACGTTCACTCAAAACACGGCATTGTAAACGTAGACAGCAAACACCAGTTATAATCGATTGAATCGCGCGTAAAGACGTGTTATTCACGTAAACTCATCTGAATCTCAGAACACCATTGATTATACCGCTTTAACACGACTTATTTTATTACAACCTGCTGGTAACTTTACTACAAGCAATGAGCAGTTTTCCCTCAGTAGCACGGCCCGTAATATCGATCTGAGCTTGGGCTGCATTCGCCAGCGGATAGATCTGATGGATCAACACTGTGAATTTCTTGTGAGAGAGCAATGTAAACAGTTCATCTACCCAAGACCTTATTAGAGGCTCGTCCTCAGAGAAGGTGTTCAAAGTAGGTCGCATGAGCCTTAAAGCTTTTGGTGACAGCTTGAAGAGTTCCACAGGCGGAACGGCACCAGACGCGTTACCAAAAGAAATCACTACAGGCAAGTATAGGAATTAGCATGAAAGCGATAAAAAGGCACCTCAACTTCTAGCTTACTCGATCCAAGTCGACTGAGGCATGCTATTGATGCATCAAACGTTGACTTTCCGACTCCATCGAATACTGCAGAGACTCCCCGTTTGTTTGTGATCTTCATGACTTCACTCACAAGATCCGTTTCAGTATACAACACGACATGATGACAGCCAGCAGCTTTGGCTGTCTCTGCCTTGGCTTTAGTTGATGTCGTTCCAATAACAATTGCTCCCATATCTCGAGCCAGACTCGCAATGATTCTACCTAGAATGGAAGCATGTTAAAACCTGTTATAAAGGAAGCATAAGAGAATGTTGGGTACCTGTTCCACCAGCTGCAGCGTGAATCAATATGTACTGGCTAGGCTCGACGTGGTGGCACAGCTTCACGAGCATTATTGCCGTTAAACCTTGCAAGAAGGCAGCAACCTGAAGGTAAAGGTTTCTGAGTTCTGTAATGCTTAAAATTGAATCCCAAATGGACCAACGTACTCCATCTTCAAATGAGACATTCGGAGGAAGGTGATATACCAGCTCTAATTTATGCATTATGTAGTCACCACAGAGATGTTAATGAGCTGGAAGCGTCTCACTCACTAGCAGGCACTACGACCTTCTCAGCATAAGAAGATCCACTCATATACACGACACGGTCGCCGACTTTGAAATCGGTGACACCTTCACCAACTTTCTCAATCACGCCCGAGCCTTCACGTCCTGGAATGAATGGCATAGGAACCTGATCTGAAACGATAAAAATTGATAAAAACTCAGCAAGAGGTTCGTAGGTGAAGATATCAAAGTCGTGACGAGCTTGGCGAGGCTGAAATGATCCACGAAGAACAAGACGGGAAGAGAGGAAGGAGATCTTACATAGTCCAGATCGATGATACGTGTCAATGAAATTTACTCCTATTTTGAATGATTAAAATGGAGTCAAATGTCGCATGACAAAACATCGAGCTCCACGGAAAGTGCAATGTCAAACCTGCAAAGAAGTTGTTGACCAGCACTTGGCCGTTGCCCAGCAATGGAATCGGTACATCTACAAAGGCCAGCACTTCTGGGCCTCCAGTTCTTAGATATTGTATGGCTTTCATGACTTGCTATAAAAGTTTTGCAAAAAGCACGGTACGAGCTACGAGCTGCTAAAGCAATGTAGCAGTTGTAACGTATGCACTTTTACCCTTAATTTCAACCAAGAAACTGCAGATGGTGCTAGTCTGGTTCTTTGTCTTGATTCAAAACGATTCTAAGTGCAACTAACAGCAGGATTTACGCGTCTTGTATTTTGTTACACGTATATCGTAATCTCTTGATGTTCTGACCGTTATTGCACTGACGGGCGAACGAGTCGTCCAACGTAATCGAGTAGATCCTGAGGCCACACCAAGATCTCCCCAAGTTCGCGACCACAGAACAATATCAAACCGCAATCATTTCGAAGTCGGCATCGATATCGGCGGTCCCATTTATCCTCGTTTGGCACATAAGCCCCAAACACCAAACCTGCTGGCGAGAGTACTTTCAGCACGCCTCGATAACAATGGTGCGAAATAAAGTTGGAGGTAAGCGTACAGAGTACAGAGTTAAAAGGTTGGCGGCATATGATCTTGCATCTTTGAGCCTCCAAAAAACTAATGTTGACAGAAACACTTGACGCAGTGCCCTGAGGCCAGACCAACCTACATAAAGCGCTTTATTGAGCATGACAGTCCATGTTATTGGCATCCACACTTTGTGTGAAGAGAAAACCAAGTTTGCGTCGGTTTCACAAATCATAAGCCTTTTTGAAGGTGAAGACGCAAGTAGACGATGCTAAGCTAGCAGACACAGCTGCAACATGCGTGTCTTAAACGTCATCAGGAATCGATAGCGGCCTCGAAGGCGATGAGCTTTACCAACTGAAGTCAAAACCTAACGAGTGAAGTTTCACGGATGCAACAAGGTCTGTATTGTCCTAAGTTTTTTTTGCAGAACACGCATTATTTGGATGCAAGAGTTTACCAGACGCTCGACTGACTAAGGATTTGGTGTGGGCCGAGCTGAAGAGACTCGTTCTCCAAAATGGATTGTGCGGATGGTCGTGTGTCGTGATTGTTGGACAATAACTCGATCATCACGTTCCTGAGCTTGGCACGTACACGAGGACAGACTGGTGGGAATTTCGGTCTATGTGATGGAAAGAGGGCGTGAGGCGTGACCAACACGTGTTTGACTATGAGAAAAATCCACTGTGGACAAAGTCTCCCTGGTCTCTTTGTCGTGCAAAAAAACCTTATTCCCTATTTACCATACAGAGCCTCAAGCGTGTGGAGCGTGAGATCTTCACTCCTCTCAGCTCTTGTATGTTTGGAACTTTCGGAGAGGAAGGAAAGACATTGGTCGCTCACTAGTCTGAGAACACAGAATTGCCTAGACATCAAAATGTCAGCTTAGAAAAGAACGCGATTTCCGTCCATAGGTGTCTATTTGTTTTTATGACGAGACAAGGCTTCGTAGCTTGTCCCAATTATATGACAACACCTCCCATGCATCGGCATCACGAATAATAATTACTTTATACACAAATATAACACCCTCCCACCACAATCTAGCGTATTCCAATACCCAATGTACAACAGCATTATCCAACACTCTCCTTCCCAAGTCAGAGGCACCCATTTCCTTCAAGACAGGCACCACGTGCTTAGAATACATGGCTTGAATCATGCCCAATGCTTCTACGATGCGAGGATAGAGTGTCTGTTTGACGATAACAAACCACTTGGCAATATTATATGCCAACCACGGCACCAGTTTATATACAACAAACTGGGCAGCCTTATGCCAATATTTTCCAAGAAGGGTAAAGAGTCGGGACAGGTTCCCGTGTGCTGTATTCAGAAGCGGATACTTTTCAATCACTGCGTCCTTCATCGGATTTACAGCGTCAGTCACAGCAGAGACGAGTGCTAGACAACTCCTGCCAATGGCTGATATAGTAGATTCAGCGACTGTATCCCTCCATATACACGTTCTCAGGTCTTCTCTACAGGTCTCATCATAGCGGGAGCAAGACTGTTGACTGCATGCTACCACCACGACACAATATGTAATAAAGGCAGCCAGCAACAAGATATGGGCATATATGATATACAGACGGAACTTGGATGGAGTTGGTAGTAGTGCTGAAAGTTGGTTGATTTCAGACTCGGATTCCCGAATGACCTTGTAGATGGCATCTGCGTCGGCAGAGCGCATACGGCCTCCCTTCATTTTTCGGTCTAGCTTTGATATGAGTCCCTCATTGGAAGCTTTGAACGCCTTCAAGAGAAGAGGAAGCTCTGATTTACGCAACTAGTTTGAGCAACGATGTCAATTAGCACAACTCCTGAATGCTCTTGACAAAGTTCTATATGTGCAAATGCTCACTTTACGCCACGTCTTGCTATGAGAAGCAGCTTCTTCTCGTATAGCTTCCAAGACAAGTGTCGATTCAGCGACGTAAACCTCATAAAGGTCTTTGGCCCAAGTCGACAGTAACGGAGACCTGATTTTCACAGCTTTCTTCTTATACCTGCGACTCACTGGATTTATAGTTGCATCCAGTACCAGTAGCATAATCGCGAGTGATAGAAGCTAAGAAGGTACCAGCAGTCCGGTTAGCTGTCATACAGGGAAAACGACCAAGTGACGTCGCCAGCAATACCTCTTTTTCAATACGGGGGTCTGAATCTTCCTTCATCATTTTTAAGACAGTAGCAAAGGACAACGATGGTGAATCCAAATCAACGGCCAAATCGGAAAAGGTCATTTTCTAATCGGGAACAAACACGGCCTTGAGTTTGAGATGCAGTTCAGAAGGACGCGGATAGCGAGCCATGTACCTTAATCCTTGCGTAGTTTCCTTTCACTCTTACACTCAGGCCACGCTTATCCTTTTTATCAGAGATTGATGCTCGTAGTAACGGCTCAAGATCAGCAATCGTTATTCGAGCACCATTCTGCATTGGCTTTCGTTGAGCTTTGGCTTGCTTGCAAGCAGCACTCAAACTGCAAAGAGGTAATGTTAGCAGTATTCGATACATCACACCGTGTAGTGGGACCCTACCTGTTCAAGATGTCTTCAAGAAGGTCCAGAGCGAGAGTCTGTACAGCAAACGATGTACTGGTGACAGCTGCTCCTTCCTCTGACTTTTTTGCAGCGTCGACTCCCATCAAAGGCGAGAAAGAGGTCAGCCAGACCGGGAGACTTTTAGCAGCTTGTTTCCTCGCAGTCAAATCCAACACCCAAACACAACTGATTCCCACAGCAGGATGAATACCCATGACATGTCGATAAGCATCAGATATGGCTTTTACTGGTGAAGCGTAATAACCAGTCGGTCGGAGATGACAGATGAGTTGGATGATGATTTGACAGCCAAGGGTGACATGGCTCGAAGACTGGTTTGACAATACAGCCCTCTTTTGGCCTTCTACTAATGCCTTCACTACTGCTATGAGACACTGTGATAAGGCTTCATCGTCCTGCAGTTCTATGAACTTTTTCAGTACTTTTGCCACATCACTTGGCAGATGGTCAAACATATCTAAAGAAATGGATGTACAGTATGTATAAGAGAAAAGAAGGCATTAAAAGAAAAAATGCTGCAGTTTCACAGTACCTGGTCGGTCATCTAGAGCGAACAAACGTGACGTGAATAGAGGTAAACCAACCTTCAGCTTTGACATTTCCGTATCCAAGTGATCAGCCAATTTAAGTAATATTTCATGTGGAGGCAGTGCTTTACTGCTATGTAACAAGGATGCGAAAGCATCGCCATTCATTTGAGATAACGACTCTATACCCTTGAGAGGTTCGGACGTTTGTTGCTGGCTTCTTGCAGATGTTTTCAACGTAGACGAAGAAGACTTTTCAGGTTCCGTCAAGACTGATCGGGATGGAGTGGAAGCTGGTTTCATCTTTATAGGTTGTTTTGGCGTTGACTTTTGACGGGCATCATTTGATGCTGATTGTTCTAGCTGATTTAGAGCATCAGCATCACTATCATCTTCCGAGGACAAGGCAGAAAAGAAAGATGCTTTCGATGAATCGTTCCAGTCTACGTAGTTGATGAGATTGTCAGTATCATCAGTACAAAGAAGTCAAACCCGATGAATACCAGACGATCAGACGCACCTGTTGTTCCTTTTGATGGGGTGTCTCCATTGGTTCTTTTAGCCACAGGCTTCTTCTTTATAGTCTCCCAACTTGCCATTGCTCCTATCTATTCGGTTGTCTCAAGATGTGCCCAACGTTGTGGAAGGAGTGATTGAGACGTTTGCACGTGTTATTTTTGAGAGGTACGCGTTCCGATGCCGGAACTAGCTACAATTTAATGGAAGTCGACTATGTAATTCGTGATTGCTAAAGTATCTTCAAGAACGGCTTCACGCTGTCAACCCGAATAAAACCCACTTTTTCTGGACCCGTCCAGTGGGTAAACGTCCCATCTGGTAGAAGAGGTAATCAAACGTGTACTATTTGACTTTTATTGTGTGCTTTACTCATTCCAGCCGCTTTTAATAGAGCTCTCTAACTCACGATTTGGGTTTGTCACTGTTGATCAAACAAAATGAGGGCATTCGTGTCGACTGCTATGTACTTGGTCGTATTATGGGCTCATTCCATTGATGCAGGTGGCATGGCCTCATCGAGCGTTAATACAACCATCGCCGCACCAGGTAAGCCCATCAACCTCGCAACATCCCAGGCACCGTTAACTTAAAGCCCTAATTGTAGGCGATCTGGAGACAAAAGTTTCCTTCCTCCATCTAACCGACTTTCATTTGGACTCGTACTATCGGAAGGGTGCTAGTGTCGATGAGGATTGTCATCGCAACCATGCTCTCCTTCAGGAAGCTGATCCTCCAACCGACGATAATGTAGAAGAAGAGTCTAAAAAGAAGAGGAAGTCGTCAAAGAAGGCTAAAACACACCATAGACGAGTGGGGGCTGGGTATTACGGGACGCCGGGATCAGTCTGTGATTCTCCAACCACACTCATACGTGAAACATTCCAGTTTCTGGCAAAGTTTGCTAGCAAGAACGTACGTTTTGTTTTGTGGACTGGCGATTCTGCTAGGTAAGGTCAAGATCTCGTTCTTTTGACCACTATTTCAAACGTTTTTACTGATAAAGTTTACGAATTTCGATAAAGGCACGATCGAGACAAATTGATACCTCGTTCAGGTGCTGAAGTCTACTCGACGAATGCACAAGTAGTAAAAATGTTTCAAGGCTCGTTGAACTTGAGTGCAACGCTCGTCATCCCGAGCATAGGAAATTGGGACACGTGGCCAACATCTACTCTTGGCGCTGGCCCTAATCCCACATTAGACAAATTGTGGCAGACTTGGTTGCCTCTGTTTAAGTCTTCCAGTCCTGATGAGTATGCACACATTAAGAGCTCCTTCTTGAAGGTAATTAATTGGTTGTGTATGAGGACTTTGGAACATGGATTTTTTACTGTGCACTATCGCAACTGTTTGAAGAAAATCGTTTACTGATGCAAAATGCACGTATAGGGAGGATACTTTGTACGAGCAGTAGAAAAGGGCATCAACGCTGTCTCGTTGAATACCTTATATTGGTTTAAGGAGAACTCTGCTGTATCGGATTGCTCACCAGCGCAACCAGGCTCATTATTACCACCTTCAACGTCCAATCATCCAGGTGATAAACAGATTTTATGGCTAGATGCCGTCTTACGTGAAACTCGTGCAAAAGGAATGCACGCGGTACTTGCAGGTCACGTCCCACCTATGACCCCGGAAGCCTCATTCTATATGCCAAACTGTCTTCATCACTATACGCAAGTATCTGCTGAATTCGGTGATGTAGTATTGGCACAATACTATGGACACATAAACCGAGACACTGTAGTATTCGTAACGGCTAAGAGGCCTCTGGCGCTGTGGGGATCGCATGCTCCTACATATAATCTAGTACCAGCTACACCCATATCCGTAAAGAACTTGAATTTAAAGACCGACTATTTGATATCCGTGCTGTACACATCAAACTCTATAGTGCCAGTCAGTTTGCCGAGCTTCCGTCTTGGCACCATTAACATAATTCCACCACCTCTACCTTTACCGACCCCAACATCCCTCCTGGGTCGCTTAGTAGGTCCAATCGTAAAACCCATTATCGACTTCTTTTCACCAAAGAAACCAGCTCTTCCATCATCATACCTCTCTGATTACGCGCAGTATACCTCTGATGTAATTCGTGCAAACAAGCTACGTGGTAGAAAATCAAAACCGTTGATATCTTACAGTAAACAGTATGGTGCTAGAGACAATCTTGGACTTGATGGTGTGACGCTAGATGAATGGACTAGATGGGTTGAGAGGACGCAGAGTAGTAAACCTGGGCATGGATTCGATTTGCCCTGGAGACGTCCTAGAAAATCATTTGTAGTAAAGGAGGGTGATGAAGACGTAGAAGATCTTGAAACCGAAGAAGATGTCGTAGTAGGAGAAGAGTTAGAGGACACCATAGTAGAGGACTCTGTAGAGGATTCTTTAGATGCTACAGAACCAGCCGATTATAACGACATACCCACTGAGACTCAACAATCCATACCCAGAACGCATGACGATCATGTCACCGCGGCTAAGGCTACAGCTACCGCAACATCTACTCCCCACAAATCTAAACTCAAACTATCTAGATCGGTTGTTATAACTACCCTCGTCTTGACCACTGTTGGTTTCATAGTAGGTCTAGCATTCCTTGTGTTATACATTCGTCGTTTAGATGCTGAGGGTGATGTCTTGGAACGCCAACGCCTTTTCTTCGGAAACGTGCAAACGGACTATAGTGCTATCGTCAGAGCAGGACCTGGTACAAAGTTGTAGAGGGTCTTTTGGAGTGTATAGGGACCATGATATTTTTAGACTTGTTTGTTTTGAAAAGGACTCTTCCTTAAACCATGGGATACCCATGCTTTTTTTTAGATCTGTTGCTTTTTATACCATTTTAACAAAGCACGAAGGGAGGAACAAAATACTTTATACCATTTTATAGTCCAAGCAAGTAGTGTTGTCAATTATGTAGTTACAGTATTACCCAAACAACGAAGCAGTTTTTTTGAAATCAAAGAATATTCGACATAACTTATTTTATTTCGAAAAAGAGATGCAGATTTTCTATGCTGTTACTACATTCTCCACTATATCTCTCTCAACCGGATGTGATTCCACTATTGGTTGCTGAGCTGGTGTTGCCACCTTTGACCGCAGCACTTCTTGTACCTTGACATCCGAATGACCAGTCTCCGGAGACTCAGACTGCACATCAGGCAGCGGTGGTAGATTAGGCAGTCCAGCAATAACAGCCGAAGCAGCAAGAGCTATCGTAGCAGGAGCAGTCAACCCAGGTAATGGTATCTTCGTAACCATCTTGGGACTAGCATGCTGTTTCACACCACCAGGATGAAACGAATGTTTCTTGAGTGCCTGAGCAGCAGCAACCTTTTGTTCCGTGGCAGCACCAGTATTCAAATCTCTTCTCAGATCATTGATTTCTCGAATCAGAGCTACGTTTTCAACCACGATTTTCTGGGATTCTCGTTTACGGGATTTCGTTTCCTTTTCAAGCTGGCTTTTGAGGATTTGGGCTGTTCGTTCGAGAAAGTCTCGTTGGCGGGTGAGTTCGTGGAGGATTTCGGTTTCGGCTTCGTCTGGTTGGGCGTCCTCGGTTTCGGTTTCGTCGGAATCTGTTGTTGGTTTGGTGTGGTGGCGTTTCTTGGGTACGGGCAGGTCGGATGCGTTTTCGTGGGTTACTGGTGCACAGTACTTTTGGTAGAGTTTCTTGATTGATGACTATGTGGAGAAAGATGTACTTGATAAGAAACGAGATAACCCCATAGAGTTGGCGGCATTTTTTTGTTGTCGCATACCTTCAAAGCCTTTGCATTATACTCTCCAGCAATATGCGAAGCGGCATCAGCCAAATCAGCTCCAAATCTCGACACGATAGCTCCTCCCAAAATGGCTCTCTCTCTCTCCTTCTCGACCTCCTTTTGTGCAGCTCTTGCCTTTAACCTCAAATCCGCAATCTGTAACTCCAAAGCAGCATTAGATCGATGGTATTGCTCCAACTCAGCATCCATCTCCTTCATTTGCTGCGTCATGCCACGGATATCTCGTTCACGTGGCTCAATCTGTCGTCGTAGTTCTCGAATCTTGTAATCCAAGACAAATTTAAACTTGTCGAGTTCTTGATTCCGTTTCTTGAGATCAGACACTCGACGCTCTTTGTCAGCTAGTGTTTCGTCACGTTCGTGGATTTCTTTTTTGAGTCCCTCGATATCTCGTTCGAGGGATTTGATGACACCCTGGAGTTTCTTTTCCTCAGCTTGGGCACGAGCGATTTCGGCACGGAGGGAATCGATTTCACTTTGTAGGGTTCCAAACTTTTTACGCATGATGCCGTTCTCTCCCTTGAGACGAAGACCGGTTTCTCGTTCTTCACGTAGACGGGATTCGTATTTCGTACGGAGGTTGAGGAGTTCGGTGTCGATATCTTCTTCGGTTAGGCGGGTGTTGAGAACGTGGTTTCGTAGATGGGCTCGATGTTCTTCTTGGAGCTGTGTGGGGGCTGGTTGTGAGATACGCTGTAGCAAAAAAGTGCAGCAATATCGGAAGTACCTGATCAACTTCAGCCTGCCTCTCACGGAGCTTTTGCTCATAGCTTTCAGCCAATTCACGAAGAGCTTTATCTTTAGCTTCACGAAGTTCCCTCATTCGATTCTCCCATGCGGTACGTTGCTCAATAGTCTGACCTTGTAATGAATTATACTTTTCATATTCAGTCACTAATCGTGCTGCATGACTTGCTTCAATATCCTGCAAGAACAAAGGAAGAAGTTGAGTGACAAAATCAAACGAAACAGACGAAAGTTTGAATTAACTCACAGCTATTTCCCGCGCATGCCTCTGCTGCTCATCCTCTAACTCTTCGACGTGCCTTTGTTCCTCCTTTTCTTTATCAGTTCTCAGCACAGTAGCAGAAATCTTCAATGCTTCAATCTCTTGAGTGAACTTTTCAGTCACTTCTCGTATCTTGTCATTGAAATTCAAATCCTTGAGACGTAGTTGGTACTCGTTTTCCATCATGAGTTCTTCAACTCGTGATCGGAGATCTTGCATGGCCATCGTCTTTTCTTCGAGGTCTGATTTTGTGACGAGGATCTAACGATAAAGCAACAGTGTTACTACTTCCGCTGATCTATCCACTTTTTTGTTGTACCGCAACAACGAAACTCACCTCATCAGCATACAAAACATCACGAGGCCTCTCACTTCGTCCTTCACGATCCGAAATCTTGAATATGTAGAATGATCCATCTTCAGCAACTGAAAACAAGTGTGTGTCATCGTACGACACTTGAAGACGTGTAACTGGTGATCCGTGTGCTTGATGTTCAGCATAGTCAGGCTGATCGTTGGTGTCTAGTGGATGTTTGTAGGATCGAATGGTACCAGTTGAGGTACCAACAAACATCATTCGTCCAGAATGTGAGATCGCGACTTGGGTCATTCCGACGTCTGATGTTGTTTCACGGACAATGTGTGAGTCAGTGATTTCCTAGAAATAAGATTTGGATACGAATCCGGTTTTTTGTGTCAATAAGCATCGTAACGAAAAAAAGCTCCAAGTCAAGGGATGACTGACCTTGAGAGTCTTATCGCTAGCAACAGCATACATCCTACATCCTCCAGAATTTCCACCTTCAGCCCAGAACGCAGCGACACTAGTGAAATTACACCCCCTCGTAACACTCTCACTCTCACGTTTGGCTCCATCGTCTTGTAGCATGGCAACCTCTTGTTGTCCACTACCTACACCAGACCCAGCAACCTTTTGCGCTTCTTCCCGTTTGGTGTGGTCAGAACTGTAATGACGTGATAGTAATTCACGGAGATTCCATTCGTATACAGCACCGTCTTGTCCTGCTGTGACGATACGCGAGTCGTCGGGCGACCAGCATACAGATCGCACTTTTCCGGAATGGGCTTTTAGGTTGCCGATTAGTTCGAATGTCCATGTAGAGTATATTTGGACCACGTTGGAGTGCACTGCAGCGAAGAGGTGGCCGCCTGATGAGAAACGACACTATGTATAAAAAAAGTGGTGAGCTAAAAGATACAAGCTCTTCCGGTATATGGCAACTTGATTACCTCACGACATCCACGAATCCCAAACTCACGAAACACTCGCACATCATCAATCAACAGGTTACAGAGACGAAGCTTGTCTGAAAATCCGACTAGGACATACAGTCCAGATGGGTGTACAGCGACGCAATGAGCTTCTTCAGGGAAGGTCTTAACAAGTTCAGATCCAGGCTCCAAACAATTCCATACACGAACAGTCTTGTCTGGTGAACAAGTCACGACAAGTGGTTTACGTATACACGTGTCCATGCCGGTAATCACTCCAGAATGTAATGGTGCACTTAGTGATGTGAACATTGGTTCATCACCCTGATGATTAAGAAATATGAAGTCAGTCGTGACATATACTGCGGCCGTTCTTCTCCCTTTTTTTATGTGCTGTTCAAATTTCAATCTTACCTTGATTTCAGCACTAGCCATAACAACAACATACATCTGCCCTCCATCAGTACTACACACCAACTCATCATCCGTCCCTCCCAACGCCAAATTCGAAATCCTAGCACCATCATCAGGCAACGTCAACTCCCTGCTCTTTTTCAGCACCTCGACCATCTGCGAGCTACTCAAAGCCGCAGCCTGGTTATTTTTCTTCATCTCACTAGGCAGCATACCAATCTTGCGGACATCAGCACCTCCAGTTTCATCTGTTGCTGTATTCATGTTTGTGGGTGCGAGTGATTCATCTGCGCGTTCGTAGACCGATACGGCGCCGCCTGTGCCGCCTGCTATGATTCCTTTGGCGGTTGTGAGGAGACATGTGACGGGTTTGGGCTGGGCGTTGGGGCCGTGGAAGTTTGTTACTTCGAATACGAGTTCACCGATGGTGGAGAATACGAGTATGCGGCCGTCTTCTGAGCCAACGATTAGGTGTGGGGTGAGAGTCCACGTTGCGCATGAGAATAACTATGAGAGCAGTTGTTAATTTTGGGGATTTTTCACAGAATTGATGGCGCAAAAAGTAAACCAAGGTGTACAATCGAAGGAGGCGTCATACTCGTAATCAATTCCCCACACACACCTTGTTATCAACCTTTGGCGTAGCAATAGGCTTCAACTGCCCCTCCGAATACCTAAACAATCTCAAAATCCCAGGCCCTACAACCGAAATCACACTCTCATCCTTCGGGTGAAACGCAACCTCTGCAACTCCAACCCGATCACTCATCGTCCCACCATTATTCCCACTATTCAAATTAGCATTACTTCCATTGTTGCCAGTAAGCATAGAAGTACGAGTGGCCACGAATGATTCCCGTGGTGATCTTGCGCCGAGGTTTGTAACAGAGTGATGCATGTTACTGGTCTTGTTGTCACGGGATCCACCACCAGCAGGTAAATCTTTGGAGTGGACTGAGGGGATTGCGCGTGTTGTGGCTAAGAGACGTGGTTTTTCCCATCCCCACAGAAAGAGTTGGTAGTCGGGTGCTCCTGTACATGCGACTACGAGTTTGCCGTCTGATGAGAATGCGCATGTTATGATTTCCTAGAAGGAGAAAATCTTATATCAGTATGTCTCTTTTTTTAAGCATTCGTCAACACTTACTCTCGACAACCCCTCCGAAGCATACATAACCTTTCGTCTCCTCAACCCATGCAAATCCCAAATCTCCAACGCAGGTCCCGTAGCCTCCTTCTCAGGCACCGTATTCGCCCCACCATTGACACCACCTATAACAGATCCAGCAGCAACAGGCACACTACTACCATGATGCACATCTTCCAGCGCAGGAGCCCGTTCAGCAACAGCGAGATACCGTTTAGATTGCGAAACAGCGAGTGCGGTTACGCCCAATCGCTTTTCACCAACGGGGATGAATCGTTGAGCTTTGGTTTCGACATTGTAGAGGATGACGTTTGCACCTGCAGGATAGAGGACTGTTTGTTCGTCTGCGAAATGGATATTGGATTTCACGCGGGCTGAGAGGCCAAATGCATGTCTTTGTATAGGTGTGGTTGTTGGTTGGATCAAATAAGTATTTGATTTTGTGTGAAAATGTTGATTGTTAGTGAAAACAAGGCAGATCGATAGACGATCGCTGATCACTTCACTTACCTGTGGGCTACTGCCGCTATAGACATGGCGTTATTTTCTCTACCCCCTCTCTAGTCAACGTCCCTTATATGCGTCTTCGAGCTTCGAAAAGTTTCAAAAACGTCAAAATCTCCGAATCACACTCGACTTTATAGCGCTATATGGAATTGTGCTTAAGACATTTGTGTCTTTAGCCTCTACAATTAGACTAGAAGCGAAGAACGATGAGCTCTCGGTATGGATCTAAAACTCAGCGATTTGAACCAAACAACTCATCCATCTGCCTTCTTAATCTTCTTAATAGATCTATGTGGACATGATCTAAACCTCAAAGAAAAGCAAGCTGGTTTCCATTTATGTATGAGATTCATATCTTATTCTCGAATAGATACATTCTATATGGACTATATATATGGGTTGGATGTACACAACGACAATCTTTCCGTTATATAATAAAACTACGATCAGGTCAGGGCTGAAGTTTGATTGTTGTTCACGACAAATGACGAGGCGGTAGACTCCCACCATTCATCACTCAAGACATCAACGTTATCATTAACACCAGTGCCATCACTATTTACAGATACACCTTCATTAGCAGACATCATAGGCTCACCGGCGATCGATCCTACCCAGTTCCCGCTAGCTACTAATGCACTACCACGTTCCCTCCATCGATCCAACCATTTAACAACCTTCTCATCTCCCACAATCCAGACTTTACGTGCAAAGAAATAAGAACCGATACCAGCTCGTGCTATTTTAGATAGATCTCGTCGTTCAATCCAATTTGGATGCAGTGCACCATGAGGGAAGTTGATGTAGCGTCCACATCTCGTATGGATGCGATCTCGCCAGTAAGGTGAGGCCATGATGACCATTCCGAAGTACCATTCATCGGGTACCCATGCGTGTTCTGCCCACGAGAGCAAGTCGATGGCTTCTTGTGATGTACGTAAATAGGATATGAAGTCTCGTGGTAAGATTAGCCATTGATGATGTTTGATGGGAGTAAACTTGTTCTTGTATGGAAAGGATCGATCTGGACCTGCACTGGGTCGTACTACGAATTTTTGATCTGCTCCAGCCAAAAAGACTAGCTCTAGACGTCTTGGAGTCTCCGAGTCTTGCCAATGAGTGAGGTAGATCTTGCCAGGATCACGCTAATTGTATATAGAGAAAAGTTTGTGATGTTAGCGGAGAGTTATTCAAGTTATGTTGGTTCGCAATTTATTTACCTCCAAGATTGAGTGAATGGCTTCACCTTCCAGCAAGGGATAATCATACCTAAGCAAAAAATTAGTATACGGGAAGACAACCAACGACAGAATACACCACACAACACGTACCCGCTGAGATTAACCACATAATCCCAATCACCCAAATCAAGAAGCTTCAAAAATCCTTCAATCATCATCATAACCATAGACCCACCACCCCAATGAATGTTAAACTGACTAAATACATAGACATTGTTGTAATATTCAGGCACTTGAGCAATGACTTGCTCCACAGCAGGTCGTAATTCACTAGCACCTTTATCCAGATGAATTAATATAAGGGTAGATGGTGTATGCAGTGCTTTTAGCAATGTAGCTAGAGCATCTGGATGTTCATGAATCATAATCAAGTAGGCCATTTTATATTTAGGTCTTGGTGAAGGCATGACCTTTGTTAATTCAGTCGATTGCTCTGATGATGCCGTATCTCGATCCTCATTACTACTATTATCAGTATTGATGGTGGTATTACTACGAGGTGACGAGACAATAGACAGCAAGCTAGTTGATCCAAACGACATTTCTGGGAAGTAGTTAGCAGAGTTTACATGTTGGAGCCATTTAGCATCTGCTAGTAGAGCCCATTCGTTTGTTCCGTCTATAGCCATGCGACATGAAAAGCGCTGTATGGATTCAGTGCTTGGAATCCCTCTTTGAGACCACGATACTACGTTTTGAGCTACTATTTTGGCTAGAGCGTCCACCATTGAAGCTAGATGTGTTCTTGATGGGTTCATTTGAAAGAGATTACCTCCCAATGGTTCTATTGATGAAATGATGGGGGTTTTTTGATAGATGTCTTCATTTGTCACACACAGAACGACAACAACATATACATCACGTATACATCAAACACACCATGATCATAGTACTTACGGATGTGCACCCAAGGAGAGACAGTAGCACCTTCCAACCAAGGACAAAACTTGAAACCCGTAAGAGCGACTTGATCCACACTCGTAAGTGCTCTTGACAAGTCAGGGTGGAAGATTGGATCATCTCTTGGTATCGTAGAGTCATCATTATTTGGCATTTTGAGTACGAGATCTATCTGTTTGTCTTGTGTAGCTTGACCCAATGGGTTGTCTGGTACTGGCACAGCAGGATCCCGTAGTGGGATAATATGCCGCCGAGTGTGATCGTCGGTATTAGTATTTTCAGTACTAGATACGACATCCTGACCCACGACCTGTCTTGCAGCAATGTTATGATTAATGTTGTTTATCGGCAGGATGGATAGTTGATGATGGCGGGTCAGCCATAGGGAGACGAGGACAAGGAAGCTGAGGAAGACGATTATAGTGTATCTTAGACAAGAGGTATGCCGTATTAGCCATATCCTGGTTTTAGATCTTGCAGCTACCATAGTGGGAGATGGAATTAATGGCGATCTTTTATTCATTGATCTTGGCCAAGGATGCAAATGCTAGTAGACTCGAATGAGGGATTTGGCTATGAGATTAATATACTTTACAGCCTCTTAATAGCAATTTGATCCTATGTCTTGAACATCTTTATGGTCGATGATGAAAAAGGACGCTGTGCGAGAATTGATGAAATCAAGGAAGGAGTTTAGGAGGAGTTTAGGGAGTCCAACGCGTGTCCAGTGCAAGAAATAGAGTAACTCAACGCGTCCATAGTGCGCCTAATCTGTTTTAACACGAAACAGATGTTCCGTCATTGCGAAAAACCAGCTCAACAAGATTTCGAAGAAGAACGGACAAACTAGGCAACCAGCAAAGCACAAAGATTTCAGTCTTTAGATCTTTTAGTACCAGAGCATCTACTGCTCCTCGGCTCAAAACAATGCTAAAGAACAGAATCACAGAGCTTAACTTTGTCAACACTTTCACAAACGAGCTCAAACCCGATGTCGCAACTCCCGGTCTACCAACTGTGAAGCCTACCAGTTTCCCGGCCATCGCTCACATTCAACGTCAAGGTACCTATTTCTTAATGCCGATCTTGTTCCTTTGGCGTGCAATCACCATCAACCACATCACATTACTGATCAAACCTCTCCTTTCCCTTCTCACATAGTCAAAAACGCTCATTACTCTTACTGCGAGCCCGAACCAACTCCTGGTGCTTTCCTAATCGCTGCTTCGGAATCTTCAGCTCGATTATTGGACTTGGACTTGCGTGCCATACTTGCAAATCCTCAAGCTAAACAAGAGTTTATTGATGTCAACTGTGGAAATACTCTACTCGAAGGAACCAATCCATGGGCACATGTCTATGCTGGCTATCAGTTTGGTTTCTTTGCTGGACAGTAGGTGTTCATGGTGAAAGCCAGTATATTAAACGTTATTTGACAGTATCATCGTTCTTTTTTTGCAGACTGGGAGATGGACGAGCTATATCATTAGGTGAACTCGTCAATTCTCGTGGTGAAACGTGGGAGATACAGCTCAAAGGAGCTGGAAAGACTCCATACTCACGATTTGCTGATGGTTATGCTGTGTTGCGTTCAAGGCAAGTTCTGATGTTTCATTGTTACTCTATTTCGTCAGTACTTTGTTCTATTCTCAACGATCAGCCTTGCTTACCAAGTTCACCACCAATCCAAAATAGCATCCGTGAATACTTGGCATCAGAGGCAATGCACTATCTAGGAATACCAACATCTCGAGCGCTAGCACTCACAGGCTCAACCCGTGATGTATACGTGAGTGGAAGAATCGTGTTTTGAATTCAAGCATCCTTCGGTTCTTTTTTTCCGCCTCGAAGTTCAATGTTACGAGATGGTTAATTCGTTTCATATCTTAATTTAGAGAGAAACAGAAGAAAAGGGTGCCGTCGTATCACGTATTGCTCCATCTTGGATTCGATTCGGTTCATTCGAATTACCATACTCTCGTGGCGACAAGGACACTCTCAGGGTTTTGGCAGACTATGTCATTAGACATCATTATCCTGAATGTGAACACGGTGAAGATGCCGTAGACGGTGGCAAATACGTGAGGTTGGTTGATCAAGTTGGTAAAAGGACTGCCAAAATGGTTGCGTTATGGCAAACTGTTGGGTTCTGTCATGGTATGTATATTGTTGAGGACCAAAAAAGCGTCACATATAACTTTTCTTATTCTTGTGGAAGATCGGTTGCTCAGCATTTTGTACACTCATTGATATAGGAGTTATGAATACAGACAACTTTTCAATTCTTGGACTCACGATCGATTATGGTCCATATCAATTCATGGATGCCTTTGAACCAGGTGAGTGTATACCGAAACGGTACTTGAGCAATCTACGGAATCCCCTCGTCTTTTGCCATGGAAGCCCCTCTAACAACTTTTACCGCGAACAGCATATATTTGCAACCATACTGACGAAGATGGAAGATACGCATACAATGAACAGCCTGGAGTTGCGTTTTGGAATATGTCAAGGTTGGCATCAGCTATATCAGGACTTGTAGTCGAAGACCTTGGTGGTGATACGAAGAAAGCCGAGGAAGTCTTGTTGGCGGTTTTAAACCCATTCAAAGGGTTATTGGAAGAGGAATATCTTACCGTGATGAGAAAGGTATTTACTGAGATAGCCGTACGCTTTTTTTGCTGCTCCAAATCTCTAAATTAGTTTGATTGCAGAAACTTGGATTATTGACCTCCAAAGATGATGATCTGACTACCATCGTACAACCACTGCTATCTATAATGGCGGATACGCGTGCCGACTACACTCACTTCCTTCGAACACTATCAACGATTCCCTTCTTGAAATCAAACATCTTCCCATCTGTATCATTCAATGAAGCATCACCGTCAGGAACAGTAGATATCCCCATGGCTCCACCATTCGAATCGCGATCGACACCATCTGAACTAGGTCTACTAGCTCACTCAGAAACAAACCCATTCGTTGTGTTGCATCGAACAAACAACAATATCTTCCCTGACATACCCGAAAGCCCGGCCGTAGTAGCTCGATTCATACAATGGGGCAACCTATATATAGATAGACTGAAGTCTGAAATGGGTGGTGCGTCGGCTTCGGAATGTGATGCTGAAAGGATGAAGAGGATGAAGCAAATGAATCCAAAATATGTCGTGAGGAATCATCTTGCTCAAGCTGTGATTGAGGAGGCTGAGAAGGGATCGTTTGAGTCTTTCAATGGGTACATGAAGGTGCTGGAAAGACCGTTTGAGGAAGGTAGTGAGGAGGAACAGAGGAAGTGGGGCGGAAACGTGCCTGCGAATATGCAAGGGTTGAGATGTAGTTGTAGCAGTTAGGTTTTGCTTGAATTTTCAATTATGTTGATACTTTGGCAAACTGTTGGCGTTGACGCGAAAAAGACCATGGTTTGAGAAGCTAGTGTATCTGACGTGGCGATACACCCCTCCAAAGCTTCACAACGATTGGCTCACACATTTTTTATCGGTTCTGAATTGAATGGCAGGACAGCACTCTCAGCATCAGGCGATCGATATAACGCTCATACTGCTTAATATCTCGAAACTTTTAGTTCGAATCGCAACAACATCCACGACATGAACGTTGGACAAGGATGTAAAACAAAGGCATGACTGATACCATTACGACTACACTATCCCAGACTATGATTGGATCTTCTATTAACGCCACTATTACATACACACCATTTGTAACTTTACCGTCGTCGTCGACATCATCAACATCAACATACGTCGCTCCCTTATACTCACTCCGCGCGTCCCACTCAACCCTCACAACCCAACTAATCCAGTTCCAAATATATAAATCTTCTACTCTCTGGCTGCTGCTAGGAGTCATCAGTGTCCTCATCGGCATATCAATTGGTATCATATGCTACTTGCAACAACGGTAGGAAGAAAGTCATCCTCAAAGAGCATTCTTGTATCATCATCATCATTATCATCATCACGATGGATCTATGGGATCAAATGGATCTAGATCTAATAACGACGAACGGGCGTATGTTGTGACTGGTGGTGGTGATGAGTATCCGCCACGGTATGAGAGTTTGCCTGTTGGGAAACGGGACATGGTGGTGCATTTGGGTGGTTGTGGTGTGGTGGGAGTATGAATGCGTCTTGTTCTTCGTGTTGAGGGGTGACTTGTGATGTGAGAAGTTTAGACTTTAGGGAGGGCCTCGAATCTTGTATTTTGATGGTTGTAATTCTTGTTGGTAATAATATGAATTGTGAGAAGTCTTGCGTTAAATTGTCTATAGCAAAAAGATGATGCATGGTTTAAGATCTGTGGGATTGAATAATTGAATGCAGTTACTGGACAGCACGAATTAGTTTTCTAGCGCGAAAACATCTATGAAACGTGCCTTGCGGTTCGCACCAAAATTGCTTCCGTCCAAACCCATTCAAAAAGTAACGATGCGTCGAGCTAGCTTCATAATAACAGCATCATCATACAAGCCATTGCTATGCAATCGCATCTTCCCCCGTCATAGCTCAACGGCCTTAGCTATATGTCATGCCAAGTATGGTGATCCAGCCAAAGTTCTGAAGTAAGAATCGACAACGTTCTTTTTGCAGGCTTTTAGTTGATGCACGCGTCCAGTAATGATTCATATACTCATAAGCTTCAATTATATAGGATTCAAAAGATACCTCTCGGAAGCGTTTATGACAACAATGTGAAAATCAAGTTTTTGGCTGCTCCCATCAACCCAGCTGATATAAACCAGATACAAGGTTGTTTTGAACAGCGAATTTTGTTTTTAACGTGACACACAAGACTTCCTGACAATATGTAATCTTGAAATCATGTTAAATTAGGAGTGTATCCGGTCAAACCGATATTTCACCCTGAATTTGGAGCTATTGCCGGAACTGAAGGAGTTGCTGAGGTTGTTGCAACTGGACTTAAGGTCAAGGATCTACAAGTTGGGGATTGGGTTATTCCCGTTGAAGCTGGATGGGGTAGCTGAAGAATGTTGGAAAGTACTTCCGCCATCGATCGAGACTTACATACTTTTGTGTTGGCTCAGGAACATGGAGGGACTATGCTATAGCCCAGCCGAGCGACCTGCTTAAGCTGAGCATCAAGGCTGGAGATAAAGTGTCAGCATTGAGTGCCGCTTCGATTACTGTGAATCCAAGCACAGGTATTCACTTACTGTCACATTGCTTTTTTTGGCTTCCGTTTCCCATTATTGAATTTTATTAATACTCCAGCTTATCGCATGCTGACTGATTTCGTACTACTGGAACCGAGTAAGCTCCCCACCTCTCATTCTGTTAAAACGAGATGCCGCTTTTGATTTCGAGCTTACCAAGATCATTTTGGACGTAGGCGACGTTGTCATACAGAATGGAGCCAACTCAGCTGTTGGTCAGGCTGTCATACAATTAGCAGCGGCATGGGGTATCAAGACAGTTAATATTGTCCGATCAAGGTAAGTTCTCCATACCGTGTTATAAGCGGCTGCGTTTCTTGCCAGGCATCATTTCAACTCAACTTGTTTTTCCAAATAGGCCGGATCTACCAGCACTTGTAGACAAACTGAAATCACTTGGTGCTACGCTGGTCTTGACTGAAGAAGAGTTGGCCACACCAGCAGCCAAAGAGCAAGTCAAGGCTCTGAAAGCACCTCCAATACAACTCGCATTGAATTGTGTGGGTGGTTCTAATGCTTCGAATATGGCGAGGTTGTTGGGGTATGTGTTGTAACGAACATGCGCATTTGTGCCTTGGTTTTCTTGCCTCTCCAACACACGGATTCACTCATACATTTGCTTAGTGACAATGCACACCTGGTAACCTACGGAGGAATGTCACGACAACCACTAAGTCTCCCCGCATCAGCCTTCATATTCAAACACCTGACCACACACGGATATTGGATGACTCGGTGGTATCGCACTCATTCAAAACAGGAACGAACAGCCATGATTGATGAGTTGTTTAAATTGATTCGGGCTGGGAAGTTACGAGAACCAGATGCTCAGATACATGATGTCAAGGACACATCCGATGCTTCTCAAGAAGCGTTTACATCCGTTGTTGGAAATACGCTGCAGGGGTTTAGTACTGGCAAGACTGTATTAAAGTTTTGAGGTCGTCTTAGCATGAAATAGATATTCGCATATTTTAGTACACGAAACAGATCCAGTTTATTTAGCTGGACTTGAGACATTTAATTCCTTTATTCGACTCCTGTAGCTGATATGCAAAGGGGTTCCCACTACCTAACTCCTGAATTTCTTTGCCTACTATAAAATGCCAAAACGCAACAATCACACTCGCGTTCTTGCGAGATTTTCATGCCAATATGAGGAGAATGAGTTCTAGTTTCAAGTTTGTCCAACAACGTACCTCAACAGATGGTGGACTGCTGCTATCAAGTTTTCTGACTTCAAAACTGCGCAATATCACCAAAATCGGGGTAAGATCGCGCAAAGTTGTCGTGCATCTATTGAACTGAACTGAATTCATTATTTGCAATTGAAACTTCAGCAATGAGCCATTCGTGCTGGATCTCCCCCAACTGCTCGCACTGCGCGCGACTTCATTCGAAGCAAAACGGGCCGTGTGGGTTGGGGGTAAGATCCTTAAATAGTGACCAAACTGGAACGGGACTTTTCTAAATAGATATGATTTCAGTCAACCCGCATTGGTTCTCGTAATCGGAGAGTACGTGGATTTACATATCGGAACAAAACAAATCCAGATCAACCCTCACAACAAGATTTGATAATATTAGGTACTAAACTCGGAAATATTTGTCCGAAATGATTTGGATTTCAAGCAACTTACAAGTTTGCATTTCACAATTTACAGATCCGATCTCCCTCATCCTTCAATCGAAAGGATTCAGAAGCGCATTCAGGTCTGAAGCTTTGTTTTTTCACGATGATGAAGCCCAAACCCCACACTCCATCAACATCCGGTGACGCAGCTCCCAAAAAAACCACTAGTGGAGGTAAGTGTTTGCACACCTTCTTTTTGAACATCATGTCCACAATTTTTCAAAGTTTGAAGAGGATTACGCCGATCAGAACTGTGTAATCACAAGATCACCTAACCTTCTGCTTTTATAGTGCCGTTGTGGGCTGCAATGATGTCCTTTATAGTTCTGACTTTGCTCTCGATGACCCTCCTCATTTGGCTAGTAACATCATCAGCCACAAACCAGTCGCTGTCTCTGTTTTCAATTGAGCTACGTCAAGCTACAATGTCGCGCGTCACTGACCTAGGCAAGCTTAGTGCTTCCTGTCTTATGTCTGAATTGATGATAAAAATGCGCCTTTCTAATAGTGACCAAAGATTTGATTGAATCTGAGGACCTCCTCACAACAATTGTCTATAACCAACTGGCTTGGGACCTTACAAACCTTGATCCTAGCTTGGCTACCAGCCATGTCTCGTACGTGAACATGAGTGCCCAAACAGTGACTCGAACTTGGTTGCCTCTAGCTGGAGCTGCTTGCAAAGCTGTTACAGGCTGCGTGGGTGCTGGATACGTGTTTGGAGATGAAGGCATTGTTTCGTGGGCCAGACCAGATTGGTGTAGGTGTCACCCATCTTTCCCTACCTTTCTTCAAAAACGCTAGATGTGAGTCCGGCTGTTGATAACATTGTTCAATCTCGTATAGATTCTATTAGAGACTATACTTCAAGAGTCGCGGGACAGCAGTTGTCTGATCTCTATTATCCCACCTACACCTCAGACTATCAGATTGTGCTTGTGGGTGGACAGTCTGAAGTTGTACATTCTAACTTACCTACAACTTGAATATTGATCTTCATTTCTAGACTCCTCAAACTAAGTGGATCTCCCTGCCATCTGTATTCAATCAAAGCGTCTATGCTCAAACATGTGGAGTGGCTCCAAGTTCTAGTCTTCCCATGAGTTGGTGTGGAGCTGTGAGAACCCCTGTCCCACAACAGTCTGGAAATTACACCATTTACAGTTAAGAGGCTTTACAATCAATGGAGTCTACTTTGCTTTTACACGAGTTCTTTTTCATAGTCTCTGTCAACCAATTCGTTTCCATCAACACTACGTTTGGAAGTGGTGACCCGAATTCTCGTCTTGCAGGGTAATGTGCTGCTGAACAATTTTCATACTAACTTGTTGTTAACTTCAATCGTTGTTTAGGTTTTACTTTCTGGCCTTTGCAGTTTCTCAACTCGAAAAGACACTTCAACCCTTGCCTTCCACTCCAAAGGGCATGATATTCGTTTACGAGCCATCTGGCCTTATGGGTACGATATCCATTCATGATTGACTTCACTGGTTGAAATCATATACTGAATCAACTTTCATTTACTTCTGTTTAGTCGGCTCGTCGGTCCCCAATGTTTCGCAGATCAACTATGGCCCTACATCTTACAATGCCAGTGGTAACTGCTTTTGGTTGCTCGCTAACCGGTCGCATTACTCACTCGTATGTTTTTGTTTAGCTTCTCCTGACGCTAATTGTAAAGCTTCTTATGATTATTTGATCGCGACCTTTGGTAGTCTCTACAACATACCTGCTGCAGGACACTCTGGGTCTTATGCCGGTGCTACTGAGACGATGTTGCTAGACGTCCAATGGCTTAACCGCACCGGACTTTCGTAAGCCCTTTTTTGAATTCTATATCACGCCATGAAACAAAATTAAACAACGACGTCATAAACTACAATAAGATGGTTGGCGATATCTATTGTTCCTCGGAGTGACTACTGGAGTGGAGTTGATACTGCTCTACATACCATGATTATCTCTGTCGTTGTGGTCGGAGCGGTCTTTGCTGGAGTGGCGGCAAGTGTCTCTCTCTTGATTACGAGACCCATTTCAGTACTTGAGCGAGTGATGGCAGAAGCTCGTCGCTTCAACTTTGACGCGTTGAAAGATGGCTATTTGGACAAACGATCTTGGTTTTTGGAGGTAAGCCGGGGTTGGGATAAATAGCGACGAAGAATCAAATCATGAAACACTGGATTAACCTTTATGCGTACTCCAGATTCAATCCATGCAAATTACCTTCAAGACTATGGTTGAAAAGTTTGCTGAAGGAATCAAAAGAAACCACGAGCTAACTCGAGGCGCTGCTGTTAAAAGTTCTGAGAATCCAGACCACAAAGGTTCAGGGGGAAAGGTATCTGAAAGGAGAACGGCCTCAGAAGGGTCACCTTGTTAAACTCCAAGCTACCACTTTCTCTTAATGGACGAAAATGCAATGTGCTATATGTGTATGAAGAACAGAATGTAAAATAGCTCTGGTTTTATGTCTACAACCACAAGCCCAGCATTCCCTGCTCAGCGACTTTCAGTTGCCTCGCCTGTTCGCTGTGGCTTGTTATCGGAAACCAGTTCTCGTTTCACAGATCGCTGGATTTGTCCCTGACTTCTTTCTCTATATCAACCTTCTCAGAATGACCGTGGAGTAAGCGCCTTCCAAGCTTGCTTGAGCTGTGCACACCAAGCAGTTTGTAATTTTGGTTGATGGGGTTTCTTCACAAAGATTTCACTTTGCAAACAACAACGAGTATGAAGATTTCTCATCGACAAACACGTGACTCTACAAACACGCTGGACTAGTTTCTGACCATGCTGTGCTGCTTCGAGGCTATAGATTTTAGTGAAAATGGAAAACACAAACTGACGAATTCACACAGAGAACAACAAGAAACGAGAACAACATCACAAACGAAAGCATTCAAACTTTCAAACCCCCGATATGGTGATAAACAAGACGATAAGAGTTGACATGTACCAAACCAGATTCTATGCTTTTGTCACAATTGATATCCACTATAAAGCCGCACCAACAGTTCGTGAACACTGTGACAACTGCTGTATCATTCAGCTCTTGTGTATCCGGTTTTGCTTGGCAATGAGAAAGGAAAGGGTGTTGAAGACACGTGTCTGGAAAGCACAACAACGCCAATGTCCTACGAATCAACAACAATCTTGAAATGCTTTCAACATACCAAAGAAATGACATCATTGTGATGATCACCAGTACCGGAAAACATGAACGAGTCTGTCCGTAGGTTGGCTGAAGTGACCCGGCCCACTTCCCACAAGATGCATTTAAGAACCTGCAATCCAATTTTGGAGTTATTTGGTGGGAAGGACATGAGAGATCTGAGGTATCTAGGCTGTTTGGTAGGCCTACGTGTAAGGAGTGGCTGCTGGGGCTCTGATACGAGTGAAATTGCAGCTAAGAAAGACATGGCGAATGAGTACTTCGTGATTGTAAAAGTGTGGTGCTACTCTATATGGTTCTATATTGCTTGTCGATGACTTTGCGAAACATCTACGCCCGCCATGATACCAGTTTCTTGATGAGTTTACAAAAGTCGATTTCGAAGTGTTTACCCTGTTTGGTAGGCATCTACGTGCGGAGAAATAGAGAAATGGCGCCACGGTTGAGTTCAAAAACAAACCGTCATGGTCGGCTTCTCTCCCGTAACTCCCAATGCCGAAAGCCGAAATGTCCTTTCATAGTGCCTAAATGCTCCTTTAGCAGAAGAATCATGCTGATACAAGTCCCCACCAGTCAGATGCCACAGCAGCAAGTTCAAATTCCATGCATACTGGTTGAGTCTGTGCACTTGCAAGGCCAACACACTCCACTAACTGAGTACTGTTCAACATTCAAGAAGTAAGGACGATGAAGGATGAAGACGGATCAGAAGCGATGACGACGAACCGAACTTCTAAACACAACAACAACAACAACAACAACAACAACAACAACAACAACAACAACAACAACAACAACAACAGCAGCTATTTAATTTTTTTTAAATATATTGCGTTGCGAGGGCTGCTATACACATCATAAATAAAGCAATTATGAGAGTTTTACCAGGAGACAAGAGGGTGGATTTGACATTTATTGTCGTTCACCACGTAATCGGCGAGCCTAGTAGAAATAGTTTTGATATCAATTAAGTTGTTCATGTGATTAAGAGTGACGGGTCATCAACATCTGTAAGACATCATTGTGATACATACCAATTGGATATCCTTTGGTTGGATGGTGACACGCTTGGCGTGAATGGCTGCCAAGTTGGTGTCTTCAAAGAGACCAACGAGGTAGGCTTCAGCAGCTTCTTGGAGGGCACCAATAGCTGAAGATTGGAATCGCAAGTCAGTCTTGAAGTCTTGAGCGATTTCACGGACCAAACGTTGGAAGGGCAACTTTCGGATCAAGAGCTCAGTAGACTTTTGGTATCTGTTATTAGATGAATATGATTAGGAATGGGTGACTTGGACAACAATGTTTGAACCATTTATCAAAAACGATGGTGAATGATCAGCAATGACGTTTTTGATGATGGTTGATCAAAGCGATGAAAGTCGATGAGCAAAAACGTGATGATTCATCACGATACTTCATCAGCCATCAACAGCATGTGAAAATAGCCACATGAGGAAATATGATGGCAGACAATTCGGAATAACGGTCGGTGATGAACTTTGATCACATTAATGATAATATATGATCAATCAAACAAATCGACGATCATTCAACCCCACATGAAACCATCACACAACAAGAACGACGAATAGAAGGCTTACCGACGGATTTCTCGAAGAGCGACAGTTCCTGGACGGTATCTGTGAGGCTTCTTGACACCACCTAATGAGAAACGACCCAATCAAAAGTCAGATCAAATGGGTTCACCAAATATTTGATGTTGTTAAGAAGAATGATGATTTCAAGCAATGAAGAGGTATGAAATACATGTACATACCAGTAGCAGGAGCTGACTTGCGAGCTGATTTGGTGGCGAGTTGCTTTCGAGGAGCCTATGGTACAAAAATTATAAGTTTTCATCGTTGACAGATGACAGAGAAGTGGACCAACCGAGCTAATGGATGGTGCTTACTTTGCCTCCAGTAGACTAGTGATGAAATGCAATCGTAAGAATGGTTGGAGAGTATGGTAACCCTATGCACTATCGACAACAAGGTCGTTCTATCTCAAAAAAGCTCAATTGGTACATGCCTTCCTTGCAGTTTGTTTGGTTCTAGCCATTCTGATTATTTGTGGATATTGGAGAGATTGAGTTCTATTGCTTCCTCCTCAATGAAGTTTCACTGGTTTGTGCGTTTGAGCTTTTGTGCTGTTTGAGTTGCTGTGCGCGAACAAATGGGCGAGTAGGCGAAATCACATACATGGAAGGGCAACAACCTAAAATACGTACGTATATATACATAGTACGTCTACGCGCCTAAGCTGGCAATAGGTTAACAGTAGTCGTGATTTGTCGTTAAAATTGTGATTTCGCCCAAATTGCTCCAATTAAGACTATGGCACTTGTTTCTGTTTCTTTTTCGCGTCGCTCCCTGCTCAATAATCGTATTTACTCAATTCAAAGCTTCGTTTTATGTAGGATTAACAGGACATCTCTGAGAAATGCTGGTCAATGTGGTGTAGTGAATTTGGCATTCACGTCAGCCCAGCTGATAAATTAGATGCATTGAATGAAAATACTTATATGAAACTTTTCTGAGTACTGGATCACTCTTTCGAGCTCTGTGTGTATCGGAGTGTGTATAGTCAACCCACTTTCGGCTTTTCGGCGGTTTCGGCGTGAATTTGTAGCTATTGCCAACAACTGAGGCTGTTTCTCAAGCGTTGATTCAGAGCTGTATGAGGTTTTGTACCAACAAAGCAACCACCACGAAACTCAACGCCAAACAATTAGCGATAACAGTGAGAAAACATTTTTGGTTTTACAACTAGGAAATTACAAAAACGGTTTATAAAGAGGGGGTTTGGGGTTGAAGCTTTGGTTGAACAAAGTAGTCAACATATTCAAGACCGTAGAGGGTTTAACTTGCGAGCCTTATAAATATATGTTTCCGTGAGCTCAAATCGAATAATCAATCAATTAATGACACTACACATACCAGTTGCAAGTCCGCAACCTGAATGGTGACTCTCTTGGCATGCTTAGCAGCCAGTAAGGTGTCTTGAAAGTATTCAACCAAGTGAGCTTCAGCAGCCTCTTGGAGAGCAGCAATGGCCGTAGACTGGAACCGAATGGCCTTGCCAAACTTCTGAGCGGTTTCAGCAACCAGACGTTGGAAGGGCTGTTTAGGAATCAAGCGTTCCGTAGTGCTTTGGCGCCTAAAAGTAATATTGGAAAGTTATGCTACAGTAGTGTTGGTATGTTGGATGCTTGGGTGACGGAACACTGTAGGCGCGAGCCAAGAATCGTCATGAAGACGAGCGATGCATCGTTGGAGATAGCTGACAAGCAACTTACGGACGAATCTCAGACAGGGAAGGTTTCTGCTGTGGGTGTTGTGTTGGTTGTAAGTTGTAAGAAAGTACAAATTGGGTGATGCTTGGATTTTGAAGAACTTACAGCAACACGAACGGATTTCATGACGCCTCCAGTAGCAGGAGCAGACTTTCCAAAGACATGAGCTCGCATAGCCTATAATAGAGACGATGCAAGGGGTAAGAAACCGTGGAGGCGAACAACCAATGTGTAGGCGAAAAGTGGTGACGCTTACTTTGCTTTTGCCTTTGCCTACAGAAGTGTTGCGAGCACGGGAAGTTAAGATAGTCCTAGCCATTGTGATTTTATGAGTTAAATTAGTAGTTGGATGGATTGTGTTGTGTTGGTTGTGACGGATGGAGAAAATGTTGGAAAGCGTTTGCTTAAGTAGAGGCGTAAAATCCAGGGTCCAGTGACTTTGGGGTTGGTCTCGGTGCTAAGCGAGTCGGTAGATGAGTAGCCGTAAAAGCACAATGATCAGCACTCACCGCCACTGACTGATATAATACTACATCCTACCGATGCTCTTACTCTTCGGTTGGGTTTGCCCAAGTTTTTGTCACCAAACCCCCGTACATAAGTTTTCAGTGTCGAGCATGGAAGATTGAGACCCCAAACACAACTTCATGCTATATACTTTCATTGAAATGACGTATTTCGAATACATTCTGCCAAAGCGTGTCGCTACCTAAATCGAGTTCAAGTCCAGCTACTACAATGCCGCCTCCACTCAGCAACAACATGAGAAGAAGCGGATCAAGCAGAACTCGAGACAAGTCGATCATGCAAACATAAGGGCTATATAGGAAACTTCAATGTATTGGGTGCGTGAAGGCTATAAACACTTATAAAAAATCAACTATGGAAGAGAGAGTTCACCAGGAGACAAGAGTGAATTTCACGACATTTAAGATCGTTCACCACGTAATCGACGGGCCTAATTGAAATGAATTGTCAATCAACGGTGCTCAAATGCTGAAAGTGCCAGATGAATCAACATACCAATTGGATGTCCTTTGGTTGAATGGTGACACGCTTGGCGTGGATGGCGGCCAAGTTGGTGTCTTCAAAGAGACCGACGAGGTAGGCTTCAGCGGCTTCTTGGAGGGCACCGATAGCCGAAGACTGGAATCGTAAATCGGTCTTGAAGTCTTGAGCGATTTCACGGACCAAACGTTGGAAGGGCAACTTTCGGATCAGGAGTTCGGTAGACTTTTGGTAACTGTAATTAGGAGATGGAATGGAATGAGTTTGAGATTGAGTATCAGAGAGATAGAAGAGGATAAGATGGATAGACATACCGACGGATTTCTCGAAGAGCGACGGTTCCTGGACGGTATCTGTGAGGCTTCTTAACACCACCGGTGGCAGGTGCAGATTTACGGGCAGATTTGGTAGCCAGTTGCTTTCGTGGGGCCTAATAATGTAAGCGGTTAGAACTCCTGCAATCCCAAAGCATATACAATAGTAGACGTACTTTGCCTCCAGTAGACTAATGATGTGATGCGATATAATAGCATAGTGGTTAGTATGGTAGATCTGGATCGTGCAAACCAAACCCAAAAAAACTGGTAACTACCTTTCTAGCGGTTTGTTTGGTTCTTGCCATTATGATTTATGTATTCGTTATAGAAGGGAAGTAGTCGGATCTTATACTCTTTACCTTTATTTATCGTCTTGTGATGGGATTGCTGATTCGTGAAGAAAAACACAAGAGAGGGAATGTGTTTCTTAAATACTTTCCCCAGGATTTGTTTACTTTAAGAATGGGCACAATTTGATCTACCAATGAGATTCACGCGTAGTAAATGCTCGGACCCCAGTCTCCTTATCTACCAATGGCGTGCATGCGTAGCAGTTTGAACCCTTGTCGACTTCGCAATTCCACAAACACAAAATGATATCGACCAATAGGCTCGCATCAACAAATCTTCGTGGGACCAGTACTTAACGAAGGTATCTGCCCTCCTCACAAATGACGCATCAACCACACACAAAGTAAAAGTTCTCTCCCAGTTTTAAACTACAAGAGATCAAAATAACATCATGTCTGGTATGTACAACTACCTCCCACAATTCTCGTGCATATCAGATCATTCGACTCGTTCACTAATGACTTGCATGCTTTTTAGGACGAGGAAAGGGCGGAAAGGGTCTTGGCAAGGGCGGTGCCAAACGTAAGTACCTCTAACCGCGTATCAATTAATGCTTTATATTACCATCCTTCTCATGGCATAACACTCTTTCATCCCCCTCATCTTGATGTTAGGTCATCGAAAAATTCTTCGTGACAACATTCAAGGAATCACCAAGCCCGCTATCCGTCGTCTAGCACGTCGTGGAGGTGTCAAACGTATCTCTGGTCTGATCTACGAAGAGTACGTTATCTTTCTTAACTGGTTATGATGTTATGGTTTGGAGTGACTTTGCTTTCCGGCCAAATCCTCAAACACACCTTGATTTCGTCTGATGCATTGCAGATTCGCATCGTTCATCATCCTCATATGATTTCAATACTCACTTCTATCATGATCTCACTCTAGAACCCGTGGTGTGCTCAAAGTCTTTTTAGAAAACGTCATCCGTGACGCCGTCACCTACACTGAACACGCTAAACGTAAAACCGTCACATCTTTGGACGTTGTCTATGCTCTCAAGCGACAAGGCCGTACTCTCTACGGGTAAGACTTGGTCCTTGAACTCGCACAGTACATCACATTGCCATGAGCTAACCCAAACTTTTCAATCCAATAGTTTCGGTGGTTAAATTACTTCACTCTCTATATTGTATATCCTTCACGTTCTAAATAAATCAGTTTTCCGCAAAGTATACAAACTATGTGTCTGGTTTCCTTCATTGAAAATATTGAGCTTGGGTATTAAATAACGGATATGCTTCTTTTAATTTACCACCTATGTTTTGGTATCTTTTGGCTTGTTGTCACTAGTATACATGGTCCTTTTGGGTACTTCGCACCTAAAATCTAACGTCCACTACTTTACATTAAACCCGTCCACTCGCTTCACCGTATTCGTCTGTTGTGCTCCTACTGTTGTGCATCTTCATCAGCTCTAAGCTCAGCATCCTCAAACTCCTTCCAGGCTCTTTTCCACTCTTCAGCACCGCGAGGGTGATGAACAGGTTTAGCAGCCATCTACATAAAACATGTAAGCCAACGACTTCCGATCGATCTTACAGGCCAGTTAACACTCTTACCCTCCGAAGCGCTTCTCTCTGCAAAAGCGTCATCCCCGACGAGTTCCCAATATCATAAAACGCATCAATCAAATCCTTCAAATCCTCGTCATTCTTCTCGCGACACCAATCCAAATCCCAGTCATCGACTTCCACATTCCTCACATGGTGCATCAGGAACTCTACAACCTGCGACAGCACTGGTTGGGCAAGCTCCACGTGGCCGACACTTAGTCCGTTATAAAACTGGGGCCGCAGTTTCTCACTGTCGAGGACGGCTGAAATCGGTAGCGAGAATTCAGATTCGTCGATTAAGGATTTTAGAATCACGGTCTTGTTTGAATCTAGTGGTGTGAAACCTGGGCTTTGTGGGGAGATGGCGTCCATTTCGGCGGCGGACGCAACAGCAGGTCGTTCCTTATGCTGGTTTGGCACCCATTTATGAAGTGGTGACTTGGGCTGTTCGTTCTCCACTTCTTGCTGGTTTTCATCCATGGAATCTTGGTCTGCAGTTTGATTCTCCGATAAAGCTTTTTGGTCAGCCTATAAACCCCATTAGCTTAGTTAGAAGCGATCATCATGCAATAAGCCACCAAAACAACAATATCCACCTCTTGACTCTGACTCTTAATCGAGAATATATGCCACGAGCGTGGTCGTTTACCACCATTATTTTGGTTTTGGTCATTTGATGACGTGGAAGATGCAGATGGGATCAATAACGACATGGGCCGTTGAGAAGGATTCGATCCAGGAATTAACCCATTCATCGTTGAATTGGTATATGTACGTGTTGATCTAGAGAATCCCCACGCCTGCTTTGGCGAGGAGACATCTTTCGACGGCAAGTTGGTGCGTTTGGTACCGAGCAGCGTCTGGTCTAGATTGTCTACTAATTGTTTGTGGTCAGCTCAATTGAAAACAATGTAAAGAAGTAGCTTGGTCGTACCTGATGTCATGGTTTCTATATGTTTCAACTCGCTGTCTCGATGTTTTGTTTAATGTTTGGATGAATTTCTTAGGGTAAAGTTTAACCACCACACGCCGCTATTAATTTGAAACAACTACGCAAAGCAAAACTGAAGCGTACACACAATTCGAAAATCGTTTCAAAGTACGTAATTTATATATTGAAGAAGGCTACTTTAATCTATGGGTATTTCGTGATTCGACACCCCATGTTTTTAACCAGTTGAGCATCGACAAGAAAGACAGACTTCCCCAAATTTTCACTCCAAACCATTTTCTATGCTTGTATGTAATGTACTAATATAACACTCAAACACTCACTCAAACTCATTCAACAAACAAATCCAACAAGCAAGACTTCCACACATTCAAACAAAATCAGTCATCAACACACGATGCAGCCACCTTCTCACTCAAATCAGCAAGAGCATCATCCCACGTCAACACACCAACATCAACTGTCTCAGATCTGGTCCTTCGTGCTCTACCATTAGGCAACAAGAGCAAATCCGGTGCAGTAACAGCTCGTAAGCGTCGACGACCAGACGACGAGTCTCCAAAAGCCCCACTAAAATCAAAGGATGGTAGACTCATTGCATCACTCATCTCATATGTAGTGGATATACCACTTGATGACGAGGATGATGGAAAGGTCGATCCATCTCTACTAATATCATTATTAATGTTACTGCTGACACTATTATTATTGTTGTTGGTATTGGTGCTATTATTGCCAAAGTAGGTTCCTACTACACCAGGTTCAAATCCTTCATTGTTTAGCATGGGTGTATTACCACCTGCCGATGAGGAGGACGGTGACCAGGTTTCTTCATTGTGTTCGCTGCTAGCCGATGACGATTCGGACAGGGCCTTTTGGATTCTGGCGTTCATTGCTGCGTGGTCGTCGGATGATTGTGTACGACGACGTGGATGGCGAGATGGTGATGGTGAACGTTGTGGTTCAGGTGCTCGAAGGACTATTGACTTGGTAGCCTTGTCCTCCACATCTCGTGTAGTGTGGATGAAGCAACAGCTGTTTGGACAGAAGCATACGAATGTTAAATAAAAAGAAAAAACCGGAAAATAAACAAAATGGAGATGGCTGTTGAGTCAACTTGCACATACCGCTTTCCGTAAGGGCAATTTCCAGTCTCCCAAAATGTCTTACAACGGGAAGTCTTGTATCGAGGATGACGGTCAAGTGGGCGGAGTTCATTGAGTCCGTGTGCAAACTAGAAATGGGTTGTTAGCATGTTATAGAGCAGGATTAATAACTAAAAATTTGTAATACAGTCCAATGGATTGTGTCATCGATTAAATTCAGAATCAACTGGTGGGTTGTCAAAACGATGACACAAAGAAAACCCTACAATTCTTACCTGACACTTGTTACCATACTTGCATCGTCCACCATTCTCTTCAAAAGATCGACAAATCTCAGTCTTGTACAAAGCAGGCGACTTTGTCTTGCTACTGTTACCATGGCTTGGCGACGAATGCGTAGATGATGCGACTTTGGGAGATTGTGGAGTAATGGATCGTTTAGGCGAGTTATGACGGGTGGTATCAGCACTATGAGTACGACTAGCATAGTTGCTATTGTTGCTAGTGTGATTATGGTTGTGACTATGATCGTTGACACGTGCGTCTTGTGCACTTTCAAGTTTCTGCAAACGTCGCATGGGAGTCTGTGGTGGTGAATGAGGCTTCCACGTCAGCACAGGAGAGGTGTTATTGTATGGATTGCCCAAGATATTGTTGAGTGTTACGGTGCTTTCACGTGGTGAATACGGTGGTGTGATGCGTTGACTAGGGGGTGAAGAGATTAACGGTTTGGACGATACGACCATATTACGTTCACTGTATGGCGGCGGAGGGCTTTGCTGTTGTTGCTGATGGTGCATCATTGACTCTAGATTGCTCATGTATGTGGGCTGTTGCGGTGGCATTGTAGCAGAAGATGAGATCATTACGTTGGGAGATAATCCGTGGTGGTGTTGATGCACTGCCAGGATGGTTGAGCCTGGTGGTAGACTAACGTGCGACACAGACCCATTAGTGTTTACGGATAGTATCATTGTTGATGGGGATAGAGCCATCGAGGTAGGTATCATTCCGGATGAGACCTGTTGTTGCTGTCTTTGTAGCTGCTGCTGTTGTTGTCGAAGTTGCACGGAGCCAACGTCACCAAAAAGTGGGTACGGACTTGATGTTAGATGTTGCATTTGCCCACAGGCTAGAGACCTCGTTTAAGCGATAATCTAGTAGTATAAATGAGGTTTAGATACGCAGTAGCTTAATGCGATGAGATGGTCGTCTTAGAAAAGTAGGAACTGTTTAAAGTTCTGTCAATGAGTTCGTTCACTTTTTTCGTTTTGCCCCCTCAGACGGAAATCTGATAGATCTAGTGACGTGCAGAAGAGATTAAGACTTACATGATATTCAGCTACTAGATCCTCGATTATCCGAATGCTGTAGAGCGTCGATATGCCTAGTTTCATGCAAGATCCAGTCTCTATACAGCCGAGTGCAACTTTTCGGATTCGTGTCACAGTTCTATTATTGACTAGGGAAGGCGGAAGAGAGTGACAGCGACACCGATGAATGCAGAGACACGTTCTTCTTGTTATAACTTTGCTCCTGATGATGCAGCTTGCACGCAGGTGGAAAAACACAAAATTGGTGGTAGGTCCTCTTCAGACTGTTTCTTTCTTGGAACAACAGTCCGAGAGTATTCATGCACGTCTGAGTCTCAGAGCAGTCCTTGGAGAGTTCAGGACAAAATCGGCTATGTAAAATTAGCATCTTGACCAGCATCATGGTTTAAGCATCAAGGCATCATCAACTTGCACCAAGTCCATTTTTGAAAATCGTCATCAACCAAAGACTTGCCAACATGATCTTCAACCTAACGCAATCTCCATTGGATTTCAACAACAATCATGCACAAGTTTCGCTGGGTGCACTCGAGTTAATTTACATTATGATTTCGGAAGCTGAAGACTCTCGTTCTAGTACAATACGACTGCCATTCGTCAGTTTCGATAATACAGTTGAATTTTCAATCATTTTCCCGGTTTCCTGGTCATAAATATGCAAGTGCTACAAGCGGGAGATTGGATCAACTTTGTTCTTTGGTTTGGTCACCAACACACACTAGACCCTGACACATACCATGGGCACTTGATCCATTAAATTATTCACATTCTTGCATTTAGCCATGTCAGCGAGTTTGTCAACGAGTCTGCCAATAGTCCACGTATTATCAAAGAAATATGCCTGCTGAGGCAAATTACATTCTTTGGGAAGTGTCACACGGAAATATACTCGTGCAGCAACAGGTAGTCCTTCATCGCCCTTTTAATACGGAATCGATAGATGAGCCCGTGTTTTTATAACACACAAACATCAGTACCACAAACTTTGGAGGTCATCCGCATCTTCATAAGCTCAATCGTTGGATTGTATTTCGTCTTTGGTTTGTTGGTAGTGACAGATCCTGTGGGTAGCGATGTCCCAATCTTTGCGGCAACGAAGTCTCGAGCAGTTTGACTCTTGGCTTTTATGGATGCTGCTTCCTCGACAAGACCTCGACATGCGTGCGTACTTGGATGCCGATGCTGCAAACAGAAAGTATCATGGCACTTGGGACAAGCTATAGAGAATGCTGATTCTTGTTTGGATGTGCAGCTAGTGAAGGAGCAGGGTATCTTCCTTGTTTTCGTAGCTGATACGTGGAGGCGACATCCCGAATCAACGTGTTTCTTCCTCTAATGTTGTAAAGTGTATTCATATGAGCATCTTTCAAGAATACAGTGCGACTGAAGAGGATGTTTTTGCATACGAGTTCATCATCAGGTAAACTAGATGTGCTTTCCAGCATTTGTCCACATTCTGTGCAAATAACTAGCACTTTCTTGCAAAGTTGAAGAGAGAGGCGTCAATTACAAGCCCTTGTAGACTTTTATCAAAAAAAGAGCCTCACATCAACGTTCTTGCTCCAGTTGGGACAATCGTGATTTTGATGGAATCGATGATCGAGGCTAGCAACAAAGTTGACAAGCGTTTAGATAATGAAGATTAAAATTATTTTCATAGTAGACGGTTTCAGCTTTACCAATACACCAGAGAGCAAGCGCTGCATCCAAACGGAAGGAAATCTAAAATGCCATCAAAAATGTGAGGGAAAGAATACTGAGCTTCTAACTACTCAAAGTTTCAATATGATTCCATACCTAGTCTGTTACAGTCCTTCTTTGCGCAAGATATCCCGAGATTATATAGATCTCCCATTTCGCTGATTGCTACTTTGAATTTAAGAAGCGTTGACTAAAACCACGAGATCACTAGCAAAGGAGATAGCAGTTCATCAACTTTTATAGCTTTTACGCTTTTTTTATGTCATAGTTTACGTGCATCACACGTCCAAAACTGCTTTTTTTGCTATGCTCAGCATCTCGCATGGCATCTCTCCAACTCTCCAAACTGCCAAAAAGAGTCTAGTCAAAAAAGCTTGAACCATAACATTGATAAAACATAATAACAACAGCAAGAACAGCACTTATACTAATCTAGGAACCTATTCGCATCATGGAACACGAAGTACCATCAGAAGATCACTTATTGTCCCCCATGAACATGAACTTTGGTCGTCAAACAAAAAGCAACAAAGTATTCAAGACTGGATATAGTAAATCATTGGTCAAGGAACCACCAGTATCTGCTGCACCTGCCAGCAAAGGTATGTTCTACTTGTAGTCTTGTAATCACGCTCCTGTTTGTTTTGCTTCATTATCATTCTCCAGCATTAAAGTTTAAAAGCTCATATCACCACCATCAAAATTGTCTTGTATTCCTATTCATTTTGAATGCTTTCATACTATTTTGTCATTGTGGCCTTGATCCATTCTGCTGCTCACTTGAAACAAGGAGCTATCCCCATATTGTCGCTAACGAAACACTGCACACCGTGGTCTAGTCGCCGACCCCAACCAATACGAGAACCTATTATTCGAATTCGATATCGACTCCACATATGGTCCCATGATTGGCCTCACTCGCCTGGAACGCTGGAACCGTGCTCAGAAACTGTCGCTCTCTCCTCCTCTTCAAATCTACGAGATCTTGACTTCTGCAACTGCATCCTCTGATATCATGACCTGTCATTGGGATCGAGGTGTTACCAAAGGCACTGTATAATGGAAACGTAATGAAGCGTATAAATCCCTGTTCGCCTCTCTCTGGTTCTCCTTTGATTCTCTATAAAATGAAGTGTGCCTTGATGTCTTAACAATTTGCCAAATATATAATGTAGTCATAGTTGAAGACATTTTGTCTAAAAGGAGACCTGTTGTGTATTATACACGATGTTGACGTCTGAAAGTGCATCCTCTGATATCATGACATCTCATTGGGATTGTAGGGTTATCAATAGTGCAGTGTACAAGAAAAACCTATAATACCGCTCGAGCAATTGATTCCTCGTCTGATTCTTTAAATCAAGATCTCTAGAAAATGAAGGGTACTCTGCTGTTTTTAACCAAATATGTTATGTAGTAATTGCTAAAGACATCTTGTTACAAGAGGAAGAGTTTGTTGTTGTCTGTATAGACAATTCCTGAAGCGCATAACTAATAGGTAAATTCCGGGTTAGTTATCGAACGAAGACATTAAATGCTAGTCCCACTTTTTTTGCTCTAACCTGATTGATACAGTTCGTGAGATCACCAGTTGCACTCTCCACAGGAAACAATGGTCCAAGATCCGTGATGACAGATGCCCCGTTAGGGAATCCAGCCAAAGCTTGCAGAACCTTGTTGTTGAAATCCTCACCGCCACCACCTACTAGTACTCAAATGGTTTAGAGGTCCTCATCTAAACAAGCAATCAACTCCAACGCAAGCCTAACATTTGCATTTCAGAAAAGACATCAAAGGCATACCCATAAGCATATCATCGTCATTATCAAACATTGGATCAATATTCACAGATTGTTGCTGCTGTTGTTGTTGTTGGCGGACTGGAGCTTGAGTGAACCGAAAAGCACCGTCGTATTGATGTTGGTGTTGCTCTGGTTCATCTAGTTGTGTGGATTCAACCATCGTATCTGTATCGTTGTTGGTATTGTTGGTTTTGATGATTGCGAGCCATTCAGGAATGAGCTCAAGTTGGTAGAATCGGATTGTTTGAAGAGTGCGAAGGAGACTTGTCGTTGGGTCTTCGTGAATGTGATACCTTTGTGATAATGACAAGTTTGAGTTATGATGATAGCAAGCACGTAAAGGTATAGTGGACTCACCCTATTGCATCAACGTAGCGTGGACAATCCCTCGACGTTCGCAGCGTGCCCAGAACTTCCATACACATTCCCAGAGTAAGACCTCTTGAATGCATCTTCATTTGTATAGGTAGATTGACACGAATGGCGTGCGTGGAATCATCTAATGTTTCGGCCTTAGTCGTCAAGTTCTTGAACATCAAGACAGTATGGCCCTTTACCCAATACAACTGCATCAACCACCAGTTCACCATTGTTTGCGGTATGAGATATGAGATCTACGACATCACCAAAGATCCTAACATTGGTCGAAGGTTTGAGGACTGGAACGGTTTGAAACGAAGATTCTCGTAATGTGTACCTGACATCTTGAAACAGGAATTCTGGAGCTCCCCAAGAGAATAGGCCGTCATTATATTGTGCGTTGTAACATTCCCGTAGGAACAGCTTTTTGAAGGTTTGACTTGGCTCTACGTCGTCATTGCTTGCTGTTAGCATCTTGTCAGCACTTTTGCAGGAGCTATGGAGTTTCCGGAAGAGAGCGTGAGTAAGACCGAGGCTAGTAAGGCCGAAATTGAATTGACGCGATCTTATACGGGAAATGCAAGATTTATATTCTTTACATACGTGTTTGCTAGTATAATCTCAAGTTCTTAGAAATTCACGTTTTCAGCAAGTTTAACGAGCCGCACCAGCATACAGAAATTATTTTAAATGGACTTTGCGTGTAATAGCGACGAATGCCTGCGAGTGGAGCTTTGACTTGTCCTCTCGACGAAAATATCTTTGTGATTCAAACCCAACTTGACAATCACCACACACAAACAGACAAATTTCAAGCTTAACAGTGAAAAAAGACAGACAGTGTTCTACAACAACGAGGCAAGTCCTACTTCTATTATTGATATAAGCGAGGCAGCCTTCTCTGCTCGATTATGACAACTCATAATCCTGACTATTGGAACCTTTAGGAAGCAGCCACCTTTCAATATGAGCAAAATAGCTAAACCGGCCTCAAAGTACCCTATGACCGATTTACTAGCTGAGATAGTAAACAAGCTCCAAAAGAACAGCCCTCTCAACCCAGACCAGACAGCTCGTATCGCAAATTCACTTCGGGCACAAGTTTTGGTCAGAGTCCAACAACTCGAGGATCGGTACATATCAAACATATCCCACATTAACTCTGCAGAATTTATATACTAAACACGTCTATAATCTAGTATCAATGGAGCCCACTACTTTAGTGAAGCATCAAAGAGAACTGGTCTACCACCATCGGCATTCTTCTTACTTGCCGTTATTGGAATGATTGTTGCTTTTGGTTTGGCTATTCGGAGGGCTGGTGGACTTGTTTCGAATGTCGTAGGTGTCCTCTTCCCCATCTGTAAGTAGCATGGTCCTGTTGTTGTGGCTTACGTGTTGCACGTGTAATTGAGTGATGACTGTGATGACGAGCTTTGGCAGTCGCTTGCAGTTTGCATTACACTCCATGCAGAGATGCGTCGTTGAAGGATATCTGTCCAGCATATAGCCGTCTATCGCTGTCTGGCGGATGTAGATGGTCTGCCGGTTGCCCTTCTTTAGTATATCAACACTCACAACCACCATTCTTCTCGTTTGATTAGACGCTTCTCTGCGAACTATTGAAAACAAGGATCCTGAAGAAATCACTCGTTGGATCAGTTACTGTAAGTTAAGCTGACCTCTGTCGAATGCCCTTTTTTGCGTGCTATAGCAACATAATCTCTTATGACTACTAAACAAACCCACCTCATCACCACACAGGGGCCTTCTACGGTCTCATCACAGTCTTGGACACTGCCCGAGTCTCGTCAGCATTGACCACCAAGTACAAAACCTTGTGGAACATGTCCAAGATTGGTGCCCTCTACTGGTTGCAATCATCTAAAAACTCGACGCTCTGCTATAAGGCAATCCGCCCATCCTTGATTTCGGCAAAGATCTTGCCTGCTGGTACTAGTGCCGCTCGTCCAGTTTCAACTTCAGGAGCTACTAGTCCAACTGGAGGATTTCAACAACCCATTCAACCATACTCTGTTGGTGGGCTTGTAAAGTAATCGAAATATATACATAAGGATGAGATGTGAAGGGGGAGTTGGTGATTTTGTGTAAGGATGGGTTTTATTATGGGTTGTTGTCGGAGTAGTGAATCATTCTTTTAGTCTCTTTTGTATTCAAAGCCTCGTAAAAACAATATGGAAATTCTTATATAAGCTTATACGCCGTTGTTGAGTGTGATTTTTTGCTTGTGATGGTGCAAGTCGCAACCGATGTGCAAAAAAATCGAAGAAGTTGGAATGACACCCATCTTGGTTTTCGAATCGACCATTTTATATTTGTGACTTGCTTGAGGTTTTATTCACACTTTATTAAGTAACTGTTTTTCCCTCCTTGCCTTCTTATACACCACGTCCAACTCTTGTCGTAGGTCTGAAACTTCCAGCAACCTCCTTACCCCTTGGCATCCCATTCGTCATCAGACTACCAGCAACAACACTACCAGCCATATGTTCCGCATGTGCCTGGAATGTAAACCCAGCAAACTGTTGTTGAACGGTTTCAGACAAGTGCGATGTCTCTGTAACGGAATCAGTAGGTGCCTCTGAAGTAAACTCTTCATCGAAGTTGGACGTATCGGTAGCTGATGCTACATTGGGCTTGAATGGGGGTTGGTACTTTCTGGCCATGAGTTTCGACCAATTGATGTCTGCAAAGAAGGGATGGTTTTTGATAGCTTCGGGACCTTCGTTGCCGAGTCGCTCGTTTGGATCCCGGTTTAGTAACTACGTGAGCGAAAAAATGTTAACTGGCTTAAACGCGTCTCGCGAAACCAAGTTTCAGATTCTTTTTCTTACCCCTTTGAGCAAATCCTTTGCTTGAGATCCAATATCATCAGGGAATCTCAACTCGTCAATCAAGATCTTGCGATACATTTCATTCGTGTTTTCATCATAGAATGGTGGAAGACCAGTCAACATTTCGTACAATAGTATGCCCAAAGTCCACCAATCTACAGCTTTGGTGTATCCCTGTCCAAGCAACAGTTCAGGAGCCAAGTATTCAGGTGTTCCACAGAAGGTGTTTGTTTTGGCACCTTGTTTCATGTCGAGCTTACACAGGCCGAAATCACATAGGGCAATGTGGCCGGTATAGTCCAATAGGATGTTTTCTGGTTTCAAATCCCTGTCAAAGTACAAAAACCAGTAAGCAAAAACTCGCTACTCGAATATCCATTGATTAATAGGGATCATTGATTCCTCCCCCTGATTCAGCCTTCTGTACCTGTAGATAATATTATATCCATGCAAACATTCCAAAGCACAGAGCAATTCAGCAGTGTAGAATCTAGCCCGATCCTCAGAGAATCTTCCTTCCCTCTGCAAATGGTGAAACAATTCACCACCATTCACAAAAGCCAATACGAGATACAGCTTTTCAGGTGACTGGAAGGAGAACTTTAATGGGACGATGAAAGGGTGGTTGATTTGAGCCAAGACAGTCCGTTCAGCTAGTGTGTGAGATACTTCGGATCGTTCGACGATGTGGGATTTTTTGAGGATTTTCATGGCGTAGATTCGACTGGTGTCCTTTTTCCGTACTTGCATAACCTGATTTGTAGTGAAGGAGAAAGTTAGGACAGAGGGAAAACAACGAGTGCGTACTGCAGAATCATTCACATAAGTCCAGTTAGTGAATTTTACACAAACACACTTACCTTTCCGAAACTGCCCTTTCCTATAACTTTGAGCAATTCAAATTCTTCAATGTCCATGTGCTTTCCCTATATTTCATGTTCAAGTTAAAGTCCATCTTTCACATAGTCATCCCACTGTCAACGCTTACACCAAGCTTCTTGAACCCAATCTGCAAATGGATTTCACCATTAGCAGCTTCCTTGCCGTCCGACGAAAAGTTCTGACTCTGATACCACTCGTCTTGTAATCCACCATCAGTGAATTTAGGTCGTAGTTTTACGCTAGCCAATAAAATATCAGCACCACCCGCTCCCCTCTGGTATATAGATACAGCCAATTCGTGTTCTCGGGACACGTCGCTATAGTAGTAGATTGTTAGGATTACCTTAAGCGAAAAAATGCGGTTATTATAGACTACACGATTCACATACAAGTGAGCTCGATGCTGCCACAGAATAGTATCCCGACCAGCTTCTTTTGCAGCAACCACGACTTCATTCTTATCGAATTCCAGTACACAATAAGGTAGTTCCTTGCCATTTGGTAGAGTTGGGATACTCTTGGCCTCTACGACTCGTACCATCAACATTCCAACTCCGCTTGAGCTTTTGGTAGGTGATGTTGGGCTCGCTGCACTGGAAGACAAAGCAGACGTTTGTGGCCGTTCATCGTCTGCTGATTTTTTCGGTAATGCAGGTTCGGCCTTGTTTAATACATCGGTGCTCTCCTAAGTCATAATGGAGATTCCAGTTAACAACCATTTGCCACGGTCTAGAAATATGCCAAAATAGCGGCATACCTTCTTGTCTTTGGTCTCGCCATTGACCCCTACATTTTTTTACGCGAGAAATGTCAGCAATGATTTTTTGGTTTTGTTTAACAGCACTAAATTCAACGTGGCTCTCACGTTTCTTGAACATGATATCTTATGATATCCGGGAGTCCTCCGAAGATTTTGTCTCTGCTACGTTTTAAGTCAACCTTTTGATGACTTGTTGGAATGTTTGAAAGCCGACATTTTCTTGATTGGCGACAAAGCAACCCATTGAAAGCCGGGTCAAAGCTTGTGAAGGGTGTTTGCATTAAAGTTTGGTTGCTTGTGAAGAGGAAGTTCCAGTAGAATGTTGTTGGATACGTGCTATAAAACATCCATTTCGTTTGGTTTTGCGGCACGATTTGGTTGCATGTGCTTTTCGTGATGTCTTCAGTACTAGGACAAGATTGCAGCAGGCCAGCTAACAATGAGGCAGGCATGATATTGTTATATAAGAATAAAATGTGTTTAAAGACTATGTGTTGTTCTTGTTGCCGGGCATGATATTGAACGTATCGTTGCAGTTCCCAACTATCCCAAGTATTGTAAAGTCAGAGATGAAATACCATCCAGAGAAGACTTCATCCACTCCACCACTCATACAGCACTTTTTCGGCGACTGTGGTTTTGTCAATTAGAATGTACTTTAGCTAAAACCATCAAACTGAGAAATCCAATGCACACGCGACATACATTCACCACCAGTATTTTTCTGGCTAGATCTGTTCGGGCCCAGTGGAGCAGCAGCACCCAGAGTCAATCCCATAGTCCATCCATTCATCGACGACTTGTCATTGCTGGGTGCGCCAACAGTTTGAGGATATTTGATTTTCATGGTACCAAAGGGCGGGTGAGCTGGAGCGGTTCCGTACATACTTTTAGATGATGAGGTTGGAGATTTGGGTGTCGAAGGTGATGGTGTTAGGTGGTTTGTTTTGCTTGGGTGGTGCTCGCGATCGTAGGCCTCGCGATGATATGAAAGTGCTATTGGCATGAAAGTATCGGAAGGAAAGAAAGACTAGCAAGTTTAGCAGTAAGGTAATGCTCGAGACGGTTGTGTTCGATTCGAAAAGTTTTGGGGTTGTTTTATAGTGTGAAACCCACACCCGATTTTCGCACACTACGCAACTGCCAAACGCCACATTTCTAGCTGCAAGATTAGGGGGTTTCATTTCTACAATTGAATTACAAATATCAGTCCTACTATGACACATGCGATTAAAACAATAAGAGGTGCTGAATATAGTCCAGAAGAGGATTGCGGAGCTACAGATGTCCCAACAACCTCTGCCGTGGGTTGAAGTGATGGTATGGGGGATTGTGTAGGAGATGGTGTCGGCAGTGTAGCGAATCCAGGCATCACTGTAGCATTACGATACCAATTTGCCGGTGGATCTCCCAAACTAAACACGTCACCAAATAAACCGTTAGCGTGGCGTTGCTTTTCAGAGAAAGCAACAGACTTGTCTGACTCACCAGTCGCCGATTCGCTGAATGTTAAATCCAGCATTACGAACGAGGTTTATTACACTGGGTCCCAGCGCTGCACTCTGACTCCACAAATCATGCTCTAAGAGAATGGGACCACCACCATTCGGTAGTAGCGTGCCTGCTTTCTGTTGCTGTATCCATTGCGACACGTTGCCTGTTACCCACGAGCCTTGGAAAGTCGTGTCGTAACTCATACGCCAGTCATTGGTGTCTTTAGTCCACTCGACGATCGTGTATCTGTAAGCAAAATTCGATGTCAGAACATGTAAGGGGGAAATATGACGAGTTTCGGCTCAAGACGTACCCCATCTGTATTAATATAGATCGAACTCTGGGATTTATATCTGACATTGCGAGATGAAGTTAGGCTCCAGGAGATTGCTAAATTGAATGCAACTTAGCTTACCTCCATGGGGTGGTCTCATATACACTGGTCTTATTCCAAGCACAGCTTGGAATGCTTGCTCACACCAAAAAGTCTCCATTCTGCAGTAATGAAATATGTTAGCAAAAGCGTTCCTAGCGTAATCGGATGTGTCTCAAGCCATACATTATCTGCTCATTAGTAAGACTAGTCAACCATGGGTGTGTCCAGGTCTAACACAGTGAAAAATGATTTGAGTTACACGTGAGACGACGAAAAACGTAAAGGTCGACGATACTAACATGGCACCCAATCTGATGACCTGCATCAAATATGGATTTAAACACAGCTGGGTATTGTACAACTATATTGCGGTGGAGAGAACGTCAATTGTTTGCCATGGAACGCAGTACTTTGTCAAAGCGAGTTTTGACGTACTTTGAACGCCAATAGTGAAGAACGTGACCTTCAAATTAATGCTCTTCAAAAAGTTGAGAAGGTTCGTGGTATACATTCCTACAAACGAGTCATGTTAGCAAAGAAAAAGGTCCACTTCTCCGTCTTGATTGAAATTTACCTGGACCGTCATCAAAGGTTATTCCAAATGCTAACAAAAGGAAGAAATAAGATTCTATCACGTTGATAAATCTCTGATTTAAGTTGGAGATGTGAACATACTGTTCTTGTCGCTGCAATAGGTATGATCTGTCGTTCCTTGCCACATCTCTGCACCAACGCCAGTCACATTCGAGGCCAGGGGACCAATGGGTATTCCTGTTGCAAGACAAGCAGAGATTCAGTGATCATCATTTGTGTGAAGAATTCCTAGTTTCTATTTCCAGTATGGTGCGATCCTCGAGCTGAAACTCGCAAGATAGTGTTCAAGCATCCCAGTATTCGACAATGATACCGTTATAACCTCTCTCTGACACCAAACTTGAGACCCTTGAGCTGGCCATTGCTGTAAACCACCAAACGCGGTTCGAAACCAAGCTCCTCCGACAACACACCAACCGCAAGATGCTCTTCTCGTGACATACCTGTAGTATTCACCAGGGCCGTCCATAACGGATTGATGGGAATCTTTCCCAAAGGAGGGAAACCTATCAGTTGTTGCGAGATTCCATCCCATGGAGTTGGTGTATAAGTCACATTGGGGAGGCGTGGCTGCTGAGATACCACCAGAGATGCTGAAGCCAGCAGCAGCCCTATTGTTATCCACCACCCCATTACTCACGACTGAACTGACGAATAAACTTGATGAACGGTCAAAACGAAAGGACCTCCACAGCCTTTCGGTGGTACCAAACTGTAAAGGAGAAAAAGGAAAAAAAAAAACACATTCCAGCAGAGAAGAAGTCACTAAGGAGGAATGAAAGGAGAATTCCCGGAAGCGTCATCCTTGCGTTTCCAATTTGCCTCCCATTGCAAAGCTCGTTTAGAAAGGGGTTTATTTCATTCCAAACACCTTCCACAATCGCGTTGAAAATTATTCAGCACGGAAGCAAGCTGCTTGGGAGGGTTCACTACGAACTTTTGATATCAATGAAATCCTTTTAATTGTCTTTATCGCAATACAACAGTTGGATCTGTGTATCGGTCGAACACGTGGACACCTTTCTTTGGATGCCTAGACGATCGCTCGCGCGTTGACTTTTAGATCCCGTTACAAGCTTCCGTTGCCCACAATTTATCCGTCGCAACTGTCTTTGAATTGTGCATGCATTGCGTGTTTTCTCAGAATTTCGTTTGCCACCAAGTTGCGCAACAACTGGTTTAAGCTTTGGCATTTCCCATGCGAAGGCTACTTCTGCTCACTGTAGCAGCCTTGCTGCAGGTCACAGAGGCCTTATGGAATGGTGCCGTTCCCGTAAATCCCGCCAACTACCCAACAAAGGTAAGTTCAAACTTCGCTTTGCAAGTTTTGCACCCTATGATGACTTCGTTTCTAAGACCTTCATCATTCGATTCTATCTAGGATGCAGTACCGACTGCAAAACCTGAATGGCTGACTCTATATAGTGAGTCAAGTGGTAATCATCTAGTTTTGAAAAATGTGAATGCTCAGCAGAAACTTGAACATAGACTGGACCGCGAAAGGAATAGCATCTGGGCCATTGCAAACGAATCTGGCAAGCATTTCGCACCTTCTCACCCATCTGACCCGTGAAGGAGAACCATCCTTGGAAATCACACAAACTAACCGACTCCGTTATAGACTGGATTCACTCTGGGAATTGATGCTACCAAAGATATTGTCTATTGCCCCAACTCCAAAACAGTCTGGGGAATCACACTGGACGACGGGCCTTCACCGTATACTCCAAAAGTGCTGGACTTTTTGGATTTGATACCAGAGGTCAAGATCACCTTCTTTGTAATTGGTTCGAGGATAATGGAGCATCCCGATGTCCTCGTCCGTGCTTTTAACTCGGGACATCAAATAGGTTGCCATACATGGTAGGATTCACAATTTGAGTGGGTCATTGAAAGGCGGCCTAACTTATTTAAATAGGTCGCATCCGTACCTGGCTTCTTTGACCAATGACCAGATCATAGCGGAAATGATGTGGTGTGATACACTGGTCTATGATATGATAGGAGTACATCCTAGATACAGTGCGTATGATGCTCCTTTTGCGTTGTTTGAACTGCAGTGACTTGAAAGAGAAGAACTGACTACAAAGTGTCTGTATTAGTGCGGCCTCCGTACGGAAATATCGATACCAGGACGCGGGCCGTGCTGAAATTGATGGGATATCAAATTGTCGTATGGTAACACACAAACAATCAAGCAAACAGCAGAGTTTTGTTTGAGCTAGAGAGAAGGTAGTGACGAGATTCCCATAGGTCTCAAGATACCAAAGACTTTCAATCGAGCATACCGTCAAACAATTTCAATGAGCAATGGATTGTCAACAACATGTCGATTTGGGCAACAGAACAAAAAGCAGGCAGTCTAGTGTCAGGGAACAATGTAAGTGAACTCGAAAGTGAAAGCATTCTTGTTCAAGAGTGAATCCCTTCTTGCTTACACTCTTAACCATACTGGCCTCGTTGTAGTCACCAATAACCCTTGAGCACGATCTATTCAATATCTCTGCAGACGCAGCTCCATATGCCATGATGCAGGTTCTATCAAGGGGATTTGACGTGCAGCCTATAGGGACGTGTCTTGGAGACCAACAATGGTATAGCGGAGTCTACTCACCTGCGCCTCCTAAGTATAACTCGACTACTCTACCAACATGGCCACTCGCAGTCATTAATCCATCACCCGTCACGACGTCTGCCGTAACAGCTACAGCAACAGCTACAGCCGCAGCATCAAGCGTCGCCACCAGGACTAGAACATCATCATCTAATATTATCGTATCGATACCTTTTCTTATATCATTCTTTTGCTTGACATCAGCATATTTATTATAATGTAACAGGCGTCCCAGATTCTAATACTAATATCACTACACCCTGACCACTTTTTACTTTTGAAACAGACCTTTTGTCGCTCCCAAATGTGTGACATGCATCCAACTGCCATCAGAATTTAGCAGTAGCCCATTGTTTTGGGGCTTGTGATCGTTCGTTCAACGAGTAGTCTCGTATGACTGCTGCAACTTGCAGTCTGTATTCCTTAAAGAGCCTCTCACGACCAGCTTGTTGAGCATGTGTATGCTCTTCAACTTCCCTCCACTTGGCAACAGAGGCTTCATCTCGCCACATACTGATACTAAGCATCTAAACGAGCGATCAAATTCGAAGGGGTTAGCATGACCTGCGTATTTGATCAAAAGCGTGACAGAACAACAGTGACTCTACAAAAACGAATACCACACAAACAAACAGGGGACTCACCTTTGTAGAGTCAGTCAATGACTGAAACCGTTCAATACTTATAAATCCATCAAAGTTGACCAATTCGAGTCTTAAATTGCCTGCAATGTCCAAATATTCCTTTTTCGATTCTTCGTCCTTTGGCCACACTTGAAAGATGACAGCGACGACCATTGTTCTATATGCAATGAAATGGAGTAGAATTGGGTGTTAGACCTGAGCGAGTGGTCATTCGTAGGTTGAATGTCTAGATCAAGCAAGGAAATTGTACAAGGTTGATTCAGACACAAAAGTGCTGATCCAAGCCTAACCGCGTGCTTACTCTGTTGTCTTTTGGATACGTAGAGATCGAACAGCTCCTTCGAATGTGATTGTTGTTCTTGATGACAAGCAAGGAACTGCGGGTCGTCGCTTTCTTGGTGACACACTCAAAACTCAGAATCACGTCCACTTTGAGAATATAGCGGAGCAATCTGCCGTCTACGATCCGTCTATGAAGTCGCGTCAAAATACATTCACGACCGCTTTTACTTCCAAAAATATATTTACTCTTCAAAACAGAGTCAAGTTTTAACGTTAGTTCTTAGTTCTTTCCAAAGAAACGCCCCATAATCCTTCTATACGTATCAGGGATGCTCTCAGCGTCATGCTGATATAGGAGCATTAGCACACCAGTCGACTAAACATAGCACAGTCAGAAATCACGAAAGCAAGAATAAAACTGTTCTAACCCAAAACTTACCAATGAAAAGTAGATTGCCTCGCCACCAGGTATCGATCTCCACCAATTCCATTCCACACCACATCTAAAGAAACTTTCCAAGGCTCGCGGAAGACAGTACATGGCTAGTTCGAGACGTCGACCCTTTTGGTCAATCAGGACTGTAGTGCCTGCAGCAATTCCATTAACTATATAAATCCAGGGCTTGTCGCCTCCAAAGTAATTCCTTAAACCACAGAGAGATGACCAGCCCAATGTACAGTAGCATGCCAGAAACAGCGCAGATCGTAGTGTTGAGGTCGAAAAGTAATATGCCGTCGTGAGAGGTTTCTTGTATATTGCGGTTGGTCGGAATACCAGTTGTGTAATCTAATGTATATACAATCGAAAGTTAGAGCGTGGTGAATTGTAACGACATTGTAAGAGTTGAAACGTACAATGTTCAGCGGTGCATATAGCTTCATGGCTAATGTAATTAATAGAAAGTCATGTGAGTTGACTTCGAAGTTGCTGTTATCGATCTTTCCGCCTTACCTTGGAAGTACTCGTTAAAGAAGAATTTGAGTGCTGATTCTGTACAGTATGGAGTGCCAGGGTGTTGCAAAGAGCAGATAATATATTCTAGATCCAAAAAGGGTTTCATTAGAAGCCTAACAATGGAAATGGCGAATAAAAGTAATCTTACCATGAGAGTGTACTGTAGGAAGCAATAGGTCTTGCATCAGTTTCAATGGGCCTGGATCAATCCCATCAGGAATGAATTTCTCAATAGACGAGACCACCCCTTCATCATTACAAGATGGAATCCATTTCGTCGTAACAGCTCTAGTTGACCCGTTGATGACAGATGCAATAGCGTCCATATGCTGTGGAGCTTTGGATCCAGACATTTGGCGGATTGACCCGTGTACCAACAAAAAGTTGAAGTACGATTTCTGAAAAAAGAAAAAAAAAAACAAATTAGATTGCGTTTCGATTGGGATATTAGATTGTTGTTGACACTCACTGCTAGAGTATGTGGCATTGCTGTAAAAGCATAAAGAATCTGAGCAGACGAAAGTGACATCACGATGACCGCATTCATGTTTCTGTCAACACAAAAAAAGCCAGTGGTGAGTCAATGAATTGATTCGACAACGATTCTCAACTCTGCATTTACCTCAAAAAGCCCCGCAAATCAAACATCTTGCGTGGTGGCTTGTGACTTGACGCTGTTTTCAATGTGATCTTTTCAGCCAATTCATCTCCACGAGCATTCCTAGGTGGCGTCCTTCCAGACGAACTACCCACAGTACTACTGGGACTCTGTTTATTCGAAGAGACATTCGACCATTCCTCCTCGTCATCCTCATCATCATCAGTTAACTGGAACTTCTGAGATCGTTGTGGTGTAGAATTCGTGGAGTGATTGTTCTTAGGACTACTACTATTATTTACTGGGCGTATACGAGGTACCAGGGATCCGTCTGCACTCGAACGAGTGGGCGATATGGTGTTAGTGGGGCTAGCTATAGATGTAGTAGTTTTCGGTGATAATCTAGCAGCTGCGTTCTCGGCGTGATCAGCCATTGCATTTGCCAATTTGACAAGTTCTCCATCTGATTCGGCATCATCATTGCGTTTGATGCCCCATCGGGCTTCCAAAAAGGTTCTCCAGACCCATCGATAGACGAAATGCAAATTTCTGGTCGAGAGATATAGAGCTATAAAAAAGAGTATCAAAAACGCATGTGCAAACCAAAAACTAACTATTAAGTTACCAATTGCTACACGACGACTCTCGTTGTTATCTAAGAAAATGCTGGTTCCAGCGAGAGTTCCTGCAGCAAAGGAAATTACAGGTGCGTCTGTCTTTGACAAACGTCGGAAAAGGCATAAGAATCCTTTGTAAGAAGAAATGAAGCTGGCAAACCAAAGAGCAAAGCTCCTGGTGTCCTTCCCAGCAGCTTTATACAGAATCTCTAAAGAACGAAGACGATTAATATGGGATTCCAACGATGTTCGACTCGACACGCCACTGAATCTACCTGGACGCTTGAACACCTGTCCACGGATGATGGCCGGCGCGACAGCCAATAAATAGTTTGCAGCATACAGGACAAAGAAAGACCTGACAAATGATCTGACACAGTTTTGAGTACATGTTCCGCTATGACGACAAAACGGGCGTTCTATCGGTCTTGTCTCTTCTAGCTTTTTGAGATTTTGACTGCTATACTGCCGTAATTTATCTCCCAGCTTGCGTAATTCAGAGACAGCCTTTTCAGATTCCTCGTCAGAGATGACATAGCTCATGATCTACAGTGCGACGTGTGCGAGTTGAGATTGCGCATAGATCCATTTCACAATCAAGCAATGCGTTTCATGGACCATCGAACTGTGACGTGTTCGCACGGCCAAAGTGGGTAGTAACGAAGCAAAACCAACCTTGGAGTAGAGCTGAATCAATATCTCCCACGAGTCCCTTGAGCTCGCCATCTTGTTTTGCTATGAATTTTGAACTTGGTAAACTTTTGGGTCAAACGTCAAACATGTGCCGATTTTTCAACAATTGGTTGGAGAGGGTGCGAATTTGAACTTACCAGAGTGATATCAGTATGCAGATGCTCTGAAAGATCGCCACGACCGTGATTCCTTCAACCGTCGGCGCAAACTCCACAAAAGTGTGGCAAGTATGACCTGTTATGAGGTGGGAGTTGAGAGATGGAGAGAGTGGCCCAAGTACATTCACGTTAAGTATAACCGCAAGCACGAGGCAGAAATAGACAAACGCTACGTCGGGATCAACTCACGTAAAATAAAGCATTCCTTTCAGTCAATTCTTGTTGTAGAAAATCGGATCTCTTTACTCTTACAAAGTTACCATCTCAAAGTGTATATTCATCTATGCCATCACATGCTTACGATACTCGATGACACAACCCTTTACATGTCCCTATGTCAATACAAGTTAAACACGCGTCACTTTGTTCCAACAACAATCCCAATAGTAACCCACCAAGCTGCCACAGCACAAGTACTTCGACGAGTCAAAGCCCGACGTGTGTGTCAAGAGAGGGCAGGTGCTCTTCTTGCTCTACACGAGAGCCAGCGTTTTAGTTCCCAATGTTGCGGCATGGCTGGCTGGCCTCGTTTTCAGTCAATAACAGTAAAAGCAAGCCTTACCGTAAAGACAGCGAGAGGCAAGACGCAACGACAATTCATGCATTCTACTTCCTGAGTTGAGGTAGAAGCCTTTTCAAGTTCGGTTTGTAAGAGAGCAACCCTCGATTCCAGCTTAACCAGTTTGTGAGATACAGAGCGAGCTGATTCTAAAACAGTTGAAGCTGGTAAAGTATTGAAAGACGATCCAAAGCGACGTCGATATTCAGTCAGAGTAGTCACCTAATATGGAAAAGTTCACTTTCACATTGTGCCATTATAAACCAATGGTAATAAAACTTACTGGAATGGGTTTGTATGGAGGACGAGGTGTACTCTTGATGATCAAGTCGTGTATGGCCTTCGAATCCACATTTCCTCTAAAGGGGGGTTGAAACTTTCAGAAAATAGTATTCCAAGGCTGAAGTAAGCAATGCTCACCCTTGAGAGTATACAAGACACATTTCGATAATACAAATAAAGTCTGAAGATGAAGCAGCCATAACAGAAGCACAGAATCCTCGCAAGTGGTCAATTCCAAAACGTGAGTGGTGAAACCATTCGCTCTTTTGCTGAATGACGCTTAAGCGAGCTCGAGGAAACTCTGCGATACAAGCATGAATCACAGGTTGCAAGTCTGGTAATTGTAGGTAATTAGGCGTACATTTTTTTCGGTATGCGAACAAATCACGATTGTCTTTCATATTACTTACCAAAGAATAAAGCATTGGCAAAAATTTCCATAATGTTGTCTGCAGTATACCATCGAGCTTCCATAGTGTTGCAATATATATATCGCAATGCCTCAAGGAATAGTCGAGAACTAGGTACATTCACCTAAGCGATGTAAATCGTGAGTTGGAGCTCGTACGAGTCATTGGATCAGTCCTTCGGGTCACGGAAAAGTAACTCGGTGTGAGATAGACAGCTGGCACAAAACAAAAGTTTCAACATACCTCAATCGTAGTAACACCTGGCTCTTTACGTTGAGCAAACCATGGAGTATGGCAGACATATGACCAGTGAGCATAGAATGTCATGATTCTCTCGTCGGCCTTTACGTGAAGCAACACGTCAGCATGAAGTGGAGAGTTTAAATACTTGTCAGCATTTCCAGGGCTTGGATCGTAAGCTTGGATTGGTTCTAGCACGGGAACTTCTGAAGTCGTTGATGGCAACAGCATGAGGTTGGCCTTTTTCAACTTGGGAGCGAGCTTGGAGATCAGTACTCGAATGTCGTCGTCATCAGAGCTTCCACGCGATGAAGGAGGTGCCATTCCTCGTTGCATGTTAGAGGTTATCGTTGGTGTGGTGTTTGGAGTTGAAAAGCTTGAAATAAAGGTTCAAATGCGAGTAGCTTTTTTGCGCAATTGTGTGTTGCGACACCGTGCAGTTCCTCGAGGTTGTTTGATGACAGCTTGGACACAGATTAACGAGGCACAAAAGCACAAAGCAGATTATATTGACAATTCTTCGGTTCAAATACTAGCTGTCAGAATCTCAACCCAATTCATAGATCTCTACAAAACCACAGATCAATTTCTTGACTTGAAGCTCAACATCATGAAGCGGAAACAAGAAGCCGACGATGAGGAGGACCAAGATAAAGTGGATAATGAAGGAGAAGAGTCCACCCATAATGGCCATAATGAAGAAAGCAACGAAAATAAAACACAACAATACGACGAAGACGAGGAAGAGGATGATGAAGAAGAGGAGGAAGAGGATTCCAGCCTAGAAGTACAGAGGCAAGCTGCTGCCGCATTGCAGGTATGTTACATAAACGCCCTTGCTAGTGGGTGTTTACATTTCATCAGTTCCAGTTAGCAGCTTCAGACATGTTTGAACTTACAAAACGCTCCTCCTTTGTTTGATATTCAGGCTTATTATAACTCGCCAGAATATAAAATCTGGTATGACCAGTATCAAGCATGGCAAGCATCATCTGCAAATGCCGGATCGAATCAACACAACCAGCAACAGACTCCACAAGAACAGCAAGTAGCCAGTGCAAACTACGCATATCAACAGCAGCAGCAACAGCAGCAACGTGTAGAAGAGCCTGCACCGGATAATACTTTAATGTTGGATTCAATACTGGACAAGATTGACTCCAGAGTCAAGACGACCTTGGATGCTACTGTGGGTGTTTCTCGAACTTCATCTTCAGATCATCAGATATATGCAGCTGGTACCGAACAAGGTAGTCATCTTGAGATGTCGGGAGTTCTTTAGTTGGGGGGTTTTTTGAGAGGGGATTAGATTTCTCACTCACTCGTCCATTTTTTTGGATACAGAAGAGCCGAATACACGCCCAGATGATATGCCCGCTCCAGAATCATATGCCCCCGCAACATATGCGCCAGCTCCACTATCTTCTGCTGTTGGTATGTTTCTTTCCTGGGATTTTGAACTAAGCAATGCAAAACGCTGACCACTTTCACACAGATTACTCTCAAGTCGCTCACTTCAACACAAAAACGGGTCGTTTCACTCCATCGAACTCGAATGCTCAATCTCATGATCACCTATCCAAAGGTGAAAGACAGATGAATGTCTTCTTTGATGTAAATACCTACCAGGACGGCAAGAGTAAAAAGGAGACAAAGAAACTGAGTAAACAGGAGTTAGAACAGGTCAAGGAGAGAGAGAAAGCGAAGAAGAAAGCGAAATTAATTGGAAGATATGCTGACGATTAAAAGAAGCACTGTAAAACACTGCATTTTTGCATCCGTAATAAATCTCAATATTCTTCTTGCAAATGATCCATGGTATTGTGACTGTACGACAGGGAACTCCACTACGGCTCATACTCACGCATTGTACTTGATTTCGCATGGACATTGGTTCAGCCAACCAAGAAGCGATGGAGCGTGCGATAACTTTCACCAGTTACGCGCAGCTACCCACTTCATACCTTTGGACACCATCTTGTTTAGGGTGGCATTGTCAATCCTATTATCTTTATAAAACGTATAGAAATTAGTAGTGGACTAGTCAGCAATTATCACAAAACCTTACCAGATTGCTTCCATGGTGTGGAATGTCGTAAGCCGTGCCAGGAGAACATATAAGTGACTTGTAGCCAATAGCTTTGTGAACACATTTCTTTGGATTGGTAATACTACGGGGTTGTATTTGGCAAATCACAAGTTTTTTCTTGGCGAATGTATATAGTACAATAGGGGTTGGGGTGACTTATGGTGATATGACGTGCGTTGCGTGTGTCCCTCAGGTTCTGCAAGCTTTATCAAAGACGTTCTATGTATGAAGAGGGTAACAGTCCACAGTCCATAAGTTTGGCAATGACGGATATATTTTCTGTAGCTGATTGAGTGGTTGTTGACGTAGTGGTCGTAGCAGATTGAGTATTCTTCAACATTTGACACCTAATACCAGTAATCCACCCATCTCCATACGTGCTCTGATACTCTACATACTGCTTGACGTGTTCGGAAAAGTCGGATTCTTGTGGATCGGTCTTTACAATGATGTTGGTAGTGGTATTGGTAGCAGCCCCTTGACTATTATTATTACTATCCGGTATATATGCAACAATTAATTCCTCTCCTTCCTTCACACTAGATTCCCATTCCGTAACTCGATCAAAGTCAAACACACCCCTCGCACGATAGAATTGCAAACCTGGTGATGATGCAGATGCCAAGGATTTAGCTAATGCCGGCAATATAAGATGCAAATCGACACCCGTTTCGTTGGTATTGGCTGATGGTGGTGGTGTAGTATCGTCAATATCGGTATCATCGTCGTCGTGATCATGGTCTTCATCCTGTTCGTTGATTGTTCCTTGTTTGGTAATTGGACGACCTACATGCCTTGGATCAGATAGTGGGTATGCGAAATCACGGATTTTTAGAGTAGGTATTATTGTTGGTGTTGCGATTGTTTGTAGGCTTCCTATTGTAGAGAATCGTATTTGGCGAAAGAGTACGCAAGGAGAGACGGAAGATAGAGAGCAAGCGTTTCATACCTTGTACAGATTTCGGTCTTTGAGAATTGGGCCCGTGAAATGATTTGGGTCTCTTTAACCATCAAAAATTGAAATGTCAGAACTCTGACAAAATGTCGTTGGGAGAATGCCAAAGACGGGAGGAGGAGTAGAATACGTGTAGGGCGTTACATCATCAAATGAACGACATGCTAGCTAGACTTACTTCTGGAGAGGCGTTTTTCCTAGGCCTGAGACTGAGACTGTCTGTCGATGCTATTCAAATGAAGCAATATTAACAAACGATCCCGCTTGAAATCAGAGTATCAAGATACTCACTCATTTCAGTATCCTTGTCCATTCTCCGCCTCGCTCCTTGGACAATCTTGCAAGATCGAAGTTTTCAACTCTTGTTACAACTGTGGTCAACGGCGCAATGGGAACCCTACGCGAATTGAACACAAGAATGCACAGAATGAACTTACAAACGGCACCAGAATTGAAGTACGCAACCAAATAGATAAATCCAATACAATCGAAAGACCATGGATCCATGCGTTACGTTATATATTCCTTTGCTCCTTTGAAAATACCAATTACAACCAAATGCTACATCTGCTGTTTTATGACAAGTGGAAACACCCTGCACCTTCCCTTATAGCTACTCCCAACCTCTCCTTCATTATTTGCATTGAAGAATATGGTGGAATCTTCAAATAATTTGTACAAGTCATGACACTAGGTAAGTCCTCATCTGGACGTCTGCCATCTCGACGAACCACCGTCAGTGGTGGATTGAGTACTTTGAATCCTCCAAATGGTAGTTTGGGTGCTCCACTCACAAATTGAAGGAATTCTCGTCGTCGTCCTTTATCATAATCCGAGAGTATGTTCACCAACCATTCTACCTGCTGTGATGTCGACGAATATCCATGATCTGCTTTGATGGCATCTGCAATGGTATTGGGCGACCAGTCTTCTTCAGCCGATCCACCAGTCATGACACTCAACTCTTGGACTGTAAACGACTTTAGATCCGAGATGGGGAATACGAGATTAAAACCTTGACGGAAGGCATTGACTTGCTTCATAATGCCTTCTGATATAGTCATTTCGGTAACCCGATCAATATACAAGTCCAAGTTGTCGAGAGTGACTGGAACGTTGGTTCCATCATCTACCAATTCGATATCGGGATATCCTGGCAGAGTAAAATCTAAAGACAGGTCTTCTATCGATGCGTCTTGCATCTTTATATCTTTTATACGTCGTTGCTTTTCTTCACTGCTGAGATTCGTTTGATTTTCAATCATCTTCTTCATAGTCACACACTGCCTCAACTTTAAGAGTGATGCGTGTAGAGATGGATCAACATGTTTAATGGAATGAAGCAATGGTCCACGAGTACTTGGATCTGATACGCCATTCATGACCACCAGTTCAATAAAGAGAGGACTGAATGGCAAATCAATGATACGAGAGTCCAATAGAGCTTTTGCGACAAAGGTGCCCAAGTGCAAAAACAGGTTCAATACTCTCCTACACAATGTTAGAAAGTAAATAAAAATTGCCAGGTGCTCCAGAAGTGCATGGAAACTAAAGAAGAACGAATATGCGAAATAGAATTGACTAGCGTTTACTTACTCTCCTGCTTCTGATTCGGCTTGTTCCTGTGTCATTGGGGCTGGGAAGAGACCGAGTGGAGAGTTGACTACTTCATCGTGCATTGCTGGTTCCTCTGGTTTGGCATCAACTGCAACCATCTCAACGTCGTCACTATCTTTACTGCTTGGAGGTTTGCCTTTTCCTTTACTACTCTTACTTTTACTCTTGGTAGGCGAAGGCTTCTTGGCAGCACGTGTAGCTCCCATTCCTCCATCATCTCTCCATACACGATATGCGCCACTGGGTTTGATTAGATCTTGACTGGCTTTAGTTGACAATACTGAAGACGATGTTCGTTTACTTTTACTTTTAGATACAGCTCCAATGGCCACTCCACTTCGTAGACGTACTTCACGACATACTGTGGAATAGAATTCCAAAGTAGGACCCAGACCTGTACCGACTTCATCTTGATATTCAATTTCCAATAAAGACTGAGTACTACCCCACGATTCCATGATTTTGATCATCGTATCTAATAATCGCGCTCGAGGAATACGGACTTTTTGACGCGACATACGACCAAGTAGTTGTGGTTGCTCAGCACGACGAGACCCAGAAGCAGCTGATTGCTGTTGTTGAGCATTTTGCCAGCGATTCATCGATCTCGAATACCCAAATGATGTTGATTGCAAATATATGAGGCGTGTTTCGAAGGGCACCAAGAAGGAGAAGTCACGAGCTACAGCTGTACACCAATCTGGAAGTACGTGACCTGCAACAATCAGAGGCTCATCCAATTGTCGATTGAGTTTGGCCGTTAGTTTAGAGCTATTAAAGGCCTTCAGCGGTAGAGGTGCAATCGTTATCGGTGTCGTGTCATGAGGTACATGGACTACTGCTTGAGGAGGTTTACGTAAGACCGAGTCTTCAGCGGCGGCTGCAGCAGCTTCGACACTATCTAATTCTACAGCTGTGGAATCACTTTCATCTTCAGAGTAGATATCATGCCAAGACGTATTCAACCCATATAAGAGTCGAAGTAGATGCATGAGTTTACCAGCTATCGAGTCTTTGGCTACACCCGTTGGTGCATCAGTCTCGTACGGCAGTCGTACTTTAAGTTTGTGAGCATTGTCAGTTCCCTCTACTTCATCGTTACTCTTCTCTCCATCATCTAATTTATCAGCACTCAATGATGCTTCATTGATGGGCACCTTTCTATACTTGATGGAGCATATTTGACTAAATACATTGATTTGAGAAGCTGATTGACCTGATGCAATACGCTTTGACCGTTCACTGCTATACAGTGCACCGAATATGGTTGACGACGTGGGCACAACTGTATCATCAATGATAAATTGCACCTTGAAACTATTTTGACCAGCAGCGGCTACACTGGCATAAGACATGGAAGCCGTGGAAGACGAAGCTGTTGCTTTCTGTGTAGTTTGACTGGTACTTACAGATTTGTCCTCAACAGCATCGGTTGTGGTTGCTGATGATGGTGGTTGTGGAGGTGTATTGGCAGAGTCAGTTGCAGGGTTCTGACTGGGTGGTTGAGATTCCGTTGTAGGAGACGAGGCTGGAGGATCTAGTCTCAAATCTACTACACTTGTTCGACGATGGGTCGAGGAACCACTAGGTGGCGTACTAGTTTCATTTTGACCACGATGAAGACGTTGCATCTCTTCAGTATGCAGAAGCAAGTCACTGAGAGTACTACCAGTTTGCTATGAAATCAAAAGCGATAAGCTTTACTGTGGATTCTTTGCTGCGTTTTCGAAAAGAAAACAACCACAAAGCTTACATCGTCCATCATATCATCGTCATCGCCATCATCGTGATATTCATCATCCATATCATGATCCTCATCATGCTCTCCTATTGCAATTTGTTCTCGAATGGCCACGTCATCCTCCTTATGATCCGGCATATCTTCATCATCACCAACGTCTCTTTCATTTGTTACGGGTGTAGCTTCTGTAGTAGTCTTTTGAACTACTACAGGAGCATCAGCCACAGTATCAGTATCGTTGGGCTGTGGTTTCTCAACATCATCACCACTATTCGTTGGGTTGCCTGCTGTGGTTGAGGCATCAGCAACCTTTTCGGTAGATGCTGTTCCTCCAGCTTCGGTACTAGTAGAGGTACTTGTTGTAGCAGGGTTCTCCACAGTTTCAGCAGGAGGCATATGAGCTATCTTTGGCTTCAAGAAATCCTCTATAGATTGAAAGGCAGCTACAGCATGGACACTAACAAGTAGAGCTCGATACTGTGCTGGCACTGTAGTTGGGTCTTCAGCAATAAGCTTGATTCGTAATTGTCGAGCTAATTGCAATGATGGGTTTTGTGCTTCTCGTGGACCCATTCCATAAGAGCCACTCAGTAAACCATATAAGCCACTACCTCCATCATATCCTGTATACGCAGACGCTGAAGCTGGTGTGCCAGTAGATATTTCGAATCGTTCAGCTCGAGCCAATGACTCTTGCAGACGTTGGACGAGACGCCTAAAAGCGTTTGGCACAAAATAGTTTCCATGTCTTGGATCTGGTGTGGGTCCATTCATAAAGACATGTAAGAAGGCTCGAAGACGCAGCATTATACCAGATTGATATACTGCATTGCCTTCAGAATCTTCTGGTGCTGGAGGCTCAACCAAATCACAAGGAGCTGGAGTTGACAAATACTCTGAGATGGCATCTATAATTCCAGACTCGAGTATCTCAAATCCAGTGATACCAACACCTTCTACAGTGCTCTGAGTAGCAAAGTGTTGAGCAACTTTGTTGAGAGTCGATAATGCCAATCCTCCAGGCTCTGAGTCTCCTTCAGGAGCAGACAGAGCTTTTAATTCAGAGCCTAGTCGTCTCAACTCATCAAGGACTTGATCCTTCCTTTTGAGCCCAGCACCATCTAATCGAGATTCAGCTACAATTTTACGACACATCCACACAATCCACTCTTGAATGTCTGCCTCAGATACTGACTCTTCATTAAGGACCTTTACAGCTGGAAGTGGTGAAGGCGACGATCCATCGCCTTCACTGCGGATGATTCGTTCAAGAGTTTGAAGATATTGCTGCTCTTGCATAGCTGGATCCGGAGTTGGTGATGCAGATGTAGCTGTAGCTGTTTTGTCCGCACCCGTGGATTTGGTCTTTTCCAGTTTGGCTTCAGAACTACTCGTAGAAGCAGTAGTCTCTTCAGTAACTACAGGAGCTTTACCCTTTTCGGCTTTACTACTGGTTGACGTTGATCCTTCTTCAGGCACTGCTGGCTTACTACTGGAATCGGCAGAGGCACTTGCTTCTCCTGCTTCGTTTATGTGCAATGCCGGTTTTGGTTTTGGTGTGGATTCTTCGTCATCACCACCATTACCACCTGTAATTTCAACTTCTTCACCATCATCTTCAGCATCTTCTAATGCTTCAGCTAATGATCTGAGACGTCGTAACTTCTCACTAGTGTTGGCATTATTCATAGATGGACCATTCTCGCTACCAAACAATGCCGTCAACAATCCACCCAGCCGACTGCGATTACGCATTTGCTTAAAGTAAGGTACCAAGTCGTTCATACTATTGGATGCAGCTAGTTTGGCAGGTGACATGGGTATGGAAGGTCGATCTCCCAATTCTACAACCCGCTCCATTTCAGACAAGACTCCTTCTCTAGCAAATATAGATCCCAAACGATCACCACATTTGGTAGTGACTGTTTGAGCTATCTGTATACCAGCACTGACTAATATCAAGGCATCACGGCGGTCTTGTGTTGGGACAGTAGAATCTGGAGCTAGAGCAATTTCTTTTACGGCAATCAAGTCAGATACAAACTTGCCAAATGACTTGCACTTGGACAAGGCATTGGCAAGAATGTCTGCATCGCTTGAGTGTGCTACAGCTTTAGCGACACATTCCACTGCTTTTCGTCGTACATCAGAATTGGCGCTAGCATTGAATACCTAGTGAAATGCTCTTTCATGTGAGTTGAAGAACGAGAATGTGCGACGATTACACAACTACGTCAAGTTACCTCAATGAGAATTGGCATCAACTCTGATGTGTATGCCATCAGCATTTCTGGATTCTCTTTGAGCATAACGACACGACGTTTATATTTGGCAGCAACACTGACAGCAGCAGATGCGGCAGCAGAAGCAGCTGCTTCTCTACCCCTGGCTAATTTTGATGGAGATGCCGATGTGGGTGTTTGTACGGGTGCTGGCGCCGTTTCTGTTTCAACTTTATTGCTCTCAGATTCGGGCACTCGTGTCGTCCATATTCCATCAGATGGCAGTTTGGGTAGCAACTCAGATGCCAAAGTCAATATATCAACCAATGACTCTGATGAGCGAGATTGACAAGCTGATGCTACTACAGTCGCCAACTCTTCTAAATCCCATACACCATTTTCATTCTGAGTGAGGACTGCACCACCAGTCAGAATTCCTTTCAATACTTCTGGAAAACCTAAATCTACCAGTAGATTACGAGACATACTAGGTAACCCCTTGGCAACACCAGTAAACATCTTGAGTATATGTGAGAAAATGGCTGGATTGGTGAATGCTAGAGATGGAGCATTGCCAGGTGTAGCAGGAGTAATCAACTTAAGCGAATTTACCAAGAGTGCATCACCAGCTACTCCCAATACTCGATCACCAACTGTCTCCCATTGAGCAGCCCATTGTACTATATGTGATGTTGCTCGTACTATATTTTCGGCTACCTTGGCATCGTGATGATTGATTAACGCGGGTAGATATGGTACAGCCAACTCGATCATATTCAAGGTATGAGGGACCGCAGCTGGTGGTACTGGAGCTCGACTAATGGGTAGACGGGTACATGCATATGATACAGCAGCCGAGCCAATACGTTGATAGTGTGTACTATAGAATTCTAGCTTGTTCAAGCAGGATTCTAATGCACCAGCCTTGATAACAGCTTCACTATAGTCTCTAGCAATCCTTTCAATTACAGCAAGAGCATTCTCTGCAATATCTCGATGCTCTTGACGTGTTATAGATAGACAGTGCTCTACTAGGACCGTAATGCCGTCATTGGCGATGAGGTGGAGGGCTGATGGGGGATTGACATCGAGAAGGTTTGTCAAACACCTGAGACACAAGACTCGAATTGGACCAGAATGAGTCGGATCTAGCTCTTCTAAAAAGTCTTGAGCTGCATCACCTAATTCACTGATGAACAGAGCAATGCTTTCATCCAACTCTGGCATTGGCAGCTGTAAGATTTCAAGCCAAGCACGAATAAAGTCATCAATACTGAAGCCAGCCATTGTTCGCGGGAAGTCCCCCTCTAAATGGATGAGATAACAGAATTAAGGCATGGACGAAAAATAGACACAACTAACTCTCGAAAACTCAAAGTACCTTGAGTCATTGCAAGCAGATTGGCAATCTCTTGTAATGCTCGTTCCTGTCTATCTGGTTCTCCTGATTTGATGCTTTCTAGAGTTTCGCGCCAACGAGGACTCAGAGACGCTCGTGACATTCCACTCAAAATATCATAGTTTCGTAATGCATTGGTAGCTGCTGCAGCAATACTAGTACCCGTTGAAGGAATTGCTGAGCTTCCTGCTGAATGAGGTGGTCGTGGCATATCGTGCATTCCATAGTCGTCATCGTCTTCATCGTCATCTTCGTCTTCATCCATACGATCTATATGAGGTTGATCTGGATTTGTTTCGGTAGCTGGCGGAGTTGGATTTGATGTTGAGGTAGCTGGTGGTTTATCTTTAGTGTCTCCTCCGTGTGTTGGGGGTGCTGGAGGTTTCAACTCATTGGACGAAGTGGCAGGTGATTCTGGTTCCTCCACAGGAACAGGGTCAGGATCACCTTGCCTTGATCGAGTCTTGCGAATAACTGGTGCATCACTACTATTTTTACTGGGAGACGATGATGGAGCATCTTGATCTTTGGCTTTGCGTTCCTTTCTACTGGTGCGATTACGACTCTTATTCCTTCTAGCCCCTGAATCTACTAGAAGTGTTTCATCGTCTACCATTGAACTGAAGACGGATGCATCTTCCTCGTCTTGTTCTACGTCAGGAATTGATTTCTTTGATTTACCTTTCTCCTTAGCCATAGGTGAGGGCACTGGAGGAGTGTTTGCAGTACTGGTGGTGGTACGACCAGTTGTATATGTTGATGATATATTTGAGGCAGCTACTACGGCAGCTTGACGCTTTCGTCTAGGCGATGCGTCGATAGACGACTTGGGTTCTTCGGCTAGTTCCAGTGATTGCGCGACGTCGCCTACAGAGCGCTTGCGTTTCGATGATTCTGTTCGATTAGTAGAAGGAGAAACTGGTACTGAGCGTGCTCTAAATGTATGTTATGGATGAGTACTTTGAACGATCATAGTTTCGGCAAGCAACTTGGAGACTGTGCAAAGAGCAAATATTACCTTTTTGGATAACGTGACGATGACGATGGAGATTCCAATGGAGACGGTGGATCTACGGCTTTACGCTTCTTACTGCTGGAGAAGAATAGGATGTGTTAGATTGTGAACGTGGCGAGAAGGTGAAACAGGTGATAAGTTGAAGCGTACGATGGAGAAGGAGTAGGAGAAGTGGTTGCTGATAATGATTGTATTGTTTCAGAGTCGGCGACGTGTTTCGTGCTAATGTGAAAGTTGATGAGACTGCAAGATTGAAACAAATGCTTGATGTGCTTGACATGCAGGACGTTTGGATTTTGGTACTTACGACGAACGTGACGTCCTAGGGGAAGATTGGTCCTCGGCAACAGCAGAAAGAGCTTTCGTCTTTTTGTCCATTAATTATTACAGAGAATCCATTCAAACTTGCACAGATTCGACCTGTTCAAGTTTTGATTGCTTGGCTGCTCTTTGGACGCTATGTGAGGTCATACAATAGTAAGAATTTGCATGCTTGTGAGCTCGTTGCTTGCCGTGAACGGACTGTATGGAGCATACCTTTCTTCCGATAACTGCTCCTGTTGGGGTCTTGGTGAATTTGGAGATTTGGAGTCAATGCTGCAGCGTACGCACATGCGAGGACAATCAAATATTCAAATATGCTGAAGACGAGGGATCTTGATGTCTGAGACTTTCAGGTAAGTACATATCAACGGTTCATCGCCAGGAACTAAGTCGATCTGAAAATTTCAAGGCTTTTTTCGTGCTTTAGAAGGAACGTGTTTTACGTGACATATACACTGACAAATGAACTCTATCGCATGATATAACTTTTGGGACTATTCTTTCTGTAGTCCAGTTTTGGGTGTGGTGATTCAACACTTCCAAAACTCCCAAAGTGTTTTCGAGACTGACAAGAAAACAACCATGGAAAGAATCGCAGCTATCTCAAATCAGTTGGCAGGCAAGAGAATTTGGTTTCTGTATTGGTGTGGTTTGCTCCAGCTCGCTGATGTGATGACGTTTTCGTTTGTAGCCAACAAGTCCATTTTGGACAAGAATCCTGATGATGTGGTGATTGTGGACGCCGTAAGGACGCCTATCGCCAAAGCAAATCGTGGAGGCTACAAAGACATGCTCGCCGAAGAATTGTTGGCTGTCGTGTTGAAGGTGAGGGCTTGTGTCCATTGTCACATTTTGACTCTGAAGCTGACCATCGATAACACAACTAGGCTTTGTTGGACCGCAATCCAAAACTGAGCCCCACTCTCATCGAGGATATTCAAGTGGGATCCGTTACTGGAGAGTTGGGAGGAAGTAAGTATTTTGAACAGCTTGAGGATCTCGTCAGATGTGTGTCCAAACCAACCTTTTACGTTGCCAGGCCATAAAGCCAATCGAATGGCACAGATTACTGCTGGAGTTCCATGGGTGAATGATTCTTCTTATGCAAAAAACGTGTCAGAAGAAAATGAAACTAATCTTCGAAATAATTTAATTGATTCAGACCGCCTCTATGGCCACAACCAACAGACAATGTGCCTCAGGCCTACAAGCCTGTCAAAACATTGCAGCAGAGATTCGCTCTGGTCAGATCGAAATTGGTGAGCTCTTACTGGAATTGCGCTGGATTTTGCAAAACTAGAGTCCCTGAACATACCCGCAATCCTAGGTATTGGTGCTGGTGCTGAGTCAATGACCATCGGATATAAGAATAGAAACATGCCTACCGTTGTGTCTCCTGCTTTAAATCAACACCCGGTAGCAAAGGAAATGTTGATGCCCATGGGCCTTACTAGTGAGAATGTGGCAAAGGAATATGGTGTGACCAGAAGAGAGCAGGATATTTATGCCGAAAGGTCCAACAGGCTTGCGGCAAAAGCTCAAGCTGAGGGTTGGTTTGATGAAGAAATCGTCCCAGTCACAGCTTCAATCAAGGACAAGGATGGAAAACAAAAGGCTCTGGTTGTATCAAAGGATGAAGGTGTACGTGGGGATACTACGCTCGAGAGTCTGTCGAAGTTAAAGCCATCCTTTACAAAAGATGGAACAACCACTGGTACGTTGTTGTACTTCCACACCTAAGGCAGGATCCAAATCGTTGAACTTTTCAACCATGCCTGTAGCCGGAAATGCTTCGCAACTATCTGACGGAGCTGCCGCAGTTTTGATGATGAAGAGATCAACGGCCGAACGTCTTGGCCTACAGATCAAGGGCAAATTCATTGCTTATGCATTCGCATCGGTCCCACCACGAGTAATGGGAATAGGTCCAGCATTCGCCGTACCAAAAGCTCTATCTCTAGCTGGTATTTCAATCAAGGATGTCGACATTTTCGAAATCAATGAAGCTTTCGCTTCTCAACTCGCCTATTGTGCTCGAGAATTGGGCATTCCACAGGAAAAAGTCAATCCTTCAGGTACAGGCTTTGCTTGGATTAATGTCTTGCTACATATCATTTACATCCTACTCATGAGAGCACAACAACCGCGTCATTAACTTGCATCTCACTTACTCAGGTGGTGCCATCGCTCTTGGGCACCCAGTAGGCATGACAGGAGCGAGACAGATCGCAACTTTGCTTGGAGGTCTCAAGCGAAGCGGTGGTAAAATCGGAGTAACAACTATGTGCGCTGGCACAGGTATTGACCCTGTTCTGTTCTGAAACTCGAGATCATCCAATTTTCTAACATCTAATCTTCAAGGAATGGGAGCTGCTTCTGTCATCGTTCGAGAATAGATCGTAAATGTTGTTTCTTGACGCGGTTTCCGACCGTGGGTTTACAATACACAATATTTTGTGTTCCAACCCCAGTATTTTTTTTGTGCTTTTGTGACAAAGGCCGTTTGAACAAGACAAGACAAGTACCAACCAGATGGCATTCGGATGGACTCGTAGAGAACTAAAACACAAGTTCCTGCTGCTTTTACTCCTAGTTTGTTGGGGGTTTGCGGCACTGCAGTTGTGGTTACATATGCTGACATTGGGATCTGAGACACAAACAATGTCTCGCCCAAAAGCAGCAATACTAATACTAGCCCGGAATTCTGACCTATCTGACCTTGAGCGTACGCTCGTGCAATTCGAGGTAAAGTCCAACATTTGCTCGTACATTTTTTGACCAGTTGCTCACATTACAGCGATTGAATAGGACGTCTTCAACAAGCAGTTCCAATACCCTTACGTGATGTTGAAGTAAGCGAATTACTATGTTGTAGCCCATAACTTCATCCGATCTCATTTTCAACTTCGAAATCCAGCAATGTACCATTTACTCGAACATTCAAGGACAGCATAAGTCGATTGACACATGCTAGCATAGTTTGGGGACTTGCAACGGAGGGTCTACTTGATGCTTTCCAGTATCCCAAGCACGTAGATACTGCAGTGAGTACTCATAAATGCTTTTGTGACCCACATATTTTTACTGACTCAGTCTGCCACTGCAGATCGCTGACTTAAGTAGATCGCAAATGTCTCAAGTCAAATATGGAACCTCTGTGGCGTACAGGCACATGTGCAGATGGTACTCTCCTTAAATTCGAGCAAACACACGAAATGTGTTGCGATCGCGCATGGATGAGATCGGATCTCACGCATCAAGCACGATATTCGCAGGTTTTCTGGTCTGTTTGTTATGCATCCGCTCCTAAGTGGGTATGAATTCTATTGGCGCGTAGAGCCGGGCGTCGATTTCTATTGCAAAATCAACTACGACGTCTTTCAATGGATGGAGGACAACAACAAGTCATATGGATTCGTGATTTCTCTGCTAGAGTTGCCTAAAACAGTCACGTCCCTATGGCCCATAACTCGAGAGTATTTGAAACAACGACGAATCACAAATTCCACTCTCTTGAACTTCTTCTTAAATGACTATGGGAATTACAATCTCTGCCATTTCTGGTCTAATTTTGAGATCGCACGTTTTAGTATATGGAGAGGTGAGCGTGGTTCAGTGGAAGTGTTTGGTAGCTTGATAGTCGTTGAGGTTATACTGACCCACAGTTAGCAACACAGATCCAGCATATCTTGACTACTTCACCTATCTCGATCGATGGGATGGATTTTACCTTGAGAGGTCGGTATTGTAACTCGAGAGGTTAACTCGAGAATTCAACAATGTTTCCCCCAAGTAGATGGGGCGATGCTCCGGTTCACTCTCTCTGGGTTGGGATTCGCCTCAACAAGTCTCAAGTGCACTTCTTCCATGGTAAGAGAGCTGTTTGAAATCGACGAAAAGAAGGCGTATTTGACCTGGTTCTCGCTAGATATTGGATATCGTCACGACACCATTTCACGATGCGTGAATGATGGATCACGTTGCAAATGTCCCAAGTCTGCTATAAATTTTGATTTCCATAAGGATAGTTGCCTTGCTCGATGGCTTGAATATAAATAACCTTGGTCGGTTGTATCTACTTTGCAAATAAACGATGCTGATGGTATTGGATGGACTCGTGACTCAAGAATCCTTCTTTAAATTTTAATTATCTGTGAAATTTTGATATACCCTGTGGGTGAAAACGCGTGCCTGTCGTGTCCAAACATTGCAACATTAAAATATCCATATTAGCCAACCATTAAAATCAGAGTCTTCGATCAAACAGCCCAATAAGATGGCTGATAAGAAGGCCAAGATGGAGGCGCTTGCAGCGAAGGCCAAATCCAAGTTTGCCCTATGATTTCAAATTCATCTAATTGCTCGATTCTAATTGGGTTTTCCCAAACTTTATCAGAAACCCACCTCCTCCCGAGACAAAGAAGAGTGCTCCAAAATCAGCTGCATCTGAATCGAGTGCCTCAAAGCGTGAAGGTTTGTTGTTTGTCTCTTACACGCATTGCATCCAACATTTGAATTTGTTGTGATTGATTTTTCCTTTTTCACGTTATATAGCTGAAGTGAGTGCCTGAACGTGTCTTTTTGATGAGATTTTCCTTTTATTTACGTGGATTTTGAATTAATGGGATCTTGCTTGCACCACCACTCTTGGAATGGTCGCCGTCGTTGTTGTTTGATTTACAGAAACTTGATCAACGCGCAGTTTGATAGTCATGCTACTCACAATCATTTCTAATATCAACATTATTTCTATTCTAGTTAGAAAAACGTGAGAAAATGTTGTCATCCCAACGGAATCTGGATGAGTACGACGATGATGATGGTTTCTTAGTTGGTCAGTTCCGTGTGAGTTTCATTAATTTCTTCGCCGATCGCATTTAAATTTCTCCTCTTGAAAACCTAGATGACGACGAAGTTGATGGTCCTGGAACTGACGATGATTCAGAAGAGGAGGAAGAGGAAGGTGAGATTATCTTCTGTGTTTCTGCGGTTATTTTATCGCAGTTTTGCAAATGAATGAGGAGGCCAGTACTCTTCCTCCTAATATCTTTGTGATCGACGGGCAGCTTGATGGAATGCCTCGTTCGAACAGACACTTTGTAGTTTGATGATCATGCTTCTCACAACCCACACTCCCTACTTCATATAGAGACCAGCAAGAAGCGTAAAAAGTCATCTTCCAAGTCATCAAAAGACAAATCAAAGGATAAATCAAAAGACAAATCCAAAGACAAATCAAAGGACAAGACTGCAATGAAGAAAAAGAAGAAGGCAAAGCACAGTGACTCGGACTCGGATGCATCTGCCAAACTTGAAGAGTCTGAAGACGATGCAGTCGAAGACGACTTTGGCACGATCGATAAGAGCGCCATTATTTCTGAAGGAAGACGTAGCACCAGGGGAAAGAAATTAGATTATACTCAAGTGCGTGCTTTTGGTTTTTTCGCTCCCGTTTCCTCAACGCTAATCTCAAAGCACGTCCTTTTTTGCAGTTTGGCCCTGATGGTGATGATGAGGACGATTGATTTGTTGGACAAACGGACACTTACAGTAGTCTCAAATAGCTTTTCGTCCAAAATTTGTACAAAATCGAATATGTATTCAGTAAACCCGAAATCAAGACGCCATCATACACAGTGTGTGTGCAAGTTTAACTTTGGAAGAGAGAATCCTACAAGTAAAACAAATGAGGATGGTTCCTTTAAGTCTTCACTGTCTTATCATCTCAGCTTTGGTTGTTTCTGGGAGAAGGGGAGAAAAGGGAGAGAGCAATGTCGACGGTTTTGGATGTGGTAGGCCCTCTGTATTTCTAAAGCAGGCTTGGAACTGGCTATGGCCACATCGCCTACAAGGACAAATGAGTAAGTAACAGCTGAAGTGTTGAAAGTCAAAGTCTGCAATCAAATCAACAAACAGAAAATAGATAAATTAACGCAATAACCAACGTACAGTCAGAGATCTGCCAGCAAAGCTGAGTTATGCAACAGGACGACGTTGCACTCGATGCATCACTCCGCATGGAAGAGACCCGGTGTCATTTGGTTACCCAGAAACAGCCCAAAGACCACAGGCGTCTTCTCCACCACACCTTCCAAAGCTGTTTCATTCAAACATCACCAACCAAACAGCTCCTGTCCACCTCTCCACCAGTTGAGTGTTTGGCAATGATGCCTGACGTTACCACTCCTTTCAAGCAACCAACAATAAAAACGGAAATGGTTTAATACTTAGCTCTGAGCTCCAATGCGTTGCCATTCATCCTTTGGTTGTTGAAGAGGTCTCGTCGTGATTTTCAACGAGAGAGAGCCTTGTTTGTCTGGCTCGCCACATGCTTAAGACACAAGTGTTGGTATACTGTCCAATCTGTTTTTGAATACAAAAGTATTCAAAGTCGGGACGCAATAGCCAGTGTACAGTCAGCGAGTTTGTCAGCTCAAAGGCTGAGAGTCATGCAACAGGACGAGATTGCACTCGATGCTCCACTCCATCGTGGGAGAGACCCAGTGTCATTGATTATCCAGAGGCAGCCCAAAAGTCCAAACGCGATTTCTCCACCACAACCACCAAGGCTGCCTCATTCAAGTAACTCTACGCAACCACTCCAGTCCACCTCTTCCACCGTACGGAGATGGTTGCATTTCTTGGTTACTTGGCGTCACCCATTCCCAAGAAACCAAATACAAAACAACTTACAAAACAAAGAAAAACACAGCAAACATGAAGCCAAAATAAATCGAACTAATGCTATACTTAGCTGTGTGGGGTAATACATTGCCATCCATCCGGCTTGAGAGAGGGGGGAAGCGTGGCGCTTACTTGGGATAGTCAAAAGTTGGACCAAAGATCTAGCCCACAGTGAGAGGAGAGCCAAGAGCAGAGTAAGCCCATTCGATGGATGCACTGTTAGTCTAAAGAATCCTTACAGCTGCTATGCCACTTACGAGAAAATAAGAGATAAAAAGGGTGTACCGTACGTAAGATGGCACAAGTTTGATCATAGGTCTGGGACAGAGGAAGAGGAGAGCCAGAGAGGGAGTATGCCTCTTCGATGGATGCACTGTGAGTTTATGGAATCTTTATGAGCAATATGCCATAACAGCACAAAATAGTTGCACTGCCAACCAAGTCAAAAGTCCAAACATGAAAAACTTGCAGCAATGGCATCCCATTCAAGAGTGGACCTGAAACATACCTGGATGTGGCCGTACGAGTGCTGGCAGATGTGTCTTGGAGATTTTTGTCTGTTTTTGGGTTTTTGGGAAGTCATTTGGGGGAGTGGCTTTGAAAAAACGCGTCCAGCGAATCATCTTCAAGAGCCACACGTGATTAGCAAATGTTTGGGGAGCTTGAAGTATGAGTCAAGAGATAATGTATTGTAGAGTATTTTCTAATATCCTTCTCACTTTTGCTCGATAAGAAAGTGTTGAGTATTGACCAAGTAGCGACGAGACGAAGCATCGTACGCGATCATAATTGATTCCAAGCAGGCGAAAGAAGCCCCTAAACCTATAATTTACATGTATTTTAGATCATTTGACTAATGAGAAACTGCCGGGTCTAGTCTCATGACCTTGAAATCGTGGTGTTTTTGGACTCAAGCATGGTGAGGGAGAATTCTTGTTTTGAGGAAGCTTACTGGACGCTATTTCAAGCAAAAATGTCAATACCGATACTGAATATCCCTTCTGCTGTGACGATACGCTCAGCAGTTCTATGCAAGTGCTGTGTATGGAGCTGAAATCTGTCACTGGTGATTTGACGACTACTTGAACCTACTGAAGTCATCGACGCTCCAACCTTTGTCACACATCCTACCAAAATCTTTATAAGATTACTTTTACATCGTCTTTATTTCCTTTGGCGCCACCTGTGTGAAAAAACAGTCGGTTAATGAAACGAAGTTATGTGACGAAGTAGTACTTCTCACTATGCTGAAGAGCGACAGCACGTCCTGCCAATGATATCAGTATCTGAAGTGCAGCGCGGCGTGCCAGGACTTGGTATACAATGGTCGACCATTTTTGAGCAACACTTTTTCTATGATCGCAAGGATCACCAATGAGATCACAATGGATGTCGCTTATTGATGGCATGTCTTTTTGGAGTTTATTGTCGACTTCCCTGAAGTGCTTCTCACGTCGAAGCGGTTCGAGAAGCTGAGAAAGTTGAGGGACAGGCTTTAAATTTAGTAAGTGCACTGCCCGTATAAGTATCCTCATAAGGTAGGATGTCAGGTAACGATACAATCTCTTCGCGAATGTACCTCAATACATATCCAGTTCTGGCTATTGGGCTGACTTCTTGACGAACAGACTTGTCGCCAAGTGGAACAACATGTTTTGGAGAGAAGAGGAATAAACTGCACAACTCAATTTGACGCGTCATCCACCAGTTGTCCTGCAACAAGTTTTACATGGAGTACGTAATGAGAAACCCGGTATTAAACTACATTGAGATATGTATTTAGTTTACTAGCTATCGAGCTTATATAAGTTGTCCCTGTATCCGTCCTTTGTTCCTCAAGAAGTGCATTCTTGTACCATTCCGACGAGTTCGTTATTTAGAAAGATTCAGTCTCAGAGCTTCCATAAACGTTGAAAGCATAGTACAGTCGAGACCTAGATGTATACAGTGTATTAGTCCTTGTGATGCTCCTGAGCTCCGTCATGTAGGTGCTTAATGGCCTGAAGTGACAATCAAAGACAAGGTGAAGCAGTTAATGCTTACCCAGCATAGTAGCTATCGTCTTCGGGCGAATCAGAAGCAGGAGTCAGAATCAACGGGCTTGCACAATCCACATCCATATCTACATCATTATCTATAGTTTCATTCGCTGGGCTGACAGTAGGAGTTTGCATCTGCTGCTCTCCTTTACTACCAGCACCATAGCTATTTTTTACATTGTCAGCAGGTTTGTCACTACCTTGTGTTTCAGGCTCGAGGACAGGCTGAGGAATCTGAATTATTATGTTACTGGCCCCATAACTATCCCAGTTTGGATGTACAGCGTCTACTGAGCGCTTCAACGGTGGTTGGCTGAATGTGTTGAATGTATGGCCGAATGTAGTGGTATATGATGGGGTTTCGTTTGTTTCCATATCGGTTGGCTCTGCTGGCGTAAAGGCTTCATCTATACGGCGTTTCAGACTCTTTACTGGGCTCTGTTGTTGCTGATTCTGGTTGTTTTGAGGATGAAATGTCAGTGGTGAATGACGTTGCTGTTGAAAGAGGACTATATCGGGCTGCGATGACGGGAGAGAGACAAACGTCTCATGGAGCACTGGACTATGCATACTAAAGGTTCCTTGCATCCTAAATCACCAAAGTTCTTCCCTTCTCTGCCACTGGAACTGCTGACGTAAAATCGAAAGCAAGTCAACAAGAAACGACAAGCGCAGTCAGAGCGAACGGGAAAGGTACATAATAATGTTTAATTGGGATGGAAAACAACTATTTGAGACTAAGATACACAGGCATTGGTTGCTCCACTTTGTATAATTTACTCAAATGATGGATCTTTCGAAATCAAGAATTGTGAGACGAAGTCAGTTATCATGGGCTCTTTCAACGCCATAAGCTTGAATTCAGTCATTGACTACGAATTCAATGGTGTGTTAGCCACAATTCCTTCTGTCTGGTGCAATCCCAAACAAACATGATGTCTTTGAAACGGTTACGTACCAGAGATCCATCACCATTTATATCCAAGTCCTCAAAGAGTTGATTGACTGTGGCCTTTACTTTTGCAGATTGGTCTTCATTGTAGAATGCAGAGTACTATAAAGCGAAGGATCAATACAAAGTCTTGACCATCAACCACGGAAATCAATCCAATTCTTCCTACCATTTGAGCCATGAAACGTATAAGCTCCTTGGGTTCTACACTTCCACTTCTGTCAACATCGAATACGCGGAACGACACTAAACAATATGCTTGTTAATTACATGTTGCGTCCTTGGCAGACCAAAACCCGACATGATTGCATACATTCCATCTTCTCTTCAGCCGATCCCTTCAAGAAGCAGCTCAATCCAGATATGAATTCACGGAAATCAATAGACTGGTTGCCGTCCAAGTCAAAGGCATCAAAGAGCCGTTCCAAAAACAGGTACTGGGCACCAGCAGACCAACACGATACATGATTTTCAAGAATCTAAACATAATTGATGGAACTGTTAACTATGGAACAGAAAAATAGTGGCCAGTATAAAGAACTTACATGTCGGAATTGCGCTTTCGTTATAGAAAAGTCCTTGGCTGCAGCTTTACCAAATTCTTGCTTTAGCTTTTTGATTTCAGCAGGAGAGACTAGTAAAAAAGAGTCGTCAATATCAAGTATTGAAAGGGTTGGCAAGGTCGACGTGTGTAAGAAGTTGCTGTCAAGGCTTTGCATGACTGTGCCTAAATTTCAAGCAAAACAATACAATACAACTCCCCCCTTCATCATAAGCCAACTTACAATGCGAGCTCCTAGCCAGCTCGTTCTCGACCTTGTTATGCGAATGGTGGTTGCCCATTTTATAAAAATAGTGTTTTTTGTCACGTTATTTAACGAATGTCTGTATGAAAACCGAATGATCAGTTAGGAAATCGGACGTGTACTAGGGAAAAAAGGACAAAGGCAGACTTCTAAAGACTCTTACCAATTGGAATGGTGTTTGTTTGGTTTGTAAGGCGAGCTGGTGATAAAACAGTGCCAATCCACCCCCAAGAATTGGTATGTTAAAACCCCAACCCTATAAGGAACCTATCGCATGGGACCGAGTCACATATTTGGCTTGCACTACAATTCACCAATTATTTTCTGAGAATGTAAACGCTTGCCTGCTGTACATTGCAGTTCCTTTGTCGCCAGATTGTAATTTTTCATCCTGTGCTCGCTTTGCTTTGATCTTGAGGGGATGCAGCTAGTTCCACTACTGCTTCTATTTTGAATAACACACTAAACTTCTCTGACTATCTCTAAATGTCTCTGTTACAGTACCCTTTTAGAAAAGTTTATTGCAATAATTGAGAAATTCCAACCACGTCGAAATGAGCACCAATACTGTGCAGCACATCAAAGACCCAGATATGAGCCCCAGTCAGAATAGAGATGCTGATGACAAAGACACTCCACAGTTGTGTTTGTGCCAGGAATGCCGATGAAGGCATGGACATGCCAAACAAGACCAAGTAAAACGACCCCATAGAAATTAGTGACGCGAGCGTGTATGGCAGCGCCATCCAATAAAACCTTGCTATATTCTTTGGCGGTATATCCGTCCTTGGTTGTGTTGGTGATGAAGTCGTAGACGATCGTGCAGATTCAAGTGTCGGCGACCGTGTCTTCCACGGCGAGTCATCGAATCCATCACACTTGTTACATGTGAAGAAGAGTATTTCGCTGGACATTGTTCCCATAGAGTGCCAGAACCCAAAGTATACTGAGAAGCCAAGTAGTGGATCCACTGATTCGATGAGGAGGACGAGAAGAGCTGTTTTGGCTAGTTCTGCTAGCCATACGCGAGGAGTTGGGATGAATCGTATTACGGGGAACGGTGTGGCGTCTTCTTGTGGACTGAGTGCTGAAGGTTCTAGACAGATTGTGTAGACGAGCCCAACAAGCAGCAGGACGAGATGCTGGATGGCAAAGTTTGCGTGTAGTGGGAAGATGGTGCCATAAAAAAAAGTCAAGTCGATTGAGGCCACTTCTTCAATGATCGGTAAGGTGACTTCGGGGTTGGCCGTAAGTATCATTCCTAGAATCAGGATTCCTCGCGACATGTACAAGGCAACAGCTGCATGTTTGTGTAGTATAATGTAGTCCAACTCGCTCTACATTGAAAGCAAATGCTGAGAAAGACTTTCAGTCAAAGTGGTGGATATAAATTCTACTTACCTCCCCAAAGTGATACGCGGAAACACACAGAAACGCTACCAGACATAACCTTGGAGCAATCCACCACATGACACCCCACAATCCCATAATGACAAAGTAGTTTACATAGAATACGACCTTGTCTTGTAACGGAGTTAATGTTGTTGCTTTTGGTTGTTCTGGCTTTTGTACTAGGGATGTTTTCTAATCGTTCGAGTGTTGCAATAAGAATCTAAAGCGTTGAATGCGAAAAAAGAGATATTCACTTACCTCATCAGGCACTTTTGACAGACTCTGGACGACTTCTGCTCGTCGTGTTTCATAGTATAGCAAATGATCCACAGCACCATGTGGAATTCCAAAAACAACAATACATATGACCGTGACTGGTATAGACACGTAAGATTCAAACAATCTAGGCATGACATGGGCCAGAAGTATGATTATTGACGTTAAAGCTCCACTCAGCATCTAGTGTTTACACTTGACTAGTGAGTTTTGGAGTAAGCGAAGCGAAAGACGCAAAGTTGATATTCTCACGGCTTGGACCACAACTACGTGTTGTGGGGCATATGGGATGTTGGGGCATCATTTATTGTACTTACTGTCATAAAAGTCAGCCTTGTTGGTTCAATATACGTTAACTCAACAAACGAAGCCGTCCGAAGCGAAATACTCTTTTTGCGAGGCGCATCTAGTATTGGTGAATCTGCTGGTAAGGTATTGATCTTTGGTAGAGTCGAAGGTGGTGATTTATTTGCCATTTTCTTAAATGGGCTTTTGCTTTATAGTGTGCGGAGCTTTCGGGCAGCGCAACCATTTGAGCATCTTTTCACGACTCACGGTGACCGTCGAGTTAGAACGAGGATATCCCTGTATCAAAATAAGGGGACCGCGGTATGTTTTGAGGGACAAGCAGCTCAAGGATTGGGCTTGGAACGATCACGTAAAATCCCCGGTTGAGCACGGGTTTTTAACACTGTTAACGTACATTGTCACAACAGCAACAGCAGGGAATGTTGTATTGCCAGTCAAAAATAGTCAGATTTGCTTTGAGGTTGAGGCAGGCTGCTAATGTTGATGACTGCAAGAACGAATATATTTGATTCAAATACGATTCTTGCTGATGTGTGATTCAATTCTATTCTATACAAGAAGTCAGGTCTAGCGAATTCTATCATAATGTTGAGTATTCCTTCTTCAAGACATCGAGCAATACCGAAGCTCCAATCCTAAAGTGTTGTGGTGAGGCATACCCCGACCACATCTTTTGTCTGACCAAGTTCAAGTACGAGAATGCATCGTCTACAGTTCGAATGCCTCCTGATACCTTCAATCCATAGCACCCTCCGCATTCTCGAATGCATTCCAGCATAGCATCAGCCGCTTCGAGAGTAGCACCACCAGCTGCGTGCTTGCCAGTAGATGTCTTTACAAAGTCAGCACCAGCAGCCAATGATAGTCTACAAGCTCGTTGAATTGCATCTCGGCCTTTGAGTGCAGCTGTTTCCAATATGACTTTGAGGACTACGTCTTCATAATCTTGTAATACTTTATCAGCAGCAGATACTGGTGCAACACCGTAAGCTTGTAGAATGAGAGACATATGAGTTTCATATTTGCTGGTTTCTTAGACTCAAGCACACAATGATACATACCTGATGTGCATCCACAGTTTATGGCATCATAATTGAAGACGACATCAATCTCATCAGCACCATCTTCCACAGCGTCCTTTACTTCCTTGGTTACATACGATGGATGTAACGAGCCAGAAGGGAAGTTCACGACGGTGCATACTTTGATTTTGGTGTCCTTGAAAAATAATTTAGCCTGTTTTACAAATCGTGGATAGATGCAGACCGATGCTGGGTGTACTGGTGATGATGTTGCAGTTTGACACAACCTGTCTATGGTTTCTTCATTGTCGGTATCTAGTGGAAGAACAAGGAGACAACAGTGTCAGCCCTCCGAAGACGACCAAAGTTTTCAAGATTATGGAGTCATCCACACCGACTACAGCAGCAAGATGATATTTCCACCGCAAACACATCCCCATCAACATGGGCAACAGCCTCGCTCCTTCCCAAAAGTGATGTCACCCAAAGTTTGCAAAGTTTTTGCGAAGTCAGAGCTCAAAGGGCACATAGCGACCACGTCCGTCTCGACGACTTACCATTCAGCGAAGTAAGGTCCAAACAAGACATGAGCAACTCCAAGTCCTGCTTCCTTTGGAGCAGATTTTCACCTTGATTTGTGGTTGAGACTGGCATTGTGTAGTTATGGATATGAAGAGCGATAGAGGCTTGATATGTAGACTGACGTGCTGTGTATGGCCGAACTATATGCTGCTAACTGTAGCTGCAAATAAGTAAGCTTTTGAAGTGTGAAAAGATGCTTAGGGGATGATGGCAGTGTAAAATTTTGCAATTGTCGGCAAGAATTGGCATTTAGTGAAACAGCATTGTAGCATTCTTTTATATTGATTTAATGATCATGTACGTGGTTTTGTGATAGGAATGATTAACCTGCGGCGTGGCCGACTGCAAACGGCCCTCGTGGCAGCAGTTTCATGTGTTTCGTTTTGACTGTCTTGCTTTCGTGAATTGTGCATTCGGACAATTGTCTTTGTGTCAGTCATCCATTGCTGAGCTCACATGCCGAGGGGGACTGCTCGCTTGTTGATGTCCAATCCCACCAAAACAGCACCAACAAACAAACCCAAGACAAACCACAAAAAAGACCTCCAAAACATGCTTCTTCAGAAAGGAGACAGCAAGCACCGCCTGAATTCCCCATTCATCACGTCGCCGCACTCTCCAACCGTCGTATCCCTCCACCTCGTGAAAATCCTTGGTTTAATATCCTTAAGTGTATTTGTAGTTCTCTTCTTGATCTTTCATGATACACGGTCAGTTCCTACCTCAATATGCGCTATTGTTTCATTCATCTACTTGATCCATGCTCCTTCTTCTTTGCCCTTGCAGCACACTGTCCAACATCACACACACTTAATCATTTTTTTGATCTCTTTATACAATCACAGGTACTCGTGGTATGACATATCAACAACAAACGCCAATGCAGCCAGAGACGAAGAACTGCGTCTCGCATCTGCAAAAGAATATCTATCATCTCTACCAGCACCATCACCATTCTTACTGCCACCTGCATTCTATTCCCTATGTATCTTCATCTTGTCTGGGCAATCAAGGCCCCAGGAATACCTGACACAAACCACTGCCTTCTTATTGTCAAGAATGGGATCACTCCCTAGGAATACACGGTTTGCAATCGTCAATGCTCACAAACCGGGGTATGATCATAACGAAGCGAACGAGCTGGGACAGTACTTGACGGTTGTTGAACCTCCGAGGAGGAATGCGACGACATATTGGATTGGTCATGATGTATGGCCCGACTCCGTTACGTGGTGGCAGAAGGGGACATATGATTTCGCAGCTACGTTTGATCTTGCCAAAGAGTGGAAGTGTCCTGCTACTGGTCAGATTTGAATGGTTTTCGATTCTATTCGTTATACAAGTTGCTAATCCTTTTATGAATTCATACAGTAATCTTGGAAGACGACGCCATCGTCGAAGAGAACTTCCCACAGCGAGTCCTATCCGGCATAGCACCTATACTCGACGACTCGTGCTCATGGTCTTACGTCAAACTATTCTGGACGTCATACTGGTCGGGCTTTGAACTGACACCAGTCGATATCGCTATAATATCATCACTGTCAATCAGCATCGGCATACTTGCGACTCTAATCACACTGGAACGATTGCGAGCGAAAGGAAAATACAACACGCCAATGTATTCAGACAGAGTACGCAACGTTGCAGCCATAGTGTTTGGATATTCGAGTGTTCTGAGTGTGGTAGTCTTGTTGAGCGTGGGGAAACAAAATTGGACCAATATGCTGTTTGCTGAGCCGGTTGGGCTTGTGGAGTCACATGCGAGAGCTGCTGCTGTTGGACAGGTATGAGACGAGGCTTTTTAGCTTGTCTCTCTATTTGCAAACTCCTTCAACTTCTTCATCTAACTAGGTGTACTCATCATGCGCTCTGGCTCCTATGGCCGATTTCTTGTATGAACACGCTCTAGATGATCGGCCTGTAGATTTGCTATTTAATGACTATATTGACTCAACTGGAAGCAAGATATATGAACTACACCCCAACCTCGTTCAACATATTGGACTATATAGTAGCGGCAAGAAGAACAAGGGAAATGCACACGCTATGAAGGTATGTATCTTCGAGACATATATTGAAATCGTTAAACATTTCCTGTTTAATTTAACAAAAAATTTCAATGCACACGCTATGAAGGTATCTTCGACATTCAAGGGCGATAGTGTTCAACTTTGAACGACGTGAAGGGGTACAGCAATAATTTTAGATGAACCTCGTTTTGTTTTGGCTGAGTACATTGTAGAATCAACCACATCAATTGTAAATAAAACAAGTACATGATAGACAATTGTATGTGAAGATGCTTTTTATGTAAATCTCATATAACAGTGCTTTTACTAGATGAAGATGCATTAACAAACGTGTGTGCGCTTACTGAGGTGGCATGGGGTTGAGTAGCGGATTGGCTCCTCCAGGCAACACACCATCGTCCCTCTTCACACTTCTAAACACTGCCCCTAGTGCTTTCAGTCCATCTGCTCTCCTCCTTCTGATGGCAGCAGGTACACTTTCGTCACCTAATACTTTATCACAGACTTCGCGCAATACTGCTTCAACCTCCAGTTTAGATCCTCTCCATAGAGTTTCTAAGCCTTTAGTAGCAGCTTCGTATTCTAATTTTGTCTTTAATTCTCGTTCTTCTTGCGTTAATCCATCGTCCTCTTCATCTTGATTGATCTCCTTGTTTTCAGCATCACCTTCAGCACGCGTACTGCGTCGTTCCTCCTTCTTCTTTTCCCTGTTTGAAGAGAGGAGTGTGAGTTTGTTTCAGTCGGAGTTTGAGCAAAGAGGGCGAAAAAAATTCGACAAAGATAGATCAATATCTGACTTCACAGACACGAAACGTACATATCCTGCAGTTTAGCAAATGAAGATTGCAAATCCAGCGCAGTACGGAATGTACCCACAGTTTCACCCAGTATATGACTCTTTTCCTTCACATACGAGTTCAGACGATTACTAAAACCCCAGACTTTCTTAAACAAGTGTCCTTCATCTGTATCCATTCGAGAAAGCCATTGATCAGCTTTAGCCGAGTACACATATCCAATAGCCTGAAGTAGCTCTACACCATACGATTCGGTCTTTAGGGATTCAGCTTCGAGCTGGGCAACTTGGGAAAACGTATCCAGAGCCTCGGTTGACAATTGCTGTTCTGTCGTTCCAATAGGACCATCTGGATCACCAGTATTCACTGGCCATGCATCCGTGTATAATGATAATTTATCTACTAGGTTCGTAACGAGTTTATTCACACGTTCGGTTCGTATCTGTGTTCGTTCATCTAGTGACATTCCACCTTGTAGCAAGCTAGCTGCACCTTCACTGGGTGTGGCACCAGTGCCACCATTATTATCACTCTGTTGCATCACATTCATGGCTTCTTTAAAGTCTTTGGCTATAGATATCTCACCAATGATATCCACAAACTTGTCACCGCCAAATTGTTGTTTGAAGAATTCTTCTGGATCGACGAATGCGGCTTCCGATGGTGCTGCTTTGCCATATTGATTATAGTGTGCTCTTCTTTGCGGATCGAATAGAACTAAACAAAAAAGTGTTATCGAGAGTCCGTGCGTAGAGATACTTTCTTTTGCAGGTCAAAAGTTGGAAGTGACTTACCCTGGTAGGCTTCAGATATCTTTTTAAACTTTTCATCGGCGTTGGGATCATCTCTATTCTTATCTGGATGTGCTTTCATGGCCATTTGGTAGTATGCTTTCTTAACTTGAGCAGGCGTTGCTTTTGAATCCACGCCGAGAACGTTATAGTATTCCATATCAACCGGATTTTCGTCTTGTTAAAGTTATTAAGGTGGAAGGTGTGAGCTTCTGCAGTTGAAAGTCTGTCGAGATTTGAAACACATTCACACAAGACATACCTGTACCCGTCTTTCCTCCAAAACTGAATGGCTTGGAACTCTTTGACTGACCATTCTTACTATTCGATCCATTATTGCTACTACTGCTACTGGTACTTGGTAGTTCAGGAGTTCCCTTCATTCGTATCCGAGTCGACGGAATCTCATTGGTTGTATTGCATTTATAGCAGTCGACTTCATAGATTGTGCCAGCAGGAGACGGTATCAGAGCAGGTACGGTGAATTCATATGTCGATTTGCATGAGGTGCAGACAGATGTTGCGATTGATTGTGGTTCGTTCGATTTAAGCTTGACTCGATTCGACGACATGCTAGATAAGCAGGGTGGTCAGGATTCGATTCATAAGCGACAAAACATGGATTTCAAGACGCTTTACTGTGGTCATATCGTCCACATACCTGAAATCTCAAGAAAGGAGAAGCTCCAGAAGTTTGGAGGTAGGGACGAGGTTTTAAACTCGCAAGGATTGACTTAATACGGTTAAGGTATTCTTATGCTGATCTTGAAGATGTGTTAGGCTTGTTATTCCCTTCTTTGGCTTGTCAGCCAAATGATTGTTTGCGGTGTGATAAGTATTGACGACAGAGATGGGACTTTGCAACTTTGGCGAGTTTTATATATACCAAGTGCTTGCTCTCGTCTTCGACGCGTCAAATTAAGGTAGTCCGGTCTTGGGACCATTGGACCTTTGAGATTGACACACAAGTAGGGTGCTCGAATCTTTAAAATCTTATTACGGATCCAGGAACACAGAGTAGGCACGCAACAAGGTATTACTTACGCGACTTTAGAGATTTCCAACTCGCTGATACCTTTTTTCTTTACCTCATTTAGAAGCAGATCGTGGTTGTTGGAGCGAAGTTGCGATCTCATTCCAGATTCAAGACAAAGAGACGAGTCCCGACCAGAACGGCCATCTACAACCTGACTGATGGAGCTTTGTGCATCTACTACCAGCTCTGGCGCATGCGGTTAGGCCAGAGCGTCTCCTGACCTGTCAAGTCAAGCTGCGCGTCGATATATTCTTGATTCCTATGAGATTTCGTTATTTCATTGACGAACGACAAACAGGCATCCAAGCTGGTATAGATGCTACGTGCTTCATATACAGCCGACCTAAGCGTGACGATTTGCTGCTCGTCTGACTGCTGAATTATTGGCCGAGAGAGGAACAAAGCCAGAATGAACCAGCACTTCAAACTGAAGCTTTCCACGATCGCATAAAGTTAGCGTCCTAGTAACAATGCCTGCTTCTTATCTCGGATTCATCGCTGTTGCAGTGGTGTCGGTGGGGGCTTTTGTGGTCTATGTTCGACGCCGTGAAATTGGCAAGTTTTTGATTAAAAGGATGGTTGAGAAAAACATGTCTGCCAGTGCAGATGGTAGGCTCATTGATAGCTTGCCTGATGGTTTGCATCTTGTACTTGCTGGCTCTGGTGCACCACTACCTGATGCGTATCGTGCTGGTACGTTCACCCTTGGTTTTGAAATCAGTTCACCACAGAACCATTGTCTCCAACTTTTCTTCATTTCTTCTTAGGTCCTTGTGCAGTCGTCATTGCTGGAAAGAAGATCTTTGTGGTTGATGTTGGTGAAGGTATGTGCTGCGACAGTGTTTGGAGCTCGTGTGTGATTTTTACGATCAGATCGTTTTGCCCTTGACAGGAAGTGTCCGTAAGATGGGCGCTATGGGAATACCAACAGCTAGGGTCGAGGCAGTGTTCCTGACACATTTTCATTCTGATCATATTGCTAGTCTGGGAGAGATCTTCCTTGCGAGGTACCATATGTAAAGACAACCGTTTCAAGGGTTTGCTCATATGTTGCCGTATAAAGGTGGGCAGGAGCAGGAAACCCAGTTCCTACAACTGTAATCGGTCCACAAGGAGTCGAACGTGTAGTTGAAGGGTTCAATACCGCTTACGGTAAAGTTCCTTTAGAAACTTGTGTGTTCAATAACGCTAACCTATTCAGGAATAGGCCTCGACAAGACATACCGTGTTGGCCACCATGGTCCTGACGTGATTCCTCCTTCTGGCTTCGGTGGTGTGGCCAAAGCATTCCATATCGAAACAACAGACACCAAGAAACCAAAAATCATTTACGAAGAAGATGGTGAATATATACTTCATGATCACTACTTGGGTCTTCAATTTTTACGTTTTGTTTACGTCTTCAATAGGACTGGTCATTTCAACAATCTCTGTGGATCATACCCCCATAGTGCCAGCTGTTGCATACAGGTTTGACTATAAGGGCAGATCTGTCGTCGTCTCTGGCGATACGTGTCCTTGTGAAGGTATCAAGAACATCTCCCAGGTATGTGCTTTCGGACGAAATCTTGTCACTTTGTTAACTTCTGGTTGTAATTACGGATACGATTTTAGGGCGTTGATGTCCTTTGTCACGAAGCACTGCAATCAAATATTGTGAAAATCATGCATCACTGTGCTGGACATTACAGCAGACCACACATGGCACAAATTTTGGAAGATATACAAAACTATCATACGACACCCGAAGACGCTGCTCGTTTAGCACAAGACGTTGGTGCTAAGCATTTAATATTCTATCACCTAGGTATGAACGAACTGATTTAGAACATCTTCTCATACTAACTCTGTTTTGAATCGGATAGTTCCTCCCGTTCCTTTGAGATTCCTTGAAGCAGCCTTCTTGGGTGACGCGCCATCCCTGTATCGAGGAAACATTACTGTCGGTAGAGATGGAAGTATGATATCTATGCCAGCTGGATCAACTAAAATTAAATGTCGCAACCTTCTGTGATAAAACTTGGTATAAATCTTTAATGTAACTGGTTTTTAACGACCTAATATATTTCATTGGACATGACTTAATCGTTTTGGGTGTGAGTTGCTCTATGTTTGGTGGGTTTTACAGAAGTCAAATCGGTGGGTACCAGAATGACGCAAGTTTGATTCTCTGGTATATTGTATCTGCGACGTGGCTCTGCAATATTAAACGTCAAATGTATGTATGAAATCAACACTTTCTTGTGCTATTCTGCTGTAGGTTTCTATTGAAGCTCTACTCATCAATCACACGCTCACTCAAACGCAATCCAAGATTTAGCAAAGAAGCAATTCAACTTGCAAAAATAAGTGACTCAAACGAATAGCATCCACCAGTCCAAATTCCTTATATTCTATACGACATGCCGCGCTGGTTGAAAAAGTCTCATGGCCGTCATCACCACAAAAAATCTCCTCAAACACAACAACAACATGAAACGACACAAATAACCGAACAGGTACTTTTGATTGAATTTTTTTCAAATTCCTTCTATTTGACGCGTCATCGTTTGATGTAGACACCTCTATTACATGCACCTGTCGACGTTGATCACATAATCGCCATATCGAGCGACGACGACGATCCTGAACCATCAAGCAGCACGCCATACGTGAGACCAAATATCGATGAAATACACGCCAATATCGGTCACGCTGCTTCCAAAGCTTCAGAAGCTGTTGACCGGATGATACAACGAGGGGACAGGTTGTCTGGACTTCAGAAGAAGGCTGGTAGAGAATGCTTCTTTAGAGTTTGTACATACAGGTATTAGTAGTAACACGTTTGCCTAAACGTATGTAGCCAAGCTGGAAGAATCATCCATTACATTCAAAAAGAGTGCCAAGAATGTCAATCTGATGAGTAAACTGCGATACGGAAAACTACAGGGATGTGGTGTTGTGGGCGCTGGAGCCGTAGCCATAGCGGTGCTAGTGTTACTATTCCTCATACTGAAATGGGTCTTGATGAGAATACCATAAAAGTGGAATATGACGATGATATTTGAGAATTGAAACCTCCATTTTATCAACAACAACATTCTTGTACATTTTTTTCAAACAGACTCATTTTCATATAATTTCCTTTATAAATCCTCAGCCTTGATGAGATATTCAGTAAGAGAAAGCAATCCTGCGAACGTTTCCTCGCCTAGTTGCTATGAGCGTCAGCATTCACTGGATGTAAAAATTGGAGACACTTTCGTCATGGTACCTGAGGGAATGATCTGAGTCTTGGGTAGCAAGAAGCCATATCGTCCTGTGTCTCGAAGTTCCACGGCATATGAATAGGTCACATTGCCCATTGCGTACATATAGTCTGTAGAAGATCCACTGGCCTGGTAGATCTAACACACGTTTGCAATAGTAGTTAATAACGCTGTTGATGCATACGTACAATCCTAGAAGAAGAATAGATAACTTACAATGTTACAAATCGACCCAACGGCATATGAAGTGCCATGAGTAGCTTTGATAGCTTTAGCAGCAGCATCGCCACCAGCTTGCAATTTCTTTTTGTCTTTAGGCGTAGCATCGCAGTCAGAGCCATAAGGATACATAAAAAGCTGTGAGGTGCAAGCTTTAGTGCTGTAGTCGAATTGCACTAACAGTGAAACACCATAAGACTGACCTGACTAAAGGCATGAAAGTCGATATATCCAATGACATTTGGTGATCGATCCTTGACATAGTCTGCCATTGCCAAAGGTTCTGGTGCGCTGAAAGCAGACGGCCCCATATACGCTTCCGAACATGGATTCTTGGAAGAACCACCAGTTCCCCATTCAAACGCCCAGTTTCGATTGGGGTCTGTGCCTGGGCACATGGATCCTGGGTTTGGCTGACGATTCTATTTCAAATAGAGTGCTTTTGGTAAGAAACCCGCGAGGCTATCTAAGATTTCGACATTTTCGTGTGTACCTTTCTCCACATCCGGTTTGAGGTATGAGTATACACAAAGCCATCAACGTTGAGTACTGGAAATATGTGAAACTCAAGCTTTTCCAATACGCTCTTGACACTTTTGTCTTTGGCAGATTGTCTGTGAGTATACAGAGTGAGTTGGTTTCGTGGTGGGGACGTTTTATACGCCAAATGCAAAAAGGCTTACGTGATTAGTTGTGTGGCCATATACAGAACTGTAGCAGGAGAAATCCATTCACGAGCATGAATTCCACCATGAAAGACAAACGCGGGCTTGTCCTTGTCCTTGGCATCGTCTCCAGACTTTAATGATATCTTGATACCAGTAATATCCCTCTTCTCATACGACTTTCCATCAAGTTTTATATGTGATACTAGATCTGGATATTCCTTCACGAGCATGTCCAGATAGGTCTGGATCTCATCCAAAGTGTGATAGTTTTCAAAAAAGTTGACCGTTTCCACTCCAATGACATGCTGACCAGATGAGGCAGTTCCTTCGTCCGAATCGATGAGGAGTTGCAGATCTTTGTGTGTGATCGAGTATGGAATGTCGAGAATGGCCAGCTCGTCTGACAAGGCAACACTTTGTTCAGGAGAGACACGAATATCGACGCTACCAGGGCGTAGTGGAGTCCAGACATCCAATAGTAATTCCTAGATTAAAAATGATGAAATTTAGCATTTCATGGTCATGAACGGTAAAAGTCGAACATTAAGAAACAACGTGACGTGGTTTGGATGTCAACTTTAAACAAACAAGACAAGACCCGCACTTCAGAGATTTCCCATAGTTTTTCAGCCCTCGATTTATCCTGAATGTCTAGTGTCCATAGCTGATGTCCTTCAAATGACATGGGTCTCAATCTATGTGGTTTCTCATCGAGCAGAACTCGATTGATCAAACTAGTCGGAAATCCTAGGAATACTATTGAAGGAATCAGGATAGCCAGCAGCACAGACACAGCAAGTAAATCCCTTTGTCCTGCCATAGTGTTTGGCTTTTTGCTCTGAGTCTGATTCGACGGAATTTTTTGAAGCTCAAGAAACTCAAGTTCAAGTAAGACAATTATTGGATTCTTTAATCACGACAAAATTTGATTTATTGACGCGCAACGATGTCGTATGCGACGTATGGTATAATCGGTGAACATCATTCGCCCATTTCAATAAAGCATGGAAGCTTCTCTCCTCCTTCCCGAAAGAGCAATCTCAGAGAAGAAGATGACTTGGATATATACGCAGACTCACCCAAAACCCCTCAAAGAACTACGTCTGTTGTACCGGTCAAGTTGGGAATACGGTATTCAAAACCGACGCTCTACCTGTTTTATCGCCATCACGGTAAGCTGGTGTCGAAGAACTTCTCGATTTCTGATGGATTCGGTAACGCCTTCAATACCGATACTCACTCTCTGACTTTCATAGACAACTTGATGAGACGGAGAAAGATGCCAATTCGAAGCCTGCACGTCGAAACCGGCTGCGTCAGTGAAAACCAAATTCCAACGTCCTCAGTAGTTCGTGAATTGATGGCTAGGCATACGGAATACCTCAATCAAGTTTCGTCTTCACAACTACAGCGAATTGTGAATCGATTGAGACTTGCTCAATGTGCTGCCGACACGACAACAATCGGATATCTCCCCCAAAAGCCTTCAGATCAACTCATGGGATCATTCCTTCTCTCGTCCATCAAGGAGCCTGTTGCAGTTTCACCAATTCCTGGTATCAAATCACTCCCAGCACTACCTCCTCTACCCACATTATCGCAACCATTGTCGTCCCTCCCACCAATAGGGAAGCTGATCCCTTCTCGCGTTGTGCCTTCCGCATCGCTTGTAGCGCCAATGGACCCCGTTCTCAAACCCACAGTTGCAGAAGCGGTGCCATCAGCCCAAATCATTCTACCAAAACCAGAGATACCCGTACCAAATGCCCAAATCACTCAACCGCAACCAGAGACACCAGCAACAAGTGACTTTTTTGACTCAACCCCTGTATCGGTAGCAAAGGAAGAACCAATGGTCGGCCACTTTGCTCAAGATGGACGGTTGCAAGTGGATGATTACGACGAAGAAGAGGACATTGTGTTTGACGAAGAAGTCGTGGAAGACATTCCAGAGGACGTGGTGGACGATCTAGACGAAAACAACGACGAAGACGACGAAGAGGACCAACAGCCTTCCAAGTTTGACAATCATTGGGTTAACGCCTTGTCTCGATCCCAACCAACAATAGCAAATTCTTCGGACGACGATCTATCATCAGACAGTCAGAAACGAGAAGATAGTGCTATTGCGGAGACTGAAACCGCCATTGTTGCAACTCACGAACAACGAGACAGTGCAGCCGTAGATACTGAGACCGCCAATATTGCCACGACCGAGACCGAAGAAGAAGTAGTGATACAACAACCAGCCGAACACAGCACACCTCGAACTTCAACAGTCTCCTTCAGCCCTCTTCCCACTCGGATCACCCTACCGAAAAACGCATCGTCGTCATCACTACCAGATATAAATGGCTCCAAACTGCCGATACTGACTGGCGGACGATCATCGTTAACGCGACACTCTAATAACAACTCGTTTGTGGGCTCTATGCCTTCCACACCAGGACGTATTTCCGTTGTCGAGGATCTGGATCCTATAGAAACTGGTGGTACCGGTAGAAACTCGTTCTACGACGCAAATGACGATTATAGTGACGATTTTGGTGCTGGAGATACCGCGTCTGATGCTTCGAACGTTTAAACACATCAAACACCATAGTCCACTGTAATGAACCCAAGTGTATTGACATTGCTGAAGAAATGTACGTAAACGATTAGTTAAAGCTCTTAAGTTTCAAGTGCGCCTAGAGAATATAGAAGAGGCAAATAGTTTCGAAATAGTTTTGGGGGGAGGTCTAACTCTAGTGGCATGGTATGAGCAGCAACACTATGAGTCACTATTGTTAATCGACGAACTGCGCGCATGAAAGGAAGAAAATATGACCATTATGCACTATCTTAAGATCTACATCATTTTTGCGATGATTGGACTGGGAAAGAGTACCTGAAAAACTCGGGTGCTGATTAAAGACCCGTGGTTTGCTTTGTGGGGAAGAGCTGAATGAAATTGTTTGACATGGGGCACGGGGCCCTATTTAGAACACGATGGAACACGAGGGGCTTCCTGCTTTCTACGCTTGCCAATCGGTGAAATTTTGTCGATGACTACTACAACACCATTCATTCGTTTTCATACCGCTCGCTTTTAATTGGTCGATACAAGCCACGGCTTTGCTTTTACAAGTGAATTCGAGATGCTTCGACTCATACTTTACGTCAGGGGATTTGACTCATTCTTCAACTATAAAAAGCTTGTCGCTCCACAACTGTTTCCTGCAATCCCAAAAACAGCTTTCAAAGAAAAAGCAAGCTACAACAACTGTGGGACTCAGCTCTAATCTACATCGATAATCCATTCCAACATGGTAGCTGACAACATTAAGATCTTGACTGATACAAACGAGCAGTATGCTGCCATCAGAATCGTGCAAGGTGAGGTCGAGACAGGACGCAAGGTCCTTATTGCTTGTGATGCTGAACAACCAACTTCGTAAGTGCCATGTAACTCCAAGGACGATGTCCTTCTGAAGCTTATTACTCACACGGTCATTTATTTACCTTCACAGTATGAAGACTCTGGACTGGGCTTTAACTCACTGTGTCCAAGCTGACGATAACGTATTCGTCGTGAGAGTCATGAGGGACAAGCCTCATATCTCTGAGGTCTTCACATCCTTCCATGCATACCAAGTAAGCTCGGCTGAATGCCCTGCCTTTTGTTGGAAGTTGTCCTTGTTGTTTCCAGTGACTTTGATACTCACCATGCCCAAATTTTACACTAGGACCAACAAGCTCGTGATGAAGCCCCCAAACTATTGGAAGTCGTTAGTAGTACGTTGGAGAAACTTGGCAAGAAGGCCAAGTCAATCTCGATAGTTTACCGAATGGGAGATGCTCGTGAATGCATTGAGGAAATTGTAAGTTTGGATAAGGCTTCTTTCTGAGGTCTACCGGTCTTCGTATAAAAGCATTGCTAACACACCACATCCTTTCAAACAGGCCAACAAGACCAAACCAGACTTGGTTGTCGTAGGATCTCACTCCCGAGTAAACCCCATCACGAAATCCTTCTTGGGATCCGTTGCTGCCTACTGTGTCGCCCATCTACACTATCCAGTCACCGTAGTTCGAGACGCCGATGCTAACAACTCTGAAACCTTCAAGCCATTGACTGAAGTCCCAATCTCCAAGCACTATAAGCCATCAAAGGAGGACATCAAGGCTCATTTAAACATGGCTATGCAAACTCCAACAGTTCTCTAGAGTGTGTTATAATAATCTGAATCATGCTTTTAATTGTCATGTATAATCTTTTGCCGTGAAATATAAAGTGTTTGTTGAAAGAAGTAACACCATTCGCGTTCAGTTGGGTTGCGTTGATGCGACCTGGCTACATTGCTTTGCATTCCTGAAGTAGAAATTTTTTCCTTGATTTGATCAGGTTTTCACAAAGCAACCGATTCTGGCAATAGGTTCTGAAAAGTTCACAATATTTTTGACGTATTTTGAGTTACTTTGGGGAGTGAATTGGCAGGGGTACACGGCAGGTGATACTGGCAAATTAGAACCATTTCAGGTATTATTGGCCGTTTTAAGTTTCTCAACACACTTGATGACGGGTTGGCGTCGAAGTTTACCAGCATCAACAAAACCCAGACATCATCACACGGACAAGGTGATGAATCCAGCTCCATTGAAAGCGCCCAACAGGATTGCATTCACGACGAAACAAGAAGCTCCCAAAGGTCCAACATTGAGCTTTATCATGATGTGGCTTGTGTAGGGGTGTTTTTTTTGGAGCTCCTCAAATGTCGAGTGATGCACGCAAAATAGCACATATTCAAGGGGGGGAAGGCTCTAGTATATATTCAATAGTCAAGTGAGTACATCATATAGTTACAAAAATCATTATAATACAGGAACGAAACAAGTCAAAACACCATCCAACCAAATTCAATTCAAAAGGTTCAGAGTTTTACAGTCTACGGCTCAATTGGTAACAAGGTGGTGTATAAAAGCACGCAGCCTTCAACATATTCCAGCTCAATTGCTTGGCGGAATTGTCAGAAACCTGTTCTCATCAGCACCTGTTGAATTGGTTGGATGAGAGAGAAGACATGTTGGTTGCCAAAGTTGACTATGCTGAAAAATTGTTTTGCTTCTGCCTAGCTTATTTTCATGTGTTATTAGCTATAGGAAGGCAGGATTTGCAGCAACTAGCTTCGTATATGGTGAATTGACAGACATTGAACGTGTTTTATTGGACGACCACGACGAAACAACTCAACGAGAATGTCTGCACGAATTGTACTGGCTACCTTGGCAATATCATTGACTTTGATTGTCCTTCTTCATATCACGCAACCGCTCTCATCATTGTCTGATGGAATTTTGGATTCTGATGCAACCTTAGCTATAGAATTGGACGAATTCCGGACTCTGCTAGATACAGGATATGAGCCCGACTATGATGATTTAATCGTATCCGTACTGGATCAGCAACGAACTGCTGCTGGTGCCTCAAACGCTGGCAAGAAGATGTCAAACATACAAACACACGACACTCCCAATACGAACGACGTGTTTAGGACTGCCAAGAATGAACGCCAACTACCTATAATTCCTCAGCAACTCAACTTGCAAACACTTTATGACCGGGATCACGATAATGTTAGATCACCACTCCTAATATCCATACAGAATCTGTCTCAAGAGTCTCCAGGGGACATATGGTCATCGCCCTTCCACTACTTTCCCGAACTGAATGCTTCATTCTCGCGTATTGTAGTCGATATATCAAACACCGAGTACATATCCAGGATAACCGTAAAGACACATCACAACATACCCATTATAATAGGTGGTGGAGGCCTTCTGCAACATTCACCGGAACTTGATCTCGTGTTACGACACTTGGTATCAAACAGCTCTCGATACGTGATAGGATGGGGTGTCGGCCACAACATGATATCTGGCGAGACAACAACACCATCGGACTCCATAAACCACGTCGGAAAGTATATAAACAACTTTAGACTACTAGGCTTACGAGACGACATACCAGACCACCGATGGGTGCCCGATGCTAGTTGCATGCACCCAGCATTCGACGCACACCGCAACGCTCACGTAGAATATAAACGAGTCGTATACCATGACTCGAATCGACCATGGAAGGACGATGATGGAACCATACCTGACGATGTCGCTACACTGTGGGATACAGAAATGGATTTTAGTAAGACGTTAAGCTTCTTGTCACAGGGACTTTACGTATTCACCACCTCGTATTATGGAATGTATTGGGCAACGCTGCTGAATAAGAAGGTTGTTGTCCAGGGTAATCACTCGACTGCCTTCTCGTCCTTTAAGTGGCCGGCTAGATCGTATAGTGGGAATGTTGAAGGGGATATGAGGGAATCTGTGCAATATCCGGAAGCCCTAGAGGAGGCCAGACACGCGAATTTGCATTTTGGCAGTGTTGTGAAGAGACTGCTGATGGAGGCCGTGGGAGAGTTGTAGTGTGAATAGTGGGGGAGTGGTAGTGTAAGAGAGTTGCAGTTTGAATAGTGGGAGGGTCAAAGTGTGACGAGCAGCCATCAGTAGTTTGCACTGCATATTTTTTGGTTTCAGAAAGATTCTATTTAATCACTTGTATTCTATGTCGTGTTCTACTGACTTTTTATGTGCATAAATAACATTGTATATCTTAATCATTAAGCAGAGTTTTGTTGTGCCTTCTTTCGTTCTTCCACGGCATCTGTGAGCTCCTTGTCACTCTTCTTACCCATGGTAGTCTTTAGAGGCACATGGTATAGTATGAGGGAAAAGATGAAGGATATACCTGTACGTCATTTCGTGACGGAAATTGGTGAGCGAGCCATTAAGTGACCCGAAAAAAGCTTTCGCACTTACCAGCAAATGCACAAGCGATAATCCAAACCAGTCTAAGAGCGTCACTGTACGCAGCAATGACCAAACCCTGGTCTCCCGCTGGTAGATTTTTAATCGCACCAATTGAATTCTGAGCTGTCTGGACTACAGACTCTGGTAAACCAGAAGCAATAATATTTGCTGGGAGGATGAAAAACAGGAGAAAATCAACAAAGAATGTTCATCACCACATAGCAGAAATCTTTGATATGTGAACTTACATCTTAGCTTATTGTTCAAAATCGCACCCATGATTGCGATTCCTACGGATCCTCCAACTATTCCAAACGAGAAAAAAGTTAATGCTAATCCTCCTTCATTCACACAAGGCAAACATGTTTACTTGATCTAAAGAACTGGAAACACGATGTCACAGCTCCAAGATGGGAATACGGAACATTTGCCTGACCGCACAGCATCACAGTGTTGATAACCAGTCCGAGACTGACACCGTTAAATAGCAATATTCCAATCTGTTCTCCACTTGACGTGTTCAAGTCAAAGAGAGCAATCAGACCTACAGCTATACAGCTCAATGCAGTGCCAATTCGTATTATCGGTACGTATATGCCAGTGGATGATATGTAGAATCCAACAAGGGTCTGGACGATGGATACGGGGAGCATCAAGGGGATCAGTTTCAGGCCGGAACTGGTGGCGGTTGACCCTTGCACCACCTCGAAGAAGATGGGGCAATAGTAGATGGTTCCGTACAATGCAATGCCTTGGCCGAAAGCTGAGTTTACGAGTTGGTGTGAGTATTCGTCTGATTTGCGGCAAACGTCTCAGCGTTATCTTACCTGCTCCCAAAACCCCGATAACGTTCCTATTCTTCCAAAAGTCTGGTGGCAATATCGGCATGGCGACCAATGTTTCGATATACAAGAATACAGGTACGACCACCACAACTGCGAGCAACAGGGGCACTAAAACTTGGTAGCTTGACCATGGGTATCGCGATCCACCGAAATTGAGTCCAAGTTGTAGCAAGAGACAAAACGAGAGCAAGAAGAAGCTTCCAATAAAGTCAACTCTCCTAAACTTTTGCATCATGTCGCCCTTTACTCTAGGCAAGTTTAAGAAGCTGACTACCATAAAGAAAGCCAAAGCACCAATCGGGACCTGGATCCAAAAGGCAAAGCGCCATCCCAACACAGGAGAGTCTGTGAAAACCTGATGAAAAGACCATCAATGAAAAAACAATGCGTTCTTGATTTTTTGCAGGGCTTACTCCGCCTAGCAAAGGTCCACTACAGTGAGAAAATGGATTAGTTCTAGTTCAAGGGAAATAGCCTCGATAAATGGTTTCTTACACAATCGACGAAACAGCCCAAACAGATCCCAAGATTCCTTGATATTTTCCACGTTCTCTCAACGGCAAAATGTCAACCAGCACGACCTGCGACATCCCTAAGAGTCCCGCACCCCCAATGCCCTGAAATCCTCTAGCCACAATCAATTGAATCATGTTTGGAGCCAAAGCACACCACACGGTGGAAAGTAAAAAGACTACAATCGCAAAGGCAATCATCGACCTTCTTCCAAAGATATCTGAGCATCTGCCATATAGAGGTTGGAAACCAGTTGTGGTAATCATGTATGCGGTTGCGACCCATGGGAGCAGTGAGACGTCCTGTAAATCCGATGCGATTACTGGCAGAGCTGTAGCAACAATCGTCATGTCCATCGATCCCAGCAATGTAGTTAAACATAAACCACCCTAAGACACGATTAGGTCAGTTTTAGGCATTACAAACATTTGAAGTGCGTTTGATCATGAGTAAAACAACACACAGGCAAAACGATCGTGGTTCATCTCCATGATGTTCGCAGAGGAGCTTTACATCACAGCCAGATCTCCACACGGGCAAACTTACAAACACTAGAGCCAATTGCGTCGGAGCTAGCTTGATACTCTGATCCTGGACATGGTTCTTGGGCCTGTTTGTCTGATCCTCGGTCTCATCCTCCACCAGAGGTGTTTCCTGCTCTGGATTCAGTTTACTATCAGGGAAGGCTTGGATACAAATACATTTAGATTCGATCTCGATATCAATGTGTTCTGCAACGTCGATCCACTTACTAGCATTGTTGGGATTTTCAGATTGCTCCAGTTTTAGAGTTTTGGAGCTTTCGTCTGTTGGCAAGAGAGGGATCTCGTTGGTACGCTCTTGATCCATTCTGTCTCTAGAGTCCGCTAGATCTAACGATTTCATTTCACGTTCTGCTGGCCTGATTCAATTATGTAGCTTTCACTTTCTTTGCTGACAAAAGCTGTGGGCGGATATTGTCGAGGTTTTCAAATCCAACAGTCTATGACGACAGTACCAAAGTACGGGCGTTTCTGCTGCGTGTCAATGTATGCTAACTGTTTCAATGTGAGAAACGCGCCGGAACTGCTTGCATCATCGAAAATCACGTCTTGAAACACTCTAAGCTGATAAAGTAATCTATTATAATATTTAGTGAGGAAAGAACCTAAAAATAAACACTATTATTGACATCTATAAATGAGGTGGTTCAAGCCTATATCTTCTGGGTCTAGCACTACCCGTAGTCGAATCCAATGCTGCACTACTAGGAGACACGATAACTTGAGCACTAGCACTACTGAAATTCTTATTACTAGGAGTAGATGGCTCAATCTTTGATGTTCTTTTGCTGTTGGTCTGTATGGAGAGTTTTCCAGGCGCCATTTCAGGCTTGTCGTCATTCTCCTTTTGTTTACGACTGCTGGTTCTGGTGTGGTTTCCATGGGATGTTGATGGTGTTGTTGCAGTGCTATCCTTCGGCAGTCTAGTCCAGAAGTAGACGATTGCGTTCAGGGCGCCGCTAAGAGGCATGAAGAGAGAGTGCAGAATGACTAATGGATATGGCGAGCTTCCTTCAAAGTAGAATACGAGATTATCTACTGTTGGAGATGTCCTAGTTTTGAGAGACCTGTGAGCTCCTTGGAATGCAAAGGAAGGATTTTCTTTTTTTGGATTTACCAGACGAGGCAATAACAAACCAAAACGACAACAGCACGATTCCTAAACCTCTGTATAGTCGTCTCCATATCGTCAGATCCCAACGAGTCATTCTCAGCGCTGACCATTTTCAGAGCTCCATACATGTATACTCCAAGAGTAATAAGATAACAGGCCCAAATCGGCCCATAAAAGGCTTCAACACGTAACATTGGATATGCGTCACCGATCCAGCACCACTGTATGGTATCGGCGTATATATCTGTGGGTCCAAATGAAAGTACTCCAACACTGGCAAGCAAGAGAACTATGGCTCCTCCAAACGGCAAGCCCCAATTTATGATATGATAATACTTTTGCAAGTGGGCGATTTCCGAGTCCGTCTTATGGTGAGCAACCTGTAATACTTGGTGCAAGGCGATTGTCACCATCCAGAACGCCGATGCGAGATATCCAAATTGTATGAGGAAGGCCTGGGCTACACAAAAGCCTGCTAGTCCAGTACCATAAGGAAGCCTTTTACAAAAATGGGGTTGTTAGTTGTGATGGCGAGATGCTCTTGAGCTGTATCAATGTTCACCTGCTAAGAACACTTCCAAGTGCACCGATCACATTCGCAATGCATAAATACATCACTAGCCGACTCAGCGGCGATCTCCATTCCTTGACAAAGTATAAGGCAAGAGGAACACTGCCTGCTGCAACCAACGAGACAGTTGATGTTGTTGTTCCTAATATCTCAGATACAAGGATCTGCGATGTAGAGAGCTGAGCGATCACAGACGCCATCTCGTTCAAACACCTCTTGCTACAAGTTCCAGTGGCGTTGTCAAGGGGGAATTGGTATTTCTGGAATGGACTAAATTTTTGTTTGGAGTTTTACTGCGTTAATGTGATTGGTGTTTGATTGGGTGCCTTTCGCCGGAAGGATTGGCGAAGGGTTGGTAATCCGGCAGGACTGGATGCCACCAAGACCTTTAAGATCTATGCATAGACATTGGATCAGATATGCGTGTCACATGGAAAACCTGAAAGCAAACATACCCAAAATACTCGATGATAAATTGAGAGGTCGACAATAATATAGTTCCAAGCAATGCACCAGCAAAAGCACACATTGATACTTCAAACAAGGCACGATTCCGTCCTCCACGAGCAGCCGATAGCCATTTGAAGGAGCCGGGCAAAAGCTCGTAAAATGACATTGCAGACATTATGCCGGCTACGAAAGCTAGAATACTATTCACTGATGTCTCATCCTGCATTGAGAGGCCCACACTTTTCAACATTACTATCACTAAATCCATAAGGATTGTGTTTAGTTTGTGGTTTTTGTCTGTTGATGAAATATGTCAGTCTTTTACCCAAAACTCCAAGCGGTTCAAACAAGCCATTCCTAACAATCAAAAGCGAGCGAAAATCAATCGGCATCAATTTCAATATTAGCAGAGCCTGAAAAACAGTCAGCCAAACCCACCCAAAGCAAAGCAACAAAACCTTCATGGGCGAGTTTGTCGCCGCGAATATCGTAACACTTAGCACCATCCCTTCGGGAATATTATGTACCATAATAGCAATACACATGCTGAGCCCCAAACTCATATCACTGCTCGTAGCTAACGCGACAGATATCCCTTCAGGCAGATTATGTACTGCCATTGTGAAAAACACCATCATAGCCATCCGAACGACACTGCGTGGTGGCTTATTCGTTGATGGCCTTTTGATACGGAAAGTGTGAATCAGTTGTGGTGCGATTCTCATCACAGAAAACTACTTGATACTCACGAAGCAGGCAGCTGCTCATGGCGTTTCGTCGACGCGACCAGACTGACGATATCGGATTCATCAGCCTCAGGAACCAGCTTCTCAATGATGAGCATCATAATAAGTCCAATCGCGAACCAAAAGAATGCGCTGGGCCAGCCCAAATTAGGTATTGATTCGAAAAACAAGAGTTCAGACGACAACAGCTAACGGGTGAAGTTGGTCAACATTGGATATTTAAAAAAAGATCGATTAAATAGTAAACGATGTGTACCAGCATAATTCCAGCTGACATGGCTTGTAGTCTTCCAAATAATCGATTCTCCAGCGCTCCCGATGGTTTGCTGTTTTTGGGCAGCAGAAGCAACGAGACGGCTCCGCCCAGAAAGGTACCTGTTCCGGCTATAAAGCTTAACAACAGTGGGTACAAAAGGCTACCATCTGACATCCTGGTTCTTCTTTGGCTCTATGTACTGGGTTTGTGTGTATTGCTTGTGATGGAGTACGAGAACGGACGCAAAACACAAACAAGACATGAAATAGTGAAGAATGCTATCATAATCATTGTGCAGAAAATCCATTTTAGAGCATTGCGACAATCTATAATGATATATGTGACTATAATTTACTACAATCCAACATCTGTATGTTCTAATGCGTTTGTACTATATGTAAGTAGAAGCCTTCTCGTTCTGCTCTCTGCCCTCCTTGACAGCCTCACAAGCCTCCTTAACCAACCTGCCAACATTCTCCATCTCATTTTCCGACATATTGCCATCACCATACAACTGCGAATTCCTATACCAAAGTCCCAGCAATTTCGCCAGATTCATGTAATGAAAATTCCCCCATCGTTCAGGATGCTGTACTTCTATATGTGCTGTACCGAGTCTAGCATATGTCATATACACTTGCGTGGCCCCGTGAGCAGCAATAGTCACATCGTATGATCCAAATGTCTGGATTTGTTTGATTATATCGAGTTGCGAGAAATCAACCATGTCGATTGTCGTGTTGGGATCTAGTTCGGTGCGTAGTTTGGCGACGAAATCTCGTTCATTGCTGATTTTACGACGTATCGATTTGCCTGCATAGTCTCGTCGTGAGACTAGGAGGACTCGTATTTGATCGGATGAGTGTTGTTTCCGTATTTCGAGAGGCGCAAGGTTGAGCGAGTCCAACACGAATCGTGAGAAGGACTGACGCAAAACGATGAGTTGAGTTACGATTGTTGTAGAACGGACAAAAAAGGACAACTCACTTGGAATAAATGATGACTACACGGTGTGTTGGCACCCACAGAATTACTATACGGTGTCGCACCACCTCTAACTCCAACCACAAGCTTCTTTACACACAATCGACGTATACCAGGCTTGGCTAGCTTCAGATCATACAAGCTCAAAGCCGGCTTTGCTGAAAATACTCCATTCCATAACGGTAAGGCAGGACCATCCGGTTGACGATCATCTAGAAACACGACCTGAGTATTTCGTTTGTATAGTTTCAAGACTTGGTATGCAAGATGTGCCATTATCAAGTCCTCATCTACCCAACAATAAAAATGTCAGAAACGTTGTTGGGCGTTGCGTTGACCACAAGCCAGGGAAGCCCCGGCTATTCGCGATCTATGAGTCTTTTCGACATTCCAGGCACACTTAAACAACACAAAGCCGAAAAGATAATACTTACGAATATGGAACACATTCGATGAATCCCATCTCTGATGCATATACATGACCTGATCTCCGAAATCAGCATCACAGCTGGCCTCATCCGTAACATCAAACGCATCACTCAGCCACTCCTTTGTAAACCCATCTTTGACATCACACGATACACCTACTACAGCTCCCTTGGCACCAATTATAGGTACAGGGTTTGTCGTTATGTTGTGAGATGGCAGTGTCAGTTTGTCGAGATCTACAATGACATTTTCTCCTTGACAGATTGGTTGCAGTATTCCATTGACAGTATATTCGTAGCATCGCAATGAGGAGGAGCGTTTGGTCTTGTCGATTGTTGGAGTGCATATTGGCTTCACGTTGGCTCGCCAACTGTTCACAATGTCTGGGTAACAAACGTCGTCGTCATCTACAGGAGTGGCATCGAGCAGGTGCTGAGATCCATGCTCTGAGGCCCGTATATCTGACTCGAATTCAGTCGGGACTGGTATTTGTCGTGAGGATCGAGGTTCGTTGTTTGGCGCAACAACCTTTGGGTAGATAATCAGCCCTAGAGTGACGAATACTATGAGAATCAAGACATTGCTAACTACACGAGATCTCTTCATCCGAATCGGGGAGCCCGCCCTGTAGGACATCTAAGGTTATACGCCTCTTGCGTCTTGGCGTCGCAACGTTGTGGTGAGTTGCAGATGAAGGGCAGAGCCCAACGCACAGATTAGTTTCGCCATAAGAAACCTCGTCTCATCGACCACATAGACGCTTTTCGAATTTACGATGCTCGGAACTGTGGCAGTCCTAGAGAAAAACTGGTCTTTCTTTTAATCCAACTACTAAAACAATGGCCTCAATGGTTCTTTGTCCTTTTTCTGAGTTGACGACGTGTCACGGCAGGCTTGACGACGTGTCAGGCTCTAAATGCCTCCTGCCTGACAAATCCAACCATCGTTAGCTTTCAACATTTGAGTGAATTAAAATATGTGCCTGAATTTGTCAGGGTCTGACACGTACCCCTCTGCGCTTACGTTTCTGTCAAACTCTCAAACCCCTTGAAACCAAAACATTGGCATTCTCAACCAAATCCTTAGTTCATTTCCCAGACACACCCCTCACAACTATGTGGAACTACGACCAACTCCCGTCGCTGACTGGCAAAAATATCATCATCACTGGCGCCTGTAAGTTTGTTAAACAATAGTAATGCTTGTGGCTTTGTCTCCAACTCTTTCGCCTCCCACTAGCTGCTGGCCTTGGACTCGCCTCTGCCATCGAGCTGGCCACGAAGGGCGCAACTATCTTCCTATGTGTTCGCTCGCAAGCCCGTGGAGATGAAGCCTTACAAAAGATTCGGGCCGCAACGGATAAGGGTGTTCTCGAGTTGGCAATTTTTGATCAAGCCGACTTGAAGAGTGTAAGTTGCATCTTTCTGTTTCCTTGTCTTGTCCTTCTCGAGGGAAGCAACATCTTGCAACCCTCCTTGGTTTTGGTGTCGCCAAGAAGCCTCGTTTGTCTCTTATATTTCCAACTTTTTAGATTGAAACTTTTGCAATCAGCTTCAAAGCTCGAGGCATCCCTCTCGACGTGTTGCTCTGTAATGCCGGCATTGCTCTAGTACCCTTCGAGTTAATAGAAGGTGTAGAACGTCACTTATTTATCAACCACATCAGGTAAGGAAACGACGCCTTTTCCAACAAGAAAGGAAACCCTGGCTTCATTGCCTGACCACTTCTTTATCTACACATCTAGCCATATGTATCTGGTCTACTTGCTCGCCCCGCTTTTAAAATCCACTCCCAAGAGCCGTCTCGTTATGGTATCAGCCCGGGCAATCGACGTTCTCAGGAAGGTCCCAGTCTGGGAAACAGACAACACCGAGGCTAGCAAATACTCGCCGATCTTTGCCTATGCACATTCCAAACTGGCCAACATTGCCTTTGCCAATGCCATGCAAGAGAAGCTGGGTGCAGGGGTATTCGTCAACTCTATCGACCCGGGTCCGGTTGTCACTAACATCTTGGCCGGGGTTGCAAAGGGATGGCTCTCCGTCGCCACGCACTTAGCCACAGCCCTCCTTGGAGTTAGTGCTCGGGATGGTGCCGTTAATCAGGTCTACTGCTCTGCTGCTACGGAAATAGAGACTCTCAATGTGCATGCCACATACTTTGTAAGTTCGGTGATGGGTCATGAGGGGCATTGTCGTTTTAGAGGTCAAGCTCTCTCCTTAAGACTTAAGACGCTTTAAGTTAAATGTCGCCTGTTTTTGTTTCTTGTAGACCGGCCGACTTAAAGCTAAGGCAGTCAAACTGGCAAATGATCCTAAACTGATAGACTCACTCTTCAACTACTCTGAGGCCGTTATCAAACGAGTCACTGGCGCGGAGCTACCAACATTTTAATCCATCAACGTCTCTCACTTTATCCTCAGTATATTACCTGTTTAAATCAATAAAACTTTGAATCAGTCAATTCTACGCGTCGTCAGCCTCAGTTGCAATGAGATTGATGATGGTTTGACTGCCGAACAAATTCCAATCAAGGTACACTATCAGCCCCAGACAAAAGAAGAAAGATTGTCTGATCGAGACCATGGACTATCCTTAAAACTTACGTTACACGGTATACTATCAGCCCTGGAAAAAAAGACTGGTCTATTTTCACTCGGACTACTAAACCTGTAGCCTCAAACTGAAGGATCTTTGTCCCTATTCTGAGTTGACGACGTGTCAGGCACGCAAGGCTTATAGAACCTAAGCCTGCCTGACAAATCTAATCAATGTCTGGTTTCAAGATTTGAGTGAATTAGTTGAGATTGGATCTGTCAGCCTAACCCCTACTGACACGTCGTCCCTGGCGTATTGGCAATGCGTTTTCTTGAATTTTCAAATCTAGAAACCAGACATAATTCTCAATCAAAGCTCTTGACGTTCGCCAAACCTCATCTCCCTCCCTAACACCCCTCACAACTATGTGGACCTACGACCAACTGCCGTCGCTCAACGGCAAAAATATAATCATTACTGGTGCTTGTAAGTTCGTAGCACCATGGGCTTGTGGCTTTGCCTTCTTTGTCTCCAACTCTCCCGTCTCCCCATCATGATTAGCTGCTGGCCTGGGCCTCGCCTCTGCTATCGAGCTAGCCAAGAAGGGTGCAACTATCTTCCTCTGTGTTCGCTCGCAAGCACGTGGAGACGAAGCTTTACAACAGATTCGGGCTGCAACGGATAAGGGAGTTCTGGAGCTGGCGATTTTTGATCAAACCGACTTGAAGAGTGTAAGTCTACATCTTTTTCGCGGGTTGTCTTGTCTTTTATTTCTCCAAGGAAGCAACCATCTTGCAACGCTCCTTCGTTGTCTCTGTTGACAGATATTTTTTTCATATCTTTTAGATTGAAACTTTTGCAATCAGCTTCAAAGCTCGAGGTATCCCTCTCAACGTGCTGCTCTGTAATGCGGGGGTTGGCTTGGTGCCATTCGAGCTGATTGATGGTGTAGAACGTCACTTACTTATCAACCACATCAGGTAAAGGAACCGAAGCCCAACGTCTTTCAAACAAGAAGGCGGCTCTGACTTATACATGGTATGTCTGATAATTCTTCCGTCTGCCATCTAGCCATATGTATCTGGTCTACTTGCTCGCCCCGCTTTTAAAATCCACTCCCAAGAGCCGTCTCGTCATGGTATCAGCAAGGGCAATCGACGTGCTCAGGAAGGTCCCAGTCTGGGAAACAGACAACTTGGAGGCTAGCAAATACTCGCCGATTTTTGCTTATGCAAACTCTAAGCTGGCCAACATCGCCTTTGCCAATGCGATGCAGGAGAAACTGGGTGCAGGAGTGTATGTCAACTCTATCGACCCAGGTCCGGTTGTCACTAATATCGTGACCGGGGTCTCAAAGGGATGGCTCAGCGTTGCCGCTCATATAGCCACAGCCCTCTTTGCAGTAAATGCTCGAGAAGGTGCCGTCAATCAGGTCTACTGCTCAGCTGCTACGGAAATCGAGAGTCTGAATGTGCATGCCACGTATTTTGTAAGTTTCTTTAAGGCTCGGTGATGATTATCTTTTTAGAACTCAAGCCGTCTCCTTAACAGTCTTTTGCTAACAAAATTTTCTGCTCTGTGTAGACCGGCCGACTTAAAGCTAAGGCAGTCAAGCTGGCCAATGATCCTAAACTAGTAATATCACTGTTCAACTACTCTGAGGCCGTTATTAAACGAGTTACTGGCGCGGAGCTACCAACATTTTAGTCCAGCAACCGGCTCCCTTTATTCTAGTCCATATGATTGCTGTTTAAACCCAATAAAACTTTAGATCGCTCAATTCTAAGAGTCGCTCGCCTCAGTTACAATGAAGATGATGATGGCACTTGCTCAAAACGCGAATCAAGTCGTCACTGTCGACTCTGACTGCGCCACAACATCCAGAAGGTAGACGGTACACCATCGGCTCTGAACACAAACCAATTTATTTTACTACTAACTATGGCCTCACAGGATCTTTATCCTTATTCTGAGCTGCGCTACTACTACTGCTACTTGACGTAGCAGCAGCAGGTTGTGTACTCGCTACCCCTGAACTGAATGAATTAGGCACATGCATCAGTTCAGTCAATTGGGTCAATTGAGTTACGACACCATTCAATTGCCGTTGCACATCTTGTATGGCACGTATGCGCGACAAGATTGCTTCACGATGTGTTCCTTCTAGTTGTGTCAATTGCGTATCTGTCAAGTGATCGAGCACTGGTAGTGGTGGAGATGATTGTGTTTGTCCTAATACCAAATATAATATCGGAATTATTCGTTTCTTTCCTATCATAGTGCCTTCGAGATACGAAGTGTTACCTTGCAAGCCATATCCCATTGGTAGTAATGGCGTCAGCGTTACAGGAAAGACGCCAGAACTTGTATGAATCGAAGTCTATTTTGGAAGAGACGGAGTGGATTCAGTTGCGAGCCGAAAAAAAAGACGGAAGCGCTCTCGTAGAATTACCGTAAAGTCAGACACAGAAGCTCCTCTAGACAATGAAGGGTGACCTGTCGATGAACCAGATGGCCCAGACCATGCAGAAGGATTCCATGGATGGAAGAGTTGAGCATCTGGTTGTGGAGCTTGACCTGATAGTTGTGGTGGTTGATGCTGTTGATGTGCTGGGGGTTGCTGAGGAGGCGCTGCTGCAGGAGCTGGAGCTGCAGCTGGTCGAGGAGGTGCTACGTCTGTGTTCAAACAGGTTGATCATGAAATGAAACAAGCTAGATTTCTAATAGACGAATTACTTACTCTCTGTCAGCACCGATCGACGACTATTTAGATAGAAAGCAACGTGTGAGCTCCAGGAACATACGTAAAGCGCAACAGCCACAATCAGCAGCAACAATAAGGCCCCAAAAAACACTCGTCGAAGTCAGGTGTATGTCTTACCATGTCGGACAACTCTGCTGCCTCTCTAGCCAACTCCTCAAGCACCTGAAATGGAATGTATGCCCACACGGTAGCTTCTTAGGAGTATCGGGATGACTTGCTCGAGCAGGACCTCTTTGAGCAATTGGAGGATTATTCTGTACATTCATTTCCTCTCTACATATAATACAAGTGCGATCTGCACCAGCTAGATCAGCAGCAGTAGCATCCGGATATCGTGAATCCATGTTACGAGTTGCACGACGATACTGGATTAGGTCTTTGACGCGTTGGACAAAAGATCGAAGAGTCATGTACAAGTCTCGTATGATATGGAGTGGTAGACCGTAGAAGTGGACTACGATTCCAAAGAAGAGGCAGTATGTTGCCAGTTTTATAAAGTCTAGGAAGAATTGAGTTGCTAGGTTAGTCTTCAATGTCCAACCACTAAAGGGAGTGTTGTTCAATGTATTACCGATGACTAGATCGACATAGAATATGTACATGGACTTGTCCTCCCATGGATTTTCATTTCGAAGATCAATAGTGTGTAGGACATATTTGGCAGTAGTTGATATAACGAGCGACAGCAGTATCGTGTACTAAGTACGGCAGGTTGGGAAGTTAGGTGTGGTTTACTCAATCGCTACTGCGTTTGGTCATTATTACGTGACCGTTTTTTACCTCGAAGCCGAAGATGATCATCATACTAGGACCTTTCCATAATGTATACGAGACCGAGTATGCGAGCATGCAAGAGTCGACAAGCAACATGATGAGGTTGATGCTGACGATTCGAATATGAAACAACCAAGATAGATTAGGTGTTTGTTCCATCTAAAGAATAGAAGAGGAGAGTTACATAAGGCCAAAACGAGTGAATCAAAGTGCAGGATACGAATTCACTTACAAAGTCCACCCGATCTTGAGACAACCAATGAAAGATTTTGACAGACAGCAGTATGACAAACATGGAGAGGAATTTGACATCAAAATCATCACGAAAGATGGTCATTGCCAAACAAGTTTCCGTGACAGCAAACCAAGACTTTTCATACAAGTGCTGTGAGTGTGGTGTGTGTGAGTAAACAGAGTGGAGAAGCCTTCAACAGTGGAGATACGTATATCTCATTGACAATTTTCAATACTTGTCTCCTCCAACAAAGAAAACGCCTCAACGCACCTCGACTTCCAACGGTCTCAAATCACCAAAGAAAGCACGTTGTGCTCCACGACCAAATATGATAGTAGAGAACAAGCCCATATTGAGTAAGATCAGAAGACATATAGGCGAGCTGGTGAGGTGTATGCAAGTAGCATAGAATTGAGCATTGCGTTCAAAGATTGCATGCAAAGTTACGGTACTGGCAAGAGATGTCGACAGCAAGCCATACAGGGCGAGTCTCGACACCATGATCACCAAGGTATCACGTGTGCGCTACTTCGAAGAGCTTCTTTCTTGTCCTTGAAGTTGTTTCGTGTTGACAAGTTGTCGTTGTACTGATTTTCTCAAATCACAACAGTAATCTCACTCGCAAAACACTGCATTAATTTAGGACGTGTTTTGGACATAGTAAACCAGCAATATAAAACAATGGTGCCACCATCCGCATCGTCACTAGTCAGATACGACAATCCTCTCCTCGTGTCCAAAGTAGATCCAAATTCCGTCACTTCGCCAAATATCAATAACAGAAAGGGGGGCGCGACAGTTACTGGTTCAACCTCTTCTCCTCAGGGAAAGCCGCAAATCCCCTCTCCTACACGAAGACTCCCTCCTGTATCCACTCTAGACTCCTCCTCCCCGTCTTCAAATGCCGCCAACAGGGCTAAATCACCTACATCCCAGACTGATGATATCTTGAATAGCATCCTGCCTCCAAGGTATGTGGAATCTTGTATTGCATGTGTAGGGTGGTGGATCAGGTGTAGGGCTGGATTTGAATGACAGATCTATGCTGGATCTAGTCTGGAACGATTGTCAAAGAGAGTCGAGTTGGAGAACTCTTTTTATGTGAAAAGACTGCATAAAAACACAGAGTTGACGATGAGGAAGAGTGTAAACGGACGAATTTTAGAATCGCTGCTTTCTACGCATCTAGGACTACCTGTAACGTGTGAGTATGTCTCACCAAAACCTTGAATGGTGTAGGGAATGGGAAGAGAGTGGACAACTATGGGTTCAAAAAGTATCATCAACACCTGCAACCCGATTAGACGTTATAAATCTTCAGGTACACATACATTGCAAACATTTTGATCGCTTTTTTTGCTCCTCTAACAAAACACTCGTTTGTAGGAACAACTAGACCATATGCTACAAAAGAGACAAGCACGAGAAACTGGTATCTGTCCAGTTCGACGAGAATTGTACAGTCAATGCTTTGGTATGCACAAAAAAACTTGCCATCGAGAAAGATTTATGTTGCTCACAACACTCACCGTCTCTCTTTCGCAAACAGATGAACTTATTCGTCAAGTAACGATTTCATGTCAAGAGCGTGGTCTGCTCTTACTTCGTGTCCGTGATGAAATCAGAATGTCGATTGCTGCATACCAAACACTATATGAATCGTCTGTGGCTTTTGGAATGCGTAAAGCTCTGTATGCCGAACAAGGCAAAGTGGACAATGAAGTCAGGGTATGTTATTTTGATTGTTATGTGTTACCTTTGGTGTTTTGCCACCCATGCACAAATGGGCATCGCTTGTCGCAGGCTCACACCAGCAACATGCTATTCCAACATCCACAACATCATCAGGTTACTCACCCCATTCTATGTTAGATAAAAGATTTAGAAGATGAGAAGAAGGCCCTGGAAACACAAGTATCTGAACTCAAATCGAAATGTGAGGCCATTGAGAAACGAGAGGCAGAACGTAGGCAGGCTGAAGAGAGGAAGCATAATGAGGAAATATCCTTCCTCAAGAAGACGAATGTACAATTGAAGGTAACAATCATTGCGAGACTGATTCACGAAAGGGAAATGCATCAATCTGATATGACTTATTTCGCCGTGTAGACACAACTGGAAGGAATCTTGAGCCCGCAAAAGAAATAGACGCAATCCTCCACCCACAATAATTTTTTAAACCTTTTTTGATGATATTCTTCGTCAAGACACTGTGTTTGTGGTGTATTATTGATGGACCATTGTATATCCCTTGTTTAAACCAAAATGCAAAGAGACTTTTCTTTTTATAACTTCCAAACTATATTTGTGGGTCCTTTTTGTTATGAATCCGTGCCCAAAAACGAGTCTCTATACATTTATATGGGGCATGAGTGTTCGGTCTGCAACTTGGTCTCACTTGGCTTTAGCAGGCTCATTCTTCACCACGAGAACAGGCACCGCCATATTATGAACCAAAAAGTCCGACACGCTCCCGAGAAACATCCTTCCAACCATTGTTTTTGATGTTGTTCCTACTACAAACAGGTTCAAATCTGGATGATCTCTGTCAAAGTATTCTTTGAGTAGTTGAGCAGTGTCTCCTACAAAGCAAAAGGATTAGTCAAAAACCTCAAACGTCGTCCACTTGGATCATTGAACTCCAAACCTTCTCCTTCAATATTGACAAACTCATAGTTGGCCTTGTTGCGATAAAACACATCCAAATGAGCCTTGCATTCCGTCAATTCCTTTTTGGCGTCTTCGTGGATTTGTGTGTTGAAGCCTTGTTCGATAGAGTCCCTATACATGACACAAATGTTGGTTCAAATTATTGACGACAAGAGTCATGATTCAAACGTACATTCCAGGAAGAAGAGCAGGAGGATTCAGAGCCACTACGAACGCGATGTATATCATGTAGGGCACTTTCATGTTCATACATAGATCCACGGCAGTTTGTAGCGCTTTAAGAGATCCTGGTGTGTTGTTGAATGCCACGCCAACTTTGTACCTAGTAGTCAAGAAGGTGTATGTGAGCTTCAAAGTTCCTTTGAATGGTAATTCTCTACTGAGACGGTTGTCGCTTGACAAAAGCCAACAGCCCAATGGTTCAATGTCTGCTGTTAGCACGACCCAAAGGTCAACCAAACGAGCTCAAAGGGTCGAATAGCTCAAATATAAATGCATTCAAAGCAGAATCTTCACCAAATCTCCTCATATCTTGCCAGCTCGTAGAAACTTTTGCCCAGACAGCAAGAAACAAGCTTTGTAGAACTGTGTTGCTATTTACTCACATAGGAGCCACAGCGGCAGCAGCATCAGTGGTCGACATTGTCAAGTATGTGTATCTTGGTAGCTCGGGTAAGTTTTAATGGTCGTTGCTTGTTCTTGTTGTCGTGAGGTCTGAGGTGTGAGTCAACGAACGTTCTGAGAAGATGTGACTACGTTTGACAGAAACGCAAACCTACAAAGAAACACCTCCCAAATCACGAACATTTTCGTGTCCTTTGGACTATTACAACGACACACGCCAGGGACACACGTCACCCGTCATACATTTATCCACGTCAAATTTTTATTGGTCTTCACTTTATATATACTAACTTTTAAGTGGATACAGTATGTGGTGCCCTCATGACAGCTATCAAAGGCTCCATTCCTGGCAGGCTTGGTGTTGCTCCCTTGGATGTCTTTGGTTGGGTGTGCTGTTGTTTGGACGAAGGCTTTTGGTCTGCTGTTGCTGTTACTAGTTCCTTGCCTTTCGCGACACTAGGATATGGGAATGAGGTCGGAGTGTTAGTGACCAATTGCGAGGCAGTTGTACTGACTGGTTTTTTTGGCGTTTCAAGATGGAACTCACCCATGCCCGAGAGTGACGTTGAACGTCTTGCGTATCAATGTTTCCTCTGATATGGCCACATAGGCACCTGGTCCTGGGATTTCTGATGTCTTGTTGTCTTCTAGGAATCGTTTCTCCTATGGAAGTAGTTGTAGCCATGAGTACCTTGTTTTGCTTTGCACGTTGATCAATTTAACATACTGTGGAAACAAAAGCCCCATTGCCCATCTTGTTTGAGTGAGCAACATCGTACTGATTTGGACTTGGGAATTCTTCCTTGACTGCAAACAATTCGCCTTTGGCAGCTCCACTTGAAATGTGCGGTGCCATCCGGCCTCCCTTTTGCAGTTTCTCGAATGCTTCTGCAACGTCGTATGAGCCTGGTGGTGGAAGATCTACAATAGTTTTTGAAAAGTGTGGGACGTATAAGTCATGCATAATGTCAGTGACTTCCTTTGTTTTTGTTCTACAGTTTTCCTACCATGATGCTTTTGATCTCCTTCAAACCGTTCTGTCTGTGTTCCAAACACTGGAATATGGGCTAGCTGGTATGGATCAACAGCCACTGCACCGCTAGCTGTAACATATGCGTAATGCGTTCGAATGAATCGTGGGGCAGTGATTTCTTCAGGTAGTTCAGGATCAAATGCTGACCTTTGAACTGGTATTGGGTTGTATGAGTTTGGTGCTGGTGATGGAGCCTGTGACCAAAAGTGTCAATCCAAATAATCTTTGACTGTTTTTTTTTTTGGCTTTTCGTATTAAGCGAGAAATTGGCCTAGACTTACAATCTTTCGAGGCTTAAATCTCTCACTTGATGCACAGAATGGTCGTAAGTGTGCTGTCTGAGACATTTTAGCTTGGATTTCGATTTCGTATTGGCCGGGTGCTGGTGCTGTAGCAGCCCGTAGTTCGTCTGCTGATTCGAATCGCTTTGATTTTGAGCCAAAGCTTGCTGTTTTTGGTTTCAATCTCTACGAGATGGCAAAATAACCGATGTTGGCAATCGTAATATACTACGAAAGCTGTGAGGTGAAGTTTTACCTTGACTGCTGCTGGATGAGCAACATTGTACGCCGCAGGACTGGGCGTATGTAGTTGTTCTTGATTCAAGTATCGTAATCCAGTATCTGAGACTACACGAGAAGTGTGGGGCTCAGAATGGTAACCAAAAAGAAGACCAATCGAAAAGTCATACCTGAATGCATAAAAGGTCTCCTCCTCTTAACTTCCTTCAATGCCCCGACCTTGATCTCATAAGCACCTGGAGCTGGCGTAGCTTGCTTGACAGCGGTAGCAACAATATTCTCCATCATTCTCCTACATTCTGAAGCTGCTGGTGGTGGCACTGTATGCACATGAGTACTTCGTAGTGCCCGTTCTGCAGCTGCTACATCATATTGTGTCGGAGATGGTGTTGCGAGATCAGATTGTCGGATCAATGATGTTCGAGGGCCTTTGCCGAAACGAACACCCTTTGTTGATAGTGTTGAGGGGATGATGGTTTCTTTGTCGGTAGTCTGGTTTGGCAAAAAAAAAGCGTGAGCAAATGCGTAAATAGAAAGTTTTGATTTCTGTATCATAATTTACCTCTCCAGGCTTATTGCCTTCTTTTGGAACTTTGCGAGGCAACAGTTCACCATCTATTTTACAAACACACAAATTGAGTAAAAAGCACTCTCTGTATCAAGCGATCGCTGTTGCTCTTACTATTCGTTTCATCATATCCATGGGCCATCTCTCCAACAGGGATACTAGGAGGCACGAACTTCCTCTGCCAAACAACCTTGGGAGGTTGTGACGATTGTATTTTGGCGTTGAATGCTGCCGCTCTACTTGACATGCGTCTCGTATCAGACTCGACCCGATAGTATCCAGGTCCAGGTACATTCGAGTCTCTAGTTTGGAATCGTTCTGCCTGCGATTTGCCGAATTGGACAACTTTTGTTGGTCCATGTGCTGGGTTCAAAGAATACGTGCATGGTGGCGGATTTTCGGCTGGTTGAGGCAGAAAGACTTCTTGACGTGGCGTTAATGACAAGAATGGTGCATATCCATCACATCCAAGTAATTTGCCTGGTGGGAGCTGTCTGTCTGTTTCGTAACATCCTGGGGAGAGAGATGGATTTTGGAGTGTTGCTGTTGGTAGAAACTGACGTGGAGCTCTTGAATACATCGTTAGACGCGTTAAGGACGCCTCGTTTGGAAGCCAACAAAATTTTGGTTGTGTTTGATTCAAGGTTTTATTTCCTCGTACTCGCGCAGCAACAAATTCAGGCAATCGCCAACAAGATGTACATCACATATATATGACTTTATTTACAATCTAACGTGCAATAATGCAGTAGCCCCATATGATACTAACATGATACTAACACCTATATACAAAATGATACTACTATCTCCCTTTTCAGGTATTTAGAAGAAACTGGCAACGATAGCAGCCAATGCCATCATTGCAGTCCCGATGCTTCCGGCCACTTTGACTGAATCTGAAGCAGTTTTGGTAACTTCAGTGGTGGGTTGAGTCGTGGTTCCGTTAGCAATCGTAGTTCCGCTACACTTGGATAGCAGTACTAGTTTGTTGAATGTATATGGCATACGAGTAGGCATGAACTGCAAGAACGTCAAGTCTTTGATATGCTGCCAGTCATAAGCACCTCCTGCTACATTCTAAAACCAAGAAAAGGTTTAAGTGGTTTGAATTGTCCAAAGATTTGTTCCCATCCTTCGCCTACACACCTGACCAAAATCGGCAAAGGGAATGAAGACGGACTGGTGAGATCCGTTGGGAATTATGTAATCGGAGAGCTTCTTGTATATGGAGTCGGTCAGTCTGTCGACACAGTTTGGTGCTTTTTGTGTGAAGGCGATTTGGAAGTCACTGCCGGCTGGGAAGACAAAGCTCATCTGGAGGCCCGTGTATAGTGTAGCATTGAAACATGCTACGAACGTAAACGAAAAGTTAGTATCGGTTTTTGGTATCGCAACATCAAGTGGGTTGTTCAAGAAGACTATTAGAATCTACCATTAGGATCAAACTTGAGAAAGAAATAATTTGTGCCGTTGAGTCCAGCCATAGAGTTATCAGGAAAGATCGTCCCGTTTCCCTTGTTGTCAATTGTAATATTACCCTGAATACCAACACCTATAAATGAACAGTCAGAGACGGCCGCAGAGTCGCATAACAAGCAATTCGTCCAACATTACTGCCTAGCACTAACCTCCATAATCACCACCAAGAAGGTCGTAAATGCGGTCATTACCTATAGTAACCAAACATGTTAGCGCCTGTCACTTCACTGTCATTTGCTCAAAACTGAATCTGCTACAACATAGCATATGGACAGAGCGCTTTACCAGCTGGTCCAGTCAATGGACGGTTCGCACTGATGAAATCATCAATCAAGAGATTTTCGACACATTGTGCCTGAGCTTGAGATACAGCTGCTAAACCAACCGCTGCGAGTGCAATGAGTTTCATGTTTAATGGTCAAGGTATTGGTAAGGGGAGCGTTGTTGAATATCTTTCAGGACTTGATATGCGATCTGGAACACTGAGACTGAGTGGCCGGTTGTGGTAGCCAATAAGTGGAACACTGTTTTCGATGCTTTCGTTTTTCTTGTCTTTGATTGGAGTAAGAAACGTAGACCGTTTTGGAGGACGGAAAGCAATCATTCAACTTGATTGATTTGGATATCGTTCAAATGGATGGTACAAATGGACAACTATTATTTCCTTTGTACAAAGTGAAGCTGTGGACCGTAAAATCTTTCACCTTTGGATAAAAATGCAGACACGCTCCTCCTTCACCTTTGGATAAAAATGCAGACACGCTCTGAAGAGACGCTTAATGATACAACGGGACGACAAGCGGAGGAAATATACGTGATTTCGTTACTTCTTATTTACTGGTTTGATTCGGCTGCAACTGCACGAGATGCTACATCCTATAGCTTGTAAGTACACTGTGATTGTCTTTCCTAACAATTGGCCGCCGTTACTGCCATTCCTAACATCTGACTATCTAATAACCATAGTTTTCGTATTCATCCACCTCATCTTCCCTATAATTAACAAACCCATTCAGTAAAACCCAACAAGCTTGCTTCAAAAAGCATTCATATCTACCATTGACTGTCACTAGCCTTAACAAACCAACTGACAGTGTCCAACGTAATGCCTCTAACCCCAATGCTCTCATCCGTCATCGTCTCAATCGCAATCCTAACCTTTGACGCAGCAGCTCTAGCATGTGCAGCAGCTTCAATCGTCTCAATACTACCATCGGTGATCCCACAGGTCAACTGCCCCAATTTGCGACATCCAACTATAATTTTACGTATATCGGCTATGGAGAATTTGATTGCACCAGTAAAATCAAGTTTGGTTACATTCAAGCATCGTGATAAACAATCCGCGGCGATGGGTTCAGTAATTTCTTCTTCCGTGTCACTATACAGCTGGATTGATTTTAAGGATTGCGGGATTCGACGGATGAAACCAGGGAGGTTTCCGAATATGGCGTCGTCGATAGAGCAGAATATGGTTTCGAGGTTTGGGAGGTCACGATTGAATTCTGCGTGTGTGAGATGTTCTCCAGGTGACAAGATTTCGATTTTGCGTAAACTAGCATTGGGTTCTATTACGATACTGTAATCGTTGGGAGTAATGGTTTCGATCATGAATACACCAATTCGACTCAATTCACGGATAGTACGGTTGTGTCTAAAGAGCTGACGGAAGAGACCTGGGTCTAGTTCTACAAGCCTAAAATCTACAACCTGCAGATTCGGAAACACAACACCTTGTTCGTTGACCATACATTCCTCCTTGAGAGACAAATTAGACAACGACAAGTCCGACAACGACATTCTACCTCTATGAGCCAGACTAGCAAACAACGGAAACGTAATGTTGGGTAGGTCATTCTCAGACAATGACAAGCTGAATGACACCAACGCGAGGCCTGCTAATGCTAGTGTGATTTCTGGTTTGGCCTTTTTACCAGACAATGACAAATCTGTTATATTGGGGCATCGTGTAGCGAGTGCTCGGAGATGATTTGGTGTCCAAGTATCGTAATCTCGGATGGATAGTTTGGTAAGAGTTACTGGAGCTGCAAATATCAGGTCAGGGTGGCCATAGATCTCGAGGTTTTTCAAGTTTATACAACCATGTAGACCAGCGGCTGGAAAGCTGAGGTGAGAAGTTCTATCAGCTCTACAACCTTCATTGCAATGCGACACTCCCACCATACTCACTCTGTCCCATCTTCAATGCTCAAACTCTTGACATGCAACAACTGTTGCTGATCGTAGGACGTCCGATTGTTCAATATAGCTTGAGCACACCTGACCCCATAATCATCAACATGCCAAACACGATACAATTTCGAAACTGCGACTGCATTGAATTCCTTGCAAACTAAAGCAAAGCTCTGCAACGTCCTCTTGTCATAAGTATCGTTGACAAATGACAGGATATCAATCAATACGTCAGTTGGAAACTGCCCTTGTGCCAATGGCTCCATTATACAGTCTAGTGTCTAAGTAAGATGAATAGCGTATTGTCAGTTTGCTGAAGTACGAGTGCTGAGAAAGGTTCGAAGGTCCGAGTGCTCAGCAAGGTTGTGGTTGGTTTCTGATGTCATGACCAAACGACACGCTTTGAAACCGAAGTCTCACTTTAAGGCAAAAGAATCGAAACTTACGAGTGTTTCAGAATATTTCGGTGGTAGAAACGAGTCGTGATGAAGGCTTTCTTGCTTATATTTTGCGTTAGGAAGATGACGCTGAGCTGTTACGACACCACCTGACGCCTTGAACGAAAGCGAAGCTTGATTTGCTTGCAGGACGATATATGCTTTGTCCGCTGATGTTCTTACTCTTGTATTGGGCCGTTTTCCGCGACAATTCACTTCTCACTGCAGTCGTCGAAGTTGCAGTCCGACATACACAACCTAAAAGATTTATATTCAGAACTTGATTCAGGATAACCCGTTCAACCACTTGTCCTTGAATTGCATCAGCGACCGCATAGTCTGTTCATTCATGTAATGCAGTTATGTATGCAAAATTAGTGATCTTACAATTATTCCAATTAATCAGCTTCTTAAATAGCAAGTTGTAATCTACATTGTCTTCCAGAGCTCACCACTGACATTCACTTTGTGGGATCAAGGTTGTTGTGGTCATTCTGCGGCAGTGCTGGAACTCATTGAGCACAACAACTCCAGCCAATGGACTGATGTATCGTCCCTAAGCAGACAAATAGTTCTTCAGTTGAAAGTCAACAATTGGAAGATCTCATCGGCGACAAAATGAAATTCATGAAACACCAAACACAACATACATCACTCTCTGCATGTGCTTCAACGCATTTAAGTGGAAGAGAACAATCTCCATTCTGTCAGACCATTCTATACGAGAGGGAACGTGAGCACCAGAATGCCCAACGCACGTTTATATCAAGAGGTGATAGCTCATACCAGAAAGTGTATCTATAATAGCTTTTTCCACCTTAGGTTCATCCACAACTGCCTCCGGATACAGGCACCGTATCGCTAAAAGATTCAATTTGAGACTTATTAGCGTCTTACTACGTCTGTCGAAACCCCTGCGAACTAAAAACACACCCATTGATGCAATGCCGGCAATATACAACAACCGAATTAGCGGCATGAGTGTCCGTTTAACAGCAGGGAACCCCGCCAAGTATGAAGTCAGGTACATATTCAGCTTGTTGAGACATTTCTAAGTTAATCACTATTAGAAACGACAATACAAAACAATATTCTCGATGAAATCATACCTTGACGATGGTAACAGAATCAGGCGACATAGACTTTCCATATTTGAGGAGTATCAGATTTGGTAAATGTACACTTATCAACAGAAGGTGGTAGCACATCAAAAGGTAAGTTCCTAAATACGAAACGGGAGAGTGCGAATAACTCGATGCTCCATAATTCATTCCTGGCTTGTCGGAGAGTTTCATCCATATTGGCAGGCTCTTGTAGAACGCTTCCAAGTCCGCCTATAAACACAAAGACACTATCACTTAGGGCACTCTACTCCTTTGAAAGATGTTTTTGGTCAAAAAAGTGCCTTTATTCAGCAGCGTACCTGTAGAGCTGGTAAAGCAACCAAATAATTCCCGGCAAATATGATCTGATTTGTAGGGTGTACGCAACACGATAACTCTAATATAAACGGTAGAACCTAGTCATACCGCTAATCAGTATGGCACTTCCATCCCAACTAATATCGTCCACGCACCTGCTTACACATAGCTGAAACCTTATTCAAATGTATAAATGGCACAAACGCAGTGTCAGCTTGGAAATCGACGTATTTTTGATGTAGCATGTCCCATTCGTACTCTGGCCTGAGAGCAGCAATATGTCTACTATCCAGTATACAGGTCGGTCTTGTTTTCGTATTTGCACACAGGAAATGTTCTGCGGTTGCGACTCTGTAGGGGACAAAAATGTTCGGTTGGAATCAACAGAGTCCAAAGAACGAAAGAAGTACTTACAAACACCAACATCGTATCCTTCCCTGTTTCTCCTTTTCAGACTCGTCTTCTCCAATTTCATCCAGCCTCAGCACTCTGGCTCTCCTCACGCTCTCAATCAGATGCCTGGACCCTTTAGTAAAGTCGTTCTGTGAGAGAGCATAGAAGGCCAACATTATGAGTGTTGTTACAGCGGATATTCCATCTCCATGGATGTCTGACATGTACACATGATGTGACGCCTGGACATTTTGAGATGAGGAGATGAGTTTTGGTTTGGTCATGAATTCACATAAGCAAAAAGATATATACCCTCTCAGCAAACTGATCAGTTAGAATAGTCCATACTGGATCTGATATTCCGAGTTGGCCCTTTTCTCGAACCAGGGCACCCTACAAGACGGAGAGCGTCTATGAGATCATGTCGACACAGTTTTGCCGCAATATTGGACGATAATGCTTTACCATAACACATAAGGCATCAGTAAGATGTCCTAATCATTCGTAATCGTGAGCTACATGTGTGGTCTCTTGATCGGCGAAGCAAACAAGTCGTGGGGACTTACTCGGCAGCACGTTCAAATTGGCTAGGAAGACAAGGAATATAAGATTGCGATCAATGCAACAACACCTGTAGCCCAACCCTTACATTGCTGAACCAGGTTTGGGAAAACAAACACGAATGGTTGTCTGAAATGTAGGTCGAGCAAAGTTGGGGTAATTTCCGCCATCATAGAGTGTACATGATGAAACGAAAGGTCACCAGCAGGGCTTGCAATTACTGCAGGTTGAAAGTTGCATTCTTCCAGCAAGGCCCCAAAAGCGAAACAATTCGAGCACAGTTGGTCCAATGAGCTTTTATCACACGATGGCATCTTCCTGCCGATACAGACCTATTGGCGACGGGTAAAGTTAGTTACAAAACAGGAGCCATACTTACAACCATACTTTACCTTGCAGGCCATGCCTGGCTCACTTAGTGGTCTAGTGTGCAGGAAAGGTTTGCGCCAATTGGTATTCAACCGAAAACCGAAGCAGCAAGAAATACAAACACGAAGAGCATGGTCGCGAATCAAACCAATCTGTACGTTTATTTACAGAGATTTATATACGCACGTTGTCGAGAAATGAACCAACACGAAAGGCAGCAAACGTTGTCAATAATGGCATGGTCGCACGACATTTTCTTGTCTATGGAAGCGAACAATATGTCAAGACTTCCGCGTAATCATAAGGATTCAACGTTCTGTACCATATATCGTTTCCCTTAGCCGGTCGCAAGGCTCCAAATGGTACTCTGTGATGATGCTCAGTGGGAAGCCTAACATGGACTCGCAAGACTGTAGGCTTTTGATCTAAGGCGGAAAAGAAAAGAATCATACCTACCTTTAAAAGCGTCAACAATAGCAGTCTCTATATGAGGCTCACGTACAATTTGCGGGCAAAGACTCCTTAGAACTGTTTTTGCGTCAGCGTTGGTCGTCAGCGTTAGTACGTTGCTGGAAGCCATGGAACATCTCCAAACGCATACCGACAGATGCAACACTAGCAATGTACATCAGATTGGAGACTTGAAAGGTGCCTGCTCGTTAAATGAGATAATTGAACGTTGGGGCAAAGAAACCTTTCAGTTCCAGCCAACCAGCACCAGCATCTCAATGCGTTCACATCCGTGTCTTCCTCATTAATTTCGTCAAGATACAACTTCTTTGCTCGCCACACGGCATCGAGTAGGTGCTTTGATCCCGCAACAAAATCGCTCTTGGATATATAGTAGAGTGACGCGCATGCGATGGTGATTATACCCGGAATGCCGTCGTCATGAGCACGGTCAGATACACCGTGTAATGCCTGAAAAGACAAGCATGGTATTAGCATCGATGAGGCCAAAACGAAATTCTGAACACACTTTGGGTAAGCAAGTCTGCAGTAGCAACCGATTGCGATTCGTCAAGTCCTAGTTCATCACGGTCTCTCATAGATCCTATTTGGCAATGTCCAGAATATCAGGATTCAGTTTGCGATTTCAAGACAGTGCTCCTCAATGTCTTTGCGACATACCACGACATAGATGGCGTGTACTAAATCCTCTAATGTTGGACTTCCTTGGATGAGCGTCTTGGTTTTTCGGGGCTCAAAGTGAAACTTCCACTACTACTTACGCGGAATTGAGATTATCTGAGCTACAAGCAGGAAGGCAAGTCAGTTCACTATCAAACCAAGTACAATAATGCAGATTATATCGTTTGCCCCACATTCGTGAATCAAGCTTGTAACGGCAAATGGTCTTGACAAGAAGAAGTGAATTAGAGGACGAATGACTCCATCCATTGTTAGAAGCAGGCCTAAAAGTCAGCGAGGAGTTCATGAATCAGTATAAAATCACAGACAAAACCCATTCATCGTACTTTGCATCTCACCTTCTTCAACGCCCCTGGTTTGCACAGTTTTTGACATCAAAAGCCATCGCTAAAACATGTCCCAACCCTGCGCTAAAACATTTGACTAACAAACATATGTTGAAACCTGTTTATTTTCATTAATATACTCTATCGAAGCTTGGCGCGTTCAGCACGCCCATACCCCCTCGTGTCCATATCCACTGCCAGAGCAAAGATATAAAATATAGTAGTCAACAACGGCATAGCCATGATTTCAGCCAATGGATTGGGTCGTCTGGCCACCATCCCATGAGCATATATACGTATCAATTCACCGATAATATCGCTAGTAATGTAGTATCGATTTGATAGAATTCCACCCAACATTACTGAAGCAGCACTGTCGGCAGATAGAGTCGAGATGGTTCCTTCTATTTTTGCTGTTATTGCTGGTTTTGTTTTGTTTTCCGTTAGGAAACCAGGGGTGTCCATGTTTCCTGGAAGAAAGAGTTGGACTTGAGTGTCGAATGGCACCATTTCTGAGCGCAGTGCGTCAGTGTAACCTCTGAGAGCAAACTTGCTGTGCAGAGTGAAAAGGACGTGGTAGTTAGCAAGGCTATTCACACAAGAAACGATGGTGATAGTCAAGCAACATAATGTTAACCATACGGACCTAGCAGCATAAGCAGTATACCCAATGAAACCCACGCAACAGACCTGGCTACCAACCAATACAATACGTTCAGGCATCTTGACACTGGTATCTATAGGTATGCCACTGATTTTAACACTACTTTTACTGTGTGCAGCGGCAACCGACAAGACCGCTTGTATCAAATGAGCAGGCCCCTTCGAGTTGACATTCAGCATATAGTCCAATACAGAAGTATCACCATCAGTCGGTATCTGATCCATGAGAAATCCAGGCACAGAAGCACCAGCATTTGCAATTACCCAATCTATATCACCTCGTTCCTTGACTGCATTTGATAATCCAGCGACCAGTTGAGCGTAATCAGCGACATCACAAGCTACAAATCCTACATTACTAGTTCGTTGCAGACATGCCTCTACAGCATGGTCGAGTCGTGATTTGCCTTGGGCATCACGATCCGTTCCTCGTGCAATGAGAGTCAGTTTGGCACCAGCTTGAGCTAGAGCGAATGCGGTAGAGAGGCCCAGACCAGCTGAGGCACCTGATATGACTATATGTTTGCCTGTTACTGCTGCTGCCAGGGCGGATGGTGAAGCTGGGCGAGATGCAATCAAGAAACTACCAATACAGTATACAAGGGGCAAGACTCGGAAACTAACTAGCACTACTATGACACTCACTACTATCTCGCCTGGAAATTGCTGGAATGCTCCTGCCAGGTTGAACATCTTTTGCTTTCTTGTCGTTAAATATGAATTTGATGTTAACGTTAAAGTCGAACGGAGAAGAATTATTGGAGTAATCGGAACTCATCCAATTTTATTTTTTAACAGAAATATTATATTTTGGATTCTACTGAGTACAAACGCCTTGGGTCTTCAAATCCTGTGTTTTCGCAATGGTGCAACATTTTGATAGTCAACCACCTTCAACGAGTCACATCTCGTACTTGCTAGTCTCATCAAGACGTGTCGCTTTGACATGAAAAGCCACCATTGATGTCCTTACTCCACCTTTGGATGTTTCAAGCAAGGAGTGATGCTGGTTGGTGGAGCACTCCACTACCGATCGTCCAAGTCAGAACAATCCAGCACATTTTGGTCGAATTTTTTTTTAAACAAAATGAAAATTGTCTGATACCGTTGGCTTCGACCGCTCGGTAATCTTTCAAAGGTGACCTCTGCGTGAAATTCAATTTTTGTCCAATGTGAACACCGCAGGAAACCCTTCAGTGTCCTCCGCGAATTAGTCTGTTAAAAATGACGTGATGGGCGTCGGCCATCGATCCTCATATTCCGTGATTCAAAAAATCCTTCCAGAGGTTCGAAGATTGACGATCAACCCAAACCCCACTCGACCAGCATCGTTAATTTTCAAAATTCGATAACCAGCTACCTTTGGAAAAGACTAACAAAAAATGTTCACCATATACCCTGGTCGTTATACGGCCTTACTTATACTACTGTTGTTCTCATGGACGCAGAAATCTGTAGCTGGAGCTGGATCCAGCCCAGCAGCATCTCCCACAATCGCCAGCGTTGCCGCTTCTCCTGTACGTGTTGACCAACCTGCTCAACGTGTGATTTTATTTTGACACGTCCTTTCCCACAGGCTCCCTCACCTGTTTTGAGCACCCACAATTTGACTATGATAATTGGTGGGTATTTTAGCACAAAGCCGACAAAAGTCTATCGAGGAGCTTACATCATATATTTTTTATGTTTTTACGATAGCTGTGGACAACTATTATCAGATATACATCAACAACCGAACGATCTTTGCCGGTCCCAAAGATGGAGATAACGGTGTAAATTATGCATGGAATAATATTAAGACGTTGTCATACAATATCACAGGAGATGGCCCATGGCTGGTTGCGATTGATGCTCTCGATACTGGTGTCATAGCAGGTGTTGATTGTATAATTTGGATTGATGGTACGTAAGGCATTCCTTGATGTTAATCAAAGCCAGATGCTGACGATACACAAACGTTCAATAGGAAAAGTATATGCTGCTACAGGAAGCATGGGGTATGTATTGCACGGATTTGTTTCTGTTTGCTTACCCCTGATTCGTTTCCGACTTACATCTCTCAAATTCAAGCTCTCCATGGAAGCTCCAAATTGCATCAGCAACAACTCGCACAGTGAATTTACTAGCAAATCAAACCACCAATGGTTCTCCCTCTCCGTGGACGTCCTGGACCACGCCAGATTCAAACATCGGCGACTATTGGGCGATGATGACTCAAGTCAACTACAATGATTCCCTGTGGACCAACGGACAGAACCTCAATTCTGTGAAAACATGTTATAACGATTTAGGCACATGGGGAAATATGCCAGTCAAGTTGCAACAAATGGCCGGAAATTACACCACGAGCATGCAGTGGCCAACAGATTGTAACTCGAATTTGAATCGTCGAGTTTACTTTCGAGTGGTCCTTACACAAAATGTTACGCAGACGAATTTTGCTATCGCCGCCACACCTAGCCCTGTACGTTTTATTGTTATTAAAGGACACACGGCACACCTATACTCACAATCTCCAAATTTGGATAACTAGGCACCATCTGCAGCCCCGTCTCCCGTCGCATCGACAATCCCGTCAGTTTCTCCAAGCACAGTCGCGTCTCCGGTTCGTACATCTGCTGTAAGTCTGAAACTGTGAGATTCGTTGAAAGCCCTTACAGAAACTTGAAACCCGACAACCTTCCACTAGGCACCATCTCCTATTGCCTCTACTGTGGCCTCGGCTGCTCCAGTTGCGTTCGCAGTTCAAACCTCTGCTGTATGTTCGAAACGCAATTTTCCGTTCCTTTTGAATTATTCTGGAGAACTGAAACCCATGGTTTCCTAATAGGGACCGAGCCCAGCTACTTCTAGACTGTCTTCGGCAGCGCCGTCCCCAGTTGCAAGCACAATGACATCAGCTGCTCCATCCCCACTAGCGAGCACACTAACTGCTGCTGCCCCATCGCCTGTAGCTTCCACGTTGACTTCAGCCGCCCCATCGCCCGTGGCTTCTACATTGACTTCTGCGGCTCGAAGCCCAGTAGGAGGCACATTGACTTCTGCTGCTCCATCTCCCCTGGCTTCTACATTGAGTTCTGCGGCTCGAAGCCTAGCAGCAAGCATGTTGACCTCAGCTGCTCCATCTCCTGTGGCTTCTACATTAACTGCTGCGGCTCGAAGCCCAGTAGTAAGCACAGTGACTTCTGCTGCT